ACCCTTCGAGGAGGGGATCCAAAAAGCTGAACTCTTGATGGTGAAGACAGTTGCTGACAGCAGAACCGAAGATGAATCAAAGAACTTCCAGGCTGTTCAGAGCAGAAGGGATAGAAGGGTGGCCACCGAAGATTTCAAAGACGGGGGAAAAAAAAACAGAAAAACAAAAATCAAAAACAAAAAAAAAATACCCAAGTCATACACAGAAAAGAGTCATCAGAGGAAAATTGTTCATGCGAGTCTCATTACGATGAATATAATTAGGAATTATTGGAAGCGGGACTGGGGATGCCGAGGACATTATCGGTCAATCCCAAGGGATGCTACCTTCCCTGCGAATCGTGCGCCGGCGCTTCCTCGCTTGGACAACTTGTCTTTCTCCTTCGTGTCGACGGAGTTAGGCACCTGGGACCCGGAGGAAGCAGAACTATCCCTACTTGAGCCCCGGATGGTGGGCAAGGACCCAAGAGTGTCACTGGCGGTAGCCTTTGGGGCAGGACTGGGGGCGCTGAATGCAGAATTCCGCGCAGTGCGCTGACTGAGGTACAGCTGTGCAGCGGGGGAAAGGGGGATAGAGGGAGGTTGTGGGGGGATCTCCGCGCCGTTCTGGACCAGCAGTTCAGCGACAGGGAAAGGGATTGCCTTGGCATTGGACCGAGCGGTCAGGCTAGTAGGTGTGGATCCAGGGGAAGCAGGGTCAGCGGCGGCAAGGGCCAGGAAGACAGCGTGTGTGTTGCGGGACCGGTCTGGAACATTCACATTGGCACGTAGTGCCATCCCATACAGGACACCTTGAATATCATTCGTCTTAATGGAGGCAAGAAGCGTTTCGTTAGGGGTTGCAAACCGGGATCGAGAAGATGGCAATTGCTCAACATAAACTCGATCGACATATTTAGCCGTGATGAACTTGAGACGCTGCTCCCGCGTGGAGTTTTGACTCGGTTTGAGCGACTGGTCCAGCGTTGCCTCCCAGATCATATTGCTGACCCGGTTGCCGACCTGAAGGAGAATCTCAACAATGTCGTTTGAGAAGGAATGCACATCGAGGGTTAAGGATCGGATCTTGGAGATGTGGGTCCCCAGAGATCGGTGGATACCACTGCACTCGATGCACAACACAATTCCGAGGTTAATTGACACCCATTCGACCTTGGAAGAGGATCCACAATCGGCGCACCAATTGTTCCCCTCATCTGCATCGCGCACGGCCTGTAGTAGCCGTGAGGGGTTCTCCTCGTAGTTGTTGCTGTCATTGCGAACATAGCTGGGGCGTGCTCCAACTGTTGTACGACGCGTCACACCAGCGGCAGAACTGCTCGAATAGGAGTGATGACCAGAAACGGATGAGCTTTTTCCCGTTAACACAGACCCAATATCACGACCAGTGGATGACTCGTTCTTAGATGAAACGAGCGGTGCCTGCGGCATTCCTCTGCCCTCCACTGCACTCTGCAGTGCATTGTTTATAGAGCGAATCCAATTCGCCATGTCATCCTCTGAAGTAGCCTGATAGACTCGTTTGAACTGTGGTGTTATGACTTCAAAACAGAACCGTCGCTCGGCGTTTCGAGCTTCGCGAACAGATGCCATTCGAAGATCAATAGGCTCCATGTGAAGGTCTAATTTTTGCTTCCAGTTGCTGTATTCTGAAAGTTTGCCTTGGTCTAACACAATCCAGAATCTAAGTTGGGATAAACATTAGCATAGATACGGATTATCGCCCGTTCACAAGATGTATGACTTACTTATGCCAGGCCTGCTTGTTAATACCCTTTGGGTCCATATGTGACCCAGGACGGGAAAGAGCCCACAGCAATCCTTCTTTTCGTTGCTGACCAGCAGCACGATCAGTTCCGAGGCAGTCTCGCTCTTCGAGATCCCGGATGCCCTTGAAACGATTTTGGCCTGATGCACCAGTGGGACCAGCGCTAGTTGTGGGTGCAGAGCCACCACCAGCGGTTGAGCTGACTGACCCTGCGTTGGCTTGGGATGAGACGGACGAGCTGTTGCTGATGACGCCACGGAGTTGGGAGCTTGTGCTATCGGCCCGACCCAATTCAGTCTCCGTAGAAGCGGTCCCGTTGGCAGCCCCAGAGGAGATATTCGAGACACTCGTGCCACCGGCCGTGGCATCAGGTTCAAGATACGGGTTACTGTTCTTTTCAAGGGCCCTGCGCTTCTCTTCCCGCTCAGTTCGCTTAAACTGGAACTCTTTGTCGGCCTGGTTCACTTCGTAGATAAGTGCGTCCAATTGAGGGACCATTTCCTCGATCCTCTTAGCCGCAGCCAAGAAATTCTTGGCTTGGAAGTCCGCGTACTTGGTGAGATGCGAGAGCACCTCTTGCTCCTTGCGGCCACCGTGAAGATCCTGCATGAAAGAGGAATAATCAAAGCGTTTCAGCTCAAAGTTTCGCCGCTTGGCCTGGTATTTCGAGTCACTTTCGGCTCGCTTCTTCTCTTTGAGTGAGTCTTGTCGCTGGCCCAGATATCGGCTGACATAAGCATAATAGTCACGACTTTCCTCGTCAAAGTCCTTTTTCTTCGACTCTGCTTGTTTGATATCATTATGATAGACCTTTATAAGGGGTTCAATGACAAGCTTCTGTAGCTGAAGCGTGTTCAGCTGTTCGTACGTCAGAATCTGACGGGCGATTCTCTCGAAATAATGATCTAATGCAGGCTGAATGACGTTGCCGTTGGAAGTTGATGTCTCCCCCAAAGAGCCCAAGAAAGCTTCCATAGCATCATTGCAAGATGCCTGAGCCTGCTGGGCCGCCTCGGCCTTTTTAAGCACCTTCTTTGTTTTCGCGCGCATGTTACCCGTCTTCTGCTCCAACGCTTTCATGGTCGCTCGGAATAATGGTCCATCTTCCACAACACTCATGTCATCTCCGGGTCGAGAATGTGGCAGATCAACTTTCACGGGAGGTGGAGGTGGGGGCTGTGTCGGGGCAGGGGGTGCCACATCTGCAGTCTCGGGCGGAGTGATGGAAGGAATATTTTGATGGGTGGTCTCCGAATCACTGAAATGAGAAGTGGTGGACTGGGTAGAGGGGACTCGGCTGCGAGGAGGGACTGGTAGCTCAAGGTTGGGCGACGATATCATCGGACTTGGGAGCAGCCGTACCGAATTGTGCACCCAGAAAGAAAAGTGAGCAAGGGTATTCAGGCGATTAGTCCTCTGGTCGTAATCCAGCAAGCTACAGCTATTTCGCCAGCCGCCCCCTTTGTCTTCTGTTCCCTTTGGAGGCCTCCATGTCCACGACCACTCAAACGACACAGATGGGGTGCCGTCCGTAGAAAAGTCTCCGATGAGCTGTACGTTGGAGTTGTTCTGTAGGTTGGGATTTGCGTGAAATTCCCGCGTGATGAGGTTGTCGAGTTCTTTCGAGTTTGACGCATGGGCAAACGTCAACCCATTTAGGATGGTGTCGCTCACTTCGGGGAGCGAGGTCGAGACGCCGTTGACGGTGGATCCGGCAACGTTGCCCGTTGTTGTTTGACGGAGAATAAAGGTGAAGTTGAAGATGAGTTCATCGTCGTTTGCGAGGCGCAACAAGAAAGTAGGAGTGGGAGCAGTTGGGGGGGCGTCGGGATCCTGTATTTTGACGAAACGTTAGTCTGCTTTCTCAGCGCATGTCTGGTCGGAGCCCATGTGACCGTACCTGTATATATTCGATCGGAGTATCATCGCCTGCATCCCGCTTGGCTACATATCTCACTGCCGGGAATGCGTTGGGGGATAGGGTCAACAGGCGGCGCCTGGAGTTGCTTATTGTGATCGAGGCGATCGAGACTAAAACAAAGAGTCTGTCAGCATCGCGATCTCCAGAGTCATGTCTAGACGAGGAGCAGGGCTTTCGTACATCGATTTTGGTCCTTGAAGAATAAATTCCCCGCCTCGTCGAGACGGCTGGCGACATTGCCCATGATGGCGCAGGCACCACAGAAATCAGGTCACGGCGCGAGAAGGGATCTGGGCAAGCACCGAGCCAATCGGCCATCGACAGGGTGCGCTGCAGTCGGATGACCCGTGGAAGGAAGTAATCAAATGGAACGAGAAATCCGTCATTCAGTTCATAAAAAGGTGGTTTGAGAAGAAGAGGGGGGGGGGGCGGTGGAGTCGAAGCTTGGGCTGATCGCGTTCGATGAAGGAGGGGGTGGATATCGGGGAAATCGAACCAAACACTGTCCTTTCGGAGTTTTCGTGGCTGCCTTCTTACCTCTTTTGTGGCCCTTTGTATTTCGGATCTAAGAAGTTGGAGGCTTGTAGTAAGTGTTTTATGATCTTTTCTTTTTTGCCTCTTTCATTTGGTGGATACTCTTCGCCCCTGGATATGTAAGAAGCACGGGACAGAAAGAGGGGGCCATGGCCATGGTTTCAGCCCCAACATAAGTGCTATTAAAAGCACTTGAGTGGTCGAAGTATATATCTCTATTGATTCAGTTCTGACTTTCTGTCTATCATATTCGCCGACTGGCCCATTGAGAAATTTAGCACATAACAAGGCTACTTCGTGTTTTGACTATCAAGATTGAAGGAAGTTTCCATCTACAGTATATATACACATAAGCTCTCTCCAAAGAGGATTCTTGGTTCAAACGGCAAGACTACCCATTAATCCGAGATTTAAGTGCTAAACGCTCTAGGCAACATGTCAGAACCCATGATATATAGATCACGGGCATACACAGCCCTAGCCAGGCATGTGCATGTGCCTAATCTGTACATATGGATCTACCCGCCCACCTAGGCAGGTAATATGGACTTGATCATCAGATGAAATTAATTTCAAATTAAAGACACTGCATTACGAGAATAAGATAGTCGTGAATTAATGTACATCACTGCGCGCATCATCCAATCGTGAACATCATTACGCTCGGTTCCGGCCCGAGACGAGTAAAAATGGAGCCAAAAAAGAGGGGAAAACTTAAGAGCAATCGAACACCAAGAGAGGCAGGACGAAGGCAAGACTAGAAATCAGAGGCATATCTCAGGCAACCGCGTTGGCTTTGAATGGGGCGGTAGCGGAGCACGTCTCACCAGTCGACGCAGCCCGCTCACGACTGGAGTAACGGTGCTTGGAACGATCAGCATGCCCATCGGCTTCGACCCATTTCATCATTTGGCCTTTGACATCACGCATCTCATGCACCTTTCGGTGCATACCCCCTCTTCGAGAGGCTTCGCCGCTGCGTTCATTCAGCTCCTCCTCATCAGAACTAGAGATAGAGAGGTCCGAAACACTGCTCTGTTGGAGGTATGTAACGAGTTGACCTTGGGACTTTTTAACTTCCCGTTGCTCACTCTTCATTTGACCCATTCGCTCGGCGTCCCCTTGACAGTCAAGAGTGCTGACATTCAGACCTGGAAAATTGGACATAATGAACTCCTTCAAGAGGGGTAACTTCTCGGAATTGGGGCGGTAGGTTCCACTGTCATTGTCGATAAAGAGCTCGTAGTCCGACGGGTCTGTTGACTCCTGCAGCAACTCCTGGGGGATTTCATTCTCCTCTACTGGAAAGTCATTGTCGGCCGTCTCTGTGCGCGACGAAGGGGACTGACATCGATGACGATGAATGATCCGTCGCACAAAGAATTCTCCCGAGTAAGCAATGTATATCGAAATATCACTATGCATCGTATGTTTGCTTAGTAGGTCGATTCCAAATTCTTTGCCGGTCTCCGTGAAACGAAATTTCCCGTCCAAAGTGATCACGTAGGTGAAGATCCGCCCGCTCTGACCCCAGCTGGTGAATTCCAGGAATTTCTGCGTAAATTCGCGGCACGGTTCGGCAAACGTTCCATTGAGAGTGCTGCGGTCGAAATTGTAAATCCTCTGGTGCTGATGATGGAGAGCTTTGTGTAGGATTCGGCCCCGTAGGCTTTGCGCTTGAAACATGCCTGCCACAAACGGCCTAAATTCAACATAGCGATGATACAGTTCCGCGGGGACCGGACCGCGAAGCTGCATTTGAATGGCTTGGAAGCTATTGAAAAATTATTAACATTGGGTCAACCACGGTGGGAAATGTTTGATGAGTGACATACTTGTATCGACTGATGGGCTTGCCATCCCCATCAAGAGCCTTGACTTGATCCTTTGTCCCTGTCAGTCTTCCGATGAGAGGTGAGAAGTGTTTGAACCAATAATTTGGCCCAAGGGTATACATCTGGCCACCGTCGGTCCCCGGTGTTCGGCCCAGACACTCAATGCTCATGATCAAGTATGACTCCTTATGGTGACCAGTGGCAAACGCGGAGACATTGGTATACACATAAACTCGCTTGCTGCCGAAGCGCTTCTTAACCTTGAATGGATGCTCTTTGTATCCATTCCAACCTTCCAGCGCGGGCACCTCAATGAACGCGATTCCCAATTTATCATCATGGTCCGCCGGATCCTCGTCCATCAGATAGGCCTTGAGCGAACCACCCGAGGCCGGCATATTTGCGACAATCCATTCACTGTTCCAGATGGGGTTCATGTTCTTGCGCACGGTCGGCGTTCGGAAGCTCATGATGGGATCCTGTTTATGACGCCGAGGTAGATCTACCTGTAGTTGCGCATAGACATACGGATCGGAGGAGAAACTGCCGAAATCCGCGATGGGGAGGTCATGCCCGCGGTGAAAGGTGAACTTGACGGTGTAGCCTGGCGGCGCATGCGGAATCGGAGTCGCATCGTAGCCTCCAGCGGGTTTAGAGTGGTCGTCCATAGTGAGCCGAGACTGCAGCTTGTCGGCCTTTTCGACCAGCTTGGGAGCGTATTTGTCAACCGGATGTGAGGCCATGGCTGCGGAGAAAGCTAAATGATTTTAATCCAAAGTGAAACACAGGAGTGTCATCATCTGATAGGGATCATCTAAAGATATGATAGAGCAATAAGGATAGGAACGGGGTAGTGGGGGGGGGAACAACCACGTTGATTGAATCCAAGGAAGTTCGGTGGAGACCGGCAGAGAAAAAAAGCCAAGAGCCAAGGTTCAGCCTTACCAGGCAACAGCCAAACTATATATAGTGGACGATACCGATCTAGGATGATCTCATAGTGTTTCGTAGTTATCTACAGAAAATCAAACATAAAAGTCTCTTTCTAATATATTCATAGTCCCTGGATTTGGCCATGGCAGTATGCTGTTACAGTATTTTCCTCTAGTATACATTTGACTAACAGACGAAAAAATGGAAGCATAAGAAAAAAAGGAACAGATGAAAATGTATCGTAGACATGCATAAACGGAGAGTGTAGAAAAAAAGCAATCGGTTCGTGAGGTCATATCGTGAGGTGGGGACGAGTTGACTCCTTCGGTGACGTCGGGCCAATCTCCTTTTGACGGTGGCGTGGAGACACAACACACCATTTACGTACCCCGAAAGAGAAATTGCATGTCTTCAGGGGTAAGTTTCTCAAGGGCCTGATCTTGATCCTTATTGATCGTGCCTCGAATGAGGTTGGCCTTTTTCTCCTGTAATTGAACAATTCGGGACTCGACCGAGTCTTCGATGCTGAGCCGAGTGATCACACAGGGCCGTTGCTGACCAATGCGATGACTGCGATCGGCACTTTGCCATTCGGCTGCAGGGTTCCACCATCTGTACAGAATGTGAGCAAAAGATCTACATCTAAACCCTCTCCAAAAAGACAATGGACCAGGGAAACTTACGGATCGACAATGAACACTCGGGACGCCTCGGTCAGGTTCAGGGCCACACCACCGGCTTTCAGAGAAACAAGAAACACTTCCACGTCAGCGTTTTTCATGAAGTGCTCGATTGACTTCTGTCTCTGTGCGGGGGTCATCGTTCCATCCAGCATGACTGTGTTGAACCCTGCATGACGTAGACGCCACTCCACAAGCTGTAGCATCGAGGTAAATTGCGAAAAGATAATCGACTTCGGGGTATGACTCTTGTTCCGCTGTTGGTAAAGTTCGTAGACCAGGGTTTCAATCTTGGTCGAAGAGGTCCAATCTTCCATATGAATACGATTGATGATAGAGTTCTTCTTAACGGACTCTTCAGCCTGTTCGATGGTAGGTTGCTCGAGGTCGATTGAAAGTGCAATATGACATTGCGGGCAATCCACCGTCGTGATCTCGTCAAAGGACTGGATATAATCCTTGACGCACTTACGACAGAACTCGTGTCGACAGCGAGATCGAATAGCGTCTTCAGCAGGCTCATCACAAACTCGACAAACAAGGACGTTGAATCCCGGCTGAACATGCTTCTTTAGAATAAGATCGGGGTGATTTGCCACTTGCCGCATTTGCATAATCAAACCAAAGATATTCGCGTAATTGTTCAGCATGACACCTTGACTGACATAGGTGTCAAACTTTCGAGTCGAATTGGTCATAATGCTGCGTGAGAAATCATGTTCGATCTCACCGAAAAATTCATTACGTATGATGATACTACGCTTGTTTAGCTTCGTAAACCAAAAGTTCGAGGATGGCTTGTCACTTACCGCTTCGGTGGGAGTTCCATTGACGACGTATGCTCCTGCTTCATCCGGCGCAGCATAATGTGGTCCGTGATGAGACGAAGCTTCGTCAATCCTGATTTTCGCTCTTCCTGGGTTCTCCCTTCCGTGACTAGATGTCTGAATCAGCATGTGATAGTAGGGAGGATGGGCAAAGGGTGTGAGCTTACTTGGATTGAGGATTTCCTTGTTGAAAATCGAGATATGATTGAAACCACTGAAGATGCTCGTCAGTATTGAAATATTTATTGGCTCTCTTGTTGAGTACATACGTGTGATTGCATTCCGTACAACGGCCCTGTTTGTTTGCAGTCCACTGAAGCTGCTGGCAATTGCACTGCTTACAGAAATAGCATGCAAACGGGCGGACTTGAAGGAATCGAAGCAGAGAGAAAAACTCGCCGATTCGATTCTGTACCGGAGTGCCAGATAGACACCATTTGTAAGTAGCTTGCAGGGCAAAGCAGGCCTTGGCAACTCCAGTCGTACGTTGCTACATACCAGTGTTAGGCTGGACACATATAGCAAGGGAAGGCGACGAGGGATGCTTACCTTGATGCTATGAGCTTCGTCGAGAACAAGCCGATGATAGTGAATGGAATGGATGACACCTTCTACTGTGAGCAGCTACGTACCATAAAAAATACCATTGGAGACTTACTGTCTTCTTTCACAACTCCACCAGTACGAGCCCAGCCCTTCTCTTGTTTTCGGAACATGGATTCCAGACTCGAGTCTTGATAGTGCATCAGCAAAAGCATAAAGTGACAGCACAACATGAGAGATGAGCTTACAGGATATCATGATCACGTCATATTTCCGAATATCAGTAGGGGTGAGCTTTCTGACCTTCGAGTCAGAGCCATGGTAAACGAGGACTTTCAATTTACCATCGGTGTATTCCTAACAAGCGTGATGAGCCAGAGAACGAGACATATTGGGCACATCTATGCAAACCTTGATTTCAGATACCCACTGCATCAAAGCGACCGGGGGCACAAGGACAAGGGTCGGATCAGGTTGAGGGTAATCCGACATGATCAAAGAAACGGCCTGGATGGTCTTTCCCATCCCCATCTCATCACCCAAGAGACCTCCATGGTACGCAGTCTTCTCTTGTTCCATCATCCATCTCAAGCCCTCAAGCTGGAATGGTTTCAATTTGCGAGTGATAGACTCTGGTTGCTTCGCTTGCTTCGGAGCAATTATGGGCTGAGCCTTCAGGTCATCCCACATGGTACTGATGGTAGGATGCTGCTTCTCCAACTTCTTCCGATCTGCTTGTTTCTAAATAAAGGTCAATCAAAATATCCTTCAACTAATTTGGATGTTTTGGCTTACGCGGCGAAGTTTCCGCTCCTCCTCCCAAGTCGGCGGAAGCTCCTCACCATCCTCATCATATTCTGCGTAGACAGGAGTGGGTGGAACTCGATTTGGAGCCCGTCTTGCCGAAGTATTTTCCGTGGGAAAAGCAAAATCCTCATCCTCATCTTCATCCGTGTCACTGTCAACTGATTGACACCAGTTTGTTAGATCCTCAGGATCAGACAAGCGATCGAGGGGAGATTCAGACAAATCTGAGTCACCCGACAGACTTTCCAGATCTGAATACTCATCCAAGTTGATACCTTTAGCGCTGATGTTTGCACGAGTAGACCTTGTAGCGATCTTCCGTCTTTTCGGCCGCGGCTGGTCGTACTCCCCCATTTGAAGGGCGAGAGCCACCGCCGCGTCCAAGGCCGAGCGATCCATAGCTTCGAGCGACGTCTCGTCGACCGATCTTTTGACTCCTCCTTGAGTTGCTCGGGACATTCTACTCGTGCGCAGTTGCTGTGCGCGAGCTGACGCATTGACCCGTGCTCGGGGCTTATTGGAATCTGTTTCTGCCGCAGCGCTCACGCTGGTGGCGGGCGTGTTGAAGCCAGTCACCCCGTCGGCTGACAGGACCCCCAGAGAGCTTCGGGACGAATCCACTGGGGATTCATCCTTTTGGGCAGGAATGACCACTTTCACGCGTCCTGATGCATACTGGTTCTTCGCTGGATCGGGTAAATCAAGGGTGTCGGAGCCTTCAACTTCGGAATCTTTGATGACGCTAGCGGTCGCTGACTTGGAACGAGAGGACCCGCCTACTGGTATGTGGTCCAGTTGACGCACCGGCGAGGAACTTTTCAATGACGTAGCGCTCAGGAATCCGTCCTCAGAGTCCGGAATGATGCTTCTGCGGGTTCTCATTGCGCAGGATGAATTATGTAGGCGTGCGTGTAGGGTGTCGAGTGGACGGAGTGAAACCGATGCCGAAGAGCTATTTGTGCTCGAATAATACCAGCTGGGCAGAAATTATTAGTAAATGTATGACTAGATGGGTGATTTAGTATAACTGAGTACGTACTTGAGTTGGAGGCCTGGAACGTACCACCAGATGAAACTCCGCGGAGTCGCGCGTGGCGGAATAAGTGGCTTCACCAAGTGAGAGAATCAAGCCTCTGAGTAGGCTATCAAGAAGAGCACTTCAGAGCTAAATCCAAGGGAAAGAGATGTGTGGAGAGAGAAAGGGGGAGGGGGAAAGGCGAGAGAGAGAGAGAGAGAGAGAGAGAGAGAGAGAGAGATCGGAATTGATCGATCGTGCCTGAACCAGGAAAACTTTTCATTTGGTCGGATCGCTGGACCTTTTTTTTTTGCCATTTCCAAACTTCCCATCCGAAGTTGAATCTGGAACTCGTTTGACTCATCATTTAATTCATCAAACTTGTCTGTCTTTTTCGTGCTTCCGTGACTTCGTGGCTTCGTGACCCTCGTATACTTATCGTCGATAAGGTCGCGTTAAGTGCAACGCGAAATTGCCGCGAACCCTGTGACTTGCATCTGCGATCCTCTCCCATTTGCCACCCCACTGTTTGGATTTACCACCTTCGATATGTACGTTCTCCGATCTTTAACCTCGCCATTTTAAAGTTACTGACGCCAGTGCAGGACTGGTAGACGGCAAAGAGGCAATGCCGGTATTCGGGGCCCGTATGATTTCATATCCAAGTCTGGCGTGTTGCATTACTGACACCACTTTGTAGACAATCCGCTCTGACAGACTTCCTTGCTGTATGTGTTATTACCTCAACCTTCTGCCGAATATTGGTTTTGCATTGAAACTTGCCACTGACAGATCCATACGACATAGTCAAATAATATCTCCGCCGCGCAAATCCGGGATGATTATGACCGCCGGGCCGCAGAGGCTGCGCGTCAGGCTGCCGAGGAAGAAGAACAAGCGGCAGACGCAGATTACCAGGATGAAGCCCCGCCAGAACCACAACCGGAGTCTCCCGAAGAGAAGTCCCGAAAGCGCAAACGACAACAAGCCATCGAGAAAATTAAAAAAAGCAAGGAATTTGCCCGTCGGAAAGCTCGACGAACTGGGGAGCCCGACGATGACGACGATGTTTTGGCCGATGAGATGATGAATGAGAGGCAACGACCGAACCCAGGTCAGTTAGCAAATTGTGAGGTCTGTGGGAAGCGTTTCACCGTCACGCCCTACAGCAAAACGGGCCCGGATGGTGGCCTTCTGTGCGCCGATTGCTCTAAAAAGCAGACCGATGGGGGCAAGAAAGGACCAGCGAAGAAACGAAACTCAGGACTCGGTCGGCGTCAAAACCAAAGCAAGCTTCTGGATGGATTTGCTATTCCGGGTGCTCGAAGCTTGCTAGAGACGTGCATCAAAGTAGGCTTCGAGAGAACGGTTTATGACAGGGCTTCAGATCACTGACACACTTCTGCAGAAAGTTGCTGACAATATTGATGACGTGGACGAATTTGGAGACCTCCCTCCACCCGTGATGCATCGGCTTAGCCAGATTTTATCCCGGAATCGTGCTGTGACGCCAAAGACTTTAGATCTTTTCTTGCGGCCTGAGCACAGAGAGTTGAATATCTATGACTGCGCTAGTGAGTGCTCCATTTGTGCATCGCTGCACGAAAAATCTGCTTGCATGACCTGACGATCCAACCTTGGCGCAGAGTTACAAACCGATGACTTCCATAAGATCCTAGCTACTATGCCGACTTTGACTCGACTGAATCTTCGATTCGTTACCGCCATGAAAGACCAAGTGTTCGAATACATGATTGCTCGTGAGATGAAGATTCAAGATCTACATCTGAATTCGCCAAATCTCGTAAGCGACGGTTGCTGGCGCCAGTTATTCACTACAATCGGCCCTCAGCTACAAAGCCTCAAGCTGTGGAACCTCGATTCTGCCTTTGATGACGAAACAGCTGAAGTGATGAGCAAGAATTGTACCCTTCTTCAGCGTTTGAAGTTGAAATATCTCGATAAGATCGGTGACAAGACAGTTGAAGCAATATCGACCATGAAGACTATACATCACCTCTCGCTGCATCTCACACAGGAAACCAATCCCGAGCCTCTTCTTCAGGTGATTTCCCAATTAGGGCCTAATCTATACTCGCTTTCCCTGGAAAACTTCCAGCTTGCGGATGACAGGCTTGTCCAACACATTCATGACAACTGCCGAGAACTGTTTAAACTTCGCATCTCCGATAATGCCGTTATTACTGACAAGGCCATGGCCGAGCTTTTCCGTGGCTGGCCTAATCCAGCTTTGAAGTTTGTGGACTTCAGCGGTCTTCGAGACGTGGATATGTCTAACCCCGCTGGCCCTCCTGAGCCTGTTGGTCTTGCCTCCGATGGATTCGTCGCCTTGATGGAGCATTCGGGATCGAAGCTTGAAAACTTGAAAATTACATCATGTCGCCATATCTCGCACGCTGCATACGAGGAAGTTTTCGCCGAAAACAAACGATACCCCGCGCTTAAATCTCTTGATATCGCCTTCAATGCCCCTGTGGATGACTATATTATGCAGTGCATTTTCCGATGCTGCCCAGCTCTCACGAAAATAGTCGTCTTTGGTTGCCTTAAGATTCGAGACGTACGGGTGCCCAAGGGCGTGGCTGTTATCGGCACGTTAGGTGCAAAGCTGACTGTCGATGGAATTGCCCAGAAAGAGATTGTCTAATTTTTCGAGAAGTTATTTTGTCCCAGGATATCACTCAGTCTGTTATCTCATCAGGGGCCTTGGAATAAACTGTGGCAAATTAACCTAAGATGGAAAGTACCGCACGAAGATGGATTACTAAAGGATCAAAAAATAATGCCTTAACATTACTTTTCTTACAGTATTTTATAGTAGTTTCAACTTAATTGAATCATCAATCGTGGAAGCCCACATAATCACACCCTATATAAAACGCCAAAGTCTCATGATACATTATATAACGGTCAACAACCCTACTTCCACGTTTTAATAGGCCATCCGCTTGCCGATCTCACTCTCCCAGCCACGTGACTTCTCAAACCCATTGGACGCAGTTTGGTAATCAATCATAGCCTGGCGAACGTCTTCTTGGGTGTTGAGCACGAACGGACCATACTGAACCACCTTCTGATCCAATGGCTGACCGGAGACAATCATGAAGCGAGCTTCCCCGTCAGCATTGTCAGGGACTGAAGCTTCAATGAAGTCGCCAGCCTGCTCAAATACCACATTGTGGAACTCCTTCACCATCTGGGTAGAATCATTGGAGCCAAAGTTGGTATTGCCAGACAGCGTGTAAACAAAGGTGTTCCAGCCCTGAGGTAGGGTCTGAGAGACACGGCCACCAGGACGGATAGTAACATCCAAGATCCAGACCGGGGTGTAGGCCAGATCACGGACAGAATCAACACCATGAGATTGGCCCGAGATGACCTTGATCGTAACGCGGCCGTCATCGGCGCTGGCGATGGGGATCTCGGTGGAACGCAGGTCGCGGTAGCGAGGCTCACACATCTTCAATTTCTGGGGCAAGTCGACCCATAGTTGCATGCCTACGTTGGGGCTTCCGTCAGGGTTCTCGTGAGGCATTTCGGCGTGCATGATGCCCCGGCCGGCGGTCATGAACTGCAGATCGCCGGGACCGATGGTGCCCTTATTTCCGGCAAAGTCTTCGTGGTCAACACCGCCAGAGAGCAGATAGGTGATAGTTTCTTGGCCGCGGTGGGGGTGGTCTGGGAAGCCGGCGCCCTTGCCAATGGTGAAATGGTCGAGCATGAGGAAAGGGCTGAAGTTTCGCAGTTTGGGGGTGCCGATTGAGCGGCGGACGCGCGCACCTGCGCCCTCTGCTTGCTCAATGGCAAGAAAAACTTGACGGATTGCACGAGCAGTAGACATGTCGGTAACTGGCAGAACGATGGGAGTGGAGGATTCTAGATTAAATGGGGATTTGGTGCTGCTAGTTTTCGCAAAGAAGTGGGACAATTTTGCTGGTGCCTTTTGATTCAGGTATGCGAGAACAGAGTCCTGAATTGAGGGACGGTATGCAAAGAAAGCTGCTGTGATGCAAATTAGAAGAGAAAGAATTACTCTCATGGGTATGATGGATGCTTTTAATATGTGTGGTAATCGAAGTTTCGAGCAGAGGGCAGGGCAGAACTATAAATGTTAGGGTCAGCGTTAGTCAATGGTTCATAAATGCTTATAGTTAACCAACGGATGCTTTGCAAGACATCAGTCAGCGATTTGACAGCCCACGGATCCTGTCCCGCGATGCCCATTACTAAGACACCCGTCAGCATGCGCTAGCCATTTTGAGTTAGATAGCCAGCCTGATCAGGAATAGTATCGACACCAAAGCTATAAGGCATGAAATCGCGTCAGCTCACGTGGTTAAGTCAACTCCAGCTATTGATCTGGGGTTCAGGTTCAACCTGCACTGTATCCAGTTCATCACTATGGACATATTCACATGTAGACCGGCATTTGATTCAAGGGGCTTGAAAGTCCCCAATTCAATGACCAATATCAAATAGAAGTGTTGGTAACGCATTGGAATATTATTCGGGGGAATGGTGAAAAAAACCATGGAGTCACTTTTATTATCATAACTATCATGACGCCCATACGATTTGACAGGATGGTAAAATATGTATACCTCAGGTGTACGGAGTATTGCAGCTATTAGTGTTGCATATCAAAGTGGGAACCCGGGCCGTCTCTATCAGATAAGGCCACGGAGCAGCTCCCGCCCTCCGCTACTCTCCCAACGCGCCTGCATGCACATCCCTCTTTGAGTACCAGCGATCTTGACATCCCCTCTCAATTTCGCATGGCTTAAATCTCTTGAATATACTGACGGAAAAGCCCGATCTATCCTAGCAGGGGCGAACGCAGCCGACTTGCTCTTTTCCACCACCACCCCAGATTCATAGAAACATGCGACATTCAAGTTTGAGCTTGGCCCCATGCCTTGTGTTGGCCTGTGCTGCATCAACCGCATGGGCGCGCAAGCGGGCATTCAACATATATGATGATATCTTGGCCTATCCACAGGTGCGCCGAGGCTAAATATATCGCTACCCATTCCTTGAAGCTAACCTGATGCTTCCCCATAGTTCCAAGTGCAATACCCCGAAGAATACATCCTCCACTCCCAAGCCGAAGAGCTACTTCGGATACAACTCGAATCAGGAGATGATGAATCACATCATGTCCAGAAAGATCCTCAAATCTACACAGGCAAGGATCATGTGGGCCATGACGCCACCCGAGACGACGAGAAGCCGAAAGCACCAACTTTTACCTACGAAGAAATGGTTATGGATGACCGACGACTACTCTGCCAAATTCCACAAGTGGAGAAAGATCAGGTGAATTCTACGGCCGGTCACAAACCAAGTGAGGCAGACGAGCAAAAGGAGCTGGCACGCGCAACAGACCGGGGCCTTGAGCTTTTACGGGAGATGGAAGGCAAATGCATGTATTATTTCTCTGGCTGGTGGTCATACTCTTTTTGTTATCAACAGCAGATCAAGCAATTCCATGCACTGCCTGCCAGTCGGGGGGCTCCTTCGTACCCACCAGCGGAGGACCCTCATTCGCTTTCCTTTATTTTGGGGCAATTCCCTGCCGACAAGAGAGACAAAGAACAAGAAACATCAGAGCAACAACCGGCGCCCAAAACTGATATCGCAGAGCTACATACTAAGGGTGGTTCTCGATACCTCGTGCAACACCTTCAGGGTGGCACCAAGTGCGACCTTACGGGCCGTGAGCGCCGAGTGGAGGTGCAATTTCACTGCCATCCGCAGTCAACAGACCAAATTGGCTGGATCAAGGAGCTCACTACCTGCTCATATCTAATGGTTATCTACACTCCTCGTCTTTGCGACGACGTTGCCTTCATGTCCCCACAACAGGACGAAGTCCACAACATTGAATGTCGTGAGATCCTCATGCCCGAGGATGTTCCTGAGTGGGAAGATGCGAAAAAATGGTATCTGGCCCAAAGATTGGTCGAAGAAGCCACGGCTCAGCCAGAAGTCCAGATTGTGGGTGGGATAGTAGTTGGTGGTCGTCAGCTTGTTGGCATGGACGGAAAGCAGCTTGAAAAGGGTCGCGTGGCTTCGGCTGGTGAGGAGCACGTCGAGGTGGTAGCAAAGCGAGAGAACGGCGAGGTGAAGCAAATTTCTAAGCAAGCGTTGAAGAAATACGACCTCGACCTGGAGAAACTCGATGACATCAAACAACAGCTTGAGGAGCTCTCCGAAGGCAATGATTGGATTCTCGAGGCCGTGGAGGTCAATGGTGCTATCACTTTTAAGGGTCGACTGGAAGGAAAAGACGAAGAGGCCGAGTCAGACTCGGTGCCTGAACAGCAGCAGAGCAGAAAGGCCAAAGATAAATCCCCGCCGCCCAAGGATGCCACTTCCAATAAGCCCACGCAGGATTTGACATCTGAGGATGAAACTGAACATGACCATCCGAACAAACCGGATTCGGACGAGAATTCAGAAGGCAGCGAGGAAACATTCAAAGATGAACTATGAGTAGTTTGTGTCGTTGGATTTATCTCGGCGTTTTAACATTGCAATATCATTAGCGGTCGATAACCGATTTCTACAAAATGCACCATCAGCATCACCTTCAGTGGTGTCATCGACTGATTTAGTCAAAGAAAAAAAAAAACATTGCATCAGGAACAGCCGGTTAGTTTCATGCCCAAAGACGTCAGACGCCCCATATGCCGGGTCCCGAGTGGGGGTCTTCATTAAGGAGGCCTCGGGCTAGAGAGCCTGGGTGAAGGGATTGTAGATACAAAGCAATTGAAATAGACAACCAAGATATTCATGGGTAGGACCATTCAATAAAGTAAGTTTCGCACTGAATGTATAAATAGAGAGGGGCAAGTGGTTGGACGTTGACCTACGTAAGGAACGTGACTGTGAACTCCTAGCGATCGTCTAGGCCCACCTTTCCCTCCCTCCCTGATCCAACCTCTCAACCCTCCTCACGCTTCCCCGTGACCCCATTATTTTACCGCGTGGCTTTGTCGGATATCTACATCTGGCCGAATTGACCTCCTTGCCCGCGCGCACTGGGACTCCTGCCAAGGCTGACCTAGAAACGGCCAGCGTCATCGCCCGACCTCCCCGAATCCACCGACAACACCACACCACCCGAAGCCACAATTCAAGCCGGTACTGCTCTCTACATACTGCCGCCTGTGGCACCTGGACGTCCCGTCACTATTGAATCCTGTCTGGCCGAGTTGCAAACCTCTCGCCAACATGGGTTTCCTCGGCGTCTACACGGCTGTGTATGATTACCATCCCCAAGGAGAGGGCGAACTCCAGATTCAAGAGGGCGACCTGCTCTACCTTCTGGACAAGAACTCAGATGACGGCTGGTGGAAGGCAAAGAAGAAAGCTGAGCAAGAGGACGAGGATGAGCCGGAGGGTCTAGTCCCAAACAACTATGTGGAAGAGGTAAGTACCCGTGTCAATCGCAAGTTACGGCGAACCTGTTCGTGGGGTGTGGCTAGCGCGATTGAGGGCGCTCCACCTCTAGCGGAGGAAACATTAGTTGATGATGCTTACATCTGTGCAATGAATAGGCGCAACCAGTACACCACGCCAAGGGCCTCTTTGACTACACCCGGCAAACGGACGAAGAGGTATCTTTCTCGGAGGATGCAGAACTAGTGGTGTATGACATCTCAGATCCGGATTGGACATTGGTAGGAGTCAACGGAGATTTTGGATTCGCGCCAGCAAACTACATTGAAATTGTCGAAGATATCGGTGCGACCACTGCTGCTGTTCCACCTCCGCCTCCGCCTGAAGCCGAGCCTGAAGCGCCGTCCCTTCCCCGAAGGCCGACACAGCCTGCGCAAGAAGATTATGAAGAAGCGTCGCCTTCTCCTTCTCCTATCGACACAGTACAAAACCCGGCTGCGGCGGCAATTGCGGACATTATACATAAACAACATGCCCCTGTCAGCGCACACTCAGAGCCTTCACGAGAGGTGTCGCCCCCGCCACCCCAGCTACCATCTCGGCCTACACACGATCAGGATGTAGACGAAGATGAATCACCGCCACCTACTTTGCCCCGGCGACCTCCATCAGAACAGATTACCCCACCAATGAACTCGTATTCACCCGAACCGTCTCCAGCGTCTCCAGCTCCTCCACGCCCCAAGGCCACAGCTCCCCCAATGGGTAAAACTCACATTAAAGAGTCGCCTCCTTACAACCGGGCTGGTGAGTTGACGCCGAGATCGCCTTCCGGCTACCACATCTACAACATCAACGAGATGGTGGAGGTCCTGGGCAAGCGGAAGAAGATGCCCACGACGTTAGGTATCAATATGGTTACAGGAATTATCTTTATTTCTCCCGAGGGGGATGACCGCCAGCAGGAGTGGACTGCTGAAAAGCTCACACACTATTCAATTGAAGGCAAGCATGTATTCGTTGATCTTGTGCGGCCCAGCAAGAGCGTCGACTTCCATGCCGGGGCCAAGGATACTGCCCAGGAGATTGTTGCTGCACTTGGTGAGATTGCGGGAGCTTATCGCGCCGAAGGGTTACGAGAGGTGCTCGCTGCTGGAAAGGGCGGCGGTGGTCAGAAGACGGGTCACATCCTGTATGATTTCAAGGCGCAAGGCTCTGACGAAGTGACGGTAGAAGTGGATGATGAAGTCATCGTCCTCGATGATACCAAGTCCGAGGAGTGGTGGATGGTAAGGCGGCTCGCTAATGGTAAGGAGGGGGTGGTTCCCAGCAGCTATGTTGAAATTACTGGCTTCATGCCGATCATTCCAGGCGGAGCCGAGCCAGGCTTGTCAACGGTGGAAAAGAATCGATTGGAGGAGTCTCGGTTGGCCAAAGCCTCTGTTGGGAAGTCCAGGAAAGATTCAATGGATTCCTCCAAGCGTGACAGCAAATCCAAATCCAAACCCGATCCTAGCAAGGTGAGAAGGTGGACGGATCGCACAAAGGCCTTCACGGTTGACGCGCAATTCATCGGGCTACAGGATGGCAAGATCCATCTTCACAAGGTCAACGGCATTAAGATAGCGGTGCCCGTTGCGAAAATGTCCGTAGAGGATTTAGAGTACGTGGAAGCAGCAGCCAATGTCTCTCTGGATGAAGACAAGCCACTTTCCAGTATTCGAAATCGTGCTTCTTCCGACGCCAAGAAGGCCGGCAATGCGGGTGCTTCTGTGCAGCGTCCTGAGTACGATTGGTTCGACTTTTTCCTGAAGTCTGGCGTTGGACCTCACCAATGTGAACGATATGCGCAGAACTTCATCAAAGACTCGATGGATGAATCTATCCTCCCCGACATTTCACCCGAGACTCTCCGCTCTTTGGGGCTGAAAGAAGGTGATATCCTGCGAGTCATGCGTCATCTAGACACCACACTCGGTCGCACCGGTAGCAAATCCAAGGCTCGGAATGTGAGCTTCGGAGGTGAGGAAGTTATCGGCAACGGCGAAGACGGCCAAGGTGGGCTCTTTGCTGGGCCAGGTGGTACATTGCGCAACAACACCCGTAAGGGAAGACCGACGCCATCAGTTCAGGCTGGAGATGTTGTAGATCCCAAAGCATTCGAGCAAGCGGATGGTTCAAAGCCGAAGGAAGAGCGAACTGCGACTCCCCCGGCGCCTGAAGAAGAGAAGTCTGCTGCACGTGGATTTGACGATGATGCCTGGGAGGTCAAGCAGCCGAAACAGCGTACTGGCTCCGCCGCTACGTCAAGCCCACCTCCTAGCACATCACCTGTAGCTCCTCAGCCTCCTGTTCAGAAGCAGGTCACAGGAGCTATGGCGGACTTGACCCTGCTCCAGACTCCTCTACAACCTACTCCAGCGCAGCCCGCACCTGCGCCAGTATCAAGCATTCCTGCTTTGCAGCCACAGCAAACAGCTGTGCAGTCAGCTCCTGTGCAGCAACCCCAGCATACAGGTGCCACACCTGGATTTTTCAACCAAATAGCACAAATGGGACAGCAGGCCAGGCAGCGCCCCCAGCCTCCTCAGAACTTGAACCAAAATTCACTTCTTCCCCCTCCTCCGCAGCGCCCGCTCTCCGCGCCGCAGAACTTCTCGCAGCAGCAAGGCTCTTTTGGACCTCCTCCGCTGCAGCCACAATTGACCGGAGTTCCTTTGGCTGGTCCTCCAGTTGCACCTCCTGGTCAGAGCCTGGCAGAATTGAACCAACAGCGCTTCCAGCCTCAGATGCAGCCGCAAGCTACAGGGTTCATGGGAGAGAACCAGTACCAAAATGGTATTATGATGCCCCAACCGACCGGCTTCACTCCCCAGTCGCAATTTGGTATCCAGCAACAGCAACAGATGAATGGCCAGCCAGTACCAAACCAGCCAGGATTCCAGGGAATGGTTCCCCAGGCTACTGGCTTTGGTGGATATGCACAGCCCCAGCAGCCGATGCAAACTGGCGTCAATTCTATGCTTCCTCCGGCATTGCAGCCTCAGCAAACCGGTATGAACGGTTACGGCAATGCCTCTTACAACCAGCCTCCTCCTCCCGTTCCGCCAATCCCTCAGCAACCTACTGCCACTCCACTGTCCCCTCAAAAGACTGGACCTCCGCCTTCTGTCAGGTTCGGCGTCAAACCGGATGCCCCTAAGAAACTTACGCCTCAGCCAACGGGGCTCCGGGCGAACCTTTCCCAAGCTAGTAAGTGTATTTAGTATTTCTGGTGGCTTGTTCGAAATACTAACCTGCATAACCACATCAGCGCCCCACAACCCCTTCGGTTTTTAATTTTTGTCCAAAAGTCCGGGCACTCTTGGCTGGCATATATAACATCGTCTATTGTGGCAATTGGCACCCCTTCTATGGTCTGTTGCAGAAGTCTTCATGTCTGCTAGATTTGCTGGAGCCGGAGCTTTACATACCTCAGCTTTTCAATCTCGAAAGTGTATTTTTGACATTGATTAAGCGTACATATCATGGCTTTCCCGTCCGGTCTAATGTTGTGTGTATCGAGATGCCGTGAAGCTTGGTTCTATCGCAAACTCACGCGCTTAGCGAGCTATTGTTGATTCTCATGTTCCCCTTTCTCAAGCACTTTGGCATTGTCATATCTCATGCTTCCCTCTTTCCTCTCTTCATATAATTTCGCCGATTGATGGTAATGCGTATTGTCTTTTAACGTCTCCATTCCCTTTTCATTTCCTTTTGTTGCTCCGGCCTTTGCGGTGTTCCTTTCTCTCTGACCTGCTGTCTTACGCAAAGAATCAATGTGTTTAGCAGCATCTTTAACGGTTTCCCTTTCTTAGCTTCGATAACGATGGATCATGAATGGTACATAGGATGCTATGCCAAATATCGTATGGATATAAGCAACTCATGGATTTCTTCAAGTCCAAATGAGCAAAGAACAATGACCGTTAGCATGGTATTGAGTCAAGCATTAAAATAACCCGTAGAGATAGAAGTCTTGGAATGTAGTTGAATTTGGGTATATGATACTAGACAGATCAACCGAGTCTGGTAGACGGATATAATTACTTGTCCTGAAATGTCCTGAAAGAAAGTAAGAGAGTCATGGGGATCATGTGTCATCGCTGCAAAACACAGCCTAGGCGCCAATAGACCTGTTGCTAATCACAAGGTCGACAGAAGAAAGTAAAAAGGGAAAAAAGAAATCAAGACTCCTCCCAGAGCCCAAACACGGGAAGGTCTTCGGCCATATACAACAGACCATTCTCAGGAAAGATAACGTCAGATAGTGGTGATGGGCCACCAGATGCTGGTGGTTGTGCGGTTGGAATGGTGCCACCCGGAGAGCAACCGACGGGAATGCCCGAGGTGGTCAGAGCAGATATAGCAGCGTCGTATGAGAGAGCGGCTGCTCCATCTGGGCCGTTGTAAAGGGAATCCCAAACGTCGCCACCAAGCTGTTGGGAAGTGGGCCCAGATGGTGGCTGTGAGGTGAGGAAAGATGATGGTGTTCTACCAGCGAGTTTGCTAGGTGAGATTGGAGAAGGCACAACCGGAGATTGCTGGCTCTCAGGGTGATTCAGTGGAACATCGTGAGCGGACCCGGATGTGAGAGATGGGGAATTGGCACCGCCAACCTGACCGAATAGTTGATCGACTTGCCTGCTTCTGTGGTCCATCCATTGCCGGTTACGTCGCTGGATATACTCACCCACAGCAGCGCGAAGGTACTTTATAATGTGGCTAAAGCGGCACGCATGGGGGTCATGCGGAACAAAGAGTCCAAGGAAACGTTCTGCTTTGATCATCCCCTCTTCAAGGGGCAATAGATTGTCGTAGTCAGCAAAGAATGCGGCGCCGAGAACAACGGCTGAATTGAAGACAGAATTGATTAAGAATGGGAGGCGGCGTGGCAGCGATGTAAATCGGCCCAAGTCATCGACCACATCTAAGCCTCGAAGCGCAGAGTAGACGCATGCATCCGCAAATAAGGCAATGCGAGAGCTACCAGTTCTTCCATCCGATGCAGACGGATCGGCTTTGTTCTTAACATACTGGGCCACGCGGTAGACGAGGAATGGTCGTGTGAGGAGGATGATGGACCAATAATATGACCCAAATACGTGGGCCGCTGCCAAACTGTCCTGCATGGTTTTATTATCGAGCCGTTCTGTCTGATCTTTCAAAAACTTTGGCAGTGTTCGGACCCAAGCACGGTGTTGATTCGAGATAGATTCCGCAACGTTGATCGAGATGACTTGTTTCATATAGACGTCCGTGAGAATTCGTTCGAAAATGCGACATAGCGAGGTCACCGCAAGTGAAAGCTGCTTATCCGGAGTCAGATTGCCTTGTTGCTCTCCGGATGCAAGAGCGTCTTCTCGGATATCGTAATCATAATCCGACGTTGCAGGGGGGCGCCCTAACGAGGCACTGAGGAACAAATCCATCATACGGAGACTTTTCCACACCCGCTCTCTCGCTCGTCGCTCGCGCCCACAAAAGAGCGCATTGGCATCCCTTCGATGAATTCCAACCGCATAAGCGGCTCGTAAAGCGATTCCCAGGTTCATGAAGGCACCATTTCGCCTGCATGCGCCCAGCATGTACATCGACACCAGGATATAGGACTGAATGGTATGAATACTAGGCGTCTCTTGGAACGCCGAAAACGCCAATTGACGGCCACTGCTAAAGTACTGCTCTGCCAGGGTCTGGTTGGTATCTGAAACCTGAGCTCCAATAGCAAGCACGAGGTAGAAGATGGAGCTGACGGTGTCTTCGTCGCCCGAGGGATTCTCTACCCAACTGGCCAGTCGGGGGTGGAACTCTTCGAGATCAACCAAATCCAATAATGGACTTGTCGCAAGAACGTATTGGCGGGCAAGTCTGTGAGCTTCCTCATTGCTGGGTGGGGGGACGAGCGGGCCCGGATGGGCACTTGGGTTGTTCTGAAAGGCTTCCAGCATCGAGTGTCGCGAATTGTCCTCGGTAAATTCGCATCGGCCAATGGACGAGGATACCACTCGGCGAACACTTTGTAAGAATGACAGACTTGCCGAGTCTCCAATATACATGAACTTTCCCTGCCCATCGCGAAGCAGACGCGCCACCTTGGGAACGGGCGCCGTCCCCTCTTTTTCGTCTCGGACCTGTTGCTCCAAACTCATGCCTCTGTCCTCTAAGGAATTCAAGAGGCGATCCATCGCGGTTTCCCGCTGTGGCGATGGGATTATTCGTTCGCTGAGTAGCATGGTCGAATCTTTGGGGTCGGGCTTGAGGAGACGCGCGGGGCGATCCGAAAAGTGGCATTCGGACTGCTTGTGCCGTTGCACACAGATTGTGCAGGGTTGCTCGCCGTTGCATTTCTGCTTTCGCCGCTTACAGCTGTCGCATGCTCGGCGACACCGTAGCCGGGCCCCAGGCGTTGTGCTTGCGCGAGGCATCCCGGTCACACCTTCGCGGCTTGTCCGGCTAGTGCGTTGTTTGACAGTGGTCGGTGGTCGTGGTCATTGAAGCGCAGTCGTTATGGAGATCTGAGTTCGCCGTTTCTTAGATAAAAGGTCGTATGTTCATCGCATGGTGGACGATCTCTCGAGGCACAGTCCGTCGAAGTTGCGGTTGATTCACTTTCCCCGGACTCTGATGGCATTACTAAGCCGCTAAGCTTGAAAGCTTGGAATTATATACACACCGTGATATCTGGAACATCGGATCAACGGACTAGAAAGGCCATATTACGGGAAACTGACACGGTTTATGAGGTAGTTGGCTCAGAATTGATACTTGTGACAGTGATTATCGCAGAATATGTGTGGGAAGTGGGAGAGCTCTTTACACTGAACTACGGTCCTTGCAACGGATCAGTAACTCGGCCAGAAAGAGCTTTCGCTCCTATGAGATATGGAGGTAGTCAAGACAGATTTTACCACTATTTTATCACTCTGGACGGAAAGATACCACCTTGCCCCAAGTGTCCGCAGTTCCCCAAATACCAGCCCGCAGACATTCTAGCTGCACAATTTGACTGTGATCGACAAAGAGGTTAACATCAATGCCAAACTCTCGAATATACCAATTGAACACTTTCGGGTCAGCAGCTTCAAACATCACCCGCTCGGGCGGTAAGGACTTCATGATCTGTGAGACTACATCAGTCCGCCATGTCTCCACATTCTCCGTGATACCTTCTGATTCAATCATCAACCGCTCCACTCCAGCCTGGAGAAACCTGTGGCCCATGTCCACAAGCTTACCGGGATCAGAGGTTGCCACGTTAAATCCGGCAGTATCACCTCCAGCTCCAAACTGGATGCCGAGCTCGGGTTTGGGTTTCAGTTTGTATGAGTGGACTTTATCGACGAGACGAAGCCAGTCATCTCCTGGGATGGATAGGAAGCCAGCAGACAGCTCGACGACATCGAAACTATGTGCCTATCAGTTCGATGGTCATCTACTTGATTCTCCGACACGTACCCAACGTCCTTGCATTTCTTGAGATATCGATCGAATACCGTGTTCGCATCGGGGTGCGTGAGGAGGTGTTCAGCCCAGCCGCCCTGTTTGGATATCGATCCATGTCAGATCCATTGGTGTGTCATGTTCTGAAACATACCGTTGAGACATAGACACCATGATCATGGGCCATGTCAATCAATTCGCGTAAATGCTTCTCCTCGAATAGCGAAAAAGATCCTGAGACGACCTTAGCATCTCCCGTGAATGATATATTCAAGGAAACCAGGGGGCTGACCTCCAGCAAACTTCAATCCATCAACGTGATTGCCCATGCTATTGCTTAATTAGCATGACAGAGCAATGGGGATCGGTGGAAAAAGATGAAATTTACGTTTCCAAGACGTCCGCCAAGTAGCGCTTCCCCATAGCCTATACCCAAAGTCAGCACCGTACAAAAAGCAGCCGATGAATTTTTTCTACCGAGTAGTATGGGCCACGAATCTCCGTTACTCCTTTTGATCTAGGCTTAGCAGGTCTGGGATTGGATCTTGCGAAGCCAAACCCATTTTGCTTATCCTGTAAAAGAGTCGCCCCATATACCGATGGCGTGGTCGATAGGCATTTGGACGGAGTAGTGGTCCATTTTGCGATCTGATGTGGATAACCCAGCAGCTTTCTGGAAGTAGCCTTGGTGGTTCCTAGCATACTTGTCATTACAGGGTAAATTTAAGATCAGAATCTAAAAGTTTTCAATATGAAGCCTTAGTGGTAAATGTATTAGGAGCATAAGAATGTTGTAGCTTGGAGGAAAGAGCTTATGATACACAGGGCTGACAAGCTATTGCAATGGGTGAGGGTTGACGTCAAATGTACTTCACTTTGCAGGACATTCCAAGGTTGCAGCCGGCTGGATCAGAATGACATCAAATTGATCGATATAACGTTATCATCTGATATGATTTTGAAATCCTGGAAGCCCTAAGTTGTTTCTCGTCCCCATGCCTCGGTCAAAAAGAAGGGTTTGTCTGGGCCGCCCGTCGGCTTTTGACCGATTGATTGCCTTGTAGATTGGATCCACCTATGACTAACTCCAATTCAGGGATTTACCTCGGCGTAATTGCACATCGTGCGATTTCAAGCTGACGTAGGTGGCCCGTTCCGGCGAGAAGGTCCCCCTATCGTATGCAGACGAGTCAAATGAGAATCAACACCTTCAATATAAAATCCATGATTCACCCCGGATCGGCCTTGTCGATCCTTCCGCTGAATAACGAAGATCAAGAGTGCGAACCCACTATGGACCCAAGTACAAATCAAATTTACAAGAAAAAAGAAAAAAAAAAACACGAGCGGATTTCGGATGCGTCGGAGGGGGGAAGCTTGGCACCAACCCCACTAAGTTCACCGCTAGCTCGCACTAGGGCTAAATCGGCGGGATTGGGCACAGGGCTGAGGGTGTTCCTATGTTTGGACCACGGGAGCTTCTAGTGATGGCTTGGCCAACGCTATTTGGGATGGATCTTCTTTGGACTCTGATCTTTCAATCATTTTCTTCAGCGCGAACTCCGAGAGTCAAAGCTGAGTACATGGAAGGACTGAAGGGCTGCAGTACTTCCGCTGCATACGACCAATACGAAAACGAGGCACGCGACACTTGACCCAGATGGTGATCAGGGTTTCAATCCTGTCGACGGAAACTTGGTTGGCTCGGCATCCGACAACTCCGAGGATCCGTTCCTGCTTTTTTTTATACTGTTTTAGATTATGCACATTCGATAGGTAAACATCGGCGAAATCCACGTCGATTCGGCCCAAATGCATTCCGTCCTCAAGTCTTTCATTCTTAAGGTTTCTTATATTCCCTGAACACTGCCCCCTTTCCGTCATTCGCTTTATATACTTCTATACGATACCCCCCTCTCTGTTTTCCAACTTACACTATGGGCGCCAGCGCTGTCTTAGAACCGCTGGTGGTCATCGTCTTACTCTTTGGAGGCACCTGGATCAATCGACGGACAAATCTCGCCATCTCTGGCCGTCACACCCGCCGCAGATCATCCGACTATGTACGACCCGACTCCCCCGATTCCCTTGAGGCCGGATATGTCAGCCCAACGCCCAAGGATGGGCTCTTGAGCCCGCGCTCGGATTCCCCATCCCTGCAACTATCCGACAGCCGATGGCGGACACGACAGATCGGCATCTTTCGTTTCTCATGTCGTGTGACATCCCCAAACACTGCTGTCTTCCATGATCGACTACTCAGTCGATTACTTCAAAAACTACCATTCCTGGCGGAGTGTTGGTATTGGGCGCTGGTATACTGGGTGAGTGGAGCTGATCATCCGAACCCTATCATACATACGATCGTGGTGGGGAAACCAAATGATTCCACTAACACCAAAGACTAGACATACCAACTCGGGCGAGCCTTCACCGCCGTCACTCTTCAAGAAGGCACCGTCGATGTTGCCCGCCATCATGCCTTGCAGCTGGTGCGGTTAGAGAAGAAACTAGGCATCTTCTGGGAACTTGGAATCCAGCAATACTTCCTCCGTCACCCTTTGGCCATGACGTATATCAACTGGATATATTCGTTCATTCATATTCCTGGTACCATTGCCTTCCTGGTAGTGCTCTACTACTACACCATCACTCGGAACCGCGTCGATGAGTCCCAACCAGGCAAGCCTCGGGGCACAGTGAGTGGATCACCAGCGGGTCCCCTTCTTTACCAGGCCCGACGACGGACAATGGCAGTATGCAATTTGTTGGCCTTTGTCATTTTTACCCTGTGGCCATGTATGCCGCCGCGGTTGCTCAGTGACCCGACTGCGGAGGGCAAGGATGCAGACCTGGGCCGTACCTATGGTTTTGTGGATACTGTTCATGGTGCCGAAGGGGCGGGAAGTGTATGGACCGAGAACCGCTTTTGCAATCAATATGGTGAGTTCGGCCTCTGGACCCTGAGGATGAGCGTCATTTTCTAACTTCGAAGTAGCGGCCATGCCATCTTTGCATTTTGGATATTCCCTTATGATTGGACTCACCATTATGACCATCCCCCTTCCCTCGCATTATCAACGGACCCTTCCTCTTCGTTTCACCCGGGGCATTGGACTACAGTTCCCTTCCTGGCAACGTATTGTCTGCCTAGTGCTTGGCTTCTTGTACCCTTTTACCATTCTTGTGGCTATCATAGCCACTGCCAATCATTTCATTCTGGATGCCGTTGCCGGTGCTCTGGTCTGCGGTCTGGGATGGCGGTTCAACGGCGGGTTGTTGAATCTGCTGCCCTTGGAAGACTACTTCCTCTGGCTTGTACGGATTGATAAGCCCGAGCCCTCGGAGATGAAGGCGATTGATAGCTTGAATGATTGGTCCAGCGATGAGGGTGAATCGAGACATGCAGTGTCCTCTTCATGAACAGCGCAGTTTGAGCCTGACTAGATTGGGCAATGATACCCCCCTTACCCTAAATTGTCTAATAGCCCTGAGCCCCTTAGGTTCTCAGTACTTGTGATTTTGGATTTTTTATGTATATGGCATGGGCACTATTCTCTATTATTTTCCTAATTATCACCAAGTGACTTTGCTTTTTCAACCCAGAATGTCCTGTGAATGGTTTGGTTTAGTATGACTTCGGTGAATATAATGACTCATGACCCAGCAAGAATCGTTTCTTTGATCCTTGAATGTATTTGTTCCATCATTGTGGCGAACTCTATTTCAGCCCGAAGCTTAACCATACCTCATTGTCGAATATCCAGTACATTAGTTTGATATGAAGTCTCGGTAAGAGTTAATGGGTAAACCGGACATACCATCGTCTTTAATACTAAGAGAGGGTGCACATCTCTCATTCAACGGGAACTGACTCGGTGCATTGAGACCAGAGTTCTTCTCCCAAGCCAATCGAACTTTGCAAAGGTGCCTCAGCATCAATGAAACCAACTATTCTTTCCTTTGGCGACGTCTCTACAGTTAATTTCCCAGGCAAAAGGACCTCACACGACTCCGGTGATCGACCCACTCACTCAGGCTTTATATTATATATCGTTCAGAAATGACGTGACAGTGGTATAATAACTGATGTTAAGGTCTAATATATATAATCTATATAGCTAACAATTTGTCTAGGGATATGGTGGGCAAGTTGCGAGGTCCAGACTATATCTATGCAAGCAGAAGCAATCGACGCCCTTGCGTGCCGATGTTCAGCATTGGATTTATTATTACACCTCCTTATTGAAGACTTATCATCGAAAAGTATCACGCGACCACGCTCACAAATAGATGTCAAATGGAGGTTGTGATTTCCCTGAGTGCAAGGGCTCTCGTTGCACAGTCGACGTGAACTTCTGGACCACATAAAACCAACTTAGTTATGCCTGAAATCCATCAACAACTTTCATAACCACCCTGATCATCCCACAGACCTGGGTCGATTCGGTGTGTTGTGGTGAAGCTGGGAGTTGTGGCGTCATTGGCGGATTTCTCCCGTTCGACCCCAACGCGTCTCTCTTCCCGCGCTCCCTGCGCGATTGTTCCTTCTCCACATCTCCCACCTCCTCTCTTCGAGCCATTCCCTCCCCACCCCATCATCTCTAACCCTTGGATTCTTGATCAGCCACTTGCTTCCTGCGATTATGGACGAAGAGAATCCCGTTACTCAGCCCGAAGCTGAGCAGCCTGAGCGCTCTCCCGCCGACAAGCCCACCGACAAGGAGTCGGAGAATGCCACTACCTCGGATCCCAAGCCCACTGGTAAGTTTGAATCGCGCTCCTGTGCTCCAATTATCTACAGAGCTCCTGCGAGGAACTGTTGCTGGTCGGAGTGATTTGGGGGGTTTCTGTGTTTGTGCGACCAAGGTCCGCTGATCCGTTCTTATCCCTCAGAGAATGCGAATGCCTCCGACGAGAAGGCGCCTGAAGGCCAAACCGACAAGGCCGATACCTCTGACGATGCGCCCAAGCCCCAGGAGGAGGCCGAGGCAGCGGCCGATGCGGAGTCTGCTCCAAAGACCAACGGAACTCCCGCGTCTACCAAGAAATCTTCCACGGACCGGCGCCGCTCCAGCGGTGTTGGCGAGAAGAAGCTGAACCGCAAGAAGTCCCAGAGCCGTATCACTCACCTCGATGCGAAGCCCGGCGACTACTACCTGGCGCGCCTTCGCAGCTATGCGCCATGGCCCGCCATTGTTTGTGACGAGGAGATGCTCCCCCAATCTCTCCTGGACAGCCGCCCCATCACTGCTAAGCAGGCAGATGGAACCTACCGCGCCGACTATGCTGATGGTGGCCGACGTGCCCATGAGCGCTCTTTCCCCGTCATGTTCTTCGAGACCAATGAATTGTAAGCTATCGCGTCGGGCCTACCGGGCTCACTCTTCTACGCTGCAAGAATGATTGCTGACTACGATTGATAGTGCCTGGATTCCAAACACTAACTTGAAGCCCCTCGACCCGGCCGAATGCAAAGAAATCTCTGAGAAGAACAAGGCTAAGACGTTGATTGGCGCCTACAAGGTTGCTGCGGAGGGCCACGACCTGAAGCACTTCAAGGACCTCCTCTCGGATCACCAGGCTGCCGTGCAGCAGGAAATCGAGGAGGAGGAGCGCGAGGAGGAAGAGAAAGCCAAGGCCAAGGCTGAGAAGGCCGCTAAGAAGAACAAGCGCAAGAGCAAGGGCGCTGAAACTGATGTGGAGATGGAAGACGCAGACGAGGCGAAGCCATCGAAGGCCACCAAGAAGCGCAAGAAGGATGAGGCTGATGCTGAGGAAGACAAGGTGCGTTTCTCCAGGATGCGCTTGCGATGGGTGATATGTGGTTAGCTAATGCCTAAAGTTTACAGCCGGCCAAGACCCCTAAGACTGCAACCAAGCTCAAGTTGAGCACCCCGAAGGCCCCCAAGACTCCCGCTGAGGAGAAGAAGAAGGCCCCCGCTCCCAAAACCAAGAAGGCCGCCCCGAAGAAGGGCAAGGCAGCTGCCAGCGACGAGGAGCCCGCTGAGGCCAAGGAGCCAGAGAAGCAGATTGATCCCGAGGAGCTCAAGAAGAAGAAGGAGAAGGAGGGTATGTCTTGCCCCTTTGCTGATACTCTCAACTGCGTATCACTCCATACTGATTTTACTTTCTAGTCCTGTTCCTGCGCCACAAGCTTCAAAAGGGATTTATTTCTCGCGATAGCCCGCCCCAGGAGAACGAGATGGACGCCATGGCCACTTACTTCGATAAACTGGAGAAGCATGCCGACCTGGAAGTTGCAATCATTCGCTCGACTAAGATCAACAAGGTTCTCAAGATGATTGTCAAGCTCAACACTATTCCCCGCGACGAAGAGTTTAACTTCCGCTCACGTGCCATGAGCCTTCTGTCCAGCTGGAAGAACGTGCTGGATAGTGATCTCCCGGCTTCGACAGACAAAGAGGATAAAGAGGACAAGCCCGCTTCGAATGGCGCCTCCAAAGATGACGAGGCTCTTGAGACCCCCGCCGAAGAGGAGAAGGAAGAGAAAGCCGAAGATACCCCCATGCCAGATGCTGAGTCCGACAAGCCGGAGGCTCAGCCGGAAGCCTCCAAGGAGGAGACCGAGGAGAAATCCGAAGAGAAGCCCGAGGAGAAAACGGAATAAACGTGCTCCCGATCATTGTGTTAATTTCATTATTTTGTCATTTCTCCATGGACAGGTTTGGGTGCTTCTGTTTTTACGGTTTCTTTACTGTGTTTTCCCCTGATAATCCACCCGTTCGCCATGTAGCATTCAGATGTGGGGGTTTATTCTAGGACTGTTTTTCTTTATTTCTTATCAGTCAAGGAACCTAAAATGTGCTTATTTGACTTTATCTTTTCCTACTTTCTTTGTACATGCAGATTCGGTCATACGCATGGGAGTTATAGCTCACTTTGCTTGGGACTTGGGATCTGATCTTTTGATTTGCGTCAAGATTTTTGAGATGTTTTTAGTGGAATGGAAGGTGCTGCTAAGTATTGAGTTGTTTAGTTCTCAAGTAGCCGTTGTTACTGTCAAGCTTAATGTTTCAAAACGCATCAACCTTGTAGTCACAAGTTGATCTGCTCCGGGGCCCAGTGACATAAGCACTAGCACCTGTATCCTAATTAACTAATAAATATAGTACACTACATCCTTTATAACCCAATACACATCACATCTATACTCAAGCATGACATCACAACAACAGCAATCTCAGATGGCGCTACAAGCTCGCCAGCGAAACTTCCAGTTTCTAGCAGCGAGGAGGCAGCAGCAGGCTCAATCCCAAACAACGGGACAGCCAATGGGTCGATCAATGGCCACGGCTTATGACTACCTTCCAATTGTAGAGCCAAGCGATCTGGGCTGGATAGGCGGAAAGCCAGCATACATCATCTCCTTCGAATCCGCCTGTCGCACTGGATCAGTATCTACCATTCAATCCGTCACCACCTCCCAAGAACTCACTCCAATTACGCTCCACAATGGTCTGGTAGCTACTCTGCGCGCCGGCCATGTAGGAGCTACAAGATGTCTCCTCCAACTTGGCACACTGATTACACCTAGAACGGCCGAGAACATTCTCTTCGCCCCAATGGATCGACAAGTTCCCCTCTTCGATCTCCTAGCGCACCATGGCTGGGATCCCAATACGCCAGATCGAAATGGCGCTCCCTTACTCCCTCGAGTAGTGAAAAACATTCACCTGCTTAAATGGTTCCTAGACCACGGAGCAAACCCCAATCTAGGTTCGCAGGAGCATCCCACCTTCTGCAAAGCCGTCGAAGCCGCTGCGGAGACTGGAACCGTGGAAGCAGTGCGAATGTTACTCGATGCCGGTGCCCATATGGACAATGGGGGCCCGTTGTACTATGCAGCGGGTGTGTGTCCACCAGGAGAGAATCCGTACATGGGGACTGTCAGTCCCAGTACTGATTTCGATGAAGATCGGATTGCAGTGATGGAGCTCCTTGTGGAGCGGGGAGCGAATGTAAATCAGAAGCTTGAAACCAGACATATGGTTCCGGGTTATCCTCTTGTGATTGCGGTTATGGCTGGAGCTGTGGGACGGGTAAAATGGCTTTTGGAGCATGGGGCGGATGTGAGACTAAAAGGGGCGTTTGGTAGTGCTGTTGACTATGCGAACGGTATGGGCAGTGATGAGATGAAGAGGGTTATAGGGGATGCAGTAGAAAGGCTAGGATAAAGTTCATGGTTGTCAATTCTATATCCGAGAGCCATTTGCGGGTCAAGTCTAACGATTATAAGTTAAGTTAAAGACCCCAATACCAACAAAGAAGAAGAAGAAAAACAGTATGTACGTAGCACATATAGCCACCTAATATATCAACCCCAAGGCGCCCCGGAATGCAGAAAGATGGAAGTATGTACTGATAAACCGCAGAAGTATTATAACCTATCGTTGAAGCACCCATGAAGGAACAACAGGGAAGATAGGATTTCACGCAGAACCCTTACCGACGATGCTCTCATCAATAGCGATAAGAACAAGGACACAGATATCATCGACCTTGCCGCCACGGTAATAGTCGCCAGGGTAATAGCGTTGAGCCTCCTTGGCGAAAGGACCATCGCGCCGGAAGTCGACGCTGGCAACCTTAGCCTCATTAGCGATGGAGGCTGCCAGAAGTGACTGAAGTGTGAGAGTGGATTCCGGGCGAGGTGACGGTTCCTTCTCCTCCTGAGAGCCATGTTGAGATTTCGACGGTTTTGGAGGACGGAATGCAGAGGCAAGACCACCCGGTACTGTAAGCTCACGAAGATGATCCGAGACCGTGACCCCATAATCCGCCGTGGCCGTCCAAGCCCCCGTCAGAATCATACGGCTCGATACAAGCTTGAGGATATCCTGGTTGTTGAGGTTGTCGAAGACGCCGTCAGTAGCGAGAATCAGCACATCACCATGCTGTACTTGGACATTGGTGACAGAGGCATCGCGGGGGAAATCTTCAAGATAGGCCCCGCCGAATATTGACGCCTGCGCACGCATTTTCGGTGGAATAAGGCTGAGTTGGTAGGGTGTGTTGAAGCCGTGTGTTTGGGGTACCGAATAATGGTGTACGGCAGCGAGACGAAGCAAGACCGAACCTGAATCACCCAGATTTGCCAGTTCGACACGGCCATCGGGGAGTGCAACACCTACGGAGGCAGTACTACCTCCCGCTTTGATGGCTGGGTCAGCGACCACTTGGTCATATCCCGATTGCAGAAGTTGCTTAGGTCGCAACTTATCAGCAGTCTGGTCCCAAGACAGTGCTGTGTCGGCCATATAACCACAGATCCCATGGGAGAAATCCGCAGGGTCTACCCGCGACTCAGTCCAGCCACCGACACCATCAGCGACAGCAAAGGCTACGGCCTCCGCCCCATCCGCGGATTGACTTTGTCGGCTGCCGATGCGGCTCACAAAGAAAGCATCCTCCCCGCTATCCGGACGGCTTCGTCGCCGGGTGGTCGGGTTCTTATCTGTAGACACTCCTATCGCATCAGACAGGCTGGGATCGAAATTATAGGCATTTTTGAGAGGGTGGAAGCGGCGTCCTTTGCCGGTCGACGATACGGCAATCCGGTAGGAGATTCGGGGCGGAGGACCGGAACGGCGGTTAGGAGTCGAATGGAAAGGTTTTCGAGATTCTCGGTTCAATGCATGATATGAGAGGGCCGACCAGGTAGGTCGCGTTCGCAAAGAAAAGAAGGAGGGAGTGTTGGACTGGGCGGAGATTGAGCTAAGCCCGTCACGCACAAGGGTTTGGAGGCTGCAGGTGGAACTGCAGACTCGACACGAAAGACTTGGCGAGACCATCACAGGAAATCAGCCGCCCACGGATTCAACTTTGGAATCACAGGCACATTTAACAGAGGCGCAAAGGAGAATGGGGATTATTAAAAATCATGGCGGATAAGACCGAACCCGCTTTGATCTTATCGTGACCGCCTAAAGATCAGATATCGTATACTGGATTTCGGTACTTATGTCAGGACTGGATTTCATGCCATGCTTGTGTCTTCAATTGACGTCTTATACACCTCATCGACTTCAGCCATTCTACGTTCCCTTGAGATCTGGATATCCATGGTGCCCAGGTGGCCTTTCATACTCAGCTTGTATTCCACCGCTCTTCTGTAGCAGTGAACGGACATATATTTAGATTTGAATGCTATATAAAGGCGAAAATATTATATCGATCAGACAAATGACTGAAGACAAGTTTTAAGGAGTTCAGTATTTCCAATAGAGACTGCAGCTCAATGGACATAGAATCCAATCAGTATGGGATTCATAGTAGGAATGTCCATAGTTAAGTGTTTGGCGGAGACGAGTGCGCGGATAAATCTCTATCGGCTTATCAGTTCTGCCACCCGCAACTTCACCTCTCGCTCTCCAATTGACGCCCTGCATTCTCGCGTCTCTCCTCTTTACTCTGTCCGAGAAGCAAAAGCTTCTGTGTCGCCAAGATGATACACCCATCTCGGCAAGCCTACGTGGAGGAGGCAGAGGTAAGCAAGCTTCCCCGTTGCTATTCAAGCTGTTCAAGCTCCTGTGCCCTCCACGAGTTTTGCCCGAACCTCAGGATTTGGAGAATTCACCATGGCGCATCTGTTCCGGCCTGCTTTGGAAATTAAGCTGACCTGTAATGACACCTCTAGGACACGGATATGGGAATCGATCTCGCCAACATTCGTGAGTGATGATCCGCAATTCTCTTCCATGACATCTGCTAACCGCGCACATAGCCACCGATCAAGACTATGATATCCCCGCTACTGGCGCGGGCATTCCCGCCGAGAGGGCCTCCGCTATATACTCCCAATTTGAGCGCAAACGAAGAGCAGCCGCGATGGCTGTACCGACGGACGACACTCGCGTACGCGCACGCTTACGAGAGCTCGGTGAACCTATTACACTTTTCGGCGAAGGACCTGCGGACCGGAGAGACCGATTACGTGAACTGTTAACCGATTTGTCGGAACAACAAGGTGGAATGGGTGACATTGAAATGGAAGAACCCGAGGAGGAGGGAGAACAACAAGAAGAATTCTATACCGAGGGCACAAACGAGCTCCTGGAGGCCCGCAAGAATATCGCCCGGTTTTCTTTGCCAAGAGCAAAGGCCCGTGTAGCGCGGCTCAAGGACGAATCGAACATTCCACTCCGAACGCACGTGAAGTATCGCAAAGAGGTCAAAGAAGAATTGAAAAAGTTTGACCTGTACGGGTCTCAGATCGCGGGTGACCGACCTATCAGTATCTGTCGCTTTGCGCCAGATGGCCAGACTGTTGCGGCCGGAAACTGGAGCGGAGGAATCAAGCTGCTCACAGTCCCCAACCTGGAGGAAAAGGCAAATCTCAAGGGACATACTGACCGAGTTGGTGGACTGTCGTGGTTCCCCGGTGCTACTTTACCCGAATCCAATGTTTCACCGTCTTCAGTGAACTTGGTCTCCGGCGGAGGCGAAGGAGACATTAACTTGTGGTCACTCGACCAAGAGAAACCCTTGGCAACATTGTCGGGTCATTCTGGCCGTGTCTGCCGAACAGAATTCCATCCATCAGGGCGATATGCAGCGTCGGCATCCTTCGATACGACCTGGCGCTTATGGGATGTGGAGACTACAACAGAGCTTCTTTTGCAAGAAGGTCATTCCCGAGAAGTCTACACTGTGGCATTTAACAGCGATGGATCTCTACTCGCCAGCGGTGGATTGGATAGTATTGGTCGCATTTGGGATGTTCGACTAGGACAGACAGTCATGATTCTTGAAGGTCACATCCGGGAGATCTACGGCTTGGACTGGGGTGTGGATGGATATCGCGTGTTGTCAGGGGCTGCAGATGGATGGGTCAAATGCTGGGATCTGCGACAAGTACGCAGTACGGGTGGAATTGGTGCACACAAGAGTGTTGTATCGGATCTCCGATGGTATAAGGGAACCGAGCCCACGGATCATTTGAATGGCCAAATGGAGGTCGACGGAGCTTCATCAAAAGAGATCCAACCTAAGAAGGCTGGCACATTCTTTGTGTCCAGTGGATTCGATAAGAATGTGAATGTCTTCAGCGCCGATGACTGGTCACTGGTCAAGACATTGAGTGGACATGCTGGCAACGTTCTCAGCACAGATATCAGCAATGACGCTAAATGGATTGCCAGCTGTGGTCATGACCGCACAGTGAAGCTCTGGGGTACTGAATGAGGTGGACCTGGTTCTGGAAGATGAGCTTTGTTGGCACCCACCATGTGATATATCCAGCTTCTATCTGCATATGGTATATCTGCGATGTACTATGCTGCTCTAATTCCAAAATTATGACAAACTAAAATCCAATGTATAGTTAATATCACGTGTGGAATGCGGGGATGACGTAAGGCCTATTTTCCCGCCATCTTCTCCGAACTTTTTGACTCGCGACTGGCGTCCTAACATAAAATTCAAAATGGCGATGCGGTCGACAAGTCTGGCCAGGCATATATGCCGTCCAGCAACAGCTCAGTCTATCACAAACTCGACACGGACGGGCTTGAACAGCAGGAGCCTCCGCGACACCTGCACAGTTCGCCAGCCCGCTCAAACTCGCGCATCTATTCAAACACAGTCCGCGTTGACCGGATCACTTGTATTGACCCGCCGCTATGCATCCACCAAGTCTTCTACACAACAATACGGGACCGGTGAAACAGGCGTCACGGGCGCACCCGATATCACCAATTACTACACCATCTTCCCTCGCACACTTTCCGCTGGCCCACCACCGGCCTCATCCTTCGATATTCCCGTAGGCGATCTTCGCCGTGAGTTCCTTCAATTACAGAACGCAGTCCACCCCGACAAATACCCATCCGGCGAAGTCAAGCAACACGCCGAAGCGATATCGGCCCGCATCAACGAAGCCTACCGCACTCTTGTAGACCCACTTCAACGGGCACAATATCTTCTACGCGAGTGGCATGGTATCGACGTTCTGGCCGAGGACGGAGCGTCGAAGCACGCACTCGATCCCGAGACATTGATGGAGGTTATGGAGGTGCAAGAGACGATTGAAGAAGTGGGCGCGTCACCGGAGGCTGAGGCGGAGATTGATGCGTTGAAGAAGGAGAATGATCAGCGTATTGAGGCCTGCGTCAAGTCGCTGGGTGATGCCATTGACCGGAACGAGATTGAAACTGCGAGAAAGGAGTGCGTTCGGTTGCGATTCTGGTACAGCGTGGGTGAGGGACTGCGGGAGTGGGAGCCTGGCACGACAGAGATTCGGCTTGTGCATGGCAACTGATCTTCGACATATTGTATCATACCCCGTTGGCTGTCCTGGACATATGTATCTATAGACTTGAGATATCAATTCCATTCTGATAATCCTATATTATTGAACTGAGTACATTAATCGTAGGATCCTAAAGGTCCTTCTATTTAGAAGTATCTGTTCATGGATGCAAGAACAGTCGGTCCATACTTCATGGATGCCCAACCCAGAACCCCCAGCGTCATCAAAGCCGTGACCCCACATCGCAGCGCAGCAGCTTTCACCAGAGGCTCCATAAACCCCTGCACCAGAGCTTGAAACTTCGCCGGATCATTGCGACCAGGATATGGTTCCTTGGGAATAGGCAGCTCAAGGAAAGGACAAATAGCCTCCCAGTCAAGGTTGTCTTCCTCGATATTGATCAGACACAGGCGATCAGCAGGAATCGTCGCCTTTGCCCGTTTGATGCTGTCAAAGGACACATGAGTACGAAGCGCTTTCACCGCACCAGGCTTGACTTACTAATCGCTATAGTATCTGCACAACAGCTTTTCATTATCGTCGTCCCCGATCTTCGTCCCAGCGGCAAGCGCATTATAGACCAAACGATTCATATTGAGAAAGTGGTATAATGTCGAGTCAAAGTACTTGAGAACGACGAACGGAAAGGTAGTTGCCATGTTCGCAACTTGTCCAGCAGAATTGTTGACCGATTTCGCCCATTTCTCAGGACTTCGCTCCGTCAAAATGAACTTCACTTCTGGGTCTTGAGCGTAGGCCTCGAGCACGTCCATTCCCACGTAACTAGGTATCTCAATGAGACACTTCAACTGGTTAGGCAGCACCAGCATTGAGATCAAGCTCACTCACGTCATAGTCTGCCAGCCATTTTTCACAATCAGCTCGATCGTATCGTTTGATTCCCGAGAGTTGGTTGTAGTAAGCGGTGATGGCTTCTTTGAAGATCTTGATATGAGCTAGACCACCGGCGTTGATACACTCATACAAATGATATGTTTTGAAGCCTAGAATCTGCATTGCCCAGTACAGGCCAAGAGTTCCGGATCTGTACTGATTGAGTGACATTCTACGAAGAGGTAGGGCTTGTATCGTACCGACTTGGACTAGCGACGACGACCTTCACTTTGCGCCTCTCCGTGGGCATTGGCAGTCGATCTATTTCTCGAGACATGTTGAAGGTTATACGGATGAATAGATGAGAGATTCGCTGTCATTTGAAACTAGGGAGACTGTCTATTTATCTGCGATGAATCCTCGTATGTGGCAAATATGTCAACCTTCAGACCAGAGGCTTGACCATACAGTTCAGCCCCAATTCCCTGAAATAAGCACTAGAAACTTTGTTCCATCGGCTAACCACCCAATGAAGGTCAATCAAATGAGAAACTTCCGATATGCAGCTGAGCGCAAAGGTATCGTCTTGTCCAGAAAGAGGGGCTCTGCGCCAATTATAGTCAGTCCAGTTGGGAGCTGCAGCGGAATGAGGTAACTATTTGCGCGCCGTTGACTTGGCAGGGTCCGTGTAACTGAGCAGAGATGTCCGTGTCATTCAGCCTTGCGCCATGCAGTTATTCAGTATGTATTCAGGCTGTGTGCCGCAGCGTCAATCTCAATTGAGAAAACCATGATGCAGGACGAGTAGAGAACATCCAACATGGCGAGAATCAAGGAAATCACTCAGTCTTTTGGGTAGAGATATTGTAGAGAGATGGGCGTAGTCGGTAGCGCAACTGGTGATCATCTGGTCTTACTCATTCTCGGTGCCACGTGTTCAGCTGAGCATCGACCGCGGTCTCGTGGAGATCGGCATCAAAGAGAGACGAGCGATGTCATCTAATTTGCCGTTATATCGCCTCTCATGAGAGATGAGAATTGAGCTTGAAACCAGCTCTATTAATAGAAACGGTGTTAGTACGTCATCTGTGGTTGCTGATCAAATGGGATTTAGTCAATCCAGTCGCATATCACCGGTTGAGTATTGTCGACAAGATAAAGTATTCCATAAAGCACAGTTTGACATAAAGATGTGTTGCTTGAATCCTACATGAGGTACGCAGATGCGATGCAAGGTGCATTTTAGCTCATGTCAAGCTTACCCCGTTGGATCTAAGTTGATTGACCATCCGCCTCCGCAATGACGAATACCACATGACTGAGTTGAACGATGCGTTATCTCACAACGATTTTTTCGTTTTGATAGGATGGAAAAGAGACCAGAAATCCATCAAAAGTACGAAATCTCTGCCAATGGAAATCGGCGGAGTTACAATTCATATCATGGCATCTCTCAGAAACCCGACCACCCACTTACCAGCCCCCCAGACCGCCACAACAAAACTAGCAGACAAGCAAGGCGAATTAAAAGAAAGTGAAGCTACGAGCAAGCAGACCAAAGCCCGATGGACAAATCAACATTGCAGACCCGCAGTTGGGTTCCTCTGAAGGCTGGGATTGGGCACGAACGTCCAACGTCGCTCATCCTAATGCATCCACTCTGGACAAATCACTGCCTCCAATTCATGAGAGCCTGTCCTAACACAGAAGAAAAATGCAGCATGGCTGCAGTATGCATTGAGAAAGATGCAGGCATGGGGATTCACAAACCTCCATGTAGTTTTCCTGCATGGATGAGGAGCATACTACGCCGAGTTCAGTAGTTTTCCGAGCTCCATTGTCGCTTTCAAGGCAACAGGTACCTAATCCACTCTTAGCTTCATAATCAAAGTCGGTCTGCTGGCATGTTGGCGTCGACAATTTTGGACCTTGGGACCCCCCACACCCATCAGGGTCGTCCACGTAGCAGACTAAGGGAATTGCACTGGGTCTCTTGGGGCGCGTGAGCTGCCCTGTGATTTGGCCTAAGGCTTGGAATGCATATTTAACTCAGTAGTGATTCCCAAGCTTGTAGACCCTGCACCAGAGCTCTTTTTCTTTTAGAGCCAATCATAAAGCATCAGCTCCTCATGGACTTCCCGGACGACCAAAGGTGAGTCATTGCATGACCCTAAGATGGAAGGACTTGGCTGAGCGCGATCAACAAATATAGCACCAGCGAGTCTTCCGTCTGGACCTTCTTCCTTGGCCCGGCACGCGTCAAGCAGACGATCCATTCTGATCTAGCTCGTCATGTATCGCCAGAACTGGATAAATTCGTGAAGGAAAAGTCTGTCGTGAAGGATTCAAAGCTCGGATCCGGTTCCGTGGTAACATTGGAGGAATTCGATGCTGAAACCTTTGCTGCCTTCTGGGCATATACATACCGAGGCGACTACAAAGTGCCCAAGCCCCCGGTCCCTCGAGAGGAAAAGACGAGACGAGAGAGTATCCTCAGTCCGACAGGGACATGGCGAGGCATATATCGCTCGGAGTCAATGTCCTCCGGTGTGCCGCCACCCGCTCCATCACCACCAGGATCTGTCTCATCTGCAAGTCGGTCAGTAAGGCGACAGGTTGAACCTCAGCCCCAGCTTCAATCCCAACCCCAACCCCAGCTCCAGCCTGAGCCTATATCCGAGCCTGTGTCCGAGCCTGTACCCGAACCCCAACCCGAGCCTCAGCCCGAAGCCAAGTCAATTACCGAAGAAGAGCCATTGGCGGAAGATGCATCTGCAACGCCAGAGGATGGCTCATATGTGGCAGTCGAGCCGGTAGAAGCTGAGACTCAGCCTCAGGTTGAGCCCGAAGTTGAGCCCGAGATTGAGCCCGAAGCAGCACCAGCAGCCGAGATCGACCTTTGGGATTCCCCGAAAGATGCTAAAAGTAAAAAGGCCAAGAAGGGGAAGAAGGGGAAGAAGAAGAATCAATCCGAGTTCACTGAGGAGGCACCTGTCAACTTCACGCCGCCATCGACGCCGCCTCCTGAACTCCCAGCAGATGTGAATGAAGCACCATTGGATGTGCCCGAGCAGCCCACCGAAGCAAACCCGGTTGACTGCTATGGAGAGTCCACAGCAGCAGCAGAGCCGGAGCCAGCGTATGACGCTCCTTCCCCTGCCCCTGCCGAGCCCGAGTCCGAGCCCAAGCCGGAGCCCGAGCAGGAGCCAATAGTCGAAACAGAACAACCGGCAGAAGAGTGGGAACAAGCAGAACAGTATGCTCCCGAGGAAAGCACCCCCCAAGACCAATGGGAGGGTGCTGTGGAAGACCAACCTCAAGCCCCTAGCAAGCCATCCATCGACATGTCCTTTGCCAAACAATCCCTAGCCGACTCATCAACCCGCACACCAGGCCTCAGTCTCTGGGATGAATTTGCCGCCCTCCAATACAACGACGAGCAACGAACCGCAACCCAAACCCCCACCATATCCGGAACCGAAGTCCCCTACCTAACCTTCCACGCCAAGGTATACGTCTTCGCCACTCGATTCCTCATCCCCTCCTTAGCGCAGCTCTGTCTCCGCAAGCTCCACCGCGACCTCCTCAGTCTAGCCCTCGAAGATGCAGATGCCATGACTCCCATCCCTGATTCCCAAGCACTTGGCGACTTGGCCACGCTCCAAGCGCCAATGGTCCTCGATCTGCTCCGGTACGCATACAACCACACGGATCGGTTAGAGCCGATATCCGAAACGGTAGCGACGCAGATTCGGGAGAATGAGCTGCGGCGCTTGGTCGTTCATTATGCGGCCTGTAAGTTGAAGGCATTGGCTAGGTACCATTCGCCTGGTGATAGTGAGGCTGCTACACCGGCTGTTCGTCAGATGGATGCTAAGGTTGAACGAGGCGAGAATGCACCACCAAGGAATCTTCGGGTGTTGCTGGATACGACGCCGGAGCTGGCCTCTGATGTTGTTTATCGGATGATGTCAATTTGAATGTGTGATTGGAGGGGGTTTCTTCTAGACTGAATTTTGAAGGTGCAGATGATCAACGTTGAGCAATCTTGATTGGGAAATTACTATAGAAGCCCACAATTCCAATTAATCATTTGAAAATTTCGCAACTTTCGCAAGAAAAGTATTCTGTAGTGGAATTTACAATACAGTTGTAATTTGGGGTACAGTCGCGATTGCCCCGCCATTCCAGCCGAACTCAATTTCTAGATCTTGCAATTCAGATCAAAACACCAGAGGACCATACGTTTTGTCAGTACAGAGTGTTGAAATACTAATTGCCGCCTGCATAATGATCTAAGAGATTATAACTATGAACGTGTCTCTCCGACTGAATGATTCACTTATCCGCCACTTTCACCAAAGCCTGATACCACTCGCATGATCCACCCTTTGCCGCATGAGGATAAAGGTACCCCGATCCAATGCGAGGTCTTCGACTACAACTTATCTGAAACAGGCGGTGGGGAGCATTTTTAGGAGGGGCTTTCCTAAGTGTAGGAGAATGATTAAGTCTCAGTCAATCACACTAAACGGCTGTACTCTCCATGTTACAAAGAACCTTCATGCCACACTGCTATACCTCCGAAACCGCCATCTTGAAAGGAAACTACGGGTCGATGCAATAAGCATTGACCAGAACAGGACACATGAGAAAAATGGGCAAATCCTCTCATGCGGTCAATTTCTGCACAAGCTGAACGCGCCCTTGTGTGGCTTGGAGAAGCAATGGAAAATAGTGACAAAGCCCGTGAGATCATCCGCTATCTTGCTCCAAAAAAGGTACAAATACCCGGGAAAACAGTAAATATGCGTGAAGTTGCTTGAACGAGCTTGGTTTCGGCATGTCTGGGTAATTCAACATCAAATGTTCGATTGTAAGCTATCACCAACGAACTGTAACAGGTCCTTCGAGACATTGGTGTCTATCATTTGTAGCCCTTTTTAGATGAGCTGGCATATCTTTCGTTAAGGTCTCAGAAAACTAAACCTTTAGCAAGATTGGCCCAGTTGAGACACCAGAGAGATAGCTTCTCAGTTTCCGAAGGAATGATCAAAACAGCAGCAAAAAATACGGGATTATATGGACCTCAAATCATGAGCTTCTCTTACAACACCGAGAAGGTAGCTCGAGATGATGTAGACTTGGCTGTTTTTCTTTTTGTTTCTTCATTGACACTTTCCTTTGAAAGACCCGCATCATGTTTCACGTCGGCAATGAAGAGGCGCATTTGTTTCGCAATTACGACTGGGAGTTTATTCAATGCAATGGGTACGAGAATTCAACCCGCCAAGTGATAAGAAACTGCCTGGAATTGGAATTTGTTTCCAAAAGCAATTGCATAATCATAATGTTCCGAATAATGCTCCGCTGTAGATTGGAGAGCTCAAACGATCTACATGCAACAACTCTAGGCATTCTTGGCGCAATGAGGCCGCCAATTGTACAGTAAGTCCAGTCATCAGCATGAAGACCAGTAGTAATCCGTACTGCGCCCACGTAGAGAAAGTCTTGGCAAACTACTGGAATCAATAGTGCTAGTTGGCGGAGGCTGTGACGATAAGGAAGATGCTCAGGGGGCAACCTAGGTCTGGATCAGTCACGGGATCCACTTTGTTACAACGTACCCCCGCTCGAGCCTCCTCTCCCACTAGGTTGGCTTTGCCATTGGATTTTTGGCGTTCGTCTACTCTTCACTGCCACAACAAAGCTTGGCAGCGGACCGTCTAACGATGCACCGTCGATCATCGTCATCTTGGCCCTTGGCACTTGGCTCTTGGCCATGCTGCAAGACGGAGCATACCAAGACCGCCCAGTCTATCGGACAGATTCGGGTTCTCAAAAATCGGCCCGATGATTTCATATTCATCATCTAGGTAACCTCAGAAACTTGGCATGAGAGGTTATACAGTGCAACGGCCGATGTTCAATTGGTCGTGGCGGTTCAGGGGCTCAGAATAGAATTACGAAGCAAACCTTATGATCAGAGTTTTTGACTGCTTTTTCCTAGGCATCGCAATTTCTTTATACAATAGCTGTAACCCTAATGCCCAGCCCGCGGTGGATCGTTTATCCCCCCCTTACCCCCTACTAATACTCCGCAGGCATAAATGTTTATGATGAAATATGCCAAGATCAGAGACCGTCGATCTATTCTCGACTTCTTGGTTTGTTACGGCCTTGATGGGCCCAGATAAGGACGTTGACGCTGGTAGGTCAATCTTCAAGAGGGGACCCCTGTGCTATACATGTTAGGCTGTGCAATGTTCTTGGTGTTTTCTTGGCCTGTTACTTCAAGATGCGAGCTTTGGGCATGGAATGATACTCATCTTCCCCCCCCGTTGTTTGCCCCCGGACTCCAGAGGCTTTGATTTAAATCACCGACTTCCCCGCGCTTTCTATAGATCTATATCAACTTCAATTTCATATACAGCGAGCATTGGCCCTTGGATTTCATCTGTTATATCATACATCTTATCTTAACACAACTATACGCCTTGTTTCAATTTCTCTTCCACTATGTCCCACTCCGGCTTCTTAGGGGCAGAGTCCTATGAACTTCCTCCTCATTCCTCCCACTCCGACACCCCTATCCTCAATGCCGAAAAGTCTGACAAGCAAATTCAATTATCATACCGTCAACGACTCCGTCATTTCACATGGGCCTGGTACACATTAACCATGAGCACGGGTGGTCTGGCTCTGTTGATAGCAAGCCAACCCAACCGTTTCAAAGGCCTAGATGAGATCGGCCTGGCCGTCTACATTATCAACTTGCTCATGTTCGCTTTCGTCTGCTCATTCATGGCAGCACGATTCATCATCCACGGCGGACTAGTTCAATCCATCACACACGACCGCGAAGGACTATTCTTCCCAACCTTCTGGCTCTCTATCGCTACAATGATTTGTGGTCTAGAGAAGTATTTTGGCGATGATCCCGCCCAAGCCTTCTCGACTACCCTCGAAGTCCTGTTCTGGATGTACTGCGTCTGCACCTTTGCCGTGGCCGTCTTCCAATATTCCTACCTCTTCTCCTCGGTCACATACCGTCTGCAAACTATGATGCCCTCGTGGATCCTACCGGCCTTCCCAATCATGCTCAGCGGTACCATTGCATCCGTTATCGCAGAGCGACAGCCCGCCCGCTCCTCCATTCCCGTGGTCACAGCAGGCATGACGTTCCAAGGTCTTGGATTTTGCATCAGCTTCATGATGTACTCCCACTATATTGGACGACTGATGGAGTCTGGTCTCCCGAATCGCGAGCACCGACCGGGTATGTTTATCTGTGTCGGCCCACCGGCCTTCACTGCGCTGGCACTCATCGGCATGGCCCGTGGCCTCCCGGAGACTTTTAGCGTGATGGGCAGTGAGGATACTGCTGCAGATGGCCGGATGATCGAAATTCTGGCCTTGGCTGCTGGTGCTTTCTTATGGGCTCTCAGCCTCTGGTTCTTTTGCATTGCATTAATTGCGGTACTTCGGTCCCCACCCACTGCATTCCATCTTAGTTGGTGGGCTATGGTGTTCCCAAACACGGGGTTTACTATTGCTACCATTACCTTGGGTACCTCGTTTGAAAGTGCAGCCATCAAGGGCGTTGGGTCAGCGTTATCGATCTGTGTTATTTCTATGTGGTTGTTCGTTTTTGTCAACCATGTACTAGCGGTGATTCGACAGGATATCATGTATCCTGGGAAGGACGAAGATGTTTCGGAATAGTTTCAGCGACTTACATATATGGTTTTGGTTTTTTTTTGCATGTCTGGCGTTTGTTGGTGCATCTATGGGATTTTGGATCATTTTTTGCGAAGAACATACTAGATATACTTGATTACACTGATAGACGCAAGATTGCAATTTGTCCTTTCTACCCAAGTCCACTCAGTCGCCAAATCACATTTGTGACAAATCTGCGCATAAAATATCCTGCTTTTCTCAACTTTCCTCCCTACTTTCTCTATTCTTCTTTGATGTTGATTTCTCCTATTTAAATCTTCCCAAGGGTTCTCTTCCTCACCATCAACGAACCCCTTGTCTCTGTTATAATTATATTCAGACCTATGCTGTTGACATCTGATTCCAGATACGCTCTTGAAGAACACTCGCATCGTAATACCCTCTCCTTCACGCCTTCGGGGGATCACCGGAACAAGGTCCTCAAGTCCCAGACCATTACTTTGGGCTGGAAACAGGCCAGATTGAATCTGATATGGATTAGTTCAGCACTTCATGTCAAAAACCATTTTCTACTCGTAGCTTTGAACTATTTGGATCTTTGTGCTTAATGTCGCGGAAAGTATTGGTAGGAATCTTCTTTTTTTCTGGTACGTTCTGGTACAGTATATACACAAACTCCAATCCAACAGGAGCGCCAATATGCGATGCAAACAAAATAGGAGGTTGACTTTTGGAGAATAATAAGAGACATCGGGTATCATGATATTCCGGTTCAAAAAGAGCATAGACAATGGGACAGCACGACGGTGGCAGATCACCCTTTCTGGGGCTTTCCCAGCTTGTTGTTCAAAAGCCGGATCATCATCTATGCGGGCACCGAACGGCGCGTTCCAAGCCATGTCGGGGCCATGTGATATGAAATGACCCCGAAATCATCAAGTGTGAGCAGTCATCTGCAGATGTGTCCTTCCGGCAGGGACTGGCGAGAGAGTCTATGGTGCGTCGGGTGCAACCAGACTAGCAAACGGGGAATGGGGAAAATCGCTCATCATCTAAGCAACCTTTCTGCCGACATTGCCGATACCACGACCAACCACGCTGATAATCACATCCCCAGAGTCATTCTCATCCGAAGCATCACGGATACCCCAGCCAGGAGCACCGAACTTGGTCAAGTCCCGCGCGAGCTGGATCAGGTTGGGATCAGCGATCACCTCCCGGCCCACCTGCAAACGACCCACGTCCTCTGAGCCCATGGTCATGAGGGTCAACATGGTCGGTGCCGCGGCCGGGGCAACGCAACCACCCTTGGAAATGGTCTCTAGCAGCTGGTATGCGCACTGCTTACCGATATCCTCTGGAGGCTGACCACCGGAAGGTGGCGAGGCTACATCCGCCGAGTAGAGACAGCCGGTAGAAGACTCTGCCACCAGCGACAAACCGAATCCAAGACCAATCTTCTTCTTTGCGTTAGGGTTGCTCCTGTCCGGAGCAGGGATTAGAGGCGCAGATGAAACGTCGGAGAAGATGTAGGTATCGGGACTAAGAGGGTTGAGGATTCCACGGGCAGTTTCAATCATGCGAGCGTTATTGGAGCCTGACACGCCGACGGAGTATACAACACCGCGGATGCGCTTAATGCGACCTGGGTTCATCAGGTGCAGGGTCTTCGGGAGACGGATCTGATGACCGAACACGAATTGCACCTCACCACCGCCACCGCGACCATTGGGGCCGGGGTTCGAGCGTTTTAAGATGCGAAGTTCCACGTTGTTGAACATGCCGAACTGATTGTAGAGCGGGAGGATGGCTGTGCGGACGCTGTCGACAGACATATCGCCGGTAGGGGTGGAAGAAGTGATGACACCGGGGCCAGTGAAAAGAACCTTCATGGGCGCTTTGGAGAAGGGAGCCAACAGGCAGAGAGGAATCAGGTAGTAGCTGAGACCGCGGTTGCAGTTCGAAGGCAACTCATGTCTGATCATGCCTCCACTGGCACCGCTACCCGGCGCAGTACCGGTAATCAGACCGGGCTTGTACACAATAATCGTACCGGTGTACGAGATTTCCATTTGGGAGCCATTGGTGACAGCCTCCAGGAGGCGCAGGAAAGAAATCTCATGGGGAGCGAGACCGGGGTTGGTTGGCGAGTTGGAACGGATTTGTGAGATATGAACCGTGCGGCCGGTGAGTGTGGAAAGAACGAGGCGGTAGATGAGATTATGGTGTGAAGTAAACTTCAATGGAGGTTGTTGGGTCGCCATGATGTGCTGTCGTAACCTAAGCGTCGAGACCCATTGAAGCTTCAAACGAAAAAAGAAAAATTTGGCGGAGGCCACGTTAATCCGGCCCGGCGCATCGGCTTATGTCCGAGTTGTTATCACCGATCAGATAATGATCTAATGAACATCAGACCCTGACACGCGACTCCTTTTGGTCAGCTTCATACTTTCTTATATCGCACGGTTTCCATCGTCAATTCATTCCCGTCGACATAATTATCACGATGTTACCCCCAGCTCTCAACATCCCCAAATGGTAAGAGCCCATTTCTTTCAGCTCCCCTCACAATCCCGATGAATCATAGCGGGGTGCTACGAATCTCTACAAGAATTCAAGCTACACTCCCACCTCGCAACCAGGTGTACAGCGCAACTAACATTCTACCAACAGGCTCGAAGAAAACTCTCATCTTCTACAACCACCAGTTAACAATTACTGTGTTTACCACCCCTCAACCCCGGCAACAGCCGGCTACACCGTGATGATCGTTGGCGGACCCAACGCGCGAACAGACTACCACATCAACAAAACCCCCGAATTCTTCTACCAATACCGAGGATCCATGCTCCTAAAGACAGTCGACCCGTCGACCAACCCACCCACGTTCCAGGATATCCCGATTCACGAGGGATCGATCTTCCTGCTACCGGCGAACACACCGCACAGTCCGGTCCGATTTAAGGATACGGTCGGTGTAGTGATGGAGCAGCCACGACCAGATGGAGCAGAAGATATTATGCGGTGGTATTGTCGGAAGTGTAGTGGGGTTGTGTGGGAGAAGAAATTTGTATGCACGGATCTAGGGACGCAGGTCAAGGCTGTGGTGGAAGAATTTGGGGCAGATGAGGAAAAGAGACGGTGCAAGGGTTGTGGAGAGATGGCGGCGGTGAGATATCAGGAAGGAGAGGTGGTACAGCCTCCTACGAACCCTGAATAAGGGACGAGCCTTGAATAAGGGGGATTGAATCCCTGTCTACGTGGAGTAAGGAGTGGTTCGGGTATCCAGTATAGAAGTCAAGTAAAACTGTATTATGAGTGATGAATACAATGTTCCTAAGTCTGTGAATATAATTGTATTTGGGTGTCTTATACTCTAGGCCAGGTGCATATGCAAGAAGCGCCCTTGCTCGAAAAATACGAGAAAAACAAAGTGGTTGTGGTATGATGGATTAGATTTTATATTAGCCTCCAGCTCAAGTCTAGAGTATGACTGCAAAGACCCGAACGCTGAGCCTACATCAACAAGTTTGATAGCCATGGACACCAGGGTGAGTAATGACGATGTGAAAAAGAATGGGGAAACGAAGGAAACTCCAACAAAGGGTCAGACAAAAGAGGTAGGTATATCAACAAGTACCACAACAGTGGCCAAGATGTTCAACGATAGGAATAATACACAGCCTGAAATGAAAGAAAAAGGCATTCACAGACCTCAACCACGGCAGACCGGATATCGTGTGATGCAAAGCAGAAAAGAATGTAAAAGGGCTAGTTATAGAAGGGGGTAAACATGTACTAGAAGAAAAAGTCAAGATGCAACCGAGAACCACCGAATTGTCGGTGCCCATAAAACCTCCAACACAACAACTCATACTTTTGCATCACCAGGACATTATTCATCAAAAGGACAGTCAATGCTCTCATGTCCATCACGCTCACAGAGAGCACACCACTTGGACTCGTCAATGACTCCGGAGGACTTGCCAGCGACGGGCGCCATGGAATTGCCTAGACCACCAATACCCTTCAGTCCCTCAAGGACGACATCTCGACCCGTCTTGGGAGATGGAGTCTTATCGTGGATTTCACTGTCATCGGTTTGGTTCAAATCGTGGTGGTCATCGGGCTTTCCAGCGTGGTCGTTCGGGACCTCGGCCTTAGCCTTGGCATTGTTGCCCGCCCCAAACATGCTAGTACAGTTCAAAATGTCATGGCCACCCGTTTCGCAGATCTCACACCACAACGTATCGTCATCAGAAGAGCGTTCCGACTCGGGCATAGGCTCGAGCCGTTGCGACGAATTGGACATGCCGCGGTTATGCTGGCGAGGCTCTGATGGGGCATCATGCCAGTCGGTAGGGACAACAGTACGATCAGAGAGACGGTGATCATGATTGATGTTGTTCACGGCAATGTTACCCTGGGAGCCAGATGGCTTGTGCTGCTTGGGCGGAGAGAGGGTCACAGTGGAGCTGCGGTTGCGACCTCCCTCGTGGGAACTCACCTGGAGCTCCTGCAGTTGGCGTTCTAGCTCTTCGATGCGGGTGTCTTTACGTTCAGTGTTGCCCTCGGTTTCTTGGAGCCGTTGCTCCAGCTGGGCAATGCGCTCATTTTGTTCATTCTGAGCATCTGCGCCATCCTTGTGATTGCCATTGGGATTTCCACGGCTCAAGGAGTGAATGATAGCCTTCAGACCTCGAATCTCGTCATCTTTTTGCTCAATTTCATTTGAGTGCCGAGGCCCATCGGCCGCGGCATGCGCATCCTTCAGCGCTGCCGCCGAATGATCGCGCTCCTTCTTCAACTCCAACTTGGTCCTCTCGACCTCGCCACGGAGGAACTCGACTTCAGCTCTTGCTTCAGCCTCACCTCGTCTGGCGTCTTCCAGGCCCTCTTCCAGCTCTGAGACGAGCTCTTCCAGCTGCTTCAGTTGCTGAGCCACAATCTCCACATCTTCCCCGCGATCTTGGAGCTCCTTGTTCTGTTGCAGCAGTTCATCCAGACGCTGCTCGTAGACACGCTCAGTCTCGGAGGCGGCTATCTCCAATGTGTCAAGGGTGCTACGGAAATCAGCTCGGTGGCCATCGAACTCAGCGGTCAATTGGTTAATCCGATCATTCCTTTCCCGAAGCTGAGCACGGATCGACATAGCGTCCGAGCCCTCCAGTTCCTCCATGGTCCTTTGGAAATCGCCGAGGATCTTTGTCTGCTCATCCAATTGCTTGTCCCGATCCGATAGTTGTTTTTCCAAACTTTTAACCTGATCCTTCAAATCTTGAGTCTCTGCCGAGGATGGACGCTGAAAGTCGGATGGTCTACCATATGACGAGGCATCGTCGTCGACACTAACTCTGGATGGTGGCCGATCCGAGAGCCGTGACGGAGCCTTGGTAGGGCTCCGTTGGTATCCATTGGAGGCTGATGTTCTCGAGACGGCGGATGGAGTGCGTAGGCCGCCCAAGCTCAGCTTCGGGGGAGGAACGCGTGGTGACTCGGGTCGAGGGAGTGAGGGACGACGAATCCGAGGACGAGGCGTAGAGAGACTCGGGCCAACTGACTTGCTGAAGTTGACAGGCGGGGCACGCCCCGGAGTTGTAGGCACGGCGAAGTTGTTTGACGTGGCTCGTCGAGTGACGTACTTGCTGTTGTTCATGGGCACAAAGATCCCTGAGCCAGGAACTGAGGTCGCAAAGTATTTTCGTCCTTCCACATCTCCACTGTTCTTCCCGCGAGCCGCATGCTCATTGCTCAACTCGATGCCCGCAAATCGACCCGGCTTGCCCGCCACGGACCCCAGGTATTTCACTGTACCAAACATGCCCCCAGGCACGTTGACGACGTCACCGATTTGGACATCGTCGTGGATCGCCATGGTAAAACGCGACTTGTAAAGAGTTGTCGAAAGTTGTTGTTATGTCGAGGGGTAGGTAGAGAAGAAGTTGTTTGTTTTGTCAGGAGAAACCACAGGTTTAAAGCCCAATCTTGATCATACTTGAGACCCAACCAAATATATGCAAGTCCCGGTGAGTAGGGGACAAAAAGAAACTCGTATATGTACAGAAAGAAACCGAATCATATACATAGAGTTATGAGAAAGGGGGAGGAGGGAGGGTCAACAAATAAAACCATGGATGCGCCTGTGCTCCACTCGGCGTAATCCAATCCATTCCCCGATCTCTCAACCTCTTCCTTCTATCACTCCCTTACCTCCACAAGCTGCACCTTCTCCTTTTTGGTTGCCTTGATTTGTATTTTTCAACATTCGGTAGATCCCGGAAACATACTCGTGATCATCTCTATCTCCAGTTATCCTGCAATCCCCGCGCGCTACCGGTCCCGATCTCCCGAAGCGGAGGTACTAGCAGTCATGGCGCAGTACTTCTTCGACCTCCTCTACAACTTCACAGATTGCATGTGCTGTTTCCCCAGCTCGCCGCAATTGAAGATCAATAACCGAAGCTTCAAGCTCCTGCGACTCTTGGGTGAGGTATGATAAACAGCCAAGGCACCTTCGCAAAGCCCCCCGGTGACGCGAAGAAGTGAACGTGGCCCGAAAGCTAACTGATCCACCTCCAACCAAACAGGGCGGTTTCTCCTATGTATATCTCGTCCAAGATAAAGCTACCTCCGAATTATTCGCTCTTAAGAAAATCCGCTGTCCCTTTGGCCAAGAATCCGTGTCGCAAGCCCTGAAGGAAGTCGAAGCATACAACCTGTTCACCTCGGACAACAACATCATCCACGCCATCGATCACTCCGTATCCACAGAATCTGGCTCCAAATTCCGATCGGATGGCGGTGATGCGGGTTCCAAGACTGTCTACATTCTACTACCATACTACCAACGCGGTAACCTCCAGGATGCCATCAACGCCAATCTAGTCAACCATACCCGCTTCCCGGAGAAGCGGTTAATGGTGTTGATGCTTGGAGTTGCCAATGCGATGCGATCGATGCACCAGTACCGTGTCCAGAGTGGTGCGACATCTACGCGCAAGGCAAAGGCTGTTCGAAGCGAAGGCGAGGAGGCGGATGCAGACAGGACCATGAAGATGAAGCCACAAAGGCGAGCGAGCCATCGCGTGCAGCAAGAAGAGCAAGATGAGGAGAACGAGCCGTTGATGGATGACGAGGTGACGCGCAGTCAGGAAGGTGTCCAGGATGGCGCTCTGCGTCCGTATGCGCATCGCGATATTAAGCCCGGTGGGTCTCGTTTTATGCGGTTACAAGTGATTTCCACCCTGCTAATCTTTCTATAGGTAACATCATGATTGATGACGATGGCCAGTCACCTATTTTGATGGATCTTGGTTCTTTGGCACCCAGCCCGATTGCTATCACATCCCGATCTCTGGCCTTGGCGGTGCAAGACACGGCTGCCGAACATAGCACCATGCCATATCGCGCCCCCGAGCTATTTGACGTCAAGACCGGGTCGATCATTGACACCAAGGTCGATATCTGGTCTCTAGGCTGCACTCTGTATGCATGCCTTGTCGGAAAGAGTCCTTTCGAAGCTCGCAGTGAGGAAACCGGTGGTAGTCTGAGCATGTGTGTTCTCGGTGGCGACTGGCGCTTCCCCGACGAGAAGTCCAATGCCACCAAGGGCAAAGGAAAGGCCGGGGGTGACGGTGACGACTCATCCAAAAGTAGCGGAAACAGCACGATTAGTGCTCCTGTAAAGGACATTGTTCGCAGGTGTCTTGAAGTGGAAGCCTCGGAACGTCCTGACATTGACGAATTGATTGAACTCATCAAGAATGTCATCAATGAATTGCCGGATGATGACGGTGCAGGTGCATCCCATTAAATCGGATGCTTGGATTTCTGTCTTCTTCCGTTCAATTCCCCCATTCTCAGTACTCGGCAGGCTCCGCTGGACATCTTGTGCGCGATCTGTATCTTCTTTTGGCGATTTGTACAGTATAGCTGGGCTTTGGGTGTATCTCTGGCATAGAGTTAATTTGGTGAAACATGTGTTTAGGTTTGCATATTCCATAGGTAGTAAATATGCATTCATATCAATTCTAGCTTGACATTGGCATAATTCTATAGCTCAATCTGTAGGCACCTAGATCAATGGAAGACCTCGGAATTCCCCCTAAACAACCGGGATACGACAAATGGCGGCTGATCTATGGCGGTTCTCCCCTTTTACGTAAATTGGGGGTTGAGTGCTTATAGGCTGATTTAATACGAGCTACTGGCGGACTATTTCCCGCTAGAGCGGGGGAAATGGCTATAGTCTGGATTATGGATTTCATAAATTGGATACCAATGTACACTGAGGAGAGCTTCTAGCAGTGGCACTATCTCTATTTACTGCTTTTAAAACTAAGCTATTGACAGACTATATGGTAGCACGCTAAGCTTGGAAGTAATATAAGTATGCATGAAGGACCCAGAGGCTGTAACGGTATGAAAATACGGGTTACATAGCCTTTATCTGCCATCAAGCAACCTGACACCAAACTCAATGGCTGAGGGTACATGTTATATACTCATCCCAAAGCTCCCTGTGAATAGCAGATATAGTTGGAAATAAGTCTAATTGGCCAAGGTGTTATCTTATCTCAGAGATAAGCATTGCAAGCATAGATCAAGGTTCATTGCTTCAATCCTTCTTCTCTATCACTGTGATCCACCTCCTCCGAGATAAGTTTCCCTTTGGAGTAAGTAACCTACTCTCCGCCCAGGCTGTCTTTGTGATATTCCACCAAAGCGGCAAAGATCCGCTGAACTACACCCAAAAGTGCGGGGAAGGTTGAACCGGCTCCAATTCTGACGGCGCAGCTTATCGCCAGACATATCTATCTTCCAAGCGGAACCCTTCCGACCTGCATCTACCTTGTCATACAGTTACTTTATCTGACCTTTGCCGATTCCCCTCGCATCGGCAACCCCGCCGGCTTCTTATCATGCTGTGGGCTCAAATAGTGCTTTGATCGCCCATTCTTCCCTCTTGCATCCCTTGTTAGAACATATACATCATGGCACCGGTAATAGACAACACGGCCATCCCAGGCACGGTGACACTAGTCGATGTGCAGCATGTGCTACATACACAGCATTTAGAGAGTGGAGACAGGGACATTGTGCTGATCCCCACCCCCTCTGCTCATCCAGATGACCCACTGAACTGGAGCCCACGGAGGAAGTTGATGTCGACGGTCTCCGTGAGCGTGTAAGTAGAAGGGAAACAATAAGCCAGATACCTCACTGACCAATCTTTGTTCAGCTACACATTGTTCTCCGGTATCGCTTGCTCGGTCGTTTATTCAGTCCTCACGCAGCTGTCCGAAGAGACCGGATTATCAGTCGACACCCTGAATGAAGGCACGGGATATTTGTTCCTATTAGCAGGATGGGGCTTGCTGTTCTGGCAGCCTTTTGCAATGCAGTATGGAAAGCGGTTGACATATCTTCTGTCATTGGCGGGGATTTTGGTAAGTCACATCGGGTGGATACCAAAGTTGACGTACTGATAAGCTGCAGGGTACAACGATGTGGGGGTAGGATTTCTCCACACTGAGTCCTCCCACTTGAGATGGTATATTGACTTATCTGATCTAGGCCCTATGCCAAAACATATGGCCAGTGGATCGCGCGCTGCGTTCTTCAAGGCTTTTTCACTGCCCCCATTGAGGCTCTTCCAGAAATTACAGTCACCGATGTGGTAAGACGCTTGAAATTTTGGGCAAGTCAACCGTCTCTAATCAGTGATAGTACTTTACCCACGAGCGTGGAACATATATGGGCTTATATGCCTTCTTCCTGGCTGGTAGCAACTATTTCGCCCCCGTGATCTGCGGTTTCATTGCCCAGTACCAGGGTTGGCAATGGGTTTTCTATTGGCCTAGCATCTTCTGTGGATGCGCTATGATCTTTCTCTTTTTCTTCATGGAGGAAACAAACTATGTTCGTGAAGATAGCATTCAAGATGCCACTGTCGCCAATGTGCGGGTGGGCTCTTCACACAGCTCCCACAGCGAGGATCCCGAGAAGGCTCCAGTGTCTGACCAACCTGTTCCCGCTACGGAGACGGAAACTGGTGTAGTATATTCCAAGAAGACATACTGGCAACAATTGTCTCTTTTGGGTCCTAAACAGAAGCACAATACCATGTTCCGACGACTCTGGCAGAGTCTGTACTTCCTGTCCTGGCCGGTTATTTTCTACGCCGGGTATGTTGGGTATTCGTGGACATGAGGAAGATCTGATGCTAATACTATACTAGATTCTCGTACGGATCGTATCTGGTTCTGTTCAATATTCTCAACGGCACCGCATCTATCATCTTGGGTGGAACTCCATATAATTTTGGGTAGGTCTGTTCTGAACGATTTACGAAAGCTAGCTAACGAGTCAGCTCCTCTATGGTCGGTCTGAGCTACTTGGCCTGCTGTCTTGGCGTAGCAATCGGGTGAGTTCCTTATCAAATTATCTCAAGGGCCGTATAACTAACAATCCCTAGATCAATCTTCACCGGAAGATTCAGCGATTGGCTGACCATCAAACTTGCCCGTCGCAATAATGGAGTTATGGAAGCAGAACATCGTCTGTGGCCTTTTATTGCGTGCCTACTCCTCGTACCAGGGTCTCTCTTGCTCTGGGGAGTTGGTGCCGCTCACGAAGTACACTGGTTTGGTCTTATCGTGGCTATGTGCATGCTTGCTTTTACCAACACCTGTGGTATCACACTTAGTGTGAACTACATGGTTGACAGTTACCGCGAATTAAGTGGAGTGGCTATGGCTACTATCATCTTGGTGCGAAACACCATGTCCTTTGCCATTGGTTATGGGTAAGTCAAGGTCTGGCAGTGCTAGTAAAAACAGTAGCTTACATATGATAGTATCACGCCCTGGATTGATAACCTTGGGTACCAGAACTGCTTTGTGTCTGCTGCCTTTGTTGGCATGGCCTGCGCAGCCGTATTCCTGGTGATGATCAAGTATGGAAAGTCATGCCGGATCCGCAGTCGTGAGCGATACTGGAAGATCGTACAGGAAAACTTCGACAAGGGAATGGGACACTGAAGAACATCCAAATGATTAGATAAACTATTTATCGCGATCTTCCGGGTACTATATAGCATAATGATTATACACTCTCAGCCAGATGGATCTTCCCCTCTTCATCATAAACAATCTCCCTCATCTTAACGGATCTCAAGTGATCCACCCCCTTCGACAACTCACAATCATGGTAAAACAAATACCACTTTCCTTGAAACTCAACAATAGAATGGTGCGTCGTCCACCCAAGCACCGGCTCCAAGATCCGGCCTTGATACGTAAATGGTCCCAAAGGCGAAGACCCCGTCGCATAAACCAGATAATGCGAGTCCCCAGTCGAATAAGAGAAATAATAAGTCCCGTTATACTTATGCATCCACGCAGCCTCAAAGAAGCGTCGATCATGATCATCCGCCTGAATCAACTCCCCAGTCTCCGGAGCCAAGATCTGCAGCTCGCGCGGTGGTCCCGCGAACGAAAGCATATCATCCGACAGCTGCGCAACACGCGGACAAAGAGCCACAACCCCTTCACCAGAAGGTTCCTGAGGGCCAGATTTCGAGGCGTCAAAGACCAACCCGTTCATCTCATTCTCACCACCAGCATCATTTTTGCTCCAGCATTGCAACTGACCACCCCACAACCCGCCAAAATACAAATATCCCTCTCCATCCTCATCCACAAAAGAAGCAGGATCAATACTGTAACTTCCAGAGATGAAGCTATCCTCCGGCTCAAAAGGACCTTCAGGCCTAGACGAAACAGCGACGCCAATGCGAAAGATCCCTTCCTTGTCGCGTGCAGGGAAATATAAATAATATTTGCCGTTCTTTGTCGCGGCGTCTGGTGCCCACATCTGCTTTGATACCCATTTGACGTCGTTGGCCGAGAGAACGATGCCATGGTCTGTTACCGGGCCTGTTGGTGAGTCCATGGAGAAGACGTGGTAGTCGTTCATGTCGTATTGATCTCCATTGTCGTTGAATTGGATATCTGTTTCCCGGTCATGGGAGGGATAGATGTAGAGTTTGTTGTTGAAGACATGGGCGGAAGGGTCTGCGGTATAGAGGTGTGTGACGAGGGGCTTCGGAGACATTTTGAGAATAGATCTCTTGGAAGTGGAAAGATTTATCTGAATTTAGGATTCGAATACGAGGCTTGAGGTTGATGTTATATAGCCACATTGCTACTGCTTTTAGCCGTCGCGGCTAAACACTCGCGGGGAAAGTCCCGTCTTAAGGCAATTTTGGATCAAACCTCAAAGCAGACGTTCTTCTATTAGTATGAATTAGGGACTAGGTTAAGAGGGGATAAAGGATAAGGATAAATACTGGCACCAATTCCTCTTTACCCCGAAGCCAAGCGTCGACAATATTCCAAAGACAAACACCAGTCGCTAAAAGACCGACCCCAGCCTGTAAAAGACACGAACAAAGAGCCAAAGCTACCTGATCCCCAGACTTATTTCCACCCAAACGAGTGATACTGCTCAGCTTGCGCTTGTGCCAGAGCCGCATACCACTCTCTTTCCATAAATAACAGCATCTCCCATACACTCTGACCCTCCATACTCGGAGCAATGAGATTTGATATAGACTCATCAACCGTGATCGGTGCCATTGTTCCAAGATCTATCTGGCATGGCTCTAAGGATGAGGTCTGCTCCGCCACTGGAGGATCACAGCCTCGCAGCCCGATAAAGTGTCCAAAGCGGCGACGCTTGGTCTCGAGATCGACATCCCTCTGGGCCTCAATACCAACCCATGGGTTCTGGATTGGAGATGGGTACATGTAGGTTTCTGGTACAGGAGGTGAAGTCTGGTGGAAATACTGTGCGAGGTCATCGAGCTGAGTGTTTGTGAGTAGATGGTAAGAAAGCATAGTCGGAGGGAAATCTAGAGAGATTTGGGCAGTGGTGCAGCTGACAAGAGGATGCAATTTCTGCCCGAGGTATTCGAGGACAGGAGCAAAGTCAGGATGAGATAAAGGCCGCGGAGTTGAAATTTGTGTTTTTCCGGTGAACCTGAAACCAGTGACAGGCCGGCTGTTTTGGCGAGGAGAACTCGGGGTTGCAGGCATGATCATATTACAACGAGAAAAACTTCAAGGAAAAGATGATGATATATGAATGAGATAGAATAGATTCGCTAGATTACCGAAGTGCTAATGAGAGAAAACCCGAACTTTCAAGCTAACCGAAGCCACTCTTTTGTAGTTTGCGGCATCCGTTCGTGATAATGGCAATTATATGAACAAAGAGATGAAACGCCCCGGAATAGCGCTTTGTAGCCATTCAACGAGAAAGCCTCAAAGAAGCCGATCCCACCCTTTGTTCTAAATCTGACCAAACCACAATGGAGCTAGCGCCACAAGATTATCACAGGCCTTCGTCAGCGTGTTTCATACACACCAAGTTAGCGCGTGGCCAGTACGCGAAGTGATTAGAGAGCCAGAGTGTTCATGGCTGACAGATCTGGTTCATCTGAAACTGCAGGCAAACCAGCGTGCTTGTTGATCCAGTTCAACACAGTTTTGTGCCACATGAGAGAATTTTCAGGATTCAGGACCCAATGATTCTCATCAGGGAAGGTCAAGAAGGCACTTTCGATACCGCGCATCTGCAACACGTTGAATGCAGCCAGGCCTTCAGCGATCGTCAGTCGGTAATCAAGCTCGTTGTGAATAATAAGGTGTGGTGTTTGCCAGTTCGCGGTGAAGCGCGATGGATCCCACTTGGCCCAATTCTCGGGCCGTTTCCAGATCGGTCCCTGAAGGTCATGTAGAGGGAAATATTGCTCTTCGCTAGCCAGTTGGGATGTCATGCTGAAAACACCATCATGAGTGACCAGTGCTTTGAACTTGCGCCCAAGAGGATGGCCTTGTATCCAGTTCATCATGTATCCACCATATGAGGCACCCAGGGCAACAGCTCGAGTAGTGTCAACATATGTGAGGTTCTGTTCGATGTATTCGAAGCCCTTGACCAGATCTTCATAAGGTCGGCCTCCCCATTGGCCAGTGATCCCATCTGTAAACGGCTGACCGTATCCAGTGCTACCCGTTGGATTGGGTGTAATAACAACATACCCTTGCTCCGCGAAGACGGCAGGATTCCAGCGGGTACTCCATTGGTCATTCCATGCTCCCTGGGGGCCACCGTGGATAAGATAGGCTAAAGGGTACTTCTCACCCGGCTTGAAATCAGACGGCTTCACAACCCAAGCATGAACTGGGTGATTCTCCGCTCCTTGGAACCAAATCTCATCTACCTGGGTTGGCGAAAGGCCAAAGGCAGACCCTCCTCGGCCACTCGACGATACGACTTGAACTACGTCAGGGCTTGCCGGGTCGATGATAGACCATACGCTGTTGTCCACCAGGCTGTTGCTAGAGATGAATAGGCTGGAGGAACCCGCAGCCGCAGGAACCACATCATTCACGTATCCAGACCGGGTGAGTCTCTGTAAAGAATCAGGCTTGGCCTGCCGGATGTTCTGCAAAGGAAGTTGATAGAGGACTCCACGTCCAATTTCCTCAGCCTGGATGAGCAGCGATTTGTCATCATGGGCAAACGAGATAGCAGAGGGACTCAGGTCCCAAAGCCCCTTGCCATCACCGGACTCGAACACTTCGATCATTTCGCCATTCCATGGGTTAGGAACGTACAAAATTCGATTCTTGTCAGATTCGTACCCATCTTGTTGCATGGCCAGCAAAGCAATGGAACTCCCGTCGGAGGACAGAACGGGCGAGGACATTGCTCCTCGCAAACCAGTTACTTTGCAAGTCTTGATATCAGGAATGCTCATGCTAGTCCAGGAAAACATGGGCGCATAGTAGCAGGAACAGGCGGTGTGTGTTGCTGGGTTAAGACCGGGGTCTTTGGCAATGAAAACAATGGCAGATGGGCTGATATCAAAGTCACTGGTACCCCCGAATGGTGGGATCGGAGACTCAACGCCTGTCAGTCCAGACACTGAGATTAGGTTCGTGAGACCAGACACCGAGTATTTCCCTGCCAGTCTACGGGCAGGCGACAAGGGAGTTTGCTCCAGGATTCCATAGAAAATCGAATTCTTCTGGGGCTCAACATAGGAATCCCAATGTCGAACGAAAAGAGAAGTATAAAGGCGACCCGTTGTGTAGGATTTCTTTGCATCGTGGGGGTTATACAGGGAACCGTCCTGGTTGGCCTTGCCGCTAACAGCAAAGCCGATCTTGCCGGGCTCAATGACGGTGACCTTCAGATCTGAGACCGGACCCGGAACAGTACCCGCAGTGTATGTCTTATCAGCTTCACGCACATCGCCGACAATGAAGCTAGTATTGCCGTTGGTCTTAGTCTTCAGCCAAACCAGCTGATCATCAGTACCCAGCCACTGGGGATTGCTGGCGCCGGGGTCATTTGTAATGAGGGCAGATCGACCACTTTGAATTTCAATGACTCGGATCTCGTTGGTCTTGGAATGTGACTCGAAGGAGTAAGATGTCTGGGTGTAGACGGCGAGGGTGCCGGCCGCGTTAGGAACAGCCGAGGATCGCCTCGGCGCGCCAAGGAGGACCCTGAGGGTGGTTAATTATATTTTCCCCAAGAGAGAGCAGCTATTCTGATACGATCCTTGGGCATGATACCACAAAGATGGTTTGGCATTCAAGAATGACTCACTCGGGTGTGAATTTCATGGAGCGGATAGCCATCACCTGGGTATGATGAGCTGCGATAAGATAGGTAGATCGTGGCTATCAAGGGAGCTTTTCAATGGACTGGAGCTTCCCAAGTTCACTCAGAATGGTAATTAGAGAGGGTTTCAATTTCAAGGATTCTATGTGAAAGAGCAAGAAGGTGCAGGAAAGTTAGAAATGTTATTATGGAGAGAGATTGAGTTACGGTGAGATAAAAGGGAAAGGTGAGGAGAGCAAAGGGGTTGGGGTTGCAACGTGACTATTTGCGGGGTCACGCCACTGATCTACGGGATTTGCGATTTAGTTGATGGATCTAGTACTTGTGGATCTTAACTGAAGAAAATAACACCTTTTATTTCCGATAAAGCTCCCAGAACAAATAGTGAGAAACTATTATTACAAACAACAAAAATAACAGACCATTTACTCTTCTTCCTCTTCGCTCTCATCTTCGTCCATTCCCTCAGCTGCTGTGACGGTGAATGTGGGGGCCTGATCCACGCCGACGTAACTGTCACTCATGAGGTAGAGAGTGAGCTCGTGTTCACCAGGCGTGGGCACCACATATTCCAGGCGCAATTCTAACTTGCGACCAATCGTGACACGCTTGATGGCCAGCAAGTTCTTAGTTTTCTCATCACCGACCACAAGCCACCAGTTCTCCATCTTCTGACTGGGATAGAAGGGGGCGTGGACGACGGTATCAGGCTCCTCGTCCTCTTCCACCTCCCGTTCAATCTTGACCTTGAGGTAGGCAGGGTCGCCGGATGTGATGTTCTCGGGATCTTCAACCTCAAAGTCCAGCTCGATGTTGGGGTACTTCTCGTTGGTAAAAGCTGCCGCTTGCGCTAATTGCTTGTTGTTCAAACCCAGACGCTTGACCAGAGCTGCATAGTCCTTGTTCTCCGAGGGATCCATGGCATCCATAAACTCAAAGATATCATTGATACTGTGTACAAAATCAATATTAGTAGCTGTTGGGGAAACAAATGTAGGGAAGACGTGGACGTACTTGAATTCCTTGGCAGCTTCAATAACTTCAGGGGAGAAGTGGGGAATCTGCTTAAGGGGGCTATCCCGGTCCCACATGGCCTGGACTAGCATCTGCGACAACTCCATGGCGTTCATGGCGTTGAGATGGCCTTCGGAGGAAAGCACATCCACACAGGCACTGAGTAGGTTGAGGACTTTGCGAATGATATCCTCCTGATCCTTGGCGAGATCAATTGGCAATTGCATGCGGGAGAAGTGAGCCTGAAGCAATACAAATGCCTTGAAGTGGGGAGAGTCAAAAGCAGCCTCCGACATCTTGACTGGGCAACGGTCGTAGACTCGGCGGAGGATATGCTCCTCATGACGACGCATTTGAATGGACTCGAATTCGGTGGCGGAAGTGACAATCTCCAGAATACCCTTAAGCTTTGTGCGAGCCGAGAGGGACAACAAGAAGGTTTGCATGGTGATGAAGGAAATATTGTAGTAAGCACTGATCATGGCTGCGTTGAGAGGAGAGACACTGTCATCATCCTCGTCCAGGTCAATGATCTTGGCCTCAGACAACTCCTTCAATGTGTTCTCAACAAGCTCAGACAGGAACGTACTGAGTCCCTCATGACTCACATCCCCGAGACCGTAAAAGCTGGGATTGGCCAGCAGACGGCGGTAGAAATATGTGTAGGTCATCCAATCCACCGCATCCTGAGTAGAAGCGATGGTCTTGGTACTAGCCTCGGTGACAAAGGCATCGTGAAGATACATTTGCAAGTGACTCTCTACCGGCAGGGCCTCGCTTAAGAACTTCTTATAGTACTCACGCTTAACAGCAGGCACCATCAGAACACCACGGCCAATCTTGTCTTGACCCGGCCGAGAAGCCTTACCAAACATCTGAAGAATCTCGCTAATGGGGTAATCAATGTAACGATGTTCGCGACCATCAAAGAACTGAGTGTTCATGACGATCACCAGATGAGCAGTCACTTCCAGTTCCCAGCAGCAATCGCGCGAAGCTAGAAGCACCTGGATGGCACCAATGCTGAACAGGTGAGAAACAATACGCTTGTCAGTAGTGCTCAATGCCTCGTGGTAATATCCAATTCCATGAGACAGCGAGGCGGCAAGCGTCTGCTCTTGGATTCGGCTGAGAAGAGGCGCCAGCTCCTCGACATCCGCATTCAGGAATCGGTCTTCATCATCATCCATACCACAAGCAGCCAAAAGATCCACGGCCGTGGACCGGGTCTGTTTTCGGCTGGGCACGAAAATCAAAGCGGGCTTGTCGGGCGACAGTGATAAAATTGATTGATAAGCTGGTCGGGACATCGCAAGCATCAAAGAGGGAAAGTGAGGAATGGTGAAGGATTGGATGTGAAGTTCCAGGGGAATTGGTCGAGCGTTGGGACTGAAGTTGAAGATGGTGTGCTTATTAGCACCAATCCACTCTCCAATGTCACGAGCATTGGCAAGTGGCACACTTAGTCCGACAATACGCATGGCATTCTCGGTCTGGAGAGCAACGTAGTGCATACGGGAAACGACGACCTCGTAGACATAACCGCCGTAACCTCCCAGCATGTGAAGCTCATCAGCAATAAACAACTGCACTGTTTGCACGTTCTTACGTCTCTGCCATTGTCGAGATAGCACGTCCCATTGGACGGGTGTGGCGAGAACAAGGTCGGCTCTTTCAAGAAGCTTCAAGTCAGCGGTGGTCTCCCCAGTAAGCTTGACAAGAGTTTTTCCACCACCAAGGCCGCTCAAACGCTTCTGCCAATCGGCGAGGCGCGAATCGACAAGCTCTTGGAAGGGAGCAATGTAGACTGCGCGGCCGGTGTTTCCAGTTGACCAGTGGCGAAGGAGAGCCAACTCAGCGCAGACCGTCTTACCACTGCCTGTTGGTGCACCAATAAAGACATTGTCATCCGAATCAAAGACAGATTTGAAGACCTGTGTTTGAATCTTATTGAAGTGCTCCCAGTCGGGATAGAGCTTCTGGTACTCCTCGCGCTTCAAGGCCTTGACAGGTGCACGCTGCATATCCAACAAGGGAGTGTGAGGAGGGAATCGTTCCGGAAGAACCAGCTTTTGGAAAGACACAGCGATCTTTGTCTCGGAGTGCATCCAGCGATCGGAGACCAATGAGATGAAGTAGTTGGGGGGCATTGGCTCCGAGATGGGAACAGTAAATTCAACAAGGTGCTCGTTCATCTCGGCCTGGGCAAATTCACGGCGCAGGAGGAAACGATCATGGAACAAGATCTCCTCGCCATCGCAGTCTTCCACCAAGATCCAGAAATCTTGAGCATTGCCGTGAATGGCATCATCCCAGACAAAGTTAGGAGTGAGAGTTAACTCGACACGAAGCAGGGAGCGGGTGATTGGCTGAACCTGAGCCTGAACTTCAAGTCGCGGGAACTTGGAGACAAGATCACAAACAACGCGTCCAGCCTTGGGCATACCAAGAAGCTCACCCATGCGAGGCGGATCCAAGTCAAAGTAACTGGACCAAGGCACGTCGATCCGTTCGGCTTTCTGCAGAATGTCCCTAGGGCAGGTAGGGAATTGGCGCAGAGGGGACATTGTAGGCCACATTCGCTTCTCAGCCATCTTACAGAGGTCAAGCGCAGTCTTGGCCACAGATGTCCATCCCTTTTTCAAGCAGATTTCGAAAATAGCTCGGATGATACGACCAGCGGATTGTGTGACGTAAACCATGTCGGCCATTAGGGCCAATCCATCCAGCTTCAGTCGAGAAATATAGGCCTGGAGCAGAACGTTGATCTTCGCGTGAGGCTCATCAATTGTCTCCTTGACAGGGACCGGTACTCGACCCAAAAGCTTGCCCAACTCCAATTTCTCGTCTTGGCGAACAGGGATGTACTTAAATTCGTCACTTAGGGCAAAAATTCGGAACAGCTCGATGGTCGTAATTGATGGCTGAAGGTGCTGGGAGTAAGTGAGCATGGAGTTGTGGCCAATGTAGTAGTGCGAAGAAATCCGACCCAGCTCAGTTGCCTGGAGCCGCCCTGTCTTCTTCTCGTACTTGACCAGTCCAGCTTTCTCAAGGACAGCAGCAGCGGAGTGAATAAGATCAACCCGTTTCTGTTCCAAAGCATCATCATTCTCGTAGTCCGTGCCCACGCTGTACAAGCCAGGCGAACGAAGCATCCGAACATAGAGGTATGTGTAGCCTAACCATTCTACACCTTCATCTCGAGTACGAACGTTGCCCAAAACGATTTCAGCGTTGAGGTTGTCTGCAAGCTTGCTCATGAGTTGAGATTCAATTGGCAACTGCATGTTCATGAGGGAAAGGTAGTATTGGATCTCGGATTGAGAAGTGATGATAATACCCTCTCCAAAAGTGTCGTATTGAGGTCGACCAGCACGTCCGAGCATCTGCAGAACATCCTGTGGACTCAGCTCAACCCAGCTACCCTTCTCAGGAGAGTAGACTTGTGTTCCCTTGATAATGACAGTGTGCGCAGGGAGGTTGACACCCCAAGCCAGAGTGGCAGTACACACAAGGACCTGAATGCTACCGTCGGCAAAAAGTGCCTGGACAGAATCACGATCCGCAAGACTCAAACCAGCGTGATGAATACCCAGACCATAAGGCATAAGATCCTTAAGGGAGGCATCATCAACAGACTCGGCCTCCTCCGAAAGAATGGCACGGCTAGCAGCATCACTGCGAAGGATTTGTCCAATTGTTTCCATTTCAATGGCCTTGTCCCTGATATATTTGGCTGTCTTCGCGGTTTCCTTTCTTGAGTGGACGAAGATAAGCATCTGGTTGCGACGTTGACCAACTTGCTCCAGAACCTTGTTGTAGCAAATGTCGTTCATTGTCTTGAGCTGCTTAATTGCCTTTTTGTCTGTAACACCGATGAACTCCTGCTTCAAGGGGCAAGGACGGTATGAGCCATCAAAATGAAAGACTCCCTTTTCAGGATCCGCGCGCAGAAAGTTTCCAACATCGCGGTAGTTGGGAAGGGTAGCACTGAGACCAACAATTCGGACAGGATCACCAGTTTGCTCCACACGGCGAATCGTGCGACTGACAATGCTCTCAAGGACAGGACCACGATCATCGTGTAGAAGGTGAATCTCGTCAATGACAATAAGACGGACCAGATTAGTGTAGCTGGTTTCGGATGCCTTTCTGGTGATAACGTCGTACTTTTCGGGAGTGGTGACAATGACCTGAGTGTCAGCGATTTGCTGCTTGGTGAGCTGACGATCACCAGTGAGCTCGGACACCCGGATACCGTATGGCTCGAGACGTTTACCAAGGTTTCCAACTTGCTCTTGGACCAGAGCTTTGAGAGGGGAGATATAGATGATCTTGAAATCATCCAGCATGATCTCTCCAGTTTCCGCATTGCGATGTTTGCCAATTTCCCGCAGGATAGTTAGCATAGCAACGTTGGTTTTTCCAGAACCCGTGGGGGCACAGACGAGAAGATTGCCGTCATCGTGGAAGGCTGAAGGGTAACACTTTGTCTGTACACGGTTCAGCTCCTTGGAGCTTCCAAATCCAACGCGAGCCCAGTCAGGCAACTCGGTGGTCGGTATATTCTTCTCCCCAGCATCCCGCTTGGCCTTGGGCGGCGGAACATGAATCTCCTCGTAACCCTTGAAAGTGCGCTTTGTTGATCCCTGAGGAAGCTTAACATTAGGATTGGTCATGAGGTGATTGCCCTGGTGGAAAACCAAATTCTCAAGGTTGATAAGCTTCTTGGGCTGCAGACCGCCGACCAAACCACCGTCAGTAGCTGGCTTCTCCTCTTGTGTTGGCGCTGATGGAACATCAACATCCATCAGATCCAGCTTCATCTTCTTCTCTGGGCGATCAGCGAGATCATCACGTGCTGACTTTCCGCGGATTTCATCCAGAATACTGCGGTGACCAGCCTCGACCATTTGACTTTCGACAAGATTGCGCGCATCAGCATCTTCGGCAACTTGTCTCCAGCGAGTAGCCCAGACGACTTTGTCGCGGTTTGTCACCAACTTGGCGACAACCTCCGCATGCTCATAGTCGAAAAGCTCCATCAGGTCGTTTTCAACATCACGAAGAGCTCGTTCAGATCCATCCTCTGCCTGACCGCCAAGAACCTCCAGCGCTTGTTGGGTCTTCTCTTGTTGGACATGGGCATCTGAATACAACGCACCGATTTGCCGTTGTAGCCAGTAGGCGTCGATCTCGCGAGCAGAAACATGTAGCCCAGCTTTGTCACCAGCCTTATTATCACGATCGAGACCCCCATCAATAATCATTTCGTCACCGTCATCCAGGTCTTGGGCTGATTGATCGATGTCGGCTTGTTCTTGGTCGTCGGCTTCGTCCTCGTCGCTGTCCTCGTCTCGGATTTCGTCAACGGTGCCTATACGCTCTTCGTCTTCGTCTTCTTCGTCAAAGACAACGGCAACACCTTGGCGTTCATCGAGTTCCGCATCTGCATCGTCGAAGCCGCCATCCATATCCTCGTCCTCATCTTGTGCCTCGTAGTCTGTAATTTTCTTACCAAGGTTCACAAGCTCGTTGAACTCTTTCGGATTCATAGAACTACCCATAAGATCGTCAATTTCCTTCTTCTTGTCAAAATCCTTCAGATTTTCATCCTTGAGGTATTCCAAAACGGCATCGGCGGCACTTCGCACGACCTCGTGGGGCACGTCGCCAAGGTGGCTTCCGGTGATTGTGAGAATAAGGTCGTAAGTTGCTCGAGTCGCAGGTGTTCGTGGGCGGTATTTCAAGCCTTCGATGAGAGCATCGGCAGCTGAGAGAATACCTTGGCCTCGTAATTGTGCTGGTTGGCCGCGTCCGCGCTTTTTCTGCTCCCGGGACAACACGTCTTCGCCTTCGTGGATCGCACCCCGTTCGATTTCGGTCGGACCGGCCTTCTTTTTCGACTTTGGTGCATCGTCGCGTGCTATGCGGGAGCCCATCTCTCGGATTCCAATACGGCCTGCGAGAGACTCGGGGTCTCCGGTAGCCTCATCGTTGGTTCGGCTGATGAAACGACGGTCCGCCTGGAGAACCAGGTTGGACATCGCCGAATACTTATACTGAGAGATATTTTGGTCCGCCATCTTGGTGGTGTAGGAGGTGTGTCGTTAAGAAGATTAGAGAAGAAAAGAGAAAATGAGTAAGTCGCGCGACTCAAAACGGCTTGATTGCGCCGATCTAAAAGACGTCCACGCCGCACGTCAAAAAGGAGGAATTGAGAAAATTCAAAGGGTCTCACAAACCTGGCTCATCCTCCGGCCGCAAGTGAGAGGACTTGAATAGGAGGGAGAAATGAAGGCCAAGGTTTCGTGTTGGGTTCAAGCCAAGGAGAAGCAGCTCGGGAAGATTTCGGTGGCGAAGGCGGAAGAGAGGGGAGCTTCTTAGTTCTGCCGCTCTCCAGACGATGACCTCTCTACATGCGCCGTAACAATGCGCATAGTTGGGCCTCCAATCTTACGGTTAACTCAATTGACGCCTTTTTCACGCCAGCTAGTAGGAGCAGCACACATTTGTCGTGTATCAGCCTACAAATGCCATTTTCATCGAACCATATGTCACCATGCGCGTCGCGCTATACTACACCCACGCGTATCTATCAGCGCGACGCAATCTCGAATTCGGAAGGGTGCCAAAACTCAGGCCACTGTGAAGTTACAAGACCTCCCGCAGGGTGTGATCAAGTTGGACACTTATGATGATGGGGTTGATGATGCTCCCCGCTACCCGACTGTAGTCCAAGGACACCGCAATAATATGCAGAAATTCAAGAACTGTGTGATCCTGACTAGAGTCGGGGGCTTCTACGAGGTATTTTCAGTCTAAATACAGATAGACAAAGTTTGCTAATAATCTTATATAGCTTTACTTTGAACAAGCCGAAGAGTTTGCGCCGTTGCTTAGTTTGAAACTCGCGACTAAAAGAACCAGCGCCGGACCAGTTCCCATGGCTGGATTTCCCTTTTTCCAATTAGATCGTTTCCTCAAAATCCTTGTTCAGGACCTTAACAAATACGTCGCTATCAGTGAGGAGTTTGCTCACGAGGCGGAAGACAAAGCTCGATCAGGAGGCTTACTATTCGATCGAAAAGTGGCCAGGATCGTCACCCCAGGCACCTTGATCGATGAAAAGTTCATTGACCCTTCCGAAAACAATTTTTTGTTGGCCATATATCTAGATATTCCTGATTTGAAAGTCCAATTAAACCAACATGTTGACCCTGAGTCCTCTCAACATGTATTGTCCTCCGTGCCGCAGCGTGTAGGGTTGTCTTGGTTGGACCTGTCAACAGGAGACTTCTTTACTCAACTGACAACAGCACAGACGCTTCCATCTGCCATTGCCAGGATCGGAGCTCGTGAAATCCTTGTTGACCAGAATGTCCAAGATCTTATCGGGCAAGAGTTGCAGCAGCTCGTTGGACATGAGCATCGTCTTGTTACCTTCTTTCGATATCCTGAAACATTTGCACCAATGTCAGAATGGAGTTCAATGCTCGAATCTCCAATCCCAGAAGATACGCATGCAACCTTTACTCCAGAAGAAGTAGCCGCGGGGTATAGCCTATTGGAATATATTCGAGTGCAACTGCAAGGATCGAATCTCAAACTCCAGCCGCCCCGTCGGAGACATCTGGATGAGTCAATGAGTATTGACCGCAATAGCTTGAGAGGACTTGAGATGTTAGAAACCGCACGAGATGGGTTTGGGAAGGGAAGTTTGCTTCACGCGGTGCGCAGGACTTCTACCAAGAGTGGTGCCCGTCTTCTGCGCGATCGACTCAGTGGGTTTTTGAAAGCCTATCTAACTTTTCCACTGCTGACTTGTCTTGCGAAGCTTCTCCATCCACGTCACTTACGGCCATTAATGAGCGGCTTGACCTTGTCTCAATTTTTATCGAAAGCGAGGACCTACGATACAGCGTAATGCAATTGCTAAAACGCAGCTATGACTCCCAACGATTAGTACAGAAATTTGCGATGGGTAAGGGAGACCCGGATGATTTGATCTGCCTTTCACGAGCCATCGAAGCCTCTAAGGGTGTGAAACAAGTCCTTTCTGACTATGCACGACTGCTGCCTGAAAATGCATCGGATGCCAAAATCAGTCTCACATCAATGATTTCACGCCTTTATCTTGAAGGACCCACTGCCCTTGCCGACAAAATTCTGGCCGCCATTGATGAAGAGGGCCTTCTTCAGCAGCAGCGTATTCAGGATAGCACCGCTGCTGAAGCAGCCAGCTTGGCACAGGAGGTTACCATAAATGAAGGCACTTCGACTGATTTGGAGTCATTGCCCAAGAAAGTCAAAGCCAAGAAGGGTGACAAGACGGCAGCCGAGCCGGAAGCTGGGTTGATCGAGACATGGATCATGAGACGTAATGCGAGTGAAGGGCTGAACGCTCTTCATACGGAGCTAGAAGGGTTGTTGGATGACAAAGTCGCATTGATCAAACGGCTTCGCGAATATGTAGGATCTCCAGCCTTGAATTTGAAGTGGACTCCTGGTTTGGGTCACATTTGCCACGTTAAGGGAGCCAAAATTTCACAGGCGTCTCTTGAAGAGTTAGGAGTGACTCGAAATGTCTCGTCAACCAAATCAACCCGCTCCTTTTATCTCCCGGCATGGACAGAACTAGGAAATAAATTGGACCGTGTCACAGTCCGCATTCGCCAAGAAGAACAGGCAATCTTTGAACGTCTACGTCGTGAAGTGATTCTGAACCTTGTTAAAATCCGCCGCAATGCAGCTGTCATGGATGAGCTGGATGTTGCCTGTTCCTTTGCCACGCTTGCTCAGGAACAGCAAATGGTTCGGCCTATTCTCAACGACGGGACCACTCACAAGATCGTGGGAGGAAGACATCCGACAGTGAAACTCGGCTTGGAGGAGAAGGGCAGATCCTTCGTGAGCAACGACTGCTTCCTCGGTGATCAGGAACGGATCTGGCTCATAACTGGTCCAAACATGGCAGGTAAAAGCACATTTCTGCGCCAGAATGCTTTGATTACCATCCTCGCGCAGGTGGGTTCATATGTCCCTGCAGCATACGCCGAGATAGGTATCGTGGACCAGATCTTTAGTCGCATCGGAGCAGCGGATGACCTCTTCCGTGATCAGTCGACATTCATGGTAGAAATGCTCGAGACTGCTACTATTTTGAAGCAGGCTACCCCACGGTCCTTTGTGATCATGGACGAAGTGGGCCGGGGCACCACTCCCGAGGACGGAACGGCTGTCAGCTTTGCTTGTCTTCACCACTTGCACTACCATAATCAGTCCCGTACACTCTTTGCTACACACTTTCACGGCTTAGCAGACATGACAGAGAAGTTTGAACACCTGGAGAGATACTGTACCGATGTGAAAGAGACAAGCTCTGGTTCCTTCTCCTTTGTTCATCGTCTTCGCAAAGGCGTCAACCGCGAGTCACACGCATTAAAGGTTGCCCAGCTGGCTGGCCTCCCTCGCGAGACAATTGAATTGGCGACAAGTGTACGCCAGGAGTTGAGAAATGAGATCCATCCACCCCGGTCTAATTGAGACTTATCTCTTTTGCAGGGGTAAATGGAGTTCAAACAAGATCTAACGCATTTCAAAAACTCTCTTTTCCTTTCGAACTGTCTTCGATACTCCCAATTTAAAGTTGACCTCATTTGTAAATTGGCTTGTACATTACTCGAGGGCGTTTGTGTATACTTCTGAGGCTCCATCCAGCTCCATGACATTTGAATGAATGAAATTTGTTGAATAAGTCCTACAGCGGAAAATATGAATGGCTACCAATGTTGTTTCGTGGTACTGTATGTACTATCAATTGTACGTCCTCAGGTGCTATATATCCTAGGCTAGGTATGGATTGAGAAGCGAAACAAAGATATGTATTTCGCTCAAGGCATTGGATATAGAACAAATAGTTAATGTACAACGTCGCAATGGTGCTGATTATTGTTGTCCAAGGGTATTAACCAGATGATCCCCGGAGGATCTCTAAGAAGCTCCTGCCACGAAGATTGTTTGCAGCATATACCCGCAAACTTCCATATCAAGATTATCACCCAATTTCATTCGAGCCTCTCAAACTTTCTGGGCGAATGGCAGAGAAAATGCATCTTGTGGTTAGAGCGTGGACCCCCTCTTCAATTCGGCCAACGATCACCTAGCCTCGGCGGCTAGCGTCGGTCAAGAATTTTGCATATTAAGCTCATGTTGAGGTAGACAGCAGAGCTTCGCGCTGCTGGCAAAACGCTAGCAATGTAATCGCAGGACCCATCGCTGCTCGGGAAAGGAACCAGTGCGCGAATTCCGTCCACAACGGTTCATGTCAATAAACAGAAAAGGCATGTTATGATGATCAGCTTGCATCTGGTCCCCGTGACTCCAGACGAACCTTTTTCGCTCGTCGTTTCATTTCTCGTTTCGAAATGGGCTTTTCAGCTTCTTCGGCAACAGCCTCGGAGCCGATAGATGCCTTTCTCTTCAAATTATCAGTGCCTTTATCCTGCTGGGACTTCTCTGTGCTTTTTTGGTTCGATGCGGTGTTCTCTGGATTGGCTTTTTCCCCGCCGTGAACAATGTCAACGATACCGCGCCAGCTGCTTCGTTTCAGCTTAGCTAGCGCAGTAACCTTCCGCGCCTCTTCGCAGATCGCCTCCTTGCCGCGTTCTTGTGACAGACCCCAGACGCATGTTAAATTGATCACATCCCACGGAGCTCGCAGGTTCAACGCCCTCCGAGCCTCACTTGACACGATAATACCGCGACCGCGTGTCGCTCGAATCAAGGCCATAGCATTCCCAATAAGATTTCGGCGAGCATCCACACCACTGCCCGTGACCCCTGGACCATAGGATATCTCCAGACGAACACCACGTGACACCGCGGCGGACAACATCTTAAATTTGAAGTGGTATGGAAGGCGCACCGACAGATCAAGTGAGATCACATCGCATTCCAAGTTGGTACAGGCATTGAGGAGAGCCTTTTCATTTGTAGGTCGAAGCGCGACCAAATCGTATGCCTGAGTCAAATTGTTCAGACGTTGGTTCTGGGCGGGGTCTGAGAGGGTCAAGTTCAGGCGGGTCAATAACTGGAGGGATTTAGGCGGGTTCGAAGGAAGAGGTGGCGGTGTGAGGCTGGGGGGAAGCTTCCCAGTGATTGTTTGAGATAAAGCGATGGTAGTGTAACCAACTTGAGAGTCAGGTCAGTACCTCATGTGGTCTAGAGATATCCATGTGAGATTAGGGCTTGCAGAATGACTTACGTTCAGCCAGGAAATTTAAGGTGTGGGGCACCTCTGGGTCATCCGGGCTATATGGGACGTTGAGATCATAAAACATGATGTCTCGGGCCCTTGCAAAATAAATAGGCAGCGGTAGCCAGACTTCAAGCTGGAGATCTTGCAGTAAAGAAATCCAGGTCACGAAATTGTCCGAAACAGGCAACCCAAAATTAGCCCGGAGGAACCTTTCTCCGCAGCCCACAGCCTAACTGCTTTCAGACTGCTCTCCACATAGCAATCCCGTGACAAGGCGGAACAGGAGATCTCGCTCTCATAATAATATCTCCCCCTCCATATCTCATTGCTTCCAGGACGGATCGATCGAACGGCTACGTTCGAGCTGGTCAGTTGCTGGGCCTTCCATTTCTCTATTTTCTGATTTTCCTCACATCGCGACCCTTCTCTCCCTAGTCGTCCGGTCGCGACCCCCACCCAAAACCCCGCCGTATCAGATTTCGATTGTGGGCGGACTCGGAAGCCATCTGCGGTTATCATGGCGCGCGTTTATGCCGATGTCAACGAGCACATGCCTCGGTCCTACTGGGACTATGACAGTGTCAATATTTCCTGGGGCGTGCTGGAGAACTACGAGATTGTTCGCAAGATAGGTACGATGAATCTGATTGGAGCCATCCCGACCCCGGAGAATGGTGGCATCACCTGCGCCCATGCCGGACATGTGGGGTTCCTCTGATCGACTTCCAGCTGACCCCTTCTATTTTAGGCCGAGGAAAATATTCTGAGGTGTTTGAGGGCATCAATGTCGTCAACTATCAAAAATGTGTCATCAAGGTTCTCAAGCCTGTCAAGAAGAAGAAGATCAAGCGAGAGATCAAGATTCTCCAGAACCTCGCTGGAGGCCCTAACGTTGTCGCATTGCTGGATGTAGTGCGCGATAACCAAAGCAAGACTCCTAGTCTTGTCTTTGAAGCCGTCAACAATACCGATTTCCGGACACTCTACCCCCGCTTTACGGATTATGACGTGCGCTTCTACGTTAATGAGCTGCTCAAAGCACTTGATTTCTGTCACAGCAAGGGTATCATGCACCGAGACGTGAAGCCTCACAACGTTATGATTGATCACGAGAAGCGCAAGGTTCGTCCCATTATATAATATCAGGCAATATCTTTCTATTCTGACCTTTCTCTAGCTGCGTTTGATCGATTGGGGTTTGGCGGAGTTCTACCACAAGGGCACCGAGTACAACGTCCGTGTGGCCTCTCGGTATTTCAAGGGCCCTGAGCTGTTGGTCGACTTCCAAGAGTATGACTACTCTCTGGACATGTGGTCGCTCGGTGCGATGTTTGCCTCGATGATCTTCCGCAAAGAGCCTTTCTTCCACGGCAACAGCAACTCAGACCAATTGGTGAAAATCGCCAAGGTCCTTGGAACCGAGGAGCTCTTTGAGTACCTGGACAAGTACGACATCGAGCTTGACCCACAGTACGACGAGATCCTCTCCCGTTTTCCCCGGAAGCCCTGGCACTCGTTTGTCACCGCTGAAAACCAGCGCTTCGTCAGCGACGAGGCAATCGATTTCCTCGATAAGCTCCTGCGCTATGATCATGCCGTATGTTATGCCAAATTCCAATCTGTATATCACCTGCTAACCCTCGCTACTAGGAACGCCTGACTGCCCAAGAGGCGATGGCACACCCATACTTCGAGCCCGTCCGCGCTGCTGCCCGCAACAATGCATCCCAATCCTGAAATCTTTCGGTGCTATTATGATGGCTTACCTCTGCACTTCCTCCTGTTTTCCTATTTACCTCACTCCATATCGCCCTTACGCTGCCATCAGAATAAGCACCTTGACCATATGGACCCTCTCCTTTTATCTGAGTTTGAACCATACTGCTACGTCGGTGCACGATCGAGAAACGGAAGGAGAACGCTTTGACGCAGCCACCTGGCCATGTCTTCGCTAGGCCTTTCCCTCCTCCAAATGAAGAGTGGCTGCAATGGGTGACCAGACTCTCGAATGGAGACGACATTGATGACAAGACATGACCCCTAATCTTCTTGGGCCCATCAAGCCTACATAGCCTCGGTTCTACTGGCGTATTAGTGAGCGCAATAAATCAGTTGACGTCTTAGAGCGGGAATGGCTTCTCTTCCATACTGCCTAATTGTATAGCGCCTTTCCTTGTCGCGATTTCTCTTCTTTCCCTCGCCGTTGGTCCGGTGTTTTGGTTTTATTCATGTTGTTCCATCCTCGTATTTTTCCTTTGATTTTACACCAGCAATTCATTTCCTGCCTTGATGCACAGTTTCTCTTGGAGTGATGGGGTTGGGAGGTATTTATGTTGCTGACCGCGTTCACGAGGGATTTGAAGAGATAAATGCATTCCAACTTTCGAAACCACGAGCATCCTACGTAGGAAACGTTTGAATATGGGAACCAAAAGCGCCAAACATAACAAGCATACACCACCCCAGCTGTAGTAGCCTCAGCTGTATAGATCAGATCGCCCGTTGGCACCAGCGCCATCACGTGAGACCGCGCTCCTATTTTCAAACTTCAAAAGATAACAAGAACGCGATTTAGTTGATAGGGTTATACGACACCAAGGAAATTCTCCAACTAATTAAATCAATGTTGGATGTATATGTTTCTTCCATACTCATTGAGTCATAGTCCTGCACGTCTCGGGGTCTCCACCGATCCTCAGTTGAGCCCCGCCTTCTCATTCGTTGCCTCTGCGTGGGAAATTTAATTTGCCCGCATTTCGCACAACCACCCCTCCTTCTTGTCCGCAACTCCCTCAAGATACTTATCAGGCGATTCGTGGCGCGATCGGCGCCTTGGAGATTCACTCCGCAATATCGATCATTTTCTAGGATGGCTCAGAACTCTGCCCAAATCCCCAGTACGTCCTCCCACCACTCAAAAGACGTGACTCATCCTGTTTGCGGTTGCATCACTAACACTTTCGTTGATAGCTGGGGAGTCTAATGCCCCCGCCGTCCAGCAAACCCAGGCTGAAGGCGCACAGGATGCCTCCGCTGCTCCTAAGGTGAAGACCGAGAAGGAACGTATGTCAACCCCGCCGACCCTTCGATCGATTTACATTACCCTCCGATAAACCCATATACTATGACGATACAAGACGACCGGCTGACATTGTGATGCTTCTTTAGTCGAGCGCGAGCGCAAGAAGGCCGAAAAGGCGAAGAAGTTTGCTGAGAAGCAGGCTAAGGCCGCTAGCAAGCCCGCCGCTGCTCCCAAGGCTGACAAGAAGGTCGCCAAGGTTGAGAAGGAGAAGACCGCAGACGCCTACGACCCCAAAGTTATTGAGACTGGCCGCCTCGACTGGTGGGAAGAGCAAGACCTCTTCAAGCCCGAATGGGGTCCCGATGGCAATGTCAAGCCCGAGGGTTCCTTCGTCATTCCCATTCCTCCCCCGAACGTTACCGGCTCCCTGCACATGGGTCACGCTCTGACCAACGCCCTGCAAGACACCATGATCCGCTGGCAGCGCATGAAGGGTAAGACCACCTTGTGGCTTCCTGGAATGGACCACGCTGGTATCTCTACTCAGAGCGTTGTCGAGAAGATGCTCTGGAAGAAGGAGAAGAAGACCCGTCATGACTTGGGACGTGAGGCTATGACCAAGTTGATTTGGGACTGGAAGGATCAATACCACGCCAACATTAAGAATGCCTTGCGCAGAGTTGGTGGTTCCTTTGATTGGTCTCGTGAGGCTTTCACCATGGACCCCAATCTGTCCGCCGCCGTGACTGAGACTTTCGTTCGCCTCCACGAGGAGGGTATTATCTACCGTGCTAACCGTCTGGTCAATTGGTGTGTGGCCTTGAACACCTCTCTTTCTAACCTTGAGGTGGAGAACAAGGATCTTGAGGGCCGAACTCTCTTGGACGTGCCTGGTTATGATAAGAAGGTCGAGTTTGGTGTTCTGACTCACTTCTGCTATGAGATCGATGGCAGCACAGAGCGCATCGAAATCGCTACTACTCGTCCGGAGACTATGGTCGGTGATACTGGTATCGCTGTCCACCCCACCGACAAGCGCTACGGGCACTTGATCGGCAAGAACGCCCGCCACCCCTTCATTGACCGTCTCATGCCTATTGTTGCCGATGAGGGCGTTGACCCCGAATTCGGTACTGGTGCCGTGAAGATCACCCCCGCTCATGACTTCAACGATTTCAACCGTGGCAAGCAGCACAACCTTGAATTCATCTCCGTCATGAATGACGACGGTACCTTCAACAAGAACGGTGGACCTTTCGCTGGCATGAAGCGTTTCGATGCTCGTTACGCTGTCATCAATGCCCTGAAGGAGAAGGGCTTGTATGTGAAGTGGGAACACAACCCCATGAAGGTGCCTCGTTGTGCCAAGTCGAACGATGTCATCGAGCCCATCCTTAAGCCGCAATGGTGGATGGCGATGGAGAGTCTCGCCGGGCCTGCTATCAAGGCTGTGGAGAATGGCGACATTATTATCCGCCCCGAGAGCGCGGAGAAGAGCTACTTCCGCTGGATGCGCAACTTGAATGACTGGTGTCTGTCCCGCCAGCTTTGGTGGGGTCACCAGGCCCCCGCCTACTTCGTCAAGATTGAAGGCGAGCAGGGTGATGACAGTGATGGTAACCTCTGGGTGACTGGTCGCACTGAGGAGGATGCGCGCAAGAAGGCCGAGGCCAAGTTCCCTGGAAAGAAGTTCGAGCTGGTGCGTGATCCCGATGTCCTGGATACCTGGTTCTCGTCTGGCCTGTGGCCTTTCTCCACACTGGGATGGCCTCGCAAGACTCACGACTTTGAGCAATTGTACCCCACTTCGGTTCTGGAAACCGGCTGGGATATTCTGTTCTTCTGGGTCGCACGTATGATCATGCTTGGTATCAAGATGACTGGCCAGATTCCCTTCAAGGAGGTCTACTGTCACTCTTTGATCCGTGACTCCGAGGGCCGCAAGATGTCTAAGTCTCTGGGTAACGTCATTGATCCCCTGGATGTCATGGAGGGTATTGAGCTGCAGACTCTTCACGACAAGCTGTTGCTCGGTAACATGCCCGACAAGGAGATTGTCACTGCTACCAAGTACCAGAAGAAGGCTTTCCCCAAGGGTATCCCTGAGTGTGGTGCTGATGCCCTGCGCTTTGCCCTTGTCTCCTACACCACTGGTGGTACGTGATACTTTGACCTCTAACTTTCATGTTCATTTACTAACATATTTTGTCTAGGTGGCGACATTGCTTTCGATGTCCAGGTTATTCACGGATACCGTCGCTTCTGTAACAAGATTTACCAAGCTACTAAGTTCGTCCTTGGTAAGCTGGGCGACGACTTCAAGCCCCAGGCTAAGGTCACCAAGACTGGTCACGAGTCCCTGTCCGAGCGCTGGATTCTGCACAAGTTCAACATGGCTGCTAAGGAAGTGAACGAGGTCTTGGAAAACCGTGAGTTCTCCAGCGCTGCCAACATCATCTACCAGTATTGGTACAGCCAGCTCTGCGATGTGTTCATCGAGAATTCGAAGTACCTGTTGGCCGACGATGCTTCGCCCGAGACCCGGGAGTCGGCTAAGCAGACCCTCTACACCGCGCTTGAGGGTGCTCTGACCTTGATCCACCCGATCATGCCCTTCGTGACCGAGCACTTGTGGCAGCGTCTGCCCCGCCGTCCCGAGGACAAGACTATCTCCATCATGCGGGCCAAGTACCCCGAGTACCAGGCTGAGTTTGAGGATCCGGCTGCCGAGGCTGCCTATGAGCTCATTTTGAACAGCTCCAAGGCCATTCGCTCGATCCTGGCCCAGTACGACGTCAAGACCAAGGGCGATGTCATCATCCAGACCTACGACGCCACGAGCCAGCAGACCGTCTCGGAGCAGATCACCACCATCAAATCACTGGGTGGCAAGACCCTGGGTGAGCTGTCCCACCTCGGCCCCGAGAACAAGACCCCACCGGCTGGGTGTGTCGTGGCTGCCGTTGGCGCTGAGGCTGCTGTCTACTTGCGCGTGTCCAAGGAGGTTGCTCTGGAGCAGGAGGAGAAGGCCAAGGCTGCTCTCGAGAGAGCCCGTGAGACCGTGCGCCGCTCCCAGACCATTATGAGTGCTCCCACCTGGAAGGACAAGGTCAAGGTTGAAGTTCGCGAGCAGGAGGAGAAGCGACTCCGTGACGCAGAGAGCGAGGCTGCTCACTTGGAGGAGCAGATCAAGGAGTTTGAGAAGCTCCGTCTTGAGTAAACTGCTTAATTGGTCAATAGAGTAAAAAGTATAACACATGAATGAATATCCATTTCTATTATTCCATTATCTTGATTAGCACAGTTATTTCTATTGCGTAAATAATAATAGCAGTGTTCCTTGATATCAATTCTTGTGGTGTATCCTTATCGATAAGAATGCCAAGCCTTTCCCCCAAAACTTTTCTGCGTTTTTTACTCCGAGTCCTCTTCAAGAAAACCACAGCCCACCATCATGTCGCTGCGTGAAATGTACGTTTGTGAAAGTCATCCAATCACAGTATTTTCGCTAACACAGCCCTTTCAGTAAAGCAAAGAACCCGCGCACTGCGCGTATCCTCAAGGCGCGCGAGCCTCAACTCATCGAGAACCCGAAAAAGACCCTACTGCTGCACGGCACCAAATGTCCTCAGGCACTTGATACCGTCTTGAAGACATTCAACTCCCTGACCAAGCCTAATTCCGTGCTTTTCCACAAAAAGAATGCCAATGTTCACCCCTTTGAGAACACCGAGAGCCTTGAGTTCATGGCAAACAAGAACGAGTGCGGATTGGTAGTCTACGGAAGCAGCAACAAGAAGCGCCCCAACTGTCTTACACTTGCCCGAATTTATAGCTCACAACTATTGGATATGTGTGAGCTGATTCTGCTGCCGGCCGCCGAGGCTGGTGATATCCCCCCGATCAATGAGCTGGTCATGCACGTCGGCGCAGGATTGCGCCCAATGATGCTCTTCGCAGGAAGCCCCTGGGAAGACCCGACTTCGACATCTCACGTTATGCTCAAGAGCTTCTTCTTGGATATGTTCAAGGGCGAGGAGACCGACCGTATCGACGTTGAGGGTCTGCAGTACGTTCTGATGGTTGCCGCCGAGGAGCCCCGCGACGGTCTGTCCCCGGTTGTGCACCTGCGGTGGTACAAGGTAATTACCAAGCGCAGTGGTCACAAGCTGCCCCGTGTTGAACTGGAGGAGATTGGTCCCAAGTTCGATTTCAAGATTGGACGGATGCGTCCTGCCGCTGCCGATGTCATGAAGGAGGCCATGAAGCAAGGCAAGCGACCGAACGAGGAGGCGAGAACCAAGAAGAACATTGTCACAGATGCAGTTGGTGACAAGATTGGTCGTGTGCACTTGGCCAAGCAAGATCTGGGCGGCCTCCAGACTCGTAAGATGAAGGGTCTCAAGCGCCGGGCCGGTATGGAGTCGGACGAGGACGACGACGAGGAGTTGGAAATGATGGATGTGGATGATATTTTGGATGAGGAGGAGAGCCACAAGCGGGCTCGTACAGACTAGACCTGATCTACTTGCATGTTGTAACTTCTTGTCAAGGCGTTCTCTTTGGGCCGGTTTAGGGTTTGTGCTTTTTCGACTGCAAATCTGCAGGATATCATGTACCGTCATGGAAAAGTATGTTCTATATTTGACTGTGACCACCAATACAGCCAACCATTTATTCTAGGATTAAAATATATCACCAATCTTTAGAGTTTTAAACATAATCCATGTGAAGCTTGGGTAAACGTGCGGTCCACGTGACCATGACGTCGGCCTCTCGGCATAGTCTCACATGCCGAGGCCCTTTTCCTCGCGCTGGTCCGACGCAAGTGCCGTCTATCTCTTCCCCTCCATACCCTCCTTTATTCTTCCCCTAATGACCTTTAACAACTTCCGGACTTGTCGCAGTGGTGAAATCGCCCAGTAGTCTCCCTCGTCTACGTTTGACCTTCCGAGGTCCAGGCCCCGCGACGCCATGGATACACTCTTAGTGAGTACCTGTCCCGCCTGAAGCACATGCAGATGTACAATACTAACAGATGATACTGCAAGACCCAACTGGACGCCCTCGTCCTCAAGCCCGAGCTTGCGCCATTCTTATCACTAATAAAAGGTGCCCGCAATGGTATCGTCTACGGGTCAAAAGTGCGGTTTCCGCATGCCCTGGTGTATGTGACCCCGGAGCTCTTGGACCGAGCAGATACTTTGGGGGAAACAATCCAAAACTGACCTTCGGATCTTCGCTCAGCATGATATTTTTATTCCGATCAGGAACGTAAGTACAGCCGCTTCCCTCGTTGTTCTCTGACGCTTCAAGATTCCCGTCGGCTAACGGAAGGAACCTATAGATTCCGAGAAAAGGTCAAGCTTGTCCTGAAAGCAACAAGACTACATGCGCGAAACCTTGCCACCTTTGCGATGATATATAAACTGTCGATGATCGTTCTTCGAAACATCAATCCCTCTGAGCGAGGAAAGGAGGGTCGGTACGATAGCTTCTTTGCGGGCTTGTTAGGAGGATATGCGGTCTTCGGACGACAGCCCGGAAGTGTCAGCCAGCAGGTATGAATACGAGGCACTGAGTATCAGGGTAAATAAGTCATCGATATTGGAAGCTAACGCCTCTCAAGATCGTCATCTACATTTTCGCTCGCGTGATGCTGGCCCTCGGTAAACTAGCCGTCGAGCCCAACATGCACCCCCTCTCCCCTCTCTTCACCCCGGAAGCCCGGGCCAAGATTTATGATCACGCCTGGCCCGCATTCGCCAGCTGCAGCTGGGCTCTTGTTATGTATATTTTCCGATGGTACCCTGAGACCTTGGCGTCTAGCTTGCGAAGTAGCATGGTCTATATGTATGTCGCCCCCTTCGCCCTCTTGATTTCTCACTGTTTGTCAACTAAGTACGGTGCTAATCTATCTGGCCTTACAGTTATGAGGACTCAGACCATTGGGACTCATTGCGAAACCTGCTTCTTCATAACAAATGAGCTTCCAGCGATGCACCACGGCGATTGGCTAATGGCTGATCGCGGGTATCGCCCCGAAGATTATGCCAATCATTCCGAGCATTCTTATTTTCATTATTATCCAACTGGTTTGGATAGCGAACGGCGCATAGAATGGAGTTTTGTTTCAATTTGATAAGATGTTGTGCGTTCCTGCCAGGTGCCTCTCATCTTAAATTATCCTGTATCATGAGACATGGACCTATACTTTTTTGCGTATATGGAGAGCGATAAATTCTGAAATGCTACATATTGACAACCCATTTTTACCACATAGGACTACAGTACCCTTGGTACTGTGTAGACAAAGGCTAGATAGAGACGAGCGTAGATTGAAAACCCGGTAACAAGAAGCAACTTAAGTCAGAATGCTCAAACAAACGAACTAGTCGGCCTGGAGCCCAATCCACACTTCTCATAAGCCATATCAATCATCTTCATCTGATTCAACGAGTCAGCACCAGAAACCCAATACTGCGTTTTCCGACCCTTGATGCGATTCACAAACTCCTCAAGCTGATACCGGTAAGACATCCACCAAGCCTCACCAGGCAAACCCACAAACTCCTTGCCAGCATCTAGATAGCTATACGCCTTGTGCGACTCCGACTCAACCCACGCCTTCACTACCACCCCGCCAACCTTTTCACGAATAACATAAGAATCCTCCACATCAATCCGATGCCAAATAACAGCATGAACAAACCCATGCAGCGTAACCTTGCGGGTGCGTATCTTCTCCTGCGTCTCAGGGATCGTCTTATCCACCACCGCAACCTCTTTCATACTGACCCTTGCCTCAGAGGGTTTCCACAAGATCGATCCTCGCATGGTAGTCATCGCCTCACCAACACCACCGTTCGGAAAAGCGAACTTGGCCGAGAATTGATAATCACATCGATCGTGGACACCGTCACCAAAAATACTCGTCTGACATTCCAGACACTCCGTCGGCTCTGCACCGAAGATCATCCGCAGGATGCCGAAGTTGTATGTTCCCAACATCATCATACTGCCACCAGCAAGATTGTAGTTAAATTCAATCCCTTCTTTATCGGTGATTAGCGCCGGAACCATCGAGTCCGTATGAACATGCACGACGGCGGCTGGATCAATTAATGACCGGAAAAGCTGCACGGCTGGATGAAAGCGGTTGTGGAACGCTTCGAGTAGAACTGGTGCATTGGGCACCGATAGCTCCGGAAGGCTGAAGAGGATACTGGCTTCTGTTGAGTTGGATGTTGACGGTTTCTCAAGAAGGACATGCTTTCCAGCACGGATGGATTTCACGGCCCATTCGAAATGGAGACTATTCGGCAGAGGGATGAAGATCGCGTCGATATTCGGGTCGTCTAAGATATCTTGGTATGAGTCCTTAACTTCGGGAATACCATGCTTCTTCGCGAAATCTTCGGCGCGAGCTCGATCTCTAGCTGAGATGGCTTGCACAATGACCTCCGGATGGGATTGAGCCGGGGTGATCAGGGCCAGTGGTCTGTACTTGGTTAATACAATGCTTGCTTGTGGGTTGGGACTCGTACGCAATTTTCGCAGCTCCCAGGATACCAATCCGAATTGCATCGGTCTTTTTCTCCACTACTGGTGGACTGAAGGCCGTGTAAATGCGGGCTAATGTTGATGCCATTGTCGGCTATAGTCCACTCTGATAGACAGAAGTCAGCCTCAAAACTTGGAAGTAGATGAATTGGCAAGGCACTGTAGACTTAATGGCTCGGCTCTGAAGAATAATTTGTACGTGATGATTTATTGCTTTATATACTCAAAATCTTTATACTAGGGATATACTCGGACCGGGACAATATTGATGTTTCGGGGCAAAAGTTCAGCCGACGGGGAGAGACAGGAATACCTGGAGCAGCGGTTGATTGGCTGTTCATTTCTGAAGGATTCCCTCGTCACAAAATATGTGTCTTTCTGAATCAAGGCAGGTATCTTTGATCAGAGAATAAATGCTTATATTTGGATGTATCTTTCAACTATCGATGATAATTCTCCCATGGTCCAAGATCAGTAATTTCATATCCAGAAATATCAAACTCGCACTCCATAACAGGCCGGTCCAGGTTCGATGGCTCTGACAACCACACAATAGCGTATATGAATTTCGACATCGCTTCATGAACCTCACTAGATCGAAGTTGGGCATCGTCCCAGGTTGCGTCAAGTAGCAGGACCTTGTCATCAATCAAAGAGGGAAACCACACAATCCCAAGGTCAGTACGACTAAGAATCTCGAGCGCTCGCATGCGGGGCTCGAAGCTTCCTTCCTGTTCAATTGGCCGCACGGGAGGAAGCCAGTCAAAGATCTGACGTGGAAGACAATCGGAGAAAGTCTTAGCATCGGCTGAACCATCGCTGAGCTGGCCTTTTCCTTCGCCATCCACGATGATATCCGACACGGCGAGACGTTCAATAATAGATGCCACAGGTGCGTGCGAATACATTTCAATCAAAAGCTGGTCCTCCTGTAGACGGTCCAAGAACTGACGCACCGTCTCGCCAGGAACAACCCGGATACGATTAATGGTCTCGTTCATTGTGGGACCATCAATAGTCAACGGATTGGAGCTAGGCTCATTCTCGGCATCTGTGAAAGGCCACGAGCGACCCGACTCAACACTGGCAAAAACGGCCTTCTCACAGCCCATAGTATGCAAATTGAACAGAGCACACGCCGCTTTGGCGATGATAGGCGGTGCAATGGAGAACTCCTCTCGCAGCTTCTTACCTTGGAATATGCCCATAGCTTCTGCTCCTATGAGCTTGTGCGTTATTATGGATATCACTATACACCTCTAAACCGCGCCAGTGTGGAATCCTTGCGCGATTTGCCTTGAGGAATTGTTACGCAGAACCTGCTGCATCTCAGTTTCCGCCTGTTGCTGCTACGTCGAGTCGATCTTCTAGCGATGGGGATAATTCGATCATGATCAAGACTGATCGCTCCATGGGAGCATTCCCAGTCTTAAAACGGTCGAGGAATATTGCATTTACTAGCAGAAATACGCGGCTTGTCATGCGCAGAATACACCGACAGTCCAGTCAAGGCAATTGATGGGGTCAGCTATATGGTCTTCCTTTTTTAATCAGTTCATATTTTTTAGTTTAATAGAATGTACGATACAAGGCAAATGCGAATTGGTCATTTGAAGTCAGCGCGTTTTGAAATGTTGAAACTTAGGGTCAATGCTTCTTTCTCTGAGGGATTGAATGCCCCCGTCGAAACATCTTTCAAATAGAAGTTAAGATAAATAATAAGGCTAGCCACTCTAAGTGGAGCTTTCAGGTGATAGTCGCCCAGGCTCGCTCTCGCTCTCTTAGGTGGGACGTGGAGGCAACTAGCGTTTATGGTGGGTCAGAAGTTGGGTGTCCAACATTTGGGCCGCATTTCTCTTGCTCTTGCAGATCTGTAGTAACTCTTATCTGCAGGAAATTGAGCTGGCAGAGGATCAACTGTCTATACGGCGTACTATGATCAGCCCTCAAAGAATAGCATTAGCCATTGACCAGCTACTACTTAGTAAGCTGCTATTTGGTCGAACGTTCCAAGGTAATCCACGCAACCTGCTCGCTATCAAGTCGTGTATAGTCAATTTACGCAGAAAAATTAAAATATTTTAGTTCCATTGGCCGATATTTGGCACAGATAATGACATAACAATAACACAAATGGGTATGAGAAAGCAAACATGAAAAAAGATCCGCTCAGATACAGTCATAAGACAATCCCAGACAATCTAAGAATAAATCATCAGCCCGGATAATAGGAGACCATGAAACAAGAGAGGACGAATATCGAGGCAGCAAAAAGACTGTGCCTGTAACTAGTGGGCATTGTTTCCATCGATATCCACCAGAACCTTCAAGTTGCCATCCATCCAGTCGACGGTGTCGGCAGATAGAAGAGCAAAGGTCCAATCTTTGTCGTTATCAACTGGGATGAGACCATCCGGAAGCCAGACCTTGACCTTCCAGGCTGCGAGTGCGGCGTTTCGGGCTTGCTGGTCAACAGAGTCGTCATTATCTTGGCCCTGCAAGAAAGGTAGCCCGGGGATTTGGCCCAAGTAGCGGCGCAGGATAGCCTGTTTAGCAGAGTCCACGGTGGGGAGCTGATCAGCGGGGAGATCAATTCGGGGGAGAATACGTTTGCCCTGCTGGATGACGTTGATGCAGAGATAAGTTTGATTGTTGGGATTAGAGGGAGTGACATTGGTTGCATTTTGAATGGGAGCAGGTGGCTGCGGGTGGAACTTGGTATCTGCCATTGGGGCATGGCTGTGAGCTGCTGAAGGGGTCTGTCTGGAGACCTTCTCGCCGATGATCCGCGAGACGTCACGGGTGATACTACTGGCACTATTGAGACGGTTAGTAACTCATCATATTACAGGCGGAGGGAAACATACAAGTCATCGCGTGCGGTGGTATTTCGTCCTCCTCCGATGCGCCAATTCAGATTTGCCACAGAGTCTGAGTGGATGATGCGATGCACGTTGGCATCTTCGCAAGGGCTTGGGCACGGTTCACCATCGTGGATGACACGGTAGTGACTGTCAACAGCTGCCACAAGGCCACGAAATTCAGGCTGCTGAAGACCGGACAGGGAGAAGAGGTTATCCAGCTCGAATTGTTGGTTGTACATATCGTATGATTTGGCAAAGTCGTGGTAGTCAAACGTGTATCCGTCCAAGAAAAGATCAGTCAGACCAAGATCCATGACGTTGGAGGAATCGAGGGAGTCGTGGTGAATCTGGACAGGAGGGGCAGTTGGCATCGTTTGTTCCATGTCGCCGGGGCGATGATCCTGATGTTGCAACTGAAGTGATTGCTCAGGAGAGAAACGTGGACCGTTCATGTCTTGGAAACTTTCGTTTGTTTGACGACGACGACGATCGTCTGCACCCCCACCTTTGCGGGTTTCAATTGCATATTGTCGCTGCCGTTCGTTGGTCACCATTCGTCGCAACAGAGGAATGACAAGGGAGATGATTTTTTGCTGATCACGAGGCCAGATGTAGGTTCGCGGACCCATGCCCTCGTTAACAACGTTCTCTCCGAAGAATCGATCACCATTGCCCTCAGCCTCGAGGAAGTGTCGAACACAGTTCCACAAGCGCAGTTTAACCATTTCGGTGTCTCCTTTACCTCGCTGGCCTACACAGTCGCGTCGCTCTGGGTGTTCATCATTGAGCATGTATCCCTTCGCCGCCGCTTGGAGATGAAGGAAGTTTTCTGGCGACAACTCCAGCGACGCGAACAACTTCGACATTGGCGGACGAGTGTACTTTTTGTTACTAGATGGTTGACGAAATAGCGCGGCAGCAGAGTGAACACCCACCGCACGAGCTTCATTCAAAGACTGCGGCGGCACAGACCGAATATCCATGTTGTCACCAGCGTACCCATGTGAGCCTTGCTGTGATGCTTGCGCATGCTGCTGAGCCCCGGAAAGACCAGCTCCAGCCAGCGCAGGGTCGAGATTATCATCATTTCGCTTTCGTTTCTTCGACACTGTACGAGAGAGACCCGGGCTCTGGGAATGGTCATTCGGAACTCTCAGATGTCTCCCGCTTCCCATGGTAGTACCGAAGTTTGCATCGCCAAATCCATCTTCAGCAAGGTGCATGTCTGTGCCATAGCTGTCCAATTGTTGGTGGCTGACAGCGGTGGCAGCAGCCGCAGCCCAGTGCGATAGATCCGGGTCTTGATCTGCCGCGGCAGTAGCAGCTTCCACCAAGCCTGCAAGCTGATTATCACTTGCCGAGTAACCGTTGTTTGGGTCAAGGTGGGTATTCGAGTTTGATTGAGGGTTTTGGTCGCCTAGCGAAGAAGGGTGTTGGTTGGAGTTCGAGGACATGTTGGGCTATGGCGCAAAGAGGTGAGATTATGTAGTTGAGTTAGTGGTCACTTGGGGAGCAACCCCGGCGGATCCGAGAGCGCGTGGTTTTCGATTTCTGGAACTTCCGATTCAAGCGCGTGGTCAGAGTATTTGCCTTTTCTGTCAAGGTGCTCTTAATTGGCAGAAGAGCAAGTTTGATATGGTGGAGCCGCGGACAGTAGCTTTATCGGACAAGCTCGGTCGCGACTTCAAAAGTTCGCGGATCTCACAGCGAAGGGCCAGGAGGCTTCCTCACCACTGCTGCACCCCAGGTAGGGGTGAGAAGTGCGTGGAAGGTTGGTCGAGGCAATGGTGCCTAGTAACAGTCCGTTTTTGGAGCTATGAAGCTTTACTTGATAAGAGCACGACCAAGGGTGTTTGCGTGGTTTGAAGAAACGACAGACAGTGCAAACCCTGCAGTGGGTTCCTGTGCTTAGGTAAGCACCCACCGCTGCAGCCGTTGAGCGTGAATCCGGCTACGCGGAACTTCATTTTGTGAATTGGCCTTTGACTTCTCTCAGGCCGAGTTCAGGAGCTCAAAGTCATGCTGGATTTCACTCAGGCCTTTGCAGCATCTTGCTTTCTACAGTGAACGCTAGTGCTAGCAATATTGTCTACAGTTATTCATCCTCGGATCCAGCTCCACCACATGGCCCTGTGTTTCAGAAACAGAAAAAGAAATACTCTAGTGGGTATTACGGGACTAACAAAGAAGCAATATCGTGTGGCAATGAGATTTATTGAAGTATCGGGGGTGCCGCAGATATATCCCAGGATCGCAATCAACCTGCATCAGGGGTCTTTGAGGATACCCTGTGCAACAAGACAGACAGCTTGGGTAAGCAAATTGGGAAAAGAATACGGACGAATTGATCAATGACAGGCTGTTCTAGAAAGCGAGAGTCACACTGCGCGATTTCGGTGTAACTGTGGAGCATGGGTTTGGGGATCAAAAGCAACAATGCTAGATCCCTGGAAAAGATCTGCAGAAATTTAGATCGTACAGCATTCCATTGACTTTGGCATATCTACATCCAGAAAACCATGCAAGGCGATATACGACTTGGAGGCATGGAAACAAAGCCCGGGGACGGCACAAGCCTTCCGCAACGCACAAACCCATTGATCAGTCAGGTAGGTGAAGAAATCGCGCACTGCGGAGTTCATTGCGTCTAGGGGTCAATATTCAATATAGACTAGTCATAACTGCAACTCAGCTCGCCACTGGAGAAAACTTGCATAGAGCGTACAGCAAAGTGATCGACAAGAAAAAAAGATACTGCAGGTAGCGAACATCATATCAGAAGTTTGTCCCTGTTGCAGTCTTGAAAGCGAACCCTGGCGACAAGATTCTTCGAGATGAATATCTGGTTCGAGTGTGGGTTATACAGATCACTTTTGACTGGCCCCACAGAGTCCACTACGACCCGAAGGGGCAATTGTCAGGAATGTCTAAATCTAAAAGTTGGCAGATTGTGATATATCAACATCTGTCGCTCCCGGGAACACCCCGCATCGGCCGCATCGCAGTCGAGGAAATCCCCCGAGAAATCCCTTACTTGGTACTATCGAACGTTGAGGTTGTGTTTCCATGTACACTTTCTCCCCTTTCATTTCTCATCTCCTTGGGCGTGGAACATATTGGAATTGCTTTTTTCTTATCATGATTGTAAAGAGATTCTGCAAGGATCATTAAGGCGAAGCCATACACTTTAATCCATTGAGTCCAAGAGAGGCGTAGCGACATGTTCGATTCTGATGCATCGAGGCAATCTGATATGTCCAACCACAAGGATTGATATATCGGGAAAGCCTCTTCAATCACCGATTGTGAGACAGCTAAATGCTGTCAATGCACTCCAAACCATGATTCCTGGGACATGACAAGCAGTTGATCGACAATGTTGATCCACCCCTTGAGATCAAACACAGCACTATCAATTATCACAGCTTCTATTGACGTCAAAACATCGTCTTGGCAAGAGATACGCCTTAACCCCCATGCATAAGCCGCTGCATGATTGGTGGCGAGCCCGCTCTGACACTTCGGTGATATGCCTATACGCAGTAAAGTGTGATTGATATGACATATCTCGGTGGATCGAAGTGGAGGGGGTGCGGGCAGCCCTACCCTTGATCAGAATCCACCAAAATCCACCAAAATCCACTTTGCTATAATAACGGCCATTGCCACGCTATGATTCCAAATTATCAAAGTTTCTCTCTGTTCCTTCCGTCGCTTCCTTCAAGCCTCACGAACCTACACGGCCGTCAGCAAGATGTCTTCCAACCAGACCTCTTCGTGGGTGGAGGGTGATTTTGACCACCCCAACGAGGCTTTGCAACGATCCGTCAAGATCTCACTCGTGTTCTCTTTCTTTATGCCCACAATTGCGGTTGGCTTGCGTATCTGGGCTAGAAAATTGAGTGGCTGTAGACTGTTTCTGGATGATTACTTGATTCTGGTTGCGCTAGTATGTACCTAACGGCGGGACCGTTATACATAAGCGGCGAGCTAATCAAATGTCACTAGCTTTTCAAATATGGATGCTCCATTGGAGTCACAATGCGTGAGTGATTTGGAATTACCCGTGTTTTGGAATTGTGCTAACGGAGAATATAGTTCTGTACAACGGTTTGGGATCCCACATGTCCATGGTCCCGCAAGAAAACCTCATCGTCTACTTTAAGGTATGCTCCCCTTACACATCCACTATACGAATGCAAGAGCTAATTATAGTCAGATCGGATGGTCGAATCCCTTCCTATACACAACATGCGTTGCCTTCATCAAGTTGTCTATCCTGGCGCTCTACAAGCGGTTATTTACGGTCAAGCCCATGATCATTGCGGTCAATGTAATGGCGTCGGTCGTTGTACTGTGGGCTGTTAGTATTATGGTTGCAGCGACACTGAACTGCATTCCTATCAACAGTTTCTGGGATAGATCAATTGACGGAAGATGCATCAACACCGCCCACTTCAACTACGGCATGCAGATTCCCAACATCGTCTCGGACTTCATTATCCTCGTCATGCCCATCAAGGTCGTGATCGGACTGCCGATTCCGAAAACTCAAAAGATCCTATTGTCCGGAGTCTTCCTCGTTGGTGGCTTGTAAGTTTCATCCACAATCCTTTGGTGGAGTACTCTAACAAAGCCTCAGAACTCTAATTTTCGACATTGTCCGGCTGTGGGTCATGATTGAACTAACCAAGTCTGGCCCTGACATTACCTGTAAGTGTTCACAACCGTTGACTTTTGTACCCGACAAACCCCTTACGTGTCTGCAGACTACCAAGCCCCAACCGCCATGTGGACCTGTCTCGAGGCGGCCGTTGCTATCGTCGGAGCCTGTCTACCTAATTTCCGGCCACTGTTCAAGATCGGTAGCGGATTCTGGACCCAGCTCCGATCTTCTCGTGCCTCTAGCAAGGCCCATCTTAACTCGGCCACCACAAATACGACTAGCTCGACCAATAGCATTTCCAAGCCTGCCTTGGCGTCCCACGTGACTGAGGAGGGTACTCAAGGTATCGAAGTGCATCGATACAGCAAGTACATGGACTGTGAAAAATAAGTCTTGCTTTGTAGAGTTTTGCTTACGATGGTCGAAAATGCGAGAATGATATATCAAGGAGGAATGTCGGGAATGAAGGAACCTCACCATTGAGTCACGGATATACATCCAGTAGCTAGATTAATTTTCTATGTCATGTTCTACATATTACTCTTTAATACCCCAACACCTTTTCATTGATTGGATGCTGGCCCCTTTCCTGCTGGATTTCATGAAGTCTCTCGCCCGCTCGCAACATAAGGAATTAGAGGCACAGTAGCCCACTGCCAGCTTTCGGGTGGGCTTGGAAAGGTCTTGTCGTTTAGCACAGCATCCGTATTCTCTTCCCCAACAGATGATGCTTTTTAATAGTCTAGGTCGAGTCTCTTTTTGACAGGGCCTTACTCCTTTCAGGACTAGTACACGTAACGACCTAGCTAAACATTGTATGACAAAGACACTGTGGGAGACCAGACCTCAATTAGCGGAGGTGTACCATCAACTTGAATGTTAAGGATTGCAAATATCGGCTCTGAGATTCAAAATTTTTAACTTGGGCCCGAGAATTCTACATCGGTAAGTGAGGTCTGTATCGTGGATAAATGGGCGAGGCGGGACCTTGGAGACCTCGAATACTCTAGTGGAAGTCTTGGTAAGTCAGGTAAAATCATTCACTCAACCCATCTCTGTTTCACCTGTATAATGTATTTATCTAAGCTGATAAATATTGTTGCGAGCTGTCAACCTGAAATCCTGTAGATATATACCCTTTGAATGAACCTTGGAAGCATGTCTCAACCAATAGCCGCTGCCACTCGATGCACAATTTGAAGTACCTCCTCGGGCTTGCTCAAGAAAGGACAGTGACCAGCATCTATTGTCTCCGTGACGATCTCAGAGGTGCCTTTTGCGTTGAATGCATCTTGCACCATGCTCTCCTGCAGTGGCAACATAATCGCCAGGTCCTGAGAGCAATAGATATATGTCGTGGGCAGGTCTTTCCAAGGGGCACCTTTTACTTGACCTCTAGCGGCAAGCCTATTATGGGTTACATTCCAGGTACTGGTCAGCTCTTTTGCCCTTCCGACATCGACATCGTTATAGAAGGCTTCGGGGGCATTTCTTGCAATGATGGTGCCATCTTCGTTGAAGCCGATCTCCACCTTGGACTGGAAGCCATACTTGGCGATCACATCTGACAGTGAGTTTCCTTGTTGAACTAGCCATGCACTCAAGTAGATAAGGTATGCAACCCCTTTGCCCCTATCGCGCGCGTAGAGATCCTGCGTGATTGCTTCCGATGCAACGATGCCACCATATGAATGAGCCAGAACTATGACGGCGTGGCCAGAGCTGATGAGCTCTTGGGCAGCTGCTCGTACAGCTATCACATCCTGCTCGAGGAAAGCAGTGGGCGGTCTTGTATCGCCACAGGAAGGTAAACGGGGACAGCGCACGATGAACCCTGCCTGGGTCAGACGCTGACCAAAGTCTTCCCAGCCCGCGGGGAGAAAATACGCCCCGTGAACAATCAAAACTGCAATAGGGGCTTGGCTTGCCATGGTAAAGAAGGTTCGAAGCAGTTATAGCGCTAATAGATCAAGCCGCCCTTAGGAATTCCATAAACCAGTAGCTTTGAGCGCGAACCAAGTTTGACTTAACACTTATGCGACACGGAGAATAAGCCTATGGTAAGAGTTCAGACGAAGTAGAGGATGGCCCTGGAGGACGTAGACCGAGGGGTTTAAGTGCAAAGACATGTGCGCGGCCTTGGGGCCAAAATATGGGGCCATTGAGGCCCTCATCTAAATAGAATGATGTGACACTCCTTGGAACTCACTGATACTCCTTCATATATACACGAGGCTCTAGTGTAAATTTATGTGGAGTTCCAGGTGACTTATCATTTAGTGATTGGTTGATCGACTATACGTAAAGGCTGTGCATGTTGTTGGAGCGCGCTCTGTTCGCAGCTGCCCAAAGACGCGTAGCTAATTGGTGGTCGCAAGCAAGTACTGTATGTCTTTCCCCACAATAAGCAAGAGAATGAGGGGGCGAAAACTGAACAAATGACAATGGCCCTTTTCTTGCTCTAAAGTATTTTGTCTATCTGCCAAGTCTCCTTGCCAAGCAACATCAATCCAAACACTACACGAACCGCCCACTATGGACATAGTGCACGGCAAAGATCTGCACTTTAAGGAACTTGGACTCAAGCACCGAGGTAGCGGCCTCGCATTCAAAGATCTCTTCCTCGGCGAGGAGAATACTCCCGAGAACTATCTCTTCACCATCGGGCGCCAAGGCTCCTTCTCCTCGCCCATTCACAAGCATACCTTCGATCAGTTCCGGTACGCATACCGTGGCGACGTTTCGATTGCACCAGATATTCTTCTCCGTGAAGGAGAGCTGTGCTATCATCCAGAGGGTGTTTCGTACGGGCCACAGCTCGATGAAGGGGGCGAGCGCGATGTGTTAGTACTACAGTTTGGTGGAGCCAGTGGCCAAGGATACCTCAGCTTTGCACAGATCACAGAAGGTCAGGAAAAGTTGAAAGAGAGTGGCCGATTTGAAAAAGGCCAATATCACCCCGCAGAGGGAGGGGAACCAATAGATGGGTATGAGGCTCTTTGGCAGAGCTATTCAGGTCGCCCGCTTGTGTATCCTGCGGCAAGATATCACTCCGTGATTGTTTCAAAGCCAGACAACTACTCATGGGTCCCACTGAGTACGACAAGCAATGCCTTTACACGAACACTCGGCATCTTCACCGAGAGGCAGACGAAGGCAGATATGATCAAGATCGGAACCCAGGGGAAGATTGAGATACACGGTGAAAATGCGATCCAGCTACTGTTTGTGCTCAAGGGTCAAGGTAAAGCAAATGAGGCTTTGTTGGAGATCGAGTCTGCAGTGCGGTTGTCGCCTGGAACTGGAGCTCTGCTCTCCTCAGAGCATGGAATGGAATTGCTTCGTTTTGTTCTTCCTATGCTCGCAGGTATTAGTACATGATACCTGAGAACGAGACTCTTTGAATCAGCGTTATGTTCAAAGATTGATTTGGCGAAAACGTCATAGTCCTTGAATACTTTGCTACCTACTACGAGTCTCCAGGGCTTTTAGTACTGCCGGGTGCTACTAGGGAAACCACATGCTGAAATAGCTATATAGTACCTAGTAGTTGCCAATGGAGTCCTTGGGAATTAGATAATGACTCTCGCTACATGAAAAAGTAGGGATTGAAGTTGCAAGGATATCGATGATTTTATGGTTCGAGAAATCCATGGATAAAGTGGGATTTTATGAAATTTTATGCAACGGATATATATTTTTCGAAGACCTCTTCTCTAAATGTTGTGCATGTGAGTGCACTCAGGTTGAGACAATTATCTCTTCTTCAACTTGAAGCATACCCAAATTCTTCGAACTGCCTTGCAATCGGAACAGCTAGCCTAAATGACCCGAATATATCACATCCCAAGGTTATTCAAGAGTATATTCTCTATACGAGCGGGTCTAGTCCTCTAGTGGCGACGCCTATCAGGAACCGACCATTTGTTATCTCACGTGACTGAAAACTTGCGGACCCGACGCATCCTGCAAATTATTTGCCAATCTTCAACTTTTTCAATCCAGCCAAGAATGTGCTGTTACGATGCAGCAAAGCCCCAAGATTCACGGTCACACTGCTGAGGAGAGCGTCCCCCTGCGGACCTCCCAGACAGCCCCCAAAAAGTCCCATGATCCCTGGACACATCTCATAGCCGGCGCGTAAGTTGCCCGAGATCTGTCCGCAAGTCGCCCCCTAACAAATTATCACAGGAGCGGAGGTTTCGCGACCGCAATCGTCACATCCCCCCTCGATGTCCTCCGAACACGTCTCCAATCCGACTTCTACCAACCCATCTCCCAAACCCCCGGCTCTACCGCCATTCCTCCAAAAACAAGCCACAAAACCCTCCGCATCATCGGCAACATCTACAAAGCTGAAGGATGGCGCGCATTCTTCCGCGGCCTGGGACCTAGTCTAGCAGGTGTGGTCCCCGCTACCGCTATCAAATTCTATGTCTACGGAAACTGCAAGCGCATCGGCGCTCAGGTTCTCGGCCTAGGCGAAGATTCTACCCTTATTCACGCTCAAGCCGCCATCTCCGCCGGTATCGCTACTGCAACTGCCACCAACCCCATTTGGCTAGTTAAGACTCGATTGCAACTTGATCGAGCCCAGACAGCCACCGGAGCCCGCCGGTACCGCAACAGTCTCGACTGCGTGCAGCAGGTTCTTCGTCAGGAAGGCATCCGCGGTCTGTACAAGGGACTGAGCGCCAGTTACCTGGGCTCCGTTGAGACGGCATTGCACTTGGTTCTTTACGAGCGCCTGAAGACCATGATGGCCCAGTCGCTCGGGTCACCAGATGGAAAGGACACGGCCGCGCAGAAGGAAATCACTAGCTGGATTAGTACGACCGGAGCTGCGGGCTCGGCCAAGTTTGCCGCTGCGTTGATTGCATACCCGCATGAGGTATGAGCATGTCCCAACAAATATGGTCCTGTTTATTCGCTAACGATTCCCCTAGGTCATCCGAACACGACTCCGTCAGGCACCGCTCGAGAACGGCGTCCCCAAGTACACCGGCCTAGTGCAGTGCTTCGGATTAATTGCCAAGGAAGAAGGAATGGCCGGTCTTTACGGTGGTTTGATGCCGCACATGGTGCGCTCGATCCCCTCCGCCATTATCACGCTCGGAGTCTACGAATTTGTCCTGAGATTCGTGGGCACCTCATAAAACATGATATGAATTCGTGTTTGTGGTCGCTAAGCGCCACACTGTATAACATCATCCCTGGTTTCTGCTACACTTGCTAGACGGGGCAGCCCGTGATTTTAATCTGCATGTATTCTACTGGGCGTTGGGGGATCTTTTTGGGATTGTGAATAGAATCTCCTAGTCTTGGGACTTGTACTATATGAAATGGCTTGTCATTATCAAAAATATATTGAATATTGGATATATGCCACTGAGTACCTAACTGCGTAGGCATCAATAAGGTGAAAGGGGCTAGAATAATTCAATTTGTGCAATACCTAGTAGCTGATTCATCCTGGAAACAAGTCTAACAGTGGTTCATTCAAGGAAATGATCAAGTATCACCAGAGAAATCCGAATGAACTCATCATGATGGAAAGAAAAACTAAGAGCTGGGTATGATATCTTGCTCAAAAACGCCATGCAACGCTGATCTGAGTAGGAGAGTGCGATCAGGAGTGAAAACAAGGGAGAGCCGAAGACATGGAAGAAAGATCAGAAAAGTACAGAGGTTGGGTTGGGTTGTCAATAGTGGAATATTTTCGTAATTTTCTATTTTCACGACGCGTCGTCGCCCTCTGCTTCCTCAACCGTGGCGGCCCGAGATTTGCCTTTGGATGCAGATTCGGATTCAGATTCAGTGGTTGTTTCCTTCACTGATGTCTTCTCTGGTGTCTCCGTCTCTGTATTACTGCCACACGTAGCTGCTGTAGAGGAAGTTGCGTCGGTTATATGGTCTCGTTGCACATCGGTCCACTCTTGAGATAGTGAGTCGGCTGGGTGGTTCTCCGCCGAGAGACTTGACGTGCCCCAACTAGGCAGCGACGGGCTTGTTTCAGCAGCCACAGTATTGTGCTCGGCTGGGTTCGCAGCAGTTCGCTCATTATTGGAATTCTGACCATCGTTGTTGGCCACAGGGACCGTTGGGGTTGGGGATGGGAATGTTCTACTAAAGAGTGGATGATCTCGTAAAGAAGGATCGGCCATGTGCGGTACATGGACTCCCGGTGGAAAAGGCGGGGCTCTGGGCATTGAACTAGCTCGGAAGGGGCCCGGGATGTTAGGATTGGTGGGCTGAAGCGGAACCAGAGTCCAGCCGGCTGGAAGGTTCAACCCTTCTGGTAGACGGGGATCTCCAGCACTCAATGGCACTGTGCCTGGGCTTGAGGCAAACTGTTGCCGAGTTGTGATACTGGAAGTACCCGGAAGTGGCGATGTGGCACTGGTAGAAGTAGTGGTTTGGTTGAGGCGAAGACGGTCCAGCTCCATTTGAAGGGAGCGCACATGGCGGAGTTGATCTGTCGCAGCACGCAAAGCAAAGACCTCCTGGGCAATTTGCTGTTCGATCTGCTGCAATTGAGAATTTATATTGGTCAAAGTTGAAGGGCTTGCAGCGGGTTGGTCTTGAGCAACTCCTGGAGGGGCCGGTGCAGGTCCTCGACCGAACCCAAAGGCAAGTCCGGCTTGGTGCGCGCCTTGTGGGTTGGCATTAGCAGCAGGTTGTGGACGCGCGTTGCCTTGATTAATCTGATTATGCAGATTATGTAAAAGGTCGCCTCGCACAGCGCCAAATCCAATTCGGAAGGGACCAAACTGGAAGACACGAGCTCTGGGCAACCCGTCTCCCTGGCCCGGCTGACCAGGCGCTTGGTTGCCAGCACCATTCTGTTGACCACCGGCACCATTGCCAGCATTGCCACCTGCACCTTGTGCAGCCGCTCCAACTACTGGGCGCCGGCAAGTTGGGCAATTCTGTTGACGCTCCAACCAGCTCCGGAGACAGGCAAAGTGTAGAATATGACCACAAGGCAACTTCTTGGGGCGCAAGCGATCAGGCACAGGCCGTGCGTTGGCCGCAGGCGGGGCGTTACCACCAGCCGGGGCAGGGTGCGCAGGAACCATGTCCTCTCGACAAATGATGCAGACTTCTTCTCTTCCAACCTCCTCTGCAGTAGCATCCGGGTATCTCTCATTCATGTCTCTGGTGGCATTGCGGTATCGAAGGAAGTCCATGATTCGACGACCAAAAGAACGGATGGTAACAACAACGTCTCGCAAAATGTGAATTGGCAAGCCGTAGAACGTGAGAAGGATTGCGAAGAAAACCAGATAGACCAAAAGCTTCACAAAGTCGGTCAAGAGATCGAGGTAGAAAACCCAGCGGCCTTTTTCTTCCCAGCCGGGGACATCAATCTCCAGCTCATTTACATCGTTCTCATCAGGCAGGTCAGTAGGAGGAGATGACTCTCCAGCCCGTGCATTGGCGCGAATAGCCTCTAGGCGAGCCTCCCGAATCTCCGCTCGACGTTCCTCCATCTTTGCTTTCAACTGTTGCTGAGTAATGTAGATCTCCGTCAACGCAATGCCATACCGAGCGGTGGTCGAAGTGGACAGAATGGTCAAAATCGCGAATTCGAAACCGAACATGACCATCATGTCTGGCCGAGCTTGGTGGTATACGGTATCGATGCAGTATCTGAGCATGAAGGCATTGAAGAGAACCGACAATACCAAGGAGAACGCCAATCGGATATGGAACAGTCGGGGGTTCGCGGGGGGTTGCTGCTCCAAATATTCCACTCGGCCTTCACCAATCCAGCCCCAGACCTTTCCGACTAATAGGGAAACGAACATGACCAAGAACCAGCCGCCGAGCTCACCCCGGAAGATGGTCATGGCCAGACATGTTTCCGTGATGGCAAACCACGCCCGTTCGTATAGTTGTTCGGTTTCAATAGGACGCAAAGGACCGTAAAGGAGTCGCTGTAGCCAAAAGAGAATAAAGGCGGTAATTATAAGGCATAGATTCGTAAGGATCTGTAGAAGACCGCGCCCAGCGCATGGTTAGTCTGGCTTCAAGACGCGGGGAAAGCGGACAGGTCTCGTGAGTCCAGCCGACACCCGGTGACTGAGCGGACATTCAGACTTACCATGAGATTGGCGCTACTTTGTGAAAGATAGACGCAAGCCGCGTAGAAGTTCGATCTCTGATGTAGAGCTTTCAAGAACACACCGGTGGCTAGGACCACCGAGGCCTAGAGGAGTCAGCGCGAGCCACTAAGAATGACAGGGTCATCACATACCCCAGCATAGGCGGCCAGTCTCATGACGAACAACTAAGACTCGGGTTAATGGTCATCAGAGAATCAAGTGGGGGAGGAAATTGGGGTATCGACACAGGAGTATACTGGGATCTGGACAGCTTTCCAGAATACGGCACGCCTCCGCATCTTACGTCAGCCGAGCTATCCCGCACGTGCCATGACATGGAATGAGCAGCGACCACAGTATGAGGTTATTGATCCGATCATTCTAATAGTATTGTGTCTAAGGGAGTAGGAGAGGCCATGAGTTTATTCCTAGTAGCTGGTGAATTGTCCTTCGCTGCTTCATTATCCTGCAATAGCATCCTGAATGTAATGCACCATCTACACATCAAGGAACAATGGTGAAGTTCAAATTGAAGGCTCAGTATGTCCCCAGTATTAAATTACTTTTGCAAGTGATAATTGAGTAGGTAACCTATGCCCACGAGTGGTTTCGCTTGATTATTTTCGAGTTTCAAGCTTCAATACTTTACCGGAGTAGCAAGTTCTTATTCAATACGTCGGAGAGACTGCCTTTTGTTTGAGAGCAGAATTCATTTGTAGTCCGGTCGAGCGCAGATTCATTCGAGTACAATAGTCTTACCTAAAGTGAAGACTTGTTGTTACGATCATGATGTAGTCCTTCACGGCGTGATAAGTTACCGTTATAGGTGGGGCCGGAGCAGAAGCATCCCGAGTGGCACTCATGGAGTCATAGCTCTACTAAAGAGCCTACAAGATTTGTGCAGAGAGGAAAGTACTGAAAATATACAAGTCTCAATTTGCCTTTTTTCTGGCTTGCCAACTTGAGCAATTGAAAGTATAACTCGTCATTCATATCATCTACTTCATCGTGATCCCCGTATCCTGTTTATCTGATCGCACGTGACACCCCACCCCCAGGCGACACAAGCTGAGAATAATCGCCGATCATTCTTGATCTTCCTTCTCCAGATTCCCCTCAAAGCAATGCGCTGTGACCGGTGATGGCTTCAGGTCCGGCATTGTTCACAGCCTCAAGGGGGCAGACCCTCACATACCTGCTCGCGGTTTGCCCCTTCTCTATCGCATTCTTAGTATTCATCAATTCCTCTGTTTCCTTCGTGGTAACGGATCTGATCGGACTCCATAGTGGAGAAGGCGATGCAGTAGGAACTTTGGGATTCGCCGATGAGTTGCTTGCATTGGCTGCTTGTCCTCTTTGGGGAGTACTCTCGGATCGGATTGGCGTACGTCATGTAAGTGTTATCCTCTCATCTCTATAGAGATCTTGGCTCCTGGAAACCCAGATTGCTGATTATAGCAGGTTTGCACTATTGGCTACGCCATCATTGCCTTGGCATTGGTTCTCTTCGTACAGGCCACGAACGTTTATCCACAGCTTCTTCTCGGTCGGCTGCTTTTCAGCCTCGGTGGCTCGGCCGTATCAACCATGGTCACTGCAGTCTTGCCCACCGTCACTGGCAAGGCCTTCCGCAACGAGGCTTACCGTGCTTCGGTCTCGTCAGACTTAACCATCACACCTGATCGGCTGCGTGGTCTTCAAAATAGCAACTCTGAACCAAATGCCCGGGCTTCGCCCTCGGCTCGACTATCAGGCTTTGTTGGGCTCTTCGCGGGCTGTGGAGCTCTTGTCTCCCTTGGAGTCTTCCTTCCTCTCCCAGCGCGATTTGAAAAGGTTGGGTTGTCCCCAACCGAAGCTATTCAGCGCAGCTATTACCTTGTAGCTGTCGTAGCTCTGATCATCAGCGTGGTCAGTTTTATTGGCCTTCGTCAACTTCCCGGAGAAGAAAGCAAAGGATGGTCCGCCCTACGCAACTGCCATTCACGGCGCGATGGTCAACCCGCCGCCCTTCCGTACTGGAAGCAATTGACCACCGCGATGCTTCTGGGGTTCCGAAATCGTAGCATTGGACTAGGCTACGTGGGTGGTTTTGTCGCTCGGGCATCCTCCGTGGGCATCTCTCTGTTTATTCCTCTGGCGGTGAACCACTATTTCCGTGTGTCGGGTCTCTGCAACGAGCACGATCCCGTACACGGGTCCGGGTTGGGAGAGATCAAACGCGCGTGCCCTCGCGCATATATCCTTGCATCGATCCTGACGGGTGTCTCTCAGCTGGTCGCGCTATGTGCGGCACCTGCCTTTGGATTCTTGACCGACAAATCGCGACGATACAATGTCCCACTCTTGGTGGCGGCCTTCCTCGGTTTTATTGGGTACATTTGGTTTGCGCAGATGCCAAGCCCGCAATTCCAGGGCCCCGATGGCAATCCGGTGATCTTCCTCGTAATGGCACTTATCGGCCTGAGTCAGATTGGAGCTATTGTGTGTAGTCTTGCGGTGCTCAGCAATGGGATTCTGCGTGTCAGTTTGGACGAGGACACGATGCGCAAAATCTATGACGATCAGACCGAGACGGAGGCCGATGACGATCAGTTTGAATCGGGCGAGGGCCGACCCCTTCTCGCGGGGTCAATCAATCAGCGTCTGGAGCATCTATCGCACCTCAAAGGCTCCATCGCGGGAGTGTATTCGCTGTATGGTGGGGCCGGAATCCTGCTCCTCACCAAATTGGGAGGGAAATTATTCGACCAGATATCACCAGGCGCCCCATTCTACATCATGGCAGCGTTCAATGGGGTCTTGCTGATGATTGGAATCCTCGCTGGGATCCTCAATCAAGTTGCACCGGTCATGGAGGTGTCGGTATAGATCACGAACCGTTTTATTCCGAACCTCAATTCAACTTTGCTGTATCCACTGTGCCCGATCTCTTAAATTACTGAATGGCGATGAATCTGGGTCTAGAACTTAGAGTTATGAATTGTAATTTAAAAATTTCATCCTATGGAGACGATCGCATGACTCCATCAGTAACGGGAACGTGGGCGCGTAAATTGCGATGATCTCAAAAGGCGGCACTAATGTACGCGACCCGCTCGAGGCGTTTTCCCCCACAGAGAAAAGGGGTCTCAGGGTCTGAGAGAGAAAGGAATGTGAAAGGATAGAACTGTGATGATGATCACTATTGTGTACTTTTCAATGAATAAATCAGAATCTATGCATATGATCATCAATGATGCAAAATTCGATCATTGGGTATAAATTAGGAGCAACCAACAACCTTCCTGATGAAGCGAATGATCAACTCGGACCAACTACCAATTCTGCGTCTAATCCCACTATAGTTTAGTGGCGTTGATAAATGGAGCACGAACCTCCAATGTACCCTATTTTCCCATTCGAACCCCTGGCCTAAGACCGGTTCCTGACACGGGTTCCTGAACCAAACTAGCTCTAGTTTCTCTGGTGTAGTCCTTGGCAGCCTATCAGGTCGCATTTCTGTTTTTCTGGCCCCATGTGCGCCCCCGTATGCGCCCCTGCAGGTTTAGTTCCGTTAGGTCCCTTTTAGTCTCTTTATGAGCGTATCGCCCCGGGCTCCGCTGCGTCTTCTGCATCTTCTGCATCTTCCACTTCCACTTCATCCTGGGTCTGACCCTGCCATTCGTTATCTCCACAGTCTCTCGTTAATCACTCTTTAATTCTCGAGCTGTGTACACATTCTTTTACAAGTCATTCTTTCAAAATGCGTTTCTACACTATTGCTCTCTTGACTGGCGCTACCGCTGCTGCCGCGGGTAACACCGCAAACCTTTTGCTGCCTGGTTTCCAGGGCCATGACCTGCAGGCTGGTATTATGGGCGAGGTAAGGAATCGGAATCGCAATCGCAATCTATAAGTTGAAGTTGGAATGTCTTGTGTTTGCGATTGCGCTATAGATGGGTCGGGCGCAACAACAAACAATACAAAACACAACACAACACAACAACATCTATCAACAAACCATCCAAACTAACATCTAACCAGGACGGCGATGCGACCACCTACCTGATAACCTGCCCTACCAGCGTGGCCGCCTCCGTCTGCGGTATCCCCGGCAAAGGCATGACCGCCATCTCGGCCCCCAGCTCGGCCCAATTGATCAACACCAACGGCGCAAAGTAAGCACCACAACAAAGCCGAAACATATAAACCACTCTAACATCACCAGCACCGCTTCCCTCTCCTGCAATGTCGCCGGCTCTACCTACGCCTCCTGCTACGCGCAAGAAGGCACCGTGACCGTCCAGCAAACCCTCGCCTCTAGCAACATCAACTGGATGGCCGTGACTGTGACCGGAGACTGCTACACCAGTACCCCCACACCAACTCCCACTCCCACTCCTACTTCGACCCCAACCCCCACCCACTCCTCGACTTCAACCCAGACTCCGTCTTCGACCTGGACTCCCGTCTCCACCCCCAAGAAGTCGCCTACCAAGTCTTCTACTCGTATTGCTTCCAGCTCTACCCCCCTCATCAGTGGTGCCCCCACCGCTCCGGCTGTTACTGCCCCTGCTGCTTCTGGTACCCCGGCCCCATCCACTACCCCCGTTACCGGTGGCGCTGCCTCCGTTGCCCGTAACGGATGGGTCCTTGGTGGTGCCCTGGCACTTGCCTACGCTCTCGTGTAAGCGAGATAAACTTTTTTTATCTTCTTTTCTCTGGCTCTTGCTTAAGATTGGATTGAGTTCCAGTTCTGGCTCTTGGACACTGAACTTGAGCCTTGTGAATAATCTTCGGGGTTGGTAACGTTGCTTCTAATGGATGGAATCATGTACCTGTGGACATACATACTTATATGTACATCTAATTCTTTTTTATAATGATTGATACCTTTTTCTACGATGCAATTATTTCGGTCTTTCGATTGTATTTACAATTTACTGGATATTGCACTATTTATACTTGGCTTTCGGTCCTAATATACTTCTTTGATTGGGTTGAAAAGGACGACTTTGCGTACATCTCCAGGCGAGCAGGTCCTCCACATACATGAGACATTTAGAGTATTCCCCACACACTTCACACGGACTTCTTTTTGAGACATGAACGTCTCAACTGAGACCCACTCTCCACTCTACCTGGCAAACTGTTTCGTTTCGTATAACTTTGAAACGACATGTTCCAGATATCATTCAATAAATAGCAGCATGAACTATGCAGAGTATCAAGCGAATGTATCATGTGGATTAGTTTCCAAACTTTGAGTAAACATTCAATGCCGAGGAAAACCAGCAAGAGATATTTTTGAAGTGAAAATAAAATTAGACCTGACAGTCCAGATAAAGAATAACGAACCCAACGCCAAATCAATATGGACCGCCAATTTTGCCGGATAAAAGAAAAACATAAACAATGGATAACAAAAGACCGTCCAAGTACGACATGGTACCCAAGTAATACGATTTGATCAAGCCAGGGATAATCTGACGGCACAGATAAATTCAGCCCAAGCTACTCATCCTTACCTTCGCCCTCTTCCGAGAATCGATGCTGCAGTGTTACCATAAGCCTAGGCTTATCCCACAGAAAGAAAACCTTCTGATCAGTCCAATTGGCGCTTTCGGGACACAGCGTGATATCAAAGTGGTACAGCAGTTTGCAAAGGATGAGGCGGATCTCGCAGTATGCCAGACTGTAGAAGATCAGCATCCACCTTCGAGCAAATGGTACCAGATCGTGGAAGAGTGTAAGAGTGTACTTACTTTTTCCCAAGACAATTCCGTGGTCCAAGGCTAAAAGGCTGAAGAACGTCCCTCTTATCTTGATCGAAGCGCGCGTTCTGGCCGAGCCAACGCTCTGGGAGGAAATCGTGGGGAAAGGTAAAGTTTGACGCAGAGTGGTATGATGCATAGTGGTGGCATGCAACAGTTGTCTTTTGAATGTTAGATTGGAATAATAGGCTTTGGTGTGAGTGAAACGTACCCCTCCAGGAACATACTGGCCGTCGATTGTAGATCCTCCTACTGGAACAATGCGAGCAAGACTTGTCACAAAAGGCGGGTACATCCGTAGAGATTCCTCGATGACGGCGGCTAAGTATGTCAGACTTGCAGCGCCGCGGAAGCTGATATCCGTGTCCTTGTCGAAAGTCGATCGAATCTCCGCGACGAGTTGGCGCATGGCGAGTGGATGTGTACATAAGTAGAAAATGCACCCGGAAAGCAGGGTCGCCGAAGTCTCGCTGCCAGCGATGATGAGACTGGATATTGCGTCAGGCTAGAACATACAGTATCATCAGAAACCGATGGGAGTGCGACGTACATGAAAGCATTCGAATGAATCTCAGCCCTACTCATAATCTTCTCACCATTCAGATACTGTCCCTTAACTTCACTGAGTCCATTCTGCAGAATGGCTGACATAAAATCTGGGCGAGAGATATCCGACTGCAAGCGACGATCCACCTTCTTCGAACCCAGTTCAAAATGCTCTTTGCCCTTGCGTGTGACCTCGCTCGGAATCAGGGCAGCAAGCATCACCTTCAGAATAGGAAACTGCTGCGCTGCTCCAATAAAGGCGAGAGCCTTGATAGAGCTAAAAATCAACTGGATCCACGGGTGCAGCTGACTATCCTTGAGACAATCGAAAGATTCACCAAACATCAGGTCACCGGTGATATCAAAAGTAGTAAAGTTCATCCAGTTCTTGATATCAACTGGGACATTCTTGGCCTTGACTGCCTCTTGCAACTTGCAAATCAAAGTATCCACATACCCCGTAATCAAGCCCTCTTGGTCTCTGAGAGCGCGCTCCGAGAACGCATGAGCCAGTAGTCGTCGTTGACGAGCATGTACGCCATGATCTATCGCGCATACGAGATGGTCGACCCCATTCGCCGGCGGGATGTAGCGGCTCCGATCCTTCGGAAAGCATCCACCTGGTCGAGAACCGTAGATATCTCGAAAAGCTTGTGGAGTATTGAAAGCCAGCTCGTCAGGGCTGATGCGCACAACGGGACCATAACGGTCATGTAGAGCGGTGATATCGATGTGATTATGTCCCCGCAGAACGGAGATCTGCAGTGGAATGCGGGAAATGGCCCAGGACCGTGGGCCTGGGAAGCGGCGCAGCGGCGAGAAGTAAAGCTCATAGAGGATAGACTTGGTAAGCCAGAGAAGAATCTAGTAAACGGGGCCAGCCGTCAGTATCATGTCAGCTGAGCTCCGAGGGACTGGGACGTTCAAGGGAGCAGTAATAGTTTAGTATAGAATGAAATCAAGGTGATAACAGGATCAAACGGACTATTCTGTATGGTCCTGCAGATAATTTGAGGGTGTGACATGCAACTTACTAGGCATGCGGCAGACAGGATCCAGAATAGGATACTGGATGTTGCCCAGATCGAGAGCATGGTGGACAGCGATTGAGGTAAGCGGATAGACCTCAAAGTCTTCATTCCCAAGTCCATGTTATTTACTCTTTTCGGGTGACGTTCAATCACCTGGGAGTTATTACAGAGGTTGGGATTTCCCTGTCAAATGGTTGATTCAAGTCTGTCGAAGTTGCACCAGAATCAGAAACGTTATGAAAGAAAGAGGGGAACGGGTCCCCGAACAAAGAGATAGGGAAGGCACTAGGATGTGATACGTCGCCATTTTTGCCCGTATCTGCTTAGCTTCATGATCATTTCTGCCTATCGTGATATCTAGTGTGATGGGAGAATGGGAGTCGAACTGTAGAAGAGAGATGGAGACAAAACATAGGCACCTGGATGTTTCAAAAAGTGACTATAATTAATCTACGTTTCCGAATAAGCTCCCTGTCAGCCCAATTCTTGACCCAGCTAATCAGCGCTATGATAGTCATGTTTCGGCTTGCGACCGTAGACAACGTGTAGATTGCAATAAGTGTGAACCTCGGGATTGTTCAAATCTCGACGCACACCTGCCAGGAAGACTTGGGTTTGTATATTCGACCATCCCAGAACGCGGGTAAACAAAGCCAACGAGTAGGATTCCACTGCCATTAAGAGGGAACACAGATTGTACCGGCCAATTTGCTTCTGTATGGGATCTTTGGGCCACATACTAGAAGGGACCTATAAATAAACGCATCAGTATGCCATACTGCAGTCAGATATTGCATACGGAAATCGGAAGGCGGTATACGCCAAGGCCCGAAACACGAACGACACCAGGAATGAGACAAAGAATCCACATATGAGAAAGGGTCGTACCTTGTACACCTCATCTCGGACATCTTTAAAACCGGCCTCCACCAACCGCTGCCGGTGTCCCTCGGCGATGTTCATGGGCCGGTGGAACGCCTCACTAGCCTCATGCAGACGACCGAGGAATTCGCACAACGTCGGCGCCAGCCGCAAGGAGTCATCATCCGACCTCAGCGTAACCTCAAACTCCTGCAGCTCAACCCAGCCACCTGGGCGTAAATGGGTGTAGGCTTGTCGCAGCAGCCGAGGCCAGTCGGCGATAGCACCGCCTAGGTCTCGGGCGTGGATGAAGTCGAAAGGCCGGCTGGTACTGAACAGCCACGGGGACTCGGCGTCATCGACTAGGAATTGGAGATTGGGTGGGACCCAGGATGGTTGGATCGGGCTGAGATCGGTGCCCATAACCTCGGCGCTGGGGTGGCTGTCGGCGAAATCGATGGCCCAAATGCCTGTACCGGTTCCTATGTCGAGAGCGCGCTGAAGGCTATTGCCCAAGGGAGCACGGAAAAGAGCCCCATTTAGAACAAGGTTGCGAACGTGGTGAAGGAGATCCTGGCGGTCTTGTTCTTGATCGTCGTTTGGTAGAACATAGTGTCCTTCGCGGTAGGAGTGGTATCGTCGGCCATTCTCATATGTATAGTCTTTCACGTCCGAAAGTAGCGAAGCAGTATAGCTGGATGTCTCGGAGTGATATTCATCATCGAACACAGAGTTTGTCTCGTCATTTGTGGATTCTCCATCAGAGATATCTCCTGGGTCCTCGGTCTCTGCTTGTAATACAGTAGACGCATATGGTGGCGGAGGTGTTATATAGGAGTCACTCGCTGTGTCCAGGGTAAAAGGAGAAGGGGCAGAAACTTGCTCCGTGGGTACTGATATTATGGCGGATTCATCTGCAGCATGATTGGCATCTGACAGCAGGGAATTTGCGGCTATAGAAGAAGTTGACTGGAGGTTCGGAGGAGGTAGCTTTGCTTCAGATCCACTGTTCTCAACACTCTCTTCAGGTATAGATGCAAGCTGAGGCGACATCGCCAGTATATGACCTGATGTATCTTCGCTAATCGCACAGAAGCCAGATTCTGGATCAGGAGACCAAGGGACCGCTGTGATACCAGCCTCATGGCATACGTGTGTCTGGAATGTCGAAATGGAATCAAGAGACGGCTGTAACGTTGAAGCCTCCGTACCACTGACACACTCCAACTCTGGTGGTGACAGCGGCTGAAGCTCTAACGGCGACGGGGATGCGAGCAGTTCCTCAGACTCAGGAACTGGCTTGCTAGGCTGAGGGTCCAGGTCTGCGAGCTGCCGAGCTGACTCCAGAAAGTCATTTTCGGCAGATGTCAGACTCACTGGAGACTCAGGAAAGGGAGAAGAAGACAGCGCCATATCAAAATCGGTGTCGAGGGAAGTATCAGAGAAGTTGATGCGATCTTCAGATACCATAGGCTCGAAAGATACCGAAAAAGCCGACGTGCGAGCATATTCACGGACAGCAAACCGAGTCATCCTGTCTTACAGTAATGTTCCTCTTGTTAAATAATCAGGTAGCGAACGAGCCTGGTGCCGTACAACGCGAGGTAATTCAGTCCAGCGAGCAAGTCTTTCTAGGACAGAATAGGCTTCAATGAGCCTGGCAGTCTGGGTAGACAGTAATCCGGATAATGCGGATCGGGGGAATGGTCGGAAATGTAGGACAGAATTGACAAAAGCCCCGACCTTGTATCCCATTACGTTGGTAGCGATCCGCCAATTTGACTTCACGAGAACCGAGAGAGTGGTTGATCCGAGAGAAATGAAATCATCTGGACTGGGGTTTGCCAGCCTGCATCGATCCGCCGTTGGCCCTAATCCAGTTCGTCCTGGCGATCGTGCCCGCATTGATCAAACTACAGATACCCTACCGGTTTGCCTCCATAGACTTCAATGTGAATAAAGAATGGGCTCCTAGAAATGACGAGACAGACAGGGGTGTAGCATGGGTGCATAAGGTGAAAGATAGTGGCGGTGTTGGATTTCTTTGTTTCCAGCCTCGACCAATCCACTCTGCTGGATCTTGCAATCCCTGCAAATAAACAGAGAACCAACGGAATTATTTTTCCAAACGAAGTGCTTAAACTAATTGGATCGAAAGAGAATAAATCATTGAGCCATTGCATTGTACTGCTGGACCGAGAGGTCCTTAGACGAACTATTGATCTATTCGGTACAATTCTCGATGTTGTGGGTATTATCTCGTTTCTCATTTACGTGACAACCTCCTATGAGCGCTGCTAGTCTTCACAGAGGTATGACCTTATCTTGAGCTATTGCATTTAACCGGAGCCAGGGTGAGGGAATCGCGGATCCTCCGAGTCGGGCCGCCAACCCCGGTCAGCAGGAGGGGGCGCCGGAACTTGTAGTCCAGCATTAACGACACCTGCCGCCAGCATGCGCCAATGAAGCTCCTCGTTGAAGGCCATCATGTTTTGCAATGCCTCAGTCTGCATCTCGGCTCGCAGGTCGTGCTGGTTTCGGACCAGTAAGCCAAGCTCAAGGTCAATACGGACATCGAGAACATCGTCCTGGATGAGCCGGATGAGCTCCTGCAAAAAGGGAGACTCAATTCCGATGCGCTGACCCACTTCATTGGGAGCAAATATGGTCGCCATAGAGTCGAGGGTGGCCTTGCTGAAAGGGACAAGGTACTGATGGATAGACTTAATGCGGATCTGAGTGTAGATGGCGGAGACGTGGGGCTGGAGATGAATATCAAGAAGGTAGTCAGGGCGATAGGCCTCTAAAATATCAATGCATGGACGGAACTTGGAGTTGCAGAAGAAAGTGATGGCACGGCGAATGTGTGGTTCAAGTTCCAGGAAAGGGCGGAAGGAGGTGTTGTCCAGCACGCGATGTTGCAATTCGGTGCGATCCATGGAGGCCAGAGCACAGAGACCGCCATAAACAGCAACATCGTTGGGGCTGATCACGTCCTGGTACGTATCACCTAGGGTGGCGGCCACTGTCAGGAAGGAGTTTGCAGCTTCAAGATATGACCCTTGGCTCATCTGAGCCAAACCCAGTGCGACCGACATTTTGGGCTGGTTCTGGGCTAGATCTTCAGGTTTGGATTGAGCATTGCGTAGTCGGTGCACGTAAGACTGCACACTAAGCCAGTCGCCTCGTTCAATCGAGACGCCGATGAGCTTGAAAAGCATAGAGCCAACGTGATTAGGAGTTGTGCAGAAGTCACGCATGCGAGAGTATGCCTTAGACGCTGCAATTAAGTCGCCGGTCTCATAGTAGTGGTTGCCTAAATCCTCATTGCCCATCTATCACGGTTAGTTAGCGATTCACCCAGCGTGAACAGTCTGTAAATACCCGAATGCTCTCTTTGATCAAATTATTCTTGTAACCACGAAGCTCATGCTCCAACCGATCCGTCTGTGATCTCACACTTTTTTGAATCTCTTGTACCCACGCGGAGTCCAGAGAAGCACCCTCTTCATCTGGAGCGACCTCAGCCAGAGCGCGAACTGCTTTTTCATACAGCGCCACATCCTTGCCAGACTTAGCTTCAGCAACCGCCTGTTTTAGTGCATCGACCGCGAGTACGGTGGAAGTAGTGCCGATGAGATATAGACGGTGGAAGCGAGTTCGTCCTGTTCGAAATTTAGTGTCTGTATTAACACCTTTCATATAGTATGCTGACCAGTGTAATTGTCAATGTATGGTTCGAGATCCAATTTAGGAGGCTCTGTAAGAATCCAGCTGTCAGTAATCACACGGAGCTCTTATCAGGCATTGCGGTCTGCCCCGCGGCAAGCTCCACGTACCATCAACTCTGATCCGAGACGCAGTTGTTTCTCCACCTGCAGCACTATTTGTGGTGATATTTGTGTCATATCCAGCTGAGGAGTTCATAGGTGCCGGGGCAAAGGCATCAGGCAGTGTAGTGTCCATAATGGTCGTGGTGTCACTGAGACACCCACAGGCCCACGCGAGTTATTGACGGTTTTGGAATACGAGGTGGGGGGTCAAAGGATCACAATCAGAGCTGAAACAGGATGATATGGAGCTTCTTCAGGAGACCGAAGGGATAAAGAAGGTTGCTGTAGGTGTTGATCGAAGAGGCTCAGCTTGATCATGTCCAGATGAAGGTGTGAGCTGTTGACCGGTTTCTGCACGGCAGTACACCACCGCCCGACACACCGTCTAAGGGGCTCCTAGTTGCCAACGTCATTCTATATGTCGGTCTAGTTTCAATTGTTGTAAGAGAGGAAAATTCAGAAAATTCAGTAATTTTGAAAATCTTAAGCATCATAATGTTATGCTCCAAAGATTGTGTCATCTCTTCTTTGCCATGCCAGTACCAAAGGTGGACACTTCAACCTCGGGAGTCCGCAGAGCCTCGGGACCGTGAGTAATCACGAAATCATCGGAGTTAGCTTTGATTCCTTGGAAGACAGTCCTACGACCTTATTTAAATCCTCTGAGCCGAAAACCGACAGCCTTGGAACTTTCGAATTATCTGATTACGAAAACTCGGCCTAGGAGAACATCAATCCGAAAAACCTATATATAAACCCCACATCTACCCCGGATTCCTGCAAACATCTTTCAATCCTGTCATTACCACTAAAGCAAGATGTCCACCCAACAACCAGTTGCTCTCATTATGGGCGCATCCCGTGGAATTGGCCGCCAGGTAGCCATTGACTTATCAAAAAATGGCTATGCAGGTGCGACCATAATCTAACCACCAGCTGAACCCTGACACTAACAATAAAACCTAGTGATGCTAGCAGCCAAAACAACCTCAGATGCTGCCAAGACTACACCCTTTCCGCCAGATCCCAACTCTCCGCAGTCAACTATCAGCACGGTAGAGCGCGAGATCTTGGAAGCAGGAGGCCGCGCCGGAGCTATTGCAGTGGATGTGCGTGATGCGGCACAAATCCAGCATGCAGTTGATGAGACCGTTCGATTGTTTGGAAAATTGGATGTCTTGGTGTATAACTCTGGGGCAATCTGGTGGTCTTCTGTGGAAAACACACCACTCAAGCGATTCCGGCTGATGCAGCAGATCAACCCAGAAGGTCTGTATGCCACTGTGCAAGCTACTTTGCCGCATTTCGAGAAGAATGGCTGGAAGGGTCGGATTGTGGTGGTTTCGCCTCCGATTTACTCCAGATTCTTCCGGGGCAAGACTGCTTATGCAATGGGTAAGTTGGATGACTCTTGTGCATGAATAGCGTTTAGCTAAAGCTCATACCAGGCAAGGTTGGGATGAGCGTCTTGGTGAAAGGCCTGGCTATGGACTTTGTCCGGCAGGACCGGACAGAGATGGCTATTACAAGCATCTGGCCAGCTTCGGTATGTTGAGATTTTGGACTGTAGTATTGAAATTGGCTCTAAGTGGCGTATACAGTCGATCGAATCAGCTGCTACTGAGCATAACAAAGGTGCTAACACATCTTACAAGAAAGATCTCAGAAAGCCAGTACGTTAGCCAAACAATTATAAAGAAAAATGACTGATCAGTTATAGGCCATTTTCTCTGATGCTATCTTGGAGATGCTCCGTGCCCCAGTCACTACTGTGAACGGGCTTCTGGATACCGATGAGGATTTCCTTCGGAAGTGCGGAGTCACTGACTTTTCAAAATACTCGGTTATACCAGGCTCTACACCACGTCGAATCATGCCAGCTGAGTTCCCAGTCTTGGAGGTCGCGGAGCAGGATGACGAAGGGCAAAGAATGGATAGCACCAAATTACGAGCAAAGATGTAGATTGAAAGTTCAATTGGACCAAATGCTATTCATGAATGCAAATCGAGAGCTTTCTCAAATCAATGCAAATATTCAATATGAAGAAACCTTCAAAACAAACGCTCAATGCAAAGGCAAATCGAAGAAATAAGCGCAGCGATTACAGCCAAGTGATCAATTTGGCCAAGACATGAAATAAAGTTATCAAAACTCCACACCCAATTAACCATATCACCCGGTCAACTTGCATAGATTTTGCTTACATCAAAGCAGCAAAACCCACAACGAAACCCCCAACCAACACACAAAGCCCATACACATGCCTCATATCCCCAGACAGCGGTCCATTCGCATCACCAGTCGCAGTGAAGGATCCAAGTACCGCCGGAGTAGTAGTATTTGCCGCAACCTTCCCAGAAGAGGTAGCTGAAGGTATGGCAGTAATATTGACTCGCACAGGGTCCTGAGCACCACAGGGGTGATCAGAGCGACAAGCGCTCTGACACATAGCGTCGGCACACTTGGCAACACACTGATTATTGGCTTCGGTACAGATAAAGTATGGCATAGTCTGGGAGTACTGCGAGGAATTCGGGGAGAGGCCGTTGCTACATTCACACACATAGGAGAGGGTATTCTAGATGGTCGAACGGTTAGAAACATAGCTTGCTCGCGGAATCGAGCTTGCAAGGTATTGAACCCACAGGAGAGCAGCTGTTGACTCGAGCCCCGGATGTGTTGGGCATTTGCAGACAGAGGATAGGACATGATGATACTTGGGCATTACACCAGGTTTCTATGATATTTGTATGTTAGAATATCTGTAGCGTCACAATCTCTGTCTCTTTAAGCTGCCACTCACCACGCTCGGACAAGATTACTGAGTCCGGATTAATCGTGGGTGTATATTGGCCACGCGCCATAGTGGCAGCCGAGGCTAGGACTACCACAAGAGTTAACAACATTGTGGAAGGATGTGAGTGAAAGCTTTGACGGAGAAGTTGAACAGAGACTGAAAGTTAGCAGAAAATTATCAACAGCGATTTTGCGCTCTCGGTCAACAGCAGATCCCGAAAACGTAAAATAAGCCGTGTGGGGGGATGGAATGAAGGGTGAATTGCCCACGACGTTCTAGAACTCACATTAGCAAATCATTGAATCAGCTCGAGGGTTTGTCCGGCTAAGAATAGGTGAAGGAAAGAGTCAGATGGCAGAGAGATGGACTTTATGGTGTACAGAAATCGCTGACTCGCAAAGAAAAGAGAGACAGGGATCTTTGGGAAGAGGGCGCAACGACAGAAATAAAGCAAGAGCCCATGAAGACAGGGTAAAACAATCAACCCCTCAAATCACGCGCCCTTGATAGAAAGGCCATCTAATGCATATCTAGGAGTCCAAGTAGCCTGCAGGTGTGTACTTCAAGGATATCCCCCTAGGCTGGAGACAAAGGTGATACTGCATTTTCTCGTCAGCTGCGGATGATCGGCACCAGAGATAGGATGTGCCTCTTAGACCTATATTTAAAGACGTATTCCCGAGGCCTGTACCCACCCGAGACATCTGTCTTCGTAGTCCTGGCCTGTGAAGGAAGCTCGAATATGAAGATCGATTGGGGAAGATGTCGGTCCGGAGATCTGTATATGCGGCCACAGCATGTGTCACGAGGGTAGGATCATCTATCTATGTGACTGATACCAAAGAACTGATAAGTCCATTTGCTGTTGGTATCAGACGCTGGTCTTACTGCAACGATCGCGAAAATAACTAGGTATGGAGTACAAGGGATGATGTCTTAGTCACGTAGCCCAAATGATCGCCGCATCGGCTTGTTTATCTGTAGCGTCCCACAAGGCTGTGACAGGGATGAAAGTAACCCTGTCTTCATGGGCTCTTGCTTTATTTCTGTCGTTGCGCCCTCTTCCCAAAGATCCCTATGTCTCTCTTTTCTTTGCGAGTCAGCAATTAGAGATACGTGGTCATCTGTGGCTTCTGTTTGATGACTTATGGAGATTGGCTATATCTTCTACTGGTCACGGTCGGGTTCTGCGACAATCGTAATTATTTTTCATGACTCTTTTCATCGAGTCGGCTGAGGCTACTGAATTTACGGGTTATGAGTTTGCATTTCAATGTCATGCAACATGCACACATTCTTCATATCTTCTTAGTCGGCTTGTATCTACTATGCTTGTGCCAAAGACATATTAACGCGCAGAGAATTTTTAAAACCACTGAAAAATCGCAATCTGCAAGACCGGTACAAGAGCATGCTTTTGCATGCTCTATGCAGTCGCTCTATGCAATCTGATCTAACCAAGCTGGCTCTGTCGGTATCCCACTGCCACCAGAGACCACATGCCTTGTGAGCTCCCTCTTCGACCTGGAACTTCAGCAAAGTCTGGTTGTAGTCATGTGCTGGAATTTGCCTCGTTTTCCAGACTTTCTCGTCTGGATCGAAAAAGCTATACACATCTTCTTTGTAAAAGATCAACGGGCATTTCGACTTCTTCCGATCATTGGAAACCACAGAAATCTTGGTATCCACATTGAATACCTCGTGACAGGTTGCACACTCGGTGTTAATAGTCAGTGTGAAGCGATCACCGAATCCACGGTATTGTCCCACATACAACGCAATATCTCGCTGAGGAGCAGAGGGACACCTATTTTCTGTCCAGGGTCGGCCGAGCCTAATTTCATGATGACTTGGTCGCAGCTCCGCTTCCCTCTTCGCCCAAGGAATAAGGTCGATGGAGGGTTTGAGGTCAAATAGTGCCTGAGTCAAAATCTGCGCCGTGAAATCACTCGCGTCGCCAAAGTCACGCCCATTCGTCATTGTGACCACCGCGCTCTGAGTCTCTGGAAACGTGAATACAGTGAAAACTGACCCGTCCATGCCACCGGTATGTCCGATCATCTGAAAAGATTCGGCAGATTTGCCTAGGTTGTATTGGAGATGGGTTTTTCCATGGTCCTTGTCCCGAGATAAAGAGTTCCCACTAAAAGCGCCAAGCATGGAAGATGGAAGCTGCCTTTGTACCCATCTCATCCCATATGTGGCTGGCTTGCTGAACTCAGGATCATCAACAGGTCGTGTCCAGTAGCCTCACCGGACTCGCTTCACCTGTTTCAAAGGACTTTTTGTCTTTTGGATATGGTCTTGTCCATTAATATTTGCGCTTTCGTCTTCTTTTCGCTCTGCATCAAGAATAGCGATGCACCAATTGAGAATATCGTTGAGACTGCTTCGCATTCCTGTAGCGGCGAGAAGGGGTGTATAATGCTCACATGGATACTCCCTGTTGTCTGCCTCGGCAAAGCAACCGTCACTCAGATTCCTGCAAGGCACCGCCACATTGTCATGTTTCTCGATTTCCGATCTGCTCTTCACTGTCCTACTCATGGAAAGCGGTTCGAGAATTCTCTCACGCACAAAATCCGCGAATCGTTGACCGCTCACTTTCTGGACAACAAGAGCAACGAGCCCTACCATGAAGTTGTTAAGTAAGACCGTTCATCCCACCCCAGGCTTTTCTTTTCGCACCCATCATTCAAACCTCCACAAAAGGTATCATTTTCGTACAGGGTCCCCAAGCCCTCTTCGCTCCGCTTAATGAATGACTTACTAACTACGCTAGCTAGTTACAATTCAAATAATCATACGTCAAAATGCTTCCCCCCACTTATATTGGTAATGCCCGCTCTTCCAGCGGTACTGGCGAGCCCATCGACGAGCGCTATCCCTGGCATCCATATAGCGGGAGCGCCGGCTATTCCGGTGGTGCTGGCGAGGGTCTCCCCAAATAGAGCAGGGAAACTATACTACGAACGTATAGGTTATTTACCCACAGCCGGTCCGTCTTCAATCACGGGTTTCCTGTACTGTTTATCAATGAATGCAGACAGAAGGGATCTTTGTCCTTTGCCTTTATAAAAATCAGTGCCTACTAGCCTCTATGCGTAGCTACAGTACCTCTGAAACTGGTATCACCACAGCCTACTACCTTTGATGGTGAGTTTACAGAGATTTTGGACCTTAGCAAACAATAGCGGCCATGTGTGTCTTCTCTGCTTTTTCTTCATTCCCCTTCATAGGCAGGGAGATTACCATTAATAACTTGCGAAACTTCAATACTTCATGAGTGGTCCAAAGCCCCTAAAGCCGTCCTGCACATCTAGCAGTGCTGAAGAATGTTTTTCCATCCGTGCTGATCTCCTTTGTTTAGCTATGATGTAATTTGAAGTACCTTTTCTTTTTTGGCCTCAACTACGTTTTAGTAAGGACGCAATGAAATTATTGACTCATAGAGAGCCCGAACTTTGTACTTGGTTTTTTTTTTTTTTTTTTTTTTTTTATGAACGAGAACAATATCAATGTTCTTAGTTCAAATCCTCTTCTTGAGACTTCATGTAATCTTTTAATTGAAAGAAGATGTTGGTTCCTTATAAGGCATCTAATGAACTTGCCATTGTATATCGCATGAATGCCTACTTCTCACCCTGGATGAATCGCCAAATTTGATATGAATTACATTGAGACAACCCTTTCTACCGACGATTTTACATATCCAGATACTTCAAGACACACGTCCATGGATAAATTTTGACTAGAAGATTCGACACAGAGTGAGCAAACGTGAGTCTTGGACGACCGGCTCGTTATGGAGTCGTCTGGTCATGATAGCGCAATAGCTAAATTGGTTTAATCTATACACGAAAACGCCAGAGTATGAAGTCTTTAAGGGAGCCTATTCTTGTGCAACTGCTCATGAACCCCCTCCTCGGTTCTCTATTCTCCCCTTTTTCCCATTGCCGCACCACGTTCCTTGCGCATAAGGCAGCTGATTATATGTACATAAATTAAGTTGTGCTCTGAACCTAATTTCCTGCTACCGTTGTTTCTACTGTTTGAATGTGCCCCGAGTTCCCTGTAAAAAGAGCACGTGTTTCGGCAAAATGGTTACAACTCTATGCCTATATCTTTCTCCATTTCTACCTTCATCAGATCTCCTACAGGACCGCTTTCGATTGTGTACTTGCTTTCCTCGTATCCATTATCTTTCCCGATGCTGCAATCTTTGAATACTCAGTCAAATCAGACTTGAGTAGAGGTTAGCGCCTGGTGGGGGTTTTGTGATAGGCTCATGTGAACAGGGCTTAAATTAAGGCAGAAGCGGAGGAGAGCAGAATTGTCGCCCCAATGACAATGGAACCAAGACTTGTGCACTATGATTTGACTTACGAGGATTACACAGTCGCAATCCTCTGCGCTCTCGATTAAGAGCGTCAGGATTGGGGTGATAAGCTGGCTGAAAGCTGCTCAATCTTGGTAGCTAAGCTTGAGCAAAATACCCTCAAAGACCATATAGTTATGAAAATATTAGCGATTTTTGAAGTTAAACGCCATCTATATCAACTCTGTAACTAGCTAGCTATCATATGATGACAACACATACATTCCCCAAAACTTGATCCGGAATGTAGCTTACATAACCTCCCCGCAGACCTCAACGCCAACCTCCTCGATAGACTTTCACCCGGAGAAACGCAAACACTCCTGCCCGTTTGGACTCGGCCCGTTCCAAGGTCAGTGCATCTCGTACCTACCCGCCATAACCCACCACCGCTTGATCTCGCCCACCTTACCTAAACCCATCACACCCTGAACCCCGATAACCCTTTAGCGTTTACCCCCTTACTCTCCCCGCATGGGGGGGTCCGACCGCTATCTACACCCCACACGTGCTACAATGAGACCAAACGTAAACATACAATTTCACTGACAAAACACTGGAATGTAGCAGCATACCTACCACGCGGCGCGCGGACATCTAATGGATGGAGTTAGCTCCTGAGGAGGCCGGCCTGGCGCACTCCCGCCCTTCTCCGCACGTCGATGATATCACGCCCGATACCGCGGAAGAACATATCTCCAATTCCAACCCCACGGCAAAGGAAGCGACAGATGGTCAACCAGATGACACGAGGTCTCTGTCGCAGACATCAGGACACTCAAGACCTGTGTCCAGTATAGTCCCTCCATACTGGCAACGGCACGAGCGCAATGCCTCCCGCGCTTCACAGAGCTCACTGGCTCAGTCGGCGATGATCACGTTGGAGGATCATACGGCTGATCCGGAGTCTGAGACTAGTAGGGGTCTATGGGCGCAGAGTGTCTTGATTGAGGATCATGTTGTTGTAGAGGGGAAGACGGGGGTAGGGGCGTATGTGGTGTGGAATTGTAGGATACAGACATTGGATGTGAGTTAGACGAATGGAGGCGCGTGATCAGTACTGATTAATTCTGACAGGGAGGTCCAATGGTTGTTCGTATGAGGTATTCTGAGTTTGATGATCTGCGACAACGACTTGTTTCTTCTTTCCCGCATGCTAAGAATGCTCTTCCTGCTCTTCCTCCGAAGAGTGTATTCTGTATGTCTAATGAATGGTCCCCCTAGGGGATTTTTGCTAACGATGGCAGACAAATTTCGGCCTAAGTTTCTAGAACAACGGCGAGTTGGCCTTGAATATTTTCTCAAGTAAGCCCTGCAAGCATTCCTTTGTCTTAATCCTCACTAACACCTTCTAGTTGTGTACTTTTGAATCCCGAGTTCTCGAGCTCACCTGTCGTCAAAGATTTTCTCTTTGGTCGACTTTCTTAGTTCCTTAATCTTTCGGGCCACGAGCAAATCTGCGTGTAGTATATCATGATTTAGAGCGCACTGTCTTTACATTGGAGTTTGGAGCTAGAGACTCTTTGCATAGGAGCATTGCGAGTTTAAATATGAAAATTTTCAATCCCGCTTTCTCCAAGTTCTAGCTTAAGTAGATGGAACATGCCAGGGAGGTTGATATGGCAAACATCAAGACATAATTGTTTTGGCCTTGCGAGTCGGACTGAAGAGACAAGAGAAGCTTGATTAGTTGGAGTGTGAAAATGCGATCTGGCAAAAGAAAAATAAGAGATAATGAACGCTGGGTCTGGACGCCTGAAACCTTGGACCCAATCCCACAAAACAATGACATCCGCGATATTATACAACAATTCATTAACCAATATGATACAGCAATAGTAGAGCCACAGGAGGGGGCTCTGTGACTCGGGAAAACTTCCGAGATAACTTTGACAGACAGTGGCTTATATGTTGAACGGGACAGGGTCACCCATTCATAGCTACAGAAGGCTGCTGATCAACGGCATCAGCCGGAACCTCCGAGGAAGACGATGGCTTTTTTGATTTTGATTTGCGATCAGCGAACATGGTCCGCAGATCAGTCCAAATCATCTTCCGCATACTAATATTAGCCATGTGCATCATTGCGAGCAGATGTCTTGGCCCTGGCACACCATCCGGGAAAACGAGATACAACGCCGAATCCTGCGTGGGATCAGGTCGAAACTTGTCATGATACGCCTTCTTGCCATGGATTGGAAGACGCATAAACGTGTGGCTGTACAAGTCACGGGTCAGACTAGCAAGTGGGCTTCGCATGCCCCGTACATCGTCAGGTACCAAGGTCCGAGCAGGCTCAAAGCCAAAGCCCAGATAAGAAACATCGGCGCGATTAAGAAGAGCCATAGCGGCCATGATGAGCAAATCACTGATTCCTTTCGGACTGCTAGGAGCAGCAATGCACGGGTCGATATGGTAGCCACTGCAGCCCAGACGTCGCAGGGCCGCAAACCCGTTAACCCGGCCATCCGAGCCGCGGCTATATACGAATGTCATAAGATTAGGCAGCGCAAATGGGTCGTATACCGTGATGAAAGCCTGCGGGCCGGTGGAGTCGTTGCGCTCAGCGCGCCACGCATCATAGATGGCGACAAGATCTGATTGGAGCTGGGCATCTGTGCCATGGATCGCTGGAACATACAGGCCCAGCGTCACGCCCGCTTTTTGCGAGTTGAGCAACTGTCGATTCTGTACCGCTATCCGTTTCCCACTTCTTTCGAGAAGTACATCATTGGTCTGAGGATTCAATACACGCTCAGTGCCGAAGCGGATGGTGGTCCATTTTTCTGGTTGGGTTTCGACATAATCTCGAACGAAAGATTCACTTGCTCCCATGAAAGCTATTCCCCAACGACGGCGGGCTCGATACTCTGCGAACTCGTTCAACAGATCCCGAATGACGACTGGGTCTGGGTCGCAAAGAGGGTCTCCACCGATAATCACCACCCGGTTTTGAACCTTGAATGACAATGCTGCTGTCCGCGCTTTGTTCACGAAGAACCGGTAGCTGTGATCCAGCATACCCATGTGTGCAACCCGACCGTATTGTGCTGTCAGCCGCTGGATGGCAGTGATCGTGGAAAAGTCTTCTAAGCAGAATACATCGCCTTGTTCGCGACTCTTGCTGGCGAGGGGCAAGTCGTGGTCTGATTCAGAATGTCCGATCACAGCAGAACATGCAGAAGGTGAGATATCAGAAGCATGATCATGCGTATCACGTTCGTCCAGACTTGTTGGAGGTGTACTTTGGACGTGGCTTTCGACTGCCGTCAATGCGCGGCTGCTGCTGACAGAACTGGCGTCAGAAATTGGTGCTGCATGGAGGCTGGTGCGCAAATGGTCGACAACCGATACATTGGGGGCCTCCAAAGGATCGTCGAGGTTGGGGATATAGAACTGGCCGACCAATGCGTCACCCAGCTCATCAAGAAGGACCGATTTCTTGGCCTTTGTACCACTATCCAGGCTCTTGGTTTTGCGAACGCGTTTCGTTCGTTTCTTTTTCGCGGGGATTGAGGATATGGGAGCAGCGGATTGCATGGAATCAGGCGTGGTGATAATGATGGGGGATACAGGCCTGTCAGGGAATGAAGAATGTGAAAGCATCATATCAATGACAAGGATGCGATAGTGAAGGGGAAGAGGAAAAAAGGGACAGACTTGATCGAAGGGAAAAAAAATTAGAATTGCATAAGGCAAAGCACGAAGACGTAAAGTTGGCAAGCACAACCTGGGAGATTGACACGGCATGACACCTCGAAATTTCCATACGTTTGCCTGTCCTACAGTACGGGCTTTTTAGACCCAAACCCCGTCACTTGGGTTCCATGGAGTTAGGCAGACCTACGATCTGCTTACGGTATTCTAATTTCTCTTGTAACCATCCGCCGGACCCAATGAAGCTTCGGCGAAATAAACGAACCACCCATTCACGGTACGTGTAGAGAAATTGACTCTACAGAAAACCCTGACCACAGGGCTGAAGTGGGGCCAAGGAAACAAGGCGAAGGCAGCTAGCATTCTTGCAGAAAGCAGGGCCCGAGTGAAATATCCCGCATGCCCCCATTACAAAATGATACCTCATGTAATACAAGGGCGATCGGTACAACACCAACCAAAATGCTGGTGCCTGAGATAGGCGAGGCAAAACTGACGGCACCGGTACGCCTAGATTGTGATTAACGTTTAGGTCAAGCATCAAAGTGGGGGCCTTGGCACTTTTCAGGGGTCCGACCTTCCGCGGTCAAGAGCTCTGCAGTCAATTATAGCGCTGTGGCTGACCGGTGATATCCGCCGTGGCCTCGGATGGTCCGATCCTTACACTAGTGACGGGTACACGGGAAGACGATCTTGACTTTTTGTTGCTGCCTAGTAAATTGTATCCGTCGTATATGATCGGGTTCCTCGGACTCCGAGGTCCACCTGGTTATGTTCCTGAGCTGCTCTTACGATGGTTGACACGAACGACCATGCCCGTTAAGATATTCTACCTTAAGCATACGCCGAGTTGCACGCAGTATTGAAATGCTCATCTATGCTAGCCTTACCGCGACATGAACTAATGTAGTCTTTGACCAGATGGACTACTGGTATTGATTTTACATACCCGAGGCAATGAAGCTTGGGCATCATGTATCTAAATGGCTGCCTATCACTAGCAATTCGTGACATTCAAGTGGGTCTTCCAATAGCAAGTCCGCAGCACGCCTAGCCACTCTAGTTCGAACGGGCTCCTAGTCATGATTTGCGAACCTAAATTCAGGTTCTTTTTATAGATATTGTTCTCATCTTGGAAGAACAGATACTGGGAATTTATATGCTCTCTTCAAACTCACTTCGAGAGAATGCTTGTGCTTTGTCACAACAGCCAAATCCGAACGCGCAATGTAAGGATCATCCAGCACTGGCATGGGGCGTATTGATGGGGATTAGTCAGATACATGGTTAACAATGTATAATCCCATGGGCAAGAGCTTGAAGCATACTTGTGTCACCTCAACCACCATATTTCTCATACCCGTTCCTATCACAATCATCGCTTCACATTTGCAATTTCTTGCCCGGGTACGGGACTAGGTGGCAGGCGAGATAATCTCTTAGGGTCGACCTTTGGTACGGTTAGCCTCGGAACAGCAGCAAGGTGTCACAGTTGGAGTTCACATATTCTCAGAGCCTTTCAGATTTTCTGCGGCTTTGCTCATACATTCAGCAGCCCTCCGCAGATCCTGGGTGGCCAAGGTGTCGGGCTGGACAGACGTGGTATTAGCGGGGTGTAATCCGGAATGCCCATAACAAGTTGGTAGATGATCCATCGGAATGTTGCAAATAACTGACAGATCAGCGATGCTTCTGTGGATGTCTTGCAGCCAGGCCTATCTCAGAAATACGAGAATGACGGCGCAGACCAACCCCAGAATGGATTAATCAGTAATTTCTCAGGGTCAACATCCCAGTAGCGACAAATCACCCAAACGACGAAACTGAGGCCACATATAAGAAATAGTCCATCCATGGTGGTGGTGGTGGTAGTTGTTGTTGGAGTTGTTGGAAATCCTGGGTGGTTAGGCGTAAATGCACTTTCTGTTCTTTCTATACGTATAAGTCGCAGCTTTAGAAACTACCCATGAACGTTGCATTTCAGACACCTCATATCCATGTGTTTCATTTGTTCTCTATATTGCGCAATCTCGACTCATTGAAGTCTACACGTTAAAGCAGGACCTCCAGCACATAAGTCGAGTATATCCAGTATCTATGTCCACCTTGACTCGCAAATCGACCTCACTTGCTGTTTCTTTAGGGAATAATTTGATAGGCCAGAGGAGTTGAATTCGCATTCGCCAATGAAGAGCAAGAAGAACAAACTTAGAACCTTTGGAACGTCCTTGTTCATAATACTTAATACAATACCCCAATGCGATTAGTGACTCCGCACATTTCGCGACCGGAGACTGTCTAGAAGAGCGCGATTCCCACCTTGGAAGGTGCCTCACATTTAGCTACGGCACTAAGCACCGAGATCCGGAATTTTGGAAGGCGACGTACCTGCATCGGTTATCTAGGAGACTCGATGAGGAAATAATCAGCAACGTAGATTAGAAGTCAGCACGCGGTAGAAGCATGGGCACAACCACCACACTGATTGGCTGATTAAGCTTCGGGCCAAGCCCGCGTTGAGAAGCCGTGGCAACCGTGATTGGCCGATTCTACAGTTGGGCTCCACAAACCGCCAGGGACATTCATACTAAGCTCCGCCATCTTCAACCGACGAATCTGCGCATTGCTAATTCAACACTTCATAAAGTCGTGCCGCATCCCGGATGCCATAAGCGACCGAGCATTCCCCACTGCCCGGTTTTTCTTAGCGGGGCTGAAGTACTTTCCACAACCTATAATCGTCGATCGCTGAGACATGTGAAGACATTCTCCATCTGTCATTTGCCTTGGGAAATGCACGAGCTAACGAGATCTCGACTGGTCGCCCGGATAAACGCGACTGGTGCCATGCGGGCTTTGCCCGGCACAAAGGTATAAAATGCGATCGATTCGTCAACAAAGGAAATGATTCTCGTACTTCAGTCCAGTTCCTTCGCTACCTTGCAGGTCCATCTTATCATGAAGGCTAACACTGTCGTCCCTCTTCTCAGCCTTTCGGGTGCTGCCCTTGGTGCTGCTGTCACCCCTCGGAGCGCCCAGGAGCCCTGGGGATACAAGTCCGGCTCCAAGGAGTCCATTGCCAACTTGAAAGACAAGATTGAGAATGTTGTTTGGATCCTGCTGGAGAACCGCGGATTCGACAACATCCTCGGTGGTATCCACAAGAATGGCCTGGACAACGTTGTCAACAACGGTCCTTTCTGGAATCCCCAGCTGGTCAATGAGACCAACAGCAAGAAGTGGTACAGCCAGTACAAGGACTACGACTCCGTTGCCCACGATCCTGACCACTCCGTGACTGGTGTCAACTTCGAGATGTACGGCACCTTCACTCCCGACAACGAGGCCATTGCCAATGGCACCTTGAAGCCTAACCTGAAGGGCTTCGTCGAGCGTCAGATGGCTGAGTACCCGGCTATCTCCGCTCTGCGCGCCACTGAGGAGGTCATGGGATACTACTCCGAGAGTGAGGTCCCCACCCTTGTGGACCTGGTTGATGAGTTCACCACCTTCAACTACTGGCACTCGTGTGTGCCCGGTGTAAGTTCTTTCCAAAGCCTCGCTCAATTTCGTGAATACTGACCGGCCGTTCAGCCCACCAACCCCAACCGTCTCTGTGCCGTTTCCGGTACCGCCGATGGTCATGGTAAGAACGACGACAGCTTCCTTGTCTCTGGTGTTGATACCAGCAGCATCTTCGAGGTGGCCACCGACAAGGGTATCTCGTGGCGCAACTACGACGGCACCAACGGTGCCTTCCTGCCCGACTCCATGTTCTTCAACTGGACCGCCAAGCACGCCGAGAGCAACGTCGTGCCCCTGGAGAACTTCTACCAGGATGCTTACCTGGGTCTGCTTCCCCAGCTCTCTTACATCAACCCCTCCTGCTGTGGCCTGAACACCAACTCCATGCACCCCTCCGGCAACGTCTCGTTCGGTCAGGTTCTGGTTAAGCAGATTTACGATGCCGTCCGCACCGGTCCCCAGTGGGACAAGACCCTCATCCTGCTCACCTTTGACGAGACGGGTGGATTCTTCGACCACGTCGCTCCCCCTCTTGCTGTTCGCCCCGACAACAAGACTTACACCGAGACTGCCGCCAATGGCGAGAGCTACACCCTCAACTTCGACCGCCTTGGTGGACGTATGCCCACCTGGTTGATCTCTCCCTACGCTCCCAAGGGCCACGTTGAGAACTACGGTACCAACCCCGTTACTGGCAAGTCTGAGTCTTACAGTGCTACCTCCGTCCTGAAGACTCTTGGATACCTGTGGGATCTTGAGGATTTCACTCCTCGTGTTGCTCACTCGCCTGCCTTTGACCACTTGATTGGTCCCAAGGCTCGTTCCTCTGCTCCGGCCACTCTGGCCAACCCCCACACCTTTGCCGATGCTGTCTAAGCTAGGCAGTATACTTCATGTGGGAGAGATGACTAGATGAAAATATGAGTAGATAATTTGTTTATATGATGTCAGATGATGTACGTTATTTGATGAAAATAATTGTGCTTAATGCAAATAATGAATATTTTATACACATTTGAATGGCGCTATTCCAAAAATAGGACTACAGTGTTATGAATTACGCTACTTGGAGAAAAGCATAAAGTCTCAGATTTTCGACTAGTTGTTGCTATTTAGACCAATCAGCACCAGTCTCTCATTTCATAGATCTTTGAAACATTCGCATAAAGGTGGGGCCAAGCTCTACCGTCATTGAAAGTAAAGACAGCCAAAAAACTATCATAGCATCACCGAGTATCGAAGAAGATGCACTTCCTAGTTGCTAAGCACCTTTGTAATCGCGACACCATCCTGTTCAAGCAATCAGCATTGTATCAGCCCAAAGCACAGTCTAACATACCATCCGTCCACTATGACCCTCAAACGGGTGAATCTTCGTCTCATAAATGTAAGTCGGAACGCCCTCCACATTCCCCAAATCAACGCCCATACCCTTGACCCCCTTCTCCTTGATCAGCATAGCCAAATTCAACGACTCGAAGTCATCCGAGAGCTCATGTGCCTTCAAGATCTCCTCTTTTGCGGCAGCAGTAGCCTTGAGCCAATCAACATAATCAACTCCCCGTCCAGCTTCAGGCGAAATATTATCCGCAACAAGCAAAGACGCCCTATTCAGTAGACCCAGTCTCTCAACAAACCACAGATCATACCGGTACCGATCTTCCCAATGATCAAAGAATAAAAGCTCAATCTTCTCAATAGCACCCTCTTGGACAAGCTGTGCAAGTGCTTCGTGACTAGGCGCCACGATCACAGTAACGATATCCTGCAGCCCAGCAAGCTCGATAAGCATCTTCGCGACAGACGCATTGATAGGGTTGATTTCTAGCGAATAGTATTTCTTGCCTCCTGCCCGACGAAGTGTGTCGCCGAATTTGATGGCAGAGTAACCCACATACCCACCCATTTCGATCATGGTAGATGGTCTTCTTTCTTCAATTACCTTGTCAATGACAGCCCCCTTCTTTGGACCAACATTGATGAGGCGATTCTCTTCGGTGTTGAACTTGTCAATTGCATCTAGTACTTTGGAGGGATTGTTTGCGAGTTCGTGGAAGTTGGGGAGAGCCCAGATGTAGGTGAGGAGGTCGGGCTCGCGGCCTGTCTATCTAGGATTAGGATGTTGTCATAGTTAGTGTCGGCTACTTACTTCAATACGGGGACGGGGCTCAATGGAGGCCATGTTGAGTTGGTAATGAATTGAGTTTCAAAGCTGGTAGACAACTGTTGGAACTGATAATGTTGGGTTGATCTTGATTCTCGACCCATATATACATCCCTGCCTCGGAGATGAGATACTTGATCTCGGCGATAAAGTCCGGGCCCGATCAATTTGGGTTATGAGCGCCGAGCTTGTGGAACCGGAGACAGGGATCCCGTGACTGTTAAGGCCGATGTAAACATTAGGCAACTCACTGATGCGATTGTCCAATTATTCTACCTGTAGAATGCAAGGGCCATTATAAACCGAGTTGCATTCATACTTGGTCTTGTGCCATCCAGCACCCATTAAATCCCTCACTCAAGAAATCGTAGCATGAGCGGATTGGTCCTCGGAAGCTGGATCGATGATAATAACAATTTCAAGTATATCTAAGTAGAAGGCGATAAGAAAACTTCATGATTCCAGGACATCCTGCACGGTCCGCACCACACTCTCCACCATCTTCTCCCTACCCACACCAGAATCAAGTACAAGCACATCCCCTTCATCACAAGGCATCTCCAACAACTCAACCTGCGAATCAACCATAGCAGATTTCATATAATGCCCCTCCACCTCACGCACAAGCACGCGATCCTTAAGCACAGACCTATCCCCAACATGGAGCATCACAAAGGTAATCGTAACAGGGAAATCCAACAACTGCGACAACCGCCTCAACTCATCCCTGTAAACAGTGCGTAAAGCCGAGCAAGTCACTACAATCGCAGGTGCAGATGTACCGAGCAAACGATCCATAACCGCGCCCCGTATATGCGCCAACCAATCCCAGCGATCAGAATCTTCCAGCGGGATATCCCTGTCCATTTTCAGGCGGGCTAGAGGCGAGTGGAGGGTATCACCTTCGATGGATGGAATGAGGAGTTTCTGTGACAGGGCTGTCGCAGCGGTTGTCTTGCCGCAACCCGCTGGGCCAATTAGGAAGATTATATCCCGTGGCTCGACTGGAGAAGCGAAAGCCCATGCTTGAATGAAGTATTGGAGGAAACGAGAGACGAGGGTCTTGTTCAGACTACTTGCGGTAGACAAAGATGGGGATGATGATTGTGCGTTCTTGGTATCGTATAGCAGAACACGATTTGGTGCATTGGTGTCGTACTTCGAGGCGAAGAATTCGAGGAGCCGGATAGGTGGGTTGTATTCTGGGTCTTGGTTCGATTCCCGGAGACGCTGCAGCCATTTCTTGGGTGGGAGCTCTTCGAATTCTAGTCCTGCCTCTCGGAGTAATGGCAGAAGCTGTGTAGACCAGTGGCTCAGGTTGGGATTGGTAACGTTGAGAACGTTTGCTGCATCGGGGCTTAGGCTGAGATCGATGATGCTGGAAGCCATGGTATCGACCGGTGTCCAAGATAGCACATCATCTAGCTTCGGTAGCGCCTTGATGGTTTTTGCCGTCTGGAGAATCATTGGGATGGCTTCAGTAGTATTCCAGATACCGTGCACTGTATCGGCGACAATCTGGCCTGCGCGCAGGACACGTGCTGTCATGCCAGTCTGTGCCGCAGCTCTGGTGACGATATGCTCCGTGACAAGCTTCGACTGGGCATATCCCATACCTTGAGCATAGCTCAAGGATTCAGGTAGCGCTTCTGGAGCCCAATTACCTGGAGTACGAGCGATAGTACTGACGGACGAACAGAATGCAAAAGAGGCAGGCCGGGGTCCTTCGGCATTCAGGCACAGATCCAGAAGGTTGCGAGTAGCTGCAATACAGCTTTGTTCAAAGCTCTCCAAAGCCCAATTGAAATTGACAGACCAAGCACAGTGAATAACCACTGTCACTGATCGCTTGATCTGGGAATATGTTTCCCCCTCAAGACCGAAATTGTCCGAGTTGGATAGGTCTGCGGGCAAAGCAATAATCTTTCTCTCAGCAGTAGGGGGCAGACTGAATGACAATCCACGAGTGCGTAGACTTTGGGACACGCGCTTCCGAGCAGCGACAGAAGATTTGGCACGAACTAGACAGTATACCTTGCGGACACTCTGGGATTGGGCCAGCTGGGCTGCAATATGTGCACCCAGTGATCCAGTAGCTCCGGTGAGCACGATATACTCCCCGTCAATATCACGCGGAACAGGTGTGTGAATCTTAAAGTTGGAGCTGTATTTATCAATCAAAGCTCGCATTCTGCTTTCCACGGGCACTTGCTCTTTTCGTTCTTGACCCAAACGCAAATTTTGGATTGCTTCAGACATCGCCCGTATCGACGGGTTCTCGAAGACAAAGTTCTGTCCCAACTTATGACCGCCAAGATCAAGGTTTTTCAAGATGGCACCTCGGAGTCGGATAGACTGAAGACTGTCCACACCCAGACTGAAAACATCAGTGGCCTCCTCCAAGGTGGAAGTAGCAATCGATGGGGCGATGTCTAGAAGTGTGTTTCGGAGGAAGCTGATAAGCTCTTGACCTTCCAAAATTAAGCTACCCTCCATATCTGGGGCATAGTAGGTTTCATTGATTTTTTCCGCAAACTGCTGGTAAAATGCAGATCGAATGACAGTCCCTTTGTCCGTTTTGCGATACTCAGTGTCTCTCGGGAGAACATGAATCATATCTCGAGAAATGTATGCATACGCAGGAGACTCCGCATTGCATTTTTCGATCTCCGGGAAAATAGCATCAATCAATTCAGCATTTGTCGTGAAGGCAGTCTTCTCAGATGGAATGATGAACAGACCCAGGCGAGGCTTAGCACTCCCAAACGCGATTGCTTCGGCAACATTGTGGTTCTTTCGAGCAACACCTTCGATCGTCAACGGATTGGCCTTTTCGCCATTCTCAAGAACCAAGGTATCATCCAAGCGGGCATAGTACCGCCAAGCATTAGGCGTCGTTGGGTGTTTCTCGAAAAGATCCTTAGTCGCATAAGAATTATCCGGCCGGTTACTGGCCACCTTTGATGGCCAACCTTCCAAGACACAGAGCTCATAGACTCCAGCCATATCCTCCTGCTCCTCCCATCGTAGGTACGGCAGTAAAGATGGTCCCGGGCGAACATAATCCCAGTCCAGGTCGGACCTCTCACGGAAAGAAGTCATCAGTTGGCCAGTCTCGGTGGTTCCATAGTGGGAGATAAGACGGACACCATTCTGCACCAACAGGTCGCCGATTGGCTTCGGGCAGGACGAACCACCGAACATGACAAGCTCAAGTGGTGCCATGCATTTCAAGCCCTCCTCCGACTCCGACAAGAGCTTCAGGGCATATGGTACCGCGTAGAGAACCTGAATATCGGGGTGCTCCTTCAATGTCGTAAGAAGTGATGTGGCAGTGAGCGGTAGACTCGCGTTATACATGTAGATCAATTTCTGGGAATGAATTGCACGGAAAAGACAGCTGATACCATGAGCATGAAAGAGAGGCAGGGTAATGAATCCCTTGAGCCCGAAGTTATTGGCATAGTTCTTCAAGGCCCCGGCATGTGTTTGGTAGATTGGCTTCGGAAGTCCAGTCGATCCGCTGGAATGGATAACCCAGGTGATGTGCTTGTTTTCGGTTGGACCATGTAGGTTAGCGACTGGTAGGCTAGCAGAGGCTGCGATTGTGGCTGGGTCCAAGGGAGATATAACTGGGACCTGAGTAGCGCCTGTGCGCCTGGAAACATTCTCTCCCATGGTCTGGAAACTTGGATATATGATGATGAAGGTTGATTTCGTGGTATCGACCAGGCTGACGTAGGCATCTTCGGCAATGCGCGTTGAAAGAAGAAGAACAGTGTGTCCCAGGCGCGAGATCGCAAGCAGGGTAATCAGGTATTCAAAGTCAGACGGACCTAGTAAACCAACTACTTGGACTGGGTCGCTTGATGAAAGTCGCTGAGGAATTTCTTTAGAGTAATCTACCGCAGCTGCCTCAACCAGTTGGTTTAACTGCTGAGTGTTAGTTTGATTCACGGTAGTTGTGATTGACACATACCTCATGTGGCGTGTAATAAATATAGTTGGTCGCAGATGAAGGATATGCGACTATGGGCTCATTTGCAGTCTCGCCTGCCGCCCTATCACGCAAAAGACCATCGATTGTATAGATGTCATTTGTTTGAACAGGCGCGGTTGTGGTTGTGCAGATTGCCGAACCAGGCATAGGTGAAGGCGATGTGGTTGGTAATGGCAACATGGCCGGGGAGAGGACCGAGGTAGCCATGGTAATAGAATGCTTGCAACTTTGTAAAAGCAACAAGATGGACTACGAATTGACCTTTTTACTTGAGGTCCTGAGATAGTAATAAATGCTCGTCTTGTTGCTTCATGGATCTGCATTATCCACGAACGCTCCGGACCCGCTAGTGGTGCATCAAATCCGACATGAATGTCTGGTAGCAAAGCATTGACATCAGCTAATAGATCTGCATTCAACCCCGCATAGGATAATTTTCCGTGTTCTCTTAACCGTTGACGGTGCGCCAAGGAGTATGGATCAAAAAGACATATCCGCGCTTCGTTTTTTTCCGCCAACTAGCCCCACATAACACGGAGATGCGGCGGAAATGTGCACATAATGTCAAACACACATCTGAGCTGGAATGCATCTCTGTTAAAGGGGTTTTTCTTGTAAGGGTGATGTCACAACATTGAAGATTGAATTTTTACTAATGATAGGGCTTCAGACCTCATGAAGAGAGGCCGAGCCTCCAGAAGCCTTTGTGTTCTGTAAAACCAATTTAGTCCAAACCGCGAAATAAGGAGATGTGTAGTCCAGTAAAAATAAGTCTAGTCTCTGCATAACTGGTCTTTCATTTAGCCTTGAAATTGAACTTGCAATCTAAGAGATTTTCTATTTCTATGTTGGACTATTCCTCTAAACAGTGAACTTTAGCTTATTAGCAGGACCCGCAGCAGCAGCAGCCTTGCGCACCGCTTCCGTCCCAAACTCCTCAAAAATATCATAGCCCCAGATGGCTGGGAAATTGAATCGCTTGTGTCGCTCCAGACTGGTTAATTGCGCAAAGGTTTCATCAGAAAGAGCCTGCACCTTGAGATTGGCCTCGATACGAGAAGGTGTGACACTCTTTGATAAAACAACAGTCCCGCGCTGCACACCCCAACTAGCGAGCAGAGGGCCTGGGTCCATTCCTGTCTCCTTAGCGACCTGAGCTACCAACGGGTCATCAACTGTCCTGGGCTCGCCGGTTTGATTGTTACCTAAAGGAGAGTAGGCTTCCACGATGATTCCCTTGCTCTGACAGAACTTCAGCAGGTCGGTCTGCTGGAGGTATGGGTGGGCTTCAATCTGGTTGGCAGCGGGCACGACGGAGACTTGACCTAGTAGCTCCTCCAGTCGGCGGATGTTGAAGTTGGAAACACCAATTGCCTTGACTTTTCCCGTCTTCAACAGCTTTTCCATCTCTTTGTAGGTTGTGATGTAGTCGACATCCGCAAGTTCGAAGACCCCATCTTCGTTCAATGGGAACCATTTATCACCGGATTTGAAGGCACTGTTCGTTTATTAGCACCAGAAGATAAGAAAGCTTGGCATCACATACACAGGCCAATGCATCAAGTAAAGATCCAGGTAGTCGAGCCCAAGGTCCTTCAACGTCTTGTTCAATGCCGGCTCAACATCCTCGGGCGCGTGACTCGTGTTCCAAAGCTTGCCTGTGATGAAGATCTCCTCTCGTGGTACGCCAGACTTCTTGATACCATTCCCAACCTCCGTTTCGTTGCGGTAAATAGCAGCACAATCAATGTGACGATAGCCTTGCTTCAGTGCGACTTCGACTGCATTCTCAACTTCCAGAGGCTTTGCCTGCCAAGTGCCGAAACCCACAGCGGGGATTTTGGCGCCAGTGTTGAGGGTAAAGTGCGTTGTGATAGCCATTGGTGATGCTCAAAAAAATCCAAGGAGACTGAGAATAAGTTGGAGCAATTCGAGGATCATGTCGTCCTTTGAAGTCCTTGGAAAATCACAAGGACCCCACATTCTGTGGGTATACTTGGACGAGACGGAAAAAGGTCTATGGATGATTAACTTCGGTCGGAAAATTCTCCACTGCAAATGAGACAGACATCCGGGCTTTTACGAAAGCACCCTTGAATATGGGTCCATTATGACTTGATTTATCTTGAAGCATATTTTGTTAACGTCTTTCATTGGGCCTTAGAACCTTGAAGATCTGGATACCCCGGCTTTCGGAAATATGCATTTATCCGAAAGTGGGAGCAGGCGGAAAACATCCCATGCGGGATGACTTTCTCTTTCATTACTGCCGAAGCAAACAACGAATCAGTCTCAGGTATCTCTTGAAATGGTCGGTGCAGCAGAGGAAGAACGAATGAACCGTCGGAGGGTGCTAGCCCGAGTGGCGCAGAAAAGAAGCAAGGTAACTCGGGCATGCGACTCCTGTAAAGCACGAAAGAAAGCCTGCACCGGAGATATCCCATGCCGGTTCTGTGTGCGGATCGGTGCGAATTGTACCTACAATGTTCCATATCACCGGGGATCCGCCGCACGCCCGCCACCGTCAAGTCGGCAAGCGGAAACGGCGATGGGACCCCGCCCACCTGCAAGCCAACCTTTACCCACTGGGCCCAGTCCTGCGTTGACAAACTCAAGCCGGGGTGATCCCATCGATTTGGGAGGTCAGTATCGCGGCCCTGCCTCGGCCCATTCTTTTCTGGATCGAGCAGTGAGAGAGTTTGACCATCAGCAACATGGTCAGGCTCCATTTCCGTCAACGCCTGAAGATGCCCATGCCTCCATATTCTCATTCGGTGACCGCCAAGCTCCACAAATCCCCCCTGCTCAGCTTCAATGGCCCACCCGAGCTGTTGTGGACCAGCTTGTACGGCGGTACTTCGACTTTGCATCTCCAACCTATCGGATATTGCACCAGGGCACCGTGGAAAATTGGGTCAATCTGATGTTTGATCAAGAGATAGCAAACCAATCAGGACCAGCTACAGCGGAAGTCTCATTGGCATCAAGGGCAATTATTCTGATACAATGCGCAATTGCATCGCTATCTGCAACGCCCTGTCATACCAATGTACAGCAGCAAACGGACCACTTGGACTGGCAAAAATGCGAGGCATATTACCAACTAGCAGAACAGATGCTGTCTAAAGAGACCGGAGTGCCTACCCTAGAATCGGCACAAGCAAGATTTCTAACAGTATTATATCTTCTTGGCACCTCACGGATGAATCAAGCCTGGTTCAACTTTGGTCAAACTGTGCAGTTATTGATGACGATTGGAGTACATAGGAAGCAGACCCGCTCAGATACTTCTAGAAGTGAGGTAGCTCTTCAATGCTCCAAACGCTTGCTTTGGTGCTGCTTCACGCTGGATCAATATCTCAGCCTCATACTGGGCCGACCACGGCTTCTGAGGGAAGAAGACATTGACCAGGACTATCCGTCACTCATAAACGACGAGAACATCGACTCGACTCAATCTAGCTCATCCCGAGCCAGGAACTGTTTGATGGACGCTCCAGTTTGTCATGCGAAACTATCACGTATTTTGGCCAAGGCCTCTCAGGAGTTATACTCGATTCACCCCGGTGAAAAAGTCCGTGAGATAGACAGCATGGAAGTATTCTTGAGCCAAATAAATGAGTGGCAATCCGCGCTTCCACCGCTACTCGGCGACTCAGTCTGTCCCAGCAGTCTCATCTCGATATTCCAAAGGCAGTTGACAGTCATCAGACTCGCTCATTATCACGCTATCATGTTCGTGACGCGCCCTCTACTCCTTTGGGCTTTTTCTGAGGAGTCTGAAAACCCAGCTCTGAAAAGCAGTCTTTTAAAATGTATCACCACCGCACGAAAAACACTTGAATTGGTCTTGGAACTTGTCCAAGAAAACCAATTATTACCAACATTCTGGTATACACAGTATATCGCTTTCAACGCTCTATCAATCGCTTACATTTACCTCATCAATTCTAAGAAAGGACGCATTCCTCCCGACTGGGTAACAGAAGGCGATACCGAAGAATTGGCGACTCAAACAGTGGCTCAAGCCTCTTTATATGATTTGGCAGAAAAGACGCAGTACTACCTTGGTCAAGCCACCGAGTTAAATTCGCTTGCCTGGCGCTATACGTTTGTGCTAGATGCTCTAAAATCCGAATGCCACAGGCGCATTCTTGGGCTAACAAATGTTGGTAAAAGCCATCCACCAACCGCTCGGCCTAGCCAGGGCCCAGAGTCCAATATGCAATCTCAATCAATCTCATCGGCCGAAGGGTCACCTGGAAATGGAATTATCACCGAACAATCACCAATTGACTGGCAATGTTCTCAGCAACTTATGGAAGATACGGATCTTCAAGCATCAGCAGCGCTCTACGGCATCGAGAATCTGTTCCCTATGATGGGACCCACGGAGGAACCAATTTTAGATTTCTGGCCACAACTCGATCGTCTTCCAACTTGTAAGAAATTACCCTTTTCTCGTACTCTACCCACACACATGCTGATCAGTCTAGCACTCACGAATTATCAAAACCTTTAATGCATATACGGGTCTGAAATAAAGCAGATTAATCCCCACCCAGGCTTCCTACCCCTACGTCCTATGTTAATCTCTTGTGTAGAAGTCATTTTCGTCTAACACGATCAGACATTCATTGGTAATTTGATGTGCAGCAATAGGTACTTCTTGCTTTCTCCGAAAAGGCCTTATGCATGGCACCTCAGGTGATTGACCTACTGAAGGTAGTCTTCGTTCATTAATTTCCAAAATGGTCTCAAATGTAATATAGCTGGCTACATATCTGGGACCTTTGATTTAGTGTCAGAGCTTGCAGACATTGGACTTAGACCAGTCGCATCCAAACGGATGTTCATAGCTACTGAGCTACGCCAACTTAACAATCTCAGTAAATAAAAATCTACCACAAATATTTGTAACGTATCTGGCCATCCATATCCCCCTCTTCAGTTGCCTTCTGGTTCAACTTTCTCAGCCATAAACCCAGAACAGCTGCAAGGATAACACCGCCTGCAGCAAAAGATGACAGGATAATTCCACCCATGCGATACTGAGGCGCAGTTGAGGTAGGGAAAAAGTAAGAGCCGTAGATATTCGACGAGTTGCCGAAAAGATTAACCAAAGCGTAGACGATAGCTCGCTTTGTTCGGGTACGCGGTACCGTACTCGCAATCCATGCCTGCACAACATTGAAGGCCGAGTATGAGCCAGCGCACATCAAAAACATACCCACGTACCGAGGCGCAGTAGCGGTTGTCGAGATAACCATGATGTTTCCAACAATGTCAATGATCAAAGGCCAGATAATCAAGACGGCGCGCTTATTCGTATGTTGAGCAATGAATGAATTGCCCAGCGAGGTACAGAAGCCGAAGACGTACACGGGCGCCGTGATCAAAAGAGTGACGATATTGCTGAAGCCAAGGGTTTTCACGATAGACTAGGCTCGTGATCGATTAGATCAGTTGAATCAACACGATTCTTGTATAGAAGACTTACCGGGAAGAAGTAGGTCCATGTTTGAGATGTAAGCTGACAGATCTGAATGGCAATAAGCATCCATGCCTTCGGATCAGTAATCGCATCAACAAGAGCCTCTTTGATCGGACCATTTTCATCGATCTCATCGTTCGCTGCCTGAGCCAGCCGCCACTCCGCAAATCGCTGTTCCTGTTCAGAGAGCCATTTTCGCTGACCAGATCGAGGGAAATCCGGAAGAAGTCGGACAGCTAGAATGCCTGCGACCATTGTTCCTGCTCCCTCAATAATAAATAACCATCTTCAAGATCGTCAGTATTGTGAATCGAGTCAGGAAAGTAGCGTACTCACCTCCATCCTGCTAAACCTGACGCACCATCTAAGCCACTGAGAATACCAGCAGCAATCATTCCACCAAAGCCATTTGCAATGGTATTACCACAATACATCACCGCAACGCGAGGTGCAATCTCCTGCGGCTTATACCAAGAGCTCACCAAAAGACTAAACCCTCATCAGCAGCCTGTAATCAATACTGGGGGAAGTGGAGATCATACAGAGCACCAGGGAAAAAGGGAGATTCCGCAAACCCCAGCAAAACACGAACCACTATGATTCCAGTGAAATTCTGTGTGGCTGCCGCGGACATGGATATACCGCCCCATATAAAGATCGCCGTGGGGATATATCGTGACGGCTTGATTCGCGTGAGGATAATGTTACTTGGGACCTGCCCGAGCAGATAACCAACAAACTATTAAGAAATCTGAATTAGTATCGAAGTCTCGGCCTGACGTGGGGGACTCACCATTATGGCAACGGCAGTTTGATACTGGGTGTCACTGAGACCTAGATCCTTTTGCATACCACCTAGCCTGGCATTTGCAATATTGGACCGATCTAAGATGTTGAAGATGAAAAGCAGACATAAGGATGAAATGAGGTGCAAGTCAATCTTCCTAACCACTGTACCCATATATTTAGGTGAACTTCACTTCGTAATGCATGTCATAGAGGGGTACTCACATTTCTTCTCTAATTGCTTAGTCTCTTCAGCTGTGAGTCCTTCAAATCCAGTGTCCGCCACTATGGACTTAGGAGATACCTCCAAGTGACCAGTTTGAGTGTCCTTCAAATTATCAACATCCATGATTAGGTTTGATAAACAAAAATAAGCTCCCTGGGCACTGCTGCCAAGGAGCTTGGAATATATAGTTCAATTGGACTCAATTCCCCGCATATCGCCATATTGCCAGCGAACTAATAATGTGGAGTTGTCGCCCCCGGATTCCAGGTTTCATCCCAAGGTTTCCATTATCCGCTTTCCCCCACACGGCGGAAAATGAGCGGATACACTGCATTGCATTCTCGTGGGTGATTGGGGGTGATCTGACCCTCCAGAGTATGCTAAACTTGACTGGTAGCGTTAGCTGAAGCCATGGACCTATCTTTGACGAGCTAAATTCAATTTGGGTAGAACCACGCTTCCCGAGACTGCGATTAGAGCATTTGTTATTTCTCGTATGCAAGCTTACAGGGGGCCGTAATACCTCCTTCTAAGCTCTCAATAAGCCAGCGCGATTGCACTTCCGCGTAAACAATGTGTTATGATATAATTTAGTGCGAAACCCTTGAGAACCCGCACTATCGGATATGTTAGGACCACGTTCCGCTTCAGGCTCCAGAGACACGTTGCACCAGGGGTCTCTCTACTTTCTCTTGCTGATGAGGTCATTAACCTCTTCGCATACTTGCCTGATACCGTTTTTAACCACTTGGGCACCTGGTCAAACGAGGGAAATTTGTGAAACCCTCCAATTGTTGCATAATGCATGATGTAACAGCCGTGCCTTGGCGCAAGTCTTAAGAACCTTTTGCGTGTACACAGAATAAGCCACGCTCTCCTTGAGGATTACAGAACTCCCTCGCATCCACCAGGAAATTCGGTGGCTGAAAAGCATCTGCAGAATTTGGAACAGAAAAACCAAAACCCATCCTACCCAGGCCCTCCGCACACAAGTCGACATAGTCAACAACCCGCCGAATGCGCGAATTATCATGGTCGTCCTTTAACAGGCAATTTTCAGACTGCAGTCAGTCACATAAAGTATACTAATGCTCAGCATAATCTCTTCGAGAAGAATATCTCTAAGCCGGCGTGCGTCCACTGGCTCGCGCGGATCAGTGTCGAAGCCCCGACAATATAAAATGCCGGAACATAAAGATCTACTCTCACATTTGACTGGAATCAGTGTGATAGAATGATGTCACCACATCCGACGCGTCATGTAGAGGCACGGAGGCACGCAATTTGACATGATTTGATCAATGGCAGCAACATGAAACCGGCAGATACGATGGATTTTCATTACCGTTGTTCAGGGCTCTCAAAACACTTTCGCCAAAATACGTTGATTCCCGGGCTTTCCTTGTGATCTTTGGAGGCACCCACGGTGAAAATCGCGTGTATCGACATCGCTGCACCTTGCGCGGGGCGCGCGGTGTGGCATTTTCAGCAGCCTATAACCAAGCGTTCACTAAGCGCCGTCAGTTTCTGACCCCACATTGCGCATGCCATGAACAAAATCTCGTGGGCTGAGCCTGACATGTTTTTTTCACCTTCCCTAGTCTGTCTACAGTCAGATGCAATAATATACCAGGTTTGTGTCTCCGCCCCTCCGCGAGTAACTCAACTCCTCTCTCGTGGATGAAGGCGAACTGCACAATATTGTATTTCTTACCTTTCCGCGGGCTATCTGATAGTCTAGTTTTCGTGCGCTACTTTGCACATCATGACATCTCACAACGCCCTCGACAGCCCCGACTTCTATACGATCGCTTGGATAGCTTCTCTACCGATCGAGCGGGCAGCTGCAGGAGCGATGCTCGACGAGGAACATGCGGCTCCAATAGGCTTCAATCGACATGAAGCCGACGCGAACATTTACAAGTGGGGTCGCGTGGGAGAGCACAATATTGTGATTGCTTCTCTGGCTGCCGGAGTCTATGGAATCACTTCAGCTGCTGCCACCGCCTCGGGTCTGCTTGCTTCTCTGCCATCCATACGTATTGGTCTTTTGGTGGGCATAGGCGGCGGCATCGCTCGACCGGAAGAAAACCACGATATCCGGCTAGGTGACGTTGTCGTGAGCCAGCCCTATGGGACGAAAGGGGGCGTCTGCCAGTACGACTCGGTAAAAGCAAAGACTGGTGACATACGTGAGCGCAATGGCTTTCTCGGGCGGCCTCCGTTAGTGCTGCTCAATGCTCTTAGCAGCATACAGGCTGAACACGAGCGCAAGGACTCAAAGATTCCCTGCTTCCTTCAGGAAATGCTGGAGAAGAACCCGAAGATGGGCAAGAGAACCAATCAAAATCCTGGCTATTTTCATCAGGGATTCGATAAAGACCGCCTGTTTAAATCTTCATGTGACCACGTCCCCGGCTCAGACTGCCAGGGCTGTGACACGACTGGTGAGGTTCAACGCGAACCGCGAGACACTACAGAGCCAGATATCCACTATGGGACCATCGCATCCGGCGACATGCTCATTAAAGACGCCGCTGTGCGCGATCAGATTGTTGCTGAAATTGGCAAAGATTGCATTTGCTTTGAGATGGAAGCGGCTGGCTTAATGAACCTATTTCCCTGTCTGGTGATCCGAGGGATCTGCCATTATGCCGACTCTCATATAAATGATCGATGGCAATGCTACGCCTCGGCGACCGCCGCTGCATATGCCAAGGAGCTTCTGGAGCATGTGCCGGCTGCAGAAGTGCAAGAGACCAAAAGGGCAGTAGAAGTGCTTCAGTTAGGTTAGTTACCATTTTGATTCCTTTGCTAGACTAGCATATGTGCGAGACCGTATTGTATCTCAATTCGGGAAACACTCTGACTGTGAGTAGTCCAACAACAGATTGACGATGTGCAGCAGACGACGTTTGCAACGAAAACTACGATTGATTCCATCAGGTCTGAACTTCATACCGATAAGATCAGGCGTTGGCTTTGTCCACCGGACCCGTCTACAAATGCCAATGATGCAATGGCACTTCATCATGAGGGGACAGGCAAATGGCTATTAGAGAGTCCCGTCTTCCAGTCGTGGTACTCGGGCTCAAATCGACATTTATGGCTGCACGGGCTCGCGGGATGTGGAAAGACAATTCTCAGTGCAGCTGTGCTTGATCATCTTGCGAAAAAGAAGGATTGTCTGATTCTCAACTTCTTTTTTGACTTTAGCGATACAACAAAGCAGACCTTGGATGGAATGCTGCGGTCGCTCGCTTTTCAACTTTACCAAGCTGGAGCTAGCAGCCCTGCACATCTATATGCTTTGTTTCAAGCACACCAGAATGGCGGCACCCAACCTTCGATGAAGACGCTTTTCAATGCTGTCTCCAGTATGCTAGAAGTTGAGGGCAGAGTTTATATTATCATAGACGCATTGGATGAATCGAAAACAAGAGATGATATTTGCCTGTGGATCAGGCACATGATGTCCAAGCCAGAGCTGGGCCATGTTCAGCTGCTCTATACCAGTCGACCTGAGTCCGAGTTTTTGCGTCATATTCCTCGGTTGATTGGGAAAGAAAACTGCATATTAATCAATAGTAAATCTGTCAACTCCGACATCCAATCCTGGGTCACAGCACAGCTTTCTCAACGTCCAGACTTTACGGAGAAACCCTTGCCCCAGGATCTTCTCCAGAGGATCAGGAAGGAAGTTGGCGAGGGGGCAGATGGGATGTGAGATATTGACATTTCAATTGATACGTGCAAGACTGCTACTGACGCCCTATTTAGGTTTAGATGGGCCTTTTGCCAGTTAGATAGCCTGGCTCGATGTCGTCACCAGGCAGCTATGGAGGAGGCTCTTGAATCTTTGCCGCCAAATCTAAATGAGACATACCGGCGGATGCTTATATCCATACCAAAGGAAATAGCGAGCGACGCAATACGTCTCCTGCAATTCCTAGTGCACTGCAAGCGACCTCTAAAGTTAAGTGAGGCTAAAGAGGTCATAGCGACGCGAATCGAAAAAGAACCAAAAGGGTTTGACACTAATCGTCGATTGTTTTGCGAAACTGATATTTTGGATTACTGTTCCGGCTTAGCAACATTCGTTCATGCCGACGATAAAGAGTTGCATCTTGCTCATTTTTCCGTTAAGGAGTACCTTCTCGGAGAGGCTCATTTTGATATCATGACTGCCAGCATTTCTATTACAAAAACGTGCTTGGCTTATCTTACATACATCAGCACTAGTGGCAGAAATATCGAGCAGAAATTCCCGATGGCCAGATATGCGGCGGAATTCTGGACAGATCATGCTCGATTGACCCAAGATTCCGAAGACATGGTCCAAGTGATCGTCGAGTTCCTAGAAACTGAAGCGACATTCCAACAGTGGGCTTATGCATATCAGCCTGATAAATTCTGGGACAATAGTTCTGGTTCTCCAGAGAGTTCCAGGCTGAATTATGCTTGTTTTGTTGGACTAGAAGCGTCCGCAAAAGCTCTCATTGGCAAGGGAGCGGACGTCAACGCGCATGGTGGCTACTACAATAACGCTCTTCAGGCTTCCTCAGCAGAAGGCCATCGGGATATTGTCAAACTGCTCTTAGATCAGGGAGCGGAAATCAACGCGGAAGGTGGCCACTACGGCAGCGCTCTCCAGGCCGCCTCAGCAGAAGGCCATCTGGATATTGTCAAGCTACTCTTAGACAGGGGAGCAAATGTCAATGCGCAGTGCGGGCCCTTCGGCAACGCTCTACAGGCTGCTTCAGTTGAAGGCTATCAGGATATTGTCAAACTACTCCTAGACAAGGGAGCGGACGTTAATGCGAAGGGTGGTTTCTTTGGCAACGCTCTACAGGCTGCCTCATTGGAAGGTCACCACGATATTGTCAAACTACTCTTGGATAAGGGAGCGGATGTTAACGTGAAAGGTGGCTTCCTTGGCAACGCTTTCAAGGCCGCTTTATTTGGAGGCCATCAAGAAATTTTCAATTTGCTTCAAAGGCACTATATCACATCGCTTGCAAAGCATTTCGGCTTTAGAATCTCAAGCAGCCCGGCAAGAAATATTTGCCTCATGGAGTAGGACTATGAGCATTACGCTCAAATACAATTAGTCTATCATTGATCTATCATAGTCTCAAGCTCTCGCCTGGCCTCGGGTTTCATAACTCTCACCACCTCAGAGGTTCTTCATGTCAGTGGATTAATTGATACAATCCATGAAAACCCCTGCGATCCCTATTCAACCCATGTCTTAATTGAGAAACATTTTCTGGAAGTTTCTGTCAACAATAAGGCAATATTGGTTGAACTTCGTATAAACAGTTTAAGGCAAGGCGCACTATTCGTAGTTCATAGTAGTGATAACATCTTCGACCATAATACAGATACCTAATAAATTATTCTTATTCGTACCAAACTGTCCTGAAAATGCGTCATTGATCAAGAAGTGATACATACTAAGTTGGGTCGTTTCTATGAATATTGGGACGTCAATGTGAATTTCGGCTATAATTAAGTGTCACCTTGCTTGTTAGCTAATATAACAATGACAGCTCTTCAATGTCTCGAAATAAGGAACTCAAAGTGACACTTGCAAATTTTCTCTGAATTGTGCTACACTAAATCTAGTAGGTGTAGTGCTCAACTAAGCTTTGTGATGTCCTTTCATCATGCTCCTATGTTAATACATGTCTCAGCTAGGGTTCTGACTTCGCCGGGGTTTCCTATTGTTCTTTTCTTGTGCGATATTAGAGGGCAGTCAGAAAGATTGGGAGTACACTCACGAGCTCGTACATGGGTCTGCTGGTTGAGTGAGATGGATCCGATCACAGGCTATCTTTATGTTGAGCGTAAGTGACTATGTGTCCCGATCAGGCAGTGCCGCGACGCTACCATCTGCCGGATTATGGCTGAACGCCTCTAATTACAGATATGAGTCTTTCGTGTTCAAGAGAATCTACCAGGAGGGCTGACGAGATAAGAAGCACCTCTTACATCCGTTGTAGCACCCTTTCACTCTCAAGGTCTTTGAACTGATGGAAAGGAAGGCAATAAAGACTGAGCGATTCGAAGGACTTAATAAATTGATGAAAACCATGGATTCAAGGCCGACGCCTAGAGAGTATATCTGAATAGCGGCGACTTATCCCCCATCTGCAGCAATTGCTCATCGCTATACTTCTCCCGAATCTCAACCTCACTCAGCGCATTCTTCCGCTTATTTCCCCACCAAAACGATGCTTCAAGAGCCAATGCCGCTAATAGTGCCGTACCACCAAATGCCAGGGACAATCCAAAGCCCGTAGGATAAGTAGGGGCTTCCCGGTCGAGGTACATGTAGCTTCCAATAATTCCGCCAATATTGCCAACGCAGATATTGAACGCACTTCCAATGGCTCGACGGTTCGAGGGTGCGAGATTGTTCATCGTCCAGGATGTTGTGGATGGGTGGGTGGGATAAATACCCATGCAAGTAAGAATAATGGCGAAAAAGCCCGGTCCTAGATTCTCCTTCAGATGCCCACCGAGTCCGATGATTATCGAATACCCGATGATAATTAGTAGAAGTGGAGCGACTACAAATGGCATACGCCAGTAAAACCGGTCGGACAGGGTTGAAAAGAAGACGGCAGATATCGCGCCTGCGACGTAGGGAGGCACGGTCATAAGTTGGGCAGCTGTGCCACTGAAGCCCATTCCCTTTGTAATGGTGGGAAGTGTAAACTTGGTTCCTAAGAAAACGTCAACAACTGAAAAGTCGCCGGTCTTAATGGGTTCACTCACCATAAGAACAGGCAGATTGACATAAGAGAATGTAGGCCAGCAGATACATTCTCCAGTTCGAAAGCACAGCTCGGATATCATTCCACGAAGTCCTACTTCTCTCTTCCTTGAACTGACCTCCATCCTTGATAAAGTGCTGCAGCTCCAAAAATCTTATTTCCTCCGGATTTAACCACCGACTTGACAAACGAGGCGAGTCGATAAGAAGAAAGAAGCACATCACACCAAGAATAACTGTAGCTAGTCCTTCAAGCAGGAAGATCCAGCGCCAACCTTCATAACCGCCCACGCCGTCCATCTTTGCAATACCTGCTGCCAAGAGACCTGAAAAAGCACCTGACAGGGCGCTTGCACAATAAAAGATGGAGATTCGCGTCGCAAGATCTCTCGGCATGTACCAAAAGGAGCAGAGGTAGACCGCACCGGGGAAGAATCCAGCTCTGTGCAGTGTTATTACGAGCGATCCAAATCAACGGAGAACCTCAGACATACTCAAATATTCCCAGCAAGATACGAACTGCGACCAAACCACCAAAGTTTTGCACAACGCCCGTCAAGGTCATGATGATTCCCCAGCAAATGATAAGAGTGCCGAGATAGAAGGATGGCCGTGCGCAGCGTTTCAAAAGCATGTTACTTGGCACCTCTGTTTTTGATTAGCGTTAGAACGATCACTGCATCATCATGCTCAGCTTACCAAGCAAAACATAAGGAATGAAGAAGAGACTAAGGGCAATGTTGTATTGAATGCCACTCAGCCCGAGATCCGAGGTAAGTCCGGCGATTTTCGCATTTCCAATGTTGGCTCGATCAAGATGAGAGACCAAGTACAGCACTGACAACATAGGTACGAGACGGTAATCGACCTGTGATGGAACATTTCAGTCATTATAATACTCAATAAGTTGAAGCCAAATGGAGTTTTCATCTACCTTGCGCAAAACAGCTTTTCTCTGATCTTGCGAAAAGTTGTCAAGAAAAGTGGCATCATCTGGACTTAGGCCGAGGACTCTAATACCGTCAACAGTGGTCACATTCGATGTATCTTCAACATGATCAGTATGCTGCTGCTTCTCATCGGCTATATCATCATTATCGGATCGATTAAGATGGAAAGAAACCATTTTGCTGGTGGAAGATGAGTGAGAATGGAGTCTGGGAACATCCAGAAAACATGAATTGGTCTCGGCGGGCAGCTTCTATATAGACATCTCAAGAAGGTTCAAGTCCTCAAGTGGCTCGAGCACCCTTCAAGCCGCCAAAACCCCCAGTCATGGACAACGGTGCTATATCCCCTCCCTCGGAAGCCTTGGCAGAGTCAACTGTTGGATAGTTTGGAGAGGGCCAAGAATTCCCCCACAGCCAAGACACCCCAGAGCTCTCCACAACTTGGCTCGCGGGGTTCAGTTGGGTGATCTGGGGTGCGTGTGTTGCTGCGGAGACAGAAGCTTGAACTCCTATCTCCACTGTACAATTCCGCCGCTGTGCTTATCCTTACCCGCCACATATGCGCCCATTATCCGCTGCTTATCCGTCCAGCCATAATCCGTGCATGTGGACGGTTATCCGGTCAGAAGCTGAAGTCGGCTTTTCCAGCCTTTCAGGTAGCGTACTCTCTGCTGACGCTTTCTTTTGAACATCTGATTTATTTTGTTAGGTAATTATAACGCATTTCATCATTCTATAACAGGTAAGCCTGTAGAGAAGACCAGTCCTATGTCTTCCTTCCCAATACAAGTTCGAAAAGGGAATCCAAAGGAGAACAAAATCAAAATTCACATAACGGTCATTTGCAATATTTCTGTTCTGCATTCCCTCGAAAATCTGAGGCTGAGTAGCAGTAAGGTTTGCAGAGCGCGGCTTACTCATCCTCACCATGACACGCCTGAACTGCAACCTAAGTCCAACTGTGATACAAATAATTCCAGGACACCACATTATGTACCAAAATGACGACCTACCGTCCAGCCGAGCTAGTAGATCTTCCTCAGATCCGTGCCATAGGTGAATACTACATCCTGAACACGTCTCTTGCATCTATGGAATTCCCGCCTCCCTTGCAAACATATGAGGCCAAATGGCATGAACTCAAGGACTGTGAGCTCCCATTCCTTGTTGCAGTGAGAGAAGCCGACACGAAGGGAGCTAGTGAAAAACCTGAAACTGTTCTCGGGTATGCCTACCTTTCGCCATTCAGGGAACATCTTCTTTCATATGGACCCACCGTCGAACTGAGTCTATTCGTCCACCCAGATCATCAGTCCTGCTCCGTGGGATCAACTTTACTGAAGAACCTACTTGACCTTGTACGATCGGGCAAAGTGAGCTACAGGGTTAAGGAGGATCGCCATAGTGCCTGTGTCAATGGCGATGAGTCAAAAGAGGTAGAGCTCCATATTGTTCGGAATATCGTTGCAATTATGGCGGTTGATCCTGAAGGCGAAGATGGAGGCGAAGCGTTGAGAAGGTGGTATATTCAGCGAGGATTCGAGGAGCAAGGGAGACTGAAGAGGCTTGGGTTCAAACGTGGTCATTGGTGATTACTTTACTTCCTCCCGTTCATTGAATCATTGGGCTAATTTGACACAGGATTGATACTATCTACCTGGTATTTTCTACTTTGGCCTAGATTGAGGTCGAAACAATGGACTCAGATTTCTCAAGTACTACGCTTTATGCTGTTCCTCCACAACCATCGCTGTATCATGCTCCTCTCTAGCCCGCTGTACCGTCTGAGAGTATTTTCTGCCCGCAACGAGCCACCATACTAGCTCTATAATCAAGAACCCACCAACAACGACGCATGTATAATTCATGTTCGAAACTAGACCTCTGTCAGCATAACGAAGGGATCTATAGCCCTGTTAGGCTATTTTCGATTCCGTTCATAACACTTACCAGTTGCAGGCATTTCAAAAGGGAAAGAGAAGAAGATAATCGCAAAGACCAACCATAGGACCGCAATTATATTTACCGTCATTCCAGTGAACTGGCCCATTGAAAACGGACCACGATGCATTGTCCGCCGGCGAAGCAATACATTCGTGAGGATTGGAACAATATAGGCGAGGTTGTTAATCGTCCTAGTATATTGTCAGTAAATTTCAAAATCACGTCCGTTGCCATTCATACACCGCGGAACTCATCATCGAATTGAATGCAGTACTGGATCCTAGATAAATACAGCCCAGCAAAGCAATGATCACTCCTACACAGAGTTGGGCGTTAAAAGGAGATCCAAGTCTAGGATTGACACGAGCCCAGCTGGAGATAATTAGCCAGTGAAATGCTTGTTGAGTTTAAGGACGTACATATGAGAAAGCGGGAGGCCATTATCACGAGAGAAGGCCCAAAATACACGTCCAGTACCTGAAGGCCATTAGAAATTGAGATTCAATCTGTCTGATCTGGTTCTCACTAAGTTGGGAGCCGATCACACACGGTCCAAGTGCAACCCAGACCATGAAGACCAGGCCGAACGCTCCTCCTTTTGTCGAGGTTGCTTGGTGGAAAATCTCAGCTAGTGGTAGGCCTGTTCGTGTATCTGCCAGTCTGTCATAGTTCTGAACTGAGAACATCAAGCTGAGCAAGTAGGAGACTCCGGTCACGAACGCAATCGAGAGGGTGATTGCTGTTGTAAATTAGCATCCAAATCAATTCTTGAAAGACTAGCAAGCTTACCAAGGCCCAGAGGGGCATTCCTGCCAGGCTGTGCGGATTCTTAATACATCAGACAACCAAAAAGTACTGCTTTGATGACTCACATTTGGCATTTCCTCAGTGATATGCTGATGAAGTGTTAGTATCAGATATCAGACATATCATAATAATACAACAACTTACCGAAATCCCATCTAGCCCACCCAACGCGTAAAGGGGATTCACCAACCCCGTTATAAAGCACATCACATTGTTATCCCATCCTGTCTTGTTCATCCAAGTCGCAAACACAAATTTGCTATCGTTGTGCGCTGGTGCAGCTGCAGCTACGGTGACCATTGTAATAAACCATGCCAACTGCAGATAAAGCACTGGCAACTGTGAGAATCACATAAGTTTGTGGGTAACACTTCAACTTACAAGAGAACTTGTTAATCGCTGGGATAAAGCGGTTGCCAAACATGACGATTCCCGAAGTGAATATATTCAAGATTTGATATGCAACGAAGGTCATCCAAGGCTTAACAACCAAATTGTCATGGTATAATGCAATTAAAGCCATGACCGTCGACGCATAGATAAGGTTGGTTGACGCTGTAGTGAAAATCCCTATGCATTTATTAGCATTTCCATCTTGCCCCAAGTATCATTACTCACATCCAAAAACTGTGCACCATCCTGTCGCAAAGCTCAACAGACTATTATATCTTTTCGGGGCGATAGCCGCAATCCAATGGTACATTCCTCCCTCGGTCGGATATGCGGACACGAACTCTGCCAGAGAGGCACCAACAAAGGATTGGAGGATGAAAACAAGAATAAAGCCGTAGATTACTAAGGTCATCAGCGCTGAAGCCGTTTTGCAAGGGGTATGCGTTGGGATGGGCTTACGGGCACCAGGGCCACCAGAGTTCAGTGCCGTGATCAGACCCAAACCAAGACCTTTATTGAAAGTTAGCTGGCAATGCTCTTGTAGGAGACTCAATTGAACAAACCCGTCCATGAGATGGTACAGTTGGCTGCGAGACCAATCAAACTCCACACCGAGAAATGTCGCTTCAACTCTTGTTTATGGCCTTTTTTCATTAGGTACGGTGCTTGAACTGGTCATGCGTGCACACTTACCCATCTGGGCCAAACGTAATTCATCTTCATTTTGAACCTTGAGGATCTCCACACTTTGAGCCGTTTCTGGCTTTGGAACCTTGGATGTGATCTCCGATGCGCCCATTTTGAAGGTTAGGGGCGTTATTGACAGGGTCAAGAGAATGCAAAGGCGAAGATTTGCAACACCCGATCATAAGAATTTTTTTTTTTTTTGAGCATATGCCGTATCTCTTTTCTCGATCATGCAGCTCTTATCGCCAGCCGGTGATTTTGGAGCATTTCGCCGGGTTTGCCGGACTGATAGCCGGAGAGGGGGAGAGGGGGAGAGCGGGGACAAATCACAGTGTGAAATACATCTTGGCAGTCATTATCACCGGTGATCAACATTATCTCCGGAGTGCGAAGGTGGCGACAACTTGATATTGCATTTGAGGGGTGTAAATCACCTGTTCTGTAAAGTATGTTGATCTTTTACGAATATTGCTTACCTCACTTTAGATGTCACTTTTAAGTTGATGGTCTCCACAGTTTCCACGACCTGAATATTTTGGTGCACAATTTCTAAGAGTACACGCGTGTTTAACACTGGAATTTTTTTGATATTTGTCGGCTTCCTTTTTTTTCAGCGATCTCGTTGCTGATTTCCGTCAAGAACCTACAGCAAAATCAAATTTCAATGGCATCTATATATTTCCTGGACATACTTTCCAATTCTTACACCTTTCAGTTACAGCCGCCCCGAAAGACTTTGGTAGATATATCCATCCTCCGGGTGCCGCCTTGAGCTTCTATATGTTCTTCAAGTCTCCAAATGCTATTGGTCTTCGAGGTTCATATACCAATGATCTTGTACCCAGAGTCATAGCCCGTCCAATCCTTATGCCCGGCACTCAATTCCACAATTCCCCGCCTATTATCAACTAGTAGTGGACCTTCGGGGTTTCGCAAATGTGCTGGTAGAGTTTTACAGACATGAGTGAGGCTAGAATGTGGGCTGGCTCGATAAAACCAGATTTTCTTCACTACATCCTTCGACTTATATCCCCTGAGCTCGTAGCTCTTCTTGCCGTCGATTACTTGATCCATGTCGAGGTCGCTTTCTGCGAAGATCACATAACGGGGAGGGCATTTGCTATATATATGTGTTGTAGATGACATTGAATCTACAACGTGCCAAGTTGGCGCAAGTAAAATCAAAGATAACAAATTGGGTATCGGCTGCATCTGAGGAAAACATATACAAAAGATAGCGGAAAGTCTAATTCGGGATTCAAATCACTGTTACCTGACCAGGTCTAATGATGTTGTCGCCGATGGAAACACTTGTTGGCGCTTTGCTCACCTTTGAGGAACTTTGCAGGCAATCTCATTAGGATCGCATGTGTAACCTATGTGTTCAATATGAATTGTCTTAGGTACTTACCGAAATCCTACAAAACCTGGAAATCAAAAGTTTACAGACAAGTCTCCATTACACAGTAACGGAAATACCACATGTATACTTTCCCTCCTCAATCTTCGGCAAGCCGACAACAGCTTTTATGAAAGTCACTGGCCTAAGCATAAAACCATATCAAGAATGAATTAGACCGTGATGTTCGGATTTAGCTTTCGCGCCGCACTCTCTCGAAACGTTTCCCAAAGCACTAGTCTACACTAGAAAAATGCTCCAACCTTGCTGCTTTTACTATTTGTACCCTTGCTAGACATGTTAAATTACAATCAAGGTATTGAAAAATCAAAAGTAGTGGTGGGCGCCATCAAGTGTGTCATCGTATAACATGCTGTCGCTTTCTACCCCTCTCTCTTCAATCCTTTGCATCCACCCCATCCCGAATCGAAATAATGACCAACAAATCTGAACCAAGTGCTAAGGAGTTTGCAATAAAGTAAGTACCATGCAAGATTATTTCCGGGAATGGTGGTTTCTAATGTCCCTCTCGCTCAGCCTTCTTCCGCTGCATCATCATCCCACCGTCAAGATTAAGATAAGCTCCAGCGATCATGAATACGAAATATCAAAATACCTCCTTTGCAAAGACTCTACCTACTTTGCAGGAATGTTTGAAGGTAATTTTGCAGAGAGAGAGCAGCAGGTAGCAACTCTGAAAGAAATGGAAGGGGTGGTCTCAGTGCCGAGTTTCGAAGCACTCATACAGTGGCTATACCTGCACAGAATCCAATTTGATTGCGAAGGCCCAGAAGACCAAATATCGGCTTCGATAGAGCTCGTCAGGCTTGCAGACATGTGCAATATCACCGGGTTGGAATCGCAAATGGCTCAGTATATCAAGGATTTACTTATTGCCAATCCTGATCCCAAGGGCAATAACTTCCTTGACCCTGTACGATCCATCGATACCAATACCTATTGCCTCACACGTCAGCATATCCTTTGGGCAACCTATTTGCCTTCAGGGCATTTGGTGCGTCGCATCCTCGCGGCAGCCTCGGTTGAAGGGTATCTTCGAGATAAGAACTACAAATTTGTGCAGGAAACCCAGGAGTATCCCACCTTCGGAGCTGACCTACTTCAAGAAGTGAGGTTAGCGCTAGGTGGACTCAAGGTCACGCCGAAAAAGACCATCCTGGAAGACCCTATCAGTGGAGCGGCAATTAGTATCAACTCTGGCGGAGACTTCTAAAATAATTAATACCCTGTGTTATTGCGTATCAGGATCTGTGTGTACTGCAAAAATGAAGCCATGTAGTTCTACGAAGTTGAGATTGAAAATTGACTTATTGAAAAGCTTTTGTTCGATTATTTTCAGTTTCCCCGCATTGAGTTCCAAGATGAAATTTTGTCACTGGCTGTATCAGCAGTACGACATGTTCGGACCATCAAGTATATGATCAATCTATATAGAGATTCAACAGTCTATATTCATATCAAAGAGAAGCTAGGACATCAATACGAATTTGTGACACCGAAATTGTTTTTATCCAGAGGTCGTGATGTTTAGTTATATAGTTTGGGGATAACGTCATATCGATGTCACCCCAGCTATAATTCATATCAACCTCGCGATATCCGTCAGAATAGTTAGTTGTCACGCATATTCTGGGAACTGACCTGTTTAATCTTATTCACGTAAAATCCCCCATTCCCTGGATTTTATTCTACTGTCTTCAATATGCCTGTAAACGATTACGGTGTGTGGAAGGCAAATGCAGCGCACTACGTTATCGAACACCGCGAGGATAAGTCTGTAAATCCACATTTATTACTATACATCGATGATCGAGGCGACACATCCAAGCATTCATATTACCACTCTCGCCACAGATCGCATAAGCCCAGCCAAAGGAACAAGGAAATTCCCGGCCTCGTTCGAGCCAACATCAACATCAAGTCTGGAGACAAGAAGGAATCTCGACTCGCCTATTGGATAGACCACAACTTCAACGACCACCCTATCATCAACAGTCTCACATCCCTCCCATTAGGATTCCATCCTCTCGCCGACACAGAGCAGAATCCTATCGGCCTCAGAACAGACTACATCAGGAGCAACCTGTTTAGGATCAACACCGGTCGAATCCTAGCGCACGACGACCCAGATCCAGAAAACAATAGCGCTGATGCCATTGAACCTGAGATTGAAAAAGCCATCAACGAGCATGCCGATCTTTACCTCTTCGGCGCACGGTTCATCGATTTCAAGGGTATTCACAATTTGCACATGAACCAAGGCAATATTGAGGAATGGAAGCATGATGACGGTGTATTCCAGGATGGAGGACTATTGATTCATTACCCGAGCTCGGATCGGTGGCTGGCTTACTTCACCGGATTCGCATCGCAAGCTGTCCACACAGATAACTCTTCCGGACATGCCATAGCATCAGGGGTCTGGAGTGACTATCTAAGTCATATAGGAACGCACGTCAACTTAATGAACTCTGTGACAATCGATGAGGCGTCGGTGAATTCTATCGGTAGCCAACCCAGACGCAGATCAGTCACTCTTACGAATGTGACGAACCACAAGAAGCCCCTGTCTTCTTGGAAGATCGTGAATTCAACTGGGCAGTTCCAGACACTGCCGGCCGATGCATCTTTAGATCCTCTGGCAAGTCATTCGTTCGATATTCCGGATTGTCCTCTTTCGGATCATGGGGATACCATCACATTGATGAATGAAGAAGGACTAAAAGTTGATGGAGTAAGCTATCGTCCTCAACATGAAAGGATTGAAGGGCAATCGGTTGTCTTTGCCCACTAGGAACTTGGGATCATGAGGAATTTTGGTTTATTGCCTTGATTTTGAAAAAAGTAACGTTGTGTACTGCATATGCAAGCCAAGAAATAGTAAGGAAGTAATTCCATGAAATCTGCAGGTGTACTTTTGAGCTGTACCTTGACCCAGAAAAAAAGCTTATCCTTATCTCCCACCCGTGGGCTGCATCTTCCATGGCTCTTGGCCAGTTAACAAGGTTGATGAGTGAAATGAAAATGCAGGCCGAATCACATACTCAGGGTGCAACCTCAGTGCCACGGCTTAACAAGCTCAATTAGAGATTTCACCAGGCAGCAATGAATCCAATCTTTGAGTTTCACCCTAGCGCCTCGGTAGGCTGCAACGATTCGGGTACATCCCGAAAAGATCGCAGATCGCGACGATCTTAGCTATGGTCTGAGTCACTTGTGGGGGTTGTTTCATGTTCTTTGCTTTACACGATGAAGCTTTGAACGGCGGGGCACGTGAAACGATACTACTTTCATATCACGCTAAATGATGAAAAAGATGTAGAATATTCATGAAACGTGGCGTTGGAAGTGTATCTAATCTGTTTGTAGTGAGAAGCATACTGCCCTAGCTCATGTGAGAGGTATAAGAGAATTGAAATGTAGTCCGCATAATATTATGAGGCAATCATCAGGGTGAGACACCCATTATCCTGCATCAAGGTTACAGCCGAGGCAAACTATCGCCAACGCGAAATCCTAAAAGTCTACAGCACAACTCAGCAAGTCTAACGTTCAGCCTTACCAGGACCCTGAATCTAAACAAATTGGGCAGCTACACATGCGGGTGGACCTGTCTCGAGGCATCTCATTTCCGCATTTCAAGGCCTATTATGCAAACTATCGAAGTCTTGGTGCATAATGGACCCTGGAATCAAAGTTCAGGAGACGAAAAGGGGGCTGATGCGGGGGGAAGCAAACAAAGCGCTGTATTGCCCCAAGACAAGTCAGCGTGTATTCGGGTCATTTGGAGATTCTTGACGTCCACTTGGGCATAAAATCCATTTGATCCTGATCATTGTTCCAGTATGAAACTGCACGAGAAACTCCTGAAAAGCCCACTGTGTTTTTGTAGCGTCCGGAGTTCGGGTGCGGGTATGCTGAGAAGTTATTTTTACAGTAGACCTGTCTCCACTCGCTCCACAAATCCAATCCTGCTCCAACCAAAGTTGAAATTTGCAAATTCTGAACTCCGTCATTTAACTCAAGTGAGATTAGTACAGTAGCAGCTCACGAGAGCTCTATGCAAACAGCAACAGAATAGCGAACCGAACGGTGCGCTCGGCTATTTTTATGGAAGTTGCCAAGCCACCGCCTAAACACAAAAACCCTTGCGAGTCTTACCGGACTTGACCGGTGATTCGACCAAGGTCAAAGGGTCGTGTGACCCACATGAGAGAAAAAAAAGAGAAGAAAAAGCCAAGCATTGTCAATCTGAGCCGCAATCCTTTTGTGGTAGGTGAGCTCGTGCCTGGAATTTAAAGCGAACTATTGATCATAGGTTGCACTAGAGCTGCAGGAGTCACATTTGCCCCTGAACTTGTACAATGATAGGAAAATGAGCCTGTACTAGACTAATGGGCTTGGGGTCTGGCCGGAAGCTTCGGTCACAGAGTATGACTCTTCAGGGGTGTGCGTTGGCACTTGGAATCCATCGCATGGACCTACAGACTACTCTATGCTCTGGATCCTGCGTACGTTGTCCGAGGACAATAGTGACACGGAACTCTAATTCAAGCGTTGCACTCCAATGCCAAGCCCTTCTGATTCCCAAACAATCCCCATAAAAACTCTACCATCGCCACGTTATGGTCCGCAGGGGAAAAGTGAGACCTTGTGGAGAAGCAACGGGACGGAGACAGCACACTTCCGAGCCATAGAGGCCGGTGCAGCATTTTATGTAGAGCCAATGAGTCTTAGTGCATTGCTCTTAGGTAAAAAATCGATATTACCGATGGACCCTGATTCTCCTTTAGGAAAAACACCGCATGACCTAGAAGGCTTGGATGAAACCCTCGCTGGGTCTGACGCTCCACAAGCAATTCCCATTCTACTTGGTACGGGGCGGAGCATAGCGATTGGTCCCTTTCCCCATGTTCTATTAATTCCATTAAATCTATTTAGTCCGCCGGATCGCGCTGGATGATCCGAGATCTGATTTGAAATGCTTTTGCGACTCCGTTGTGAATAGGTTCCGTGTTCGCCATATTCTAATGCTTTAATGCTTCTGTAAAGATATTCCCGTCCTTTCCGACTGAGAGACCCCGATATCCACCCTAACTTCAACATGCTCGCGGGCCGGGCTTCCGATTGCCTCAGCTTTGTCTGTTGTGCACTTCCTGCCCGCGCTGTACAGGGTACTTTGAATTGGGACATCGCGCGGAAGTTCTGGTTTACATTCCTTTTCTTGACTGTCATCTGTGCCAAATTACTCCACATATACGCTCATTGGGACTCAGTACCACTCCAAAAGTTGATTTTGTGGGGTTCCACATTCTTCCTACAGGACTTCTTCTTTCTGCTTGCTGGATACGCATTGACGCAGAATTTCCAATGGAGGATCACGCGCATTCTGGCTGGATTGGTGGTAGTATGTACCAGGTAAGTGTGTCTATCGATAAAGAGATCGACGTACATGGCTAACCGGGTACTTCCGAAGCCTCATCATCTCCGTCATGGCGGCCGCAAACACATCCTTTTATATTCTTACTGGAGCGGAAATTCATTGGCGCCAAGCAGGCTCCTTTAACGCCGATCCCGCCGCTGTCAACACCCTGCTTACCGGCCTGACGGGTCTCGTGATTGTCGAAGCTTTGCTCTTGGTTGCGTCCATGTTCGCGTCGCCATATCCATATAATGGCATGGAAGCTATCGTGGATATCTGGAGCCGTGTTGCTGTGGCAGTGTGGAGACCTACGTCGCAGGCAGCAAAACCGGCAGTCGACGCTTTGTTGATTCGATACCAGCCGGTGGTAGAGCGCGTTTTAAGTCGCACCGCTCGCGGCAAACAATTCCTCGCCAATATGAAGATCTATGAGCCACTTGCATTGAGCGACTATGACGAAGAAGATAAAATCATGTCAAACTCGGCCCCGCTACTCGAAGAACCAGCACAGGATGCCCAGCCCACGAAGATGGAACAATGGGGCCATGCGAAGGTGATCAAGACCGGGATTAAGACCGCCCTTGTCATCGCGGCCACCCTCTTCGTGCTCATTTTGCGATGTTTCCGTCCAGCAAATGAATCATATGGCTTTCTTTCCCAGACTATATTCTTATCCCCATTCAGCGGCGTCGACTCGCAGACCAAATTGGCGGGTATCACCGAGGAGCATGAGTTGCATGGAAAATTGACTGCTTTGACTACGCCACCGGAGTTCGACTGGTTCCCAGAGGGCGATTGGCCCGGTTTCAGAGACTGGAAGCTTTCCTCTGAAGGTGCATTTGAACATAAGCATTACAATTCGACTGAAGATCCTATCCACATCTCCAATTTGGACGAGGATGTGCTCGAGCCTCTTCGCGCGGTCCTGAAAAGCAAAGACTTCAAGATCAAGCACGTTCTAGTCTTCAAGATGGAAAGCACTCGGTTTGACGTTTTCCCGCTGCGAAACGGTACATATATGCACGAACGGATTTTGGACTCATACAAGGACAGGGAGATTCCGGAGGATGTCCAGAAGCGCTTGAATAATCTTACTCACACTGCTGAGCGTCTCACTGGCGTAGAGTCCGGCTTCCACAAGAACGAAACGGTGAAACCGTACGGTGGTATCTATGCTACCAACTCATACACTGCCGGCACCTTCACGTTGAAGAGTATCGAAGGAACGACTTGCGGTCTTTCGCCACTAGTCATGGACTTTAACCACGAATACGAGCACCACATTTACCAACCCTGCATGCCGCATGTCCTTGACGTCCTCAGTGCCAGCACAAACGACAGCACCAGTGCTGACTTCACCAACTGGCCATGGCGACCACGATTCATGCAGTCGATTACCGATTCGTACGATCACCAAGACCGCCTCACGCCTGCTCTGGGTTTCAAGTCGGAGAATATTATTACTGTCGAGTCTATCGATAAAGAACACCTAAACGATACGTCATTCCACGGCGAAAAGTTCAATTTCTGGGGTTACCCTGATCATGACCTGGCGAGTTATTTCCGGGATGCTATTACCCACGCGGAAGAGAATCATGAGCGGCTTTTCCTTGAGCACTTGACTGGATTGACCCACCACCCGTGGGATACTCCCGGCAAGAAATATGAAGAGCTGATCAGCTCTTCCTGGGGCGGAAATAATGAAGATATCAACAAATATCTCAACACGATTGGTATCAACGATAAGTGGTTCGGTACCGTGCTCGATATTCTCGAGGAGACCGGCGTTGCCAACGAGACCCTCGTTATCATGACAGGTGACCAGTAAGTACTTTCTTCCAGTTTTTGCAAGCTCCGTTCTAACCTTGTTAGTGGTCTCTCTCTTCTCGAGGATAACAGCATCACTCCCTACGATAACCCGCACGTCGCCAACTTCCACGTTCCACTAGTCATTGTAAGTCCACCACCATCACCAGTTCAAGGTTTACTCTATACTAACAACCCCAGTCCCACCCTCACCTTCCCCCAATCCAAATCAACTCCTCAACAACCTCAATTCAAATCCTCCCCACAATCCTCGACCTCCTCCAACAATCCGAGTCCGTCTCCTCGAATAGTGACAAGGCCATCACATCTCTCTTGCCCCTCTACGAAGGCCAATCCCTAATCCGCCCTATCATCGCCTCAAACGATCAGACTCGAAACTGGCAATTCACCGTTATGAACACCGGCGGCTCGATGGTCGCCATGCGCTCGGCCTCAGAACCATACAGACTAATTGTTCCACTTGTTCCAGAGGTGGAGTGGCGATTCACCGAGATCGAGTCTGATCCGCATGAGAAGAAACCCATCAAATCGTTTGATCTGGAATCTCTCAAATCTGGTGTTGCGATGCGACATGGATCTGATGCTGTTCAGTGGGTTAACGAGGCTGCAAGGGCTGCGCAGTGGTGGGTTAGTGATAACTGGAGGCGGTACGAATATTCGCCGTGATTGGCCACTTGGCTCTGATACTTGCATTTGCATTTGCTTTTCGGACATATTCGCCGGTTTGGTTGCTTTTCTTGCTTTTTGTTTTTGTTCTGTTTTTTTTTTTTTTGTTTTTTCTTTTGTTTTGCTTTTTGCATTCTGCATTCCGCATTGTGTACATTTGGAGGGTCAAGATTCATGACTCCGCAGCATGGCGCAGGGTATATCCGGGGGTATTGCTCATAGCTTTGGGATTGCATTGGGTGGGATTTATTCAAGCTACATCATTATTAAAAATGCATTATTCCAGGTACAGGTACTTGTGTTGCTGTTACGTTTCTAATTCGTGTAAGCCATGAGCCGAGATCATGACACGAGTGTCAACGCCACCTAGCACTCATACCGCGAAGGGAATAAGCCAGGGTGGCTCAACTGAACGGTTTGACCGATCACATCACACAGCATAATAACCGTCATCAATAGGGAATCAACGGGGGCGAATGGCGTTGTTCTGCAGCCTGAAACCCTGTTTGCCAATTGCGAATGGGTAGTGCCCGTGCCCGATCGCAGATCATTGATCGGCTACCATGGTTCGAGCTCTGGCCCCTCTTCCCAACTTCACTTTCTTCAACCTTCGCCAATGCACACGATGGGGAATCCGGACCAGAAACCGTGGCTGTTTAATCTTCGGTCGTCCGAGACCTTTCTCGTGCTGACCGTGTCGATCGCGATTTTCACTGTAGGTTCTTTTTTGCCTCTTTTTGCTAGGGATTGCTCTGGTGGGTCGGGCGGTCGCTAACATGCTTTACCCTGACAGGATTCTTTTATTTATGGCGTGGTAGGTTGATTTCATTCCATTTGAGCTTTCAGACCTCCATTCCGGGGTTGAAATGCTCTTTGTATGTCGTGTAACTAATTTTGCAGATCGTTCCTATTATTCCGGTTGCGCTTGTTGAGCGAGTAGGTGCTCGTCCGCAAGATGGTAGCTCATCCCGTCTCTTCTATATAATCTGTCACGCTAATTGCTCAAAGCACAATACCTTGTTTCGATACTGTTAGCTGTATATGGTGGTACACTTCTCGCTGGATCGCGTAAGTCCAATCAATTCCATCCATCTGAATCCAAGCTAAAGGATATAGCGCTGTTCGGGTATTTCGCCGACAAATCTTCCTCGAGAAAACTTCCCTTTGTCCTCGGACTTATTGCCTTGGGAACATCCACAGCTCTTTTTGCCTTTGCCCGCACGTTCCCGATCCTGGTTATTGCGCGCGGTCTCCAGGGATTCTCGGCTGCAGCTGTCTGGGTCGTTGGTCTTGCTATCGTGTCTGATAATGTGCCCCCAGAGCGGATCGGCGCGGCGCTCGGGACCACGACCATTGGATTGACGTGGGGATTTCTCCTCGGACCCATGGTCAGTGGGTATATTCATGACACGTTTGGGTACTATGGATGTTTTGCGATCCCAGTGATATTGATTGTGGTGGATGTTGTGTTGCGGTTCGCGATGATTGAATTGCCAAGTATGATTCCTCCCAGATTTTCTTGTCTAGCCGGTTCTGACTTTTCCCCACAGAGGTCGATCATCGTAAACCTGAACCTCAACCTGAACCTGCTCAGCACTCTGACTCTGATTCCGATTGTCAAGACAATCTTTATGATACTTTCAATGCCAATGACATTCGACATCCGCGCCGATTATCTCGACGGGAGCGTGAGAGGGAAGATGCTCCTCTGTTGGGACCTTCCTCACAGTCTGTTGAGCACCCTGCGAAAGATAATGAGCAACATGCGACTATCCTAAGTCTTCTGCGAACTCCACGACTGCCACTTTCTCTGGTGGCGACAACGTCCATGGCAATCACACTCTCGGCCTTAGAGACTGTACGTATATGGCTCCATCTCTCCCTTTCGAAACTAACAATTTTTCAGTCATTGCCATTATTTACCATGGAAACCTTTGGCTGGACCCCCAAGGGAGCCGGCTTAATATTTCTTGCCTTAACCGTACCAAGTTTTGCCGGAGTGCAGATTGGCAAGCTAATCGACTCAATGGGAGTCCGCATCCTAGGTACCTTGTCTTTCGTGGGCTGCTGCGTCGCCTGGATCTTGATGCGACTCGTCACCGAATATTCACCCGGCCATATAGCCTTGTTGGTGGTGTTTTTGCTCGTCTTGGGTCTAACAATTGTCACCATCGAGATCATTGCGATGATGGAGGTATCGCAAGTAATTACGGATTACGAAGCTGAATTCCCAGGGGTGTTCGGAGAAAAGAGCCCTATTGCCCAGGCCTACGCACTGTTCAATATGTCCTTTGCGGCAGGCCAGCTTCTGGGCCCTATGATGGCTGGTCCGATTCGTGTCAACGGTGGTTGGGGGACTATGACCCTGGTTCTTGGGCTTCAAGCTGGCTTGACTGCCATTCCCTTTAGCCTTTTCAGCGGTCCACCGCGGAAGGCGTCGAGGACCGAGTCTGCCGGCCCTGTTTAGCCGCAACGGTCGAACTATGTGGGATGATATTAGTTAAACAAAAGCGACTTGCATGGGGTTTACGAAGCGTCATGTTCGTTAGTCGTCGCGCCGAATTGGCGCGTGCTGGGACAAATTGGCAAAATACATCCAGATGCATTGGAAGATCATGTTCAAAACGGGATGGATGCAGTGGCAAAATCTATAACAATATTTTCCTAGGCTTTTCTTGAAGACGCATGGTCAGATACGGCGTAGATACGCAGTTGCTAGACAAGCCTTGAGAAGTTCCGTCCGTTGTTAACGCAGGCATCGCGAGACATAACAGTTAGGCGTCAGGGCTGATATCATAATTTAATAAAATTGTACAGGGCATTAACCCAATAACGACCAACTCCTTCCGAGCCTCAAATAGTGCTATCTAGCGTATATTTACTCGTGCAAAACAAAACTCAACCGTGTGATGTGAGGATCTGGGTAGAATGATTGGAAGTACCCACTGGCGACCGATCACCACCCCACAAAAGTAGCTCAGTAGCGGCGTATAGTGGATTGTAAGCCCACGCCATGATAAGGTGGATCGCGTTTAGACTGCACGGTCCGAATAGCATCCGACCCAATCAACCGTTTCCCAACAAGATGACGAATATATTCCATAGTCCACTCCTGACACCGCTTATTACTAGTCTAAAAGATCACATCGCATTAACACTAAGCTTCTTCAACAGGGGATCTCGACTCACATCATTCACAGGCGCCAGAAAGTTCTCACTAATACCCGGAGTGGGTACTTCCGTAGCAGCGATCTCTATAACACCACGCGGCGTGCAGTCACTGCACTTCGGACCGGGCACCGGATCAACAATATTGGCAGGATCAACATCCCCGATAGGAAAAAGAGTGTATTTCTCCATCGAATCGGCCGGTGAGTAATTTCGCTTAAACTCAAGGATATAGCCCGCCATCGGGGCTCCGACAGCTTGGATCAGGGTTCCATGCTCGCGATCTCGCTCGGAAGGGACAAAAATGGCGAAGTGTGATCTTTGAGCTTCGCTATTGCGGGATGTGATCAGATAGATTGTTCTAGAGGCCATTGTGAAGTTGCTTTCCGGGATGATGAAGAGGAAGGGATAACTAGATGGTGAATACTGAACTGACGTCAGGCGGACAGGAACTGGGATCTTGAATGCGGGGTAACGCGAACCAATGCTGGAATGGCCTTGGCCTTAGGCTGCTAGGTGTAAGACTCTTCCTTCTTGGCCATGATTATCTGGAAACATTTTGTGCAAGGTTTCCTGATACGCAGTGAGAAGAGAGGCTGAAGAGAGATAAGGATCTTGGAGCTCTTATCGATCTGGGGATGCTGTCAACCCGATCTGGTTAGAGCGCATATTCCCCCGCTTTGGCCTCAGGTGTCAAGGTCCGTCAAGCTCTATTCTCTTTGGTGTATATGAAAGTTATGCACAAGGACGGGATAACCCTTGAATCTTATTTAATGGTCCATTTAAATGTGCTTCTTATTTACTCCGATTATTGATTTTGCCAGAACAAAGGTCCCAGCGGTCAGGATATGACCCTTCATAAAGAGGTCTTTGCGTCCCCAAATTCCAGCGCTCAAGCAATGTCCTTTCTCATGAAAACCGTCTTAGTGTCCCAGGACTTGCCACTTCTGTCCAAAATCGTGTAGAAATTCTGCACCGTTCGAATCACACGATAACCTCGTCGTGCATACCAATCCTGGCTCTGGATCTTCGAAACGTTAGCTGCTTCCAGAATCCAAGGACCAAATCTTACCTTTGGCAGAGACCCATAGGCTGCTTTAACAAACTCTTCACGCAGATTATCATCTCTTTGGATGGTATCAAGCATCAAGACCCGAGCATTGAACGGCTCTCTAACGACCATCTTCTCCGCCTCGTCCATCGCGGCCCGCCCAATACCCTGGCCCTGCACAGAGTGACTAACGTAGAAAGTCTTAATCCAGAATACCCCGATGGAAGGAATATTCAGATTCACGTGCTTTGTCTCTGCGTTCAAGCGATCAATTGAGATATGTCCAACGGGAATGAAGGCTTGCTGGGATGCCCACCGGGGAGCGCCATTGATTGATCGAGCCGTGTCTCGCAGTCTCTCGCTCGCCTGTAAAGCATTTATTAACGCTATGTCCTAGAAATCTGGAATATAATGAACTTACCTTGAAGCGAAGATGACACTCCATTTCCTCGGTCATGTGCGAGTCATCAGAGAGAAGCACCTTGTTTATGGTTAGCAATCGCGTCCGCAGATCAAAATCTCGGTATAGCATCAGATAGAGCTTCGCATTCTTCCTTAACTCACTATCCAGTAGATACACTTGTCACCCTTTGCTTGGGCTTCCCTCCATTCCTTCTCGACCTTTTCATTATGCCAACCGCAATCTTCTCGCTGCTTCAAGAGGACTGCCCGGTGAGCGGCGGATTCATAATCCCAAGGGATCAAGATGACTCTGCATTTGTATCTCATCCTTTAAATTAGATGTCGTTGCAGTTGTAGATGATAATAATAAATTTGCAAGGGAGGAATGGAGGAGGTGCTGGGTTGACGCTGGTACTTTGACAGAATTTCAACCCCTCGTGTTCAAAGCAAACGTCCCTAAGGCTGGCATGGTAAAAAACCATATAAAAAGCTCACGCTCATCTCATTCAATATTTAAATTCCAAAACGCAAGTCCTTGTACTGACCATCAGCTCAAACCCTTGGCAAACACTAATGCCATTGTTGCCATGCACGAGTGGTGAACATTTTTGGCTCTAATATCTCATTTTCCCCATAGACCATACATACTATTCACAATGGTCCCAGTGGTCGCTGCATGGTACGTTTTAACAATGGCAAGCATTCCATAGATCTACCTGACAGAGCTCTTGACGCAAATCTCCAGATGTGGAGAAAGCGGGGAACTTTTCATGGAATCACGGCAAACCTTTCGGCACATTGGTCAATCCACGGCCACTGGCCCCTCTCTAATGACCCGAAACATTCTTCCCCTTGAACAATGAGACATCGGCTGGATTCTGGTTTGATTTGAATGGCTGCCGACGCCGACCAAGTTCGGGTTGAAGGACCCCGAACTACCCCACATCGGCTTTTCCGATCTTAGGGTCTAAAGTTCGTCCAAAGTCAACTTTTTTCTCATTGCTTCCTTTGTATTTTTGTTGATTCAATAGCCATCATGTTGAAATTTGGTCGCTGTGGAATCCACGGTTTCGATGAGGTGCTAGGAATTGACAGCGATGAGATCCGCTTCTTTTGGACACTGGAAACAGATGATCGCCACGCCATCCAAACTGCCTACCGCGTGGTGCTGAGCTCGGACCCTGCAGCTCTTGAAGATGAATCTCTGAATTTGTCTCAACTTGCATGGGACTCAGGGCGCGTGGAAAGCGCCGAGCAGAGGAACATCATTTGCAAGCCAGAAAATAGCTTCAATTCGACTTGCAGCTACTACTGGCGGGTGACTATGTGGACCCAGAGCAACGATGCTCACCACAGTCCCGTCCATCACTTTTTCACGGGCTATCCACGTTCTCGACTTTTGCCTCCTTACAGCATGAACCAGACATACATGCCGCATACAAGTCTCATCTTCCGAACATGGTTTGAGGATGAGGCAAATCGGTGGAAGGCTGTTTGGATTGGTGATGGAGGTGATAAGCCTATTTACCTCCGGAAGCCATTCCAGCTACCACGAGCACCTACGCGTGCGATTTTGTTCGCCTCCGGTTTGGGCCATTTCAACATGACCATGAACGGTCAGCCGACTTCGAATCATCGTTTGGATCCTGGGTGGACCAATTACCACCGACGTGTTCAATTCACCTCTTATGATGTCACTGACCGTATCCAGGCAGGAGAAAACGTTCTTGGGGCTCATGTTGGTAACGGATTCTATGCTGGTGATAAAGGAGGTGATGATCGATTCTTTTGGCCAATGTACGAGGACAACACATATGTGAGATATGGAAACGAGCTCTGCTTCTTCTGTGAACTTCATCTTTTCTTCGAAGATGGCACACATGAGACTCTGATCTCTGATCCTACATGGTCTGTGCGAAAGAGTGCTACTACCTTGGCCAATATCTATGCTTCGGAGAATCATGACCGACGACTTTACCCGAACGGCTGGGACTCTCCTGGTTTTGATGGCGGTGATTGGAGTCCGGCTAAACCTCTTACCGGGCCTCGAGGCCACATATTCTACCAAACACAACCTCCTGTTGTACTGCATGAGACTTTCGAGCCAGTCAAGACATACAGCCCTCGGCCAGGAACTATTTGCTATGACCTGGGGCAAAATGCTTCAACCATGGTCCAAGTCATTGTCGAAGGCTCCGCTGGGTCTGAAATTATTGTTCGGTACTCCGAAACCGTGAATGACGAAGGTACTGTCCTAATGCCAGACCCTCTTTTCAAAGAGTTCGAAACCGGTGTTTTCTCCAAAATATACCTAGCGGGCACAGGTGAACCGGAGATGTGGGAGCCAGACTTCAGCTTTACAAGCGCTCGGTACATTCAAATTGAAGGTGTATCTCTCACCCCAGGTGAGGGTCTCCCTGTCATCCATTCTGTTGTCGGTCGTCATATCTCTTCCGCCGCCAGGAAGCTTGGCACTATGAAGACAGATAAAGAGGATGTCAATGCTCTCCTCAATGCTCTCCACTGGAGTTTCAGCAGCAATCTCTTCAGCTACCATACCGACTGTCCGCAGATCGAGAAGTTCGGTTGGCTGGAGGTGACACATTTGCTCGCGCCAGCCACACAGTACACCCGTGATATGGAATCACTTTACACCAAGATTCTCGATGATATTCTTGATGCGCAAGAGCCAAATGGCCTTGTTCCCACCATGGCTCCTGAGATTCGGTACATGTGTGGCCCTCTCCACGATACCATCACCTGGGGCTGTGCTGTGTGTCTTCTTCCAGACATTCTACGACGATACTACGGATCCACACATGTCATCGCCAAGGTATACCCAGCTGCCGTACAATACATGGAGTATATGCGCACGAAAGAGCGGAAGGGTGGACTTATCGAGCATGGCCTTGGGGACTGGGGCCGCGATATTGCCTTTGGAAACCATCAAGCCAACATCGAGACCGCCATCTACTTCCAATGTCTGCAATGCGTTGAAATGATGGCTCGCGAGCTTGGAAAGCTTGACGAGGAAGAAAAGTTCAAGCAGTGGGCCCAACGCATCTATGATGTTTACAACCAACACCTGCTTGTTACCGATGATCTATCACGTCCTTATGCATATTACACCTCCCTAGACAACTTTCCTCAACGAGATCGTACAGCCATCGCCCAGGCAATGGCTCTTCAGATCGGCTTGGTTCCGGAAGAACATAAAAAGGATGTGATGGCCGCATTCCTGGATGATGTCTCAGACGGCAAAATCCGCGCTGGTGAAATCGGACTTCGATATCTCTTCAACACGCTATCCGATGCTAAACGACCGGACCTGGTACTACAAATGGCTCGACAAGAGGAGCATCCCTCGTACATGCGCTTCCTCCGCCGAGGCGAGACCACACTCCTGGAATTCTGGCAAGATGAGTGCCGGAGTAAATGTCATGATATGCTGGGCACGATTTACGAGTGGTTCTATACATCCGTGCTTGGTTTGAAGGTGATTGAGGATGGATACCGGTCATTCGAGATTGATCCGCCCTACGGCGCTGAGTTCGGACATGTGAATGGAACGGTTGATTGCCCGTACGGGTTGATCGACATTGATTTCCGGCAGGAGAAAGATAGCGTGGTTTTGAATGTTGTCGTTCCTTTTGGAACGACCGCTCGGGTGAGGCTTCCTGGTGCTATGAAGTCTTACAATGTGGAGCGGGCTGGGTCGTCCATTGAAGCAGATGGAGAGACTCATTTCACTGTTGGACATGGGTCATACATTGTGAAGATTCAGTTGTAAAAGGAAGACTGGGCATCATCACGATTTACATTGGAAGGGTTTAGGCCGATTGTTTAGATAGAATCATATTATTTATTTAAGTAACTTCTAAATCAAAATATACAAGCTTCAAATAAACATTAAGAAAATTAACAAAGTAAACATTTCGCGGAGCCGTTATCATGCCTTATCGCCATCCATAGATTCCCCCTCAGACCAGTGTTTAAACTGTCTGCATGGTAGAGATGCCTCAAACATAGCATCAATCTCCAGTGCCGAGCGGCCTTTCATCTCCGGCACAATAAGCCACGTCACAGCGCAAGCAATAGAGCACAGCCCAGCATATACGAACCCAGTCTTGCCCTTCAGATCACCTTCATCAGTGTTGTATATATAGGGAAGAACGAGGTTGAAGACGACGTTAGACAACATGTAGCACAAGACACCGATTCCTTGTGTCATTGCACGAAGACGCAGTGAAGAGGCCTCGCCGGAGACTGCATATGATGCTGGCCAAGCACCCACTCCGCAGACAATGACTACGGCCATCATGCATGCAGCAGTGTACCTAGGAATAAAATGGTTAGTGATTATTTTTCCTTTGGTCGAAGAAATGACTTACCAAACGACAATGTTTCCAGACCAGCAGCCTGCGATTCCCATACTCAGCCAAATGATGGTGGAGACTGCCAAAGTACCAAGCATCAAGAGACGACGTCCAAAGCGGCTCATCAACCAAACGCCAACACCATTGGCCAGAAGACCCAGAACAATGCCGACAATAAGAACGATAAGGCTGAGACTGGACGACATACCCACAACCTGCATGAAGTAACTGGCACTCGCCAAGAGAGGAACGCCAAACAAGCTAGGCACTGTAAATGAAAACGCAACAATCATCGTCCGTCGTAGGTTGATACCCTTGAAGCAGTCGAGGTAGGATAGCTCAGCCGAAAGCTGCTCCTCATGAATGATTGACAGGCGCATCTGTTCCAACAACGGCTCCACGTCGATGCGATCCGTATGCAACGACCTCATCGAGGCCAAAGCCTTCTCATATTGCTCCTTCCTTAGCAAATAAGAGGGACTCTCGGGAATGAATATAGCCAGCACAAATGGCAAGAGAGTAGTAATCCACTGCGTCCCAAAAGGAATGAGAAAAGCAGAAGAAGATTTCATGTGCTCGCAACCAAAGATTACCGCTGCCCCAATGAGCTCACCAAGCAGCATGAAAGTCGGACTCAGAGCCATAGCCGAGCCACGAAGGGTAACAGGGACCGTCTCAGACAAATAGGTCTGAGCACCAGCCATTGCACCACCAACACCAACACCCTGGATAGCCCTGCCAACAAGGAATGTACCCCGTCTAGACGCCATCTCAGCAGGAAGGTTCGAGCAGAAGGCGATAGCGATACCGATAGCGCAGATAACGCAGCTAACAGCTAGTGACCAACGTCTTCCTACTCGATCTTGGAACCAGCCTGCGGCTGCAGCTCCAACCATTGAGCCGATGGGGGCTATGGCGCTCCAGACTGATAGCCATGCTGAGGGGATGATGTAGGATCCGTCATAAAGTGCGCCGAACTCGAGTTTGAAGTATGGGACAGCGGTGATTGTACCGAGGATAACGGTGTCGTAGCCTGTTAGGAGGAAGGCGAGGGCAAGTCCTAGAGCGTAGGCGGAAATTTTGGGATATTTGCGGATTTCAGAGAAAAGGGTTGTTGAAACTTGGTCTTGGATGGAGATTGTTGAAGTCATGGCATCTTGCTTCGTTGTTTCAGAGGCATAAGTATCTGTTCGTGTAGGTGGGGAGGACATGGTAAGATTAGTCAAATAGTTGACTTGTTTTCTCCAGGTTTGGTCGAGATCGTAGTATATGTACCTATTCCTTATCAAGATATAAATGCTACGCTATGTTGGGGTAAAAGACGCGTGGATGATTCCCCAATCAGGGCTTTGACTGGGAAATTCCTCGCCACTAGTCGCGCCAGATTCGTCTGGAAAGATTGCCAACCCTTCGCTAAGAACGCGGAGAGATATTGATGTTCTATAGACTGGATGCCGATGCAGCCAATCAGAGTGCAGCCCTTGCCGACATAACCAATCACAACGCGGTATGGGCGAACCTTCCTTCGACTATAATCTTCCAAGGGGTCCACCTCTCAACGCTGGGTCATGCGGTCTTTCGTGCTGCACAGTTCCTCGTGCACAGTTTTCATAAATTGGCGACGTTATATAAACTGCACGGTCGCTGGATTTGCCGAGGTCGAAAATTGGGCCTGTTCAGAATATTTGGAACCGATTTAGAATAAATAGTGGCGGACCCGGCTGACCATCTTTCGACTGCTTTGAGTTGTCTTCTCTCAATAAAAATTCTATACCTATAATCATCACGATGGATATCGCCCGTATCATCAAGCCCTGGAAGCGTCAACCGCACAGGGCATTCGTGTTCACAAATGCTACAATCATCGACCCGGTCGAGGGTGCCCTGATTCCCAATGCAACCGTCCGAGTCGCCGACGGTAAGATCACTTCAATCAGCACAAGCGAGACGGCCACAGAAGACATCCCCGAGGAGAACATTATTGACCTGAGCGGAAAATATCTCTGTCCCGGTCTGATTGATTGCCATGTCCACATCGCCGTAGTGCCCGGCGAGGCAGATCTCCGCGCCTACAAAGACATGACCGAGCGAATCAGTCTTTTGCGCCAGCCACATGTCCTGAAGACCATGATTGAGCGTGGATTCACCTCCATCCGTGATTGCGGTGGTGCCAGCCTGGCCGTGAAGGAGGCCGTTGAGGACGGAGTTATTCCTGGTCCTCGTCTTTTCATTGCCGGATTTGCGCTTTCGCAGACCGGTGGACACGGAGATATGCGGGGGCCGCATTCAGAGGAGTTGTGCTGTGGTGGTACTATTTCTGGCATTAGTCGCATCGTTGATGGGCCGGCTGAGTGCTATAAGTATGCGCGTGAGGAGCTTCGGCAGGGAGCTGATTTTATCAAGATTATGGGAGGTGGTGGTGTGGTTAGTAACCTGATCCTCGAATGCGTTTGCAAGTCTAATCGTTTTATCTATACAGGCAAGCCCTACGGATCGCATTGACCATGTCCAGTTCTCTGATGAGGAGATCAAGGCTATCGTTACTGTTGCCAATAATGCTGGGACCTACGTGACAAGTCACAGCTACACACCACAGGCGATCCAACAGGCGATCAACCTGGGTGTCCGTGGAATTGAACACGGTAACCTGATTGACCTGGAGACGGCTAAATTGATGGCAGAGAAGGGCACCTTCTTGACACCCACTCTCATTGCCCACGTCATGTCCAAGCAGATGAACTTCCTCCCGGCCGAAAGTGCCGCAAAGAACGACGAGGTTCTGGAGAAGGGATTGCGCGCGATGAAAATGGCCTTTGACGTTGGAGTCACTGTCTGCTTTGGCACTGATCTTCTGGGTCCGATGCACTTTGCTCAGAGCAAGGAATTCTCCGTTCGCAGCAAGGTTCTTACTCCTATCCAGATCCTGCGCAGTGCTACAATCAACGCTGCCCGTCTGGTCATGCAGGAGGACCGGTTGGGTCAGATTAAGGAGGGATTTACCGCTGATATGTTGATCCTTAACGCCAATCCCTTGGAGGATATTACTGTCCTCGATCGGGCTGAAGAAAGCATCATGGGTGTTATCAAGGATGGACGGATTCTCGAATCCCGCTGGGAGAAGTTGACCGCCGAAGCGTGAGATTAGTGAGGTTGAAATAATAAAATTACAACATTTGATTTGCATAAGTACATATGTGCAAGCAAGCCGCTGCGAATGCGACCATTGGTCATGACATGCCACTATAAGACATCAAGGCAGTATGGTGTTCTAATTACAACAGATATAAGGCGTATAAACAAAATGCAATGCGTGACGTCGTCATGGCGACGTGCATGGCAGGCTTCCTCTGGAGCCGAGTCTAATGTTTCATTAAATGAAAATGCGTGAAAATTGCATCAGCTCTTCACAAAATTCAATGGCTCTTGAAAGCGTCATCTTCGGTGGTTCTGGAGGCGCCCAGACCAGCCTCACCAAAATCACGGTACACTCTGTCCCGAGCGACGGATCGGTCCTTACGGATGGTGAGGCAGTTGATGCCGAGGAAAGTGGTGATGCGGTTGATGACCAGGACGGCCCAGTGCATGTAAATCACAAAGGCAAACACCAGGTATAGTCGCAGGTACCATACCTCAACCCATGCGCTAACCATTGGGAAACCTAGGCGGGGCAGATTGGCCAGCACGGCACCACCGATGAGAGGGGCTTGCAAAACGGTCCAGAATGGGAAAGGCTGGCGCAGCAGGTGGGCCAGGATAATCATGGTAGTCATGCGACCAAAGACGAAGGAGATAACCCAGCAGTAAAGAACCAGGTGGTTGTCAGTCAGAAGGTGCGAGTATGGCGAGAACAACCAGGCGACGTTGCAAAAAGTGAACAGAATCATAGGCACCCACTCCTTGAGAAGAGGAGTGAAGGGCAGACCCTGCTTCTTACGTGCGGCATACACGTTCATAACACAGCCTGGGAGGTGGCCCAAGAGGAAGCCACCGACAAGGATCGGCACCCAAAGATCCTTCACGGAGTTGTGACCGAAGATCTGCGGGATGTTGATAAAATCGGTAATCGGCTGCGCCCAGATTCCCGGTCCCCAAATACCGGAAGCAATCATAATGCTAATAGCAATGAGGAGACCCTCAGTCGGACCATTGAAGTAGCCGAGGTACAGGGTGTGGGTGTGGAAAGTCTCCCAGGTGGAGAAGTACATTGCCAGACAAGGCACAAGCGCGGTGTAGGCACCAAGCTGGGAAGCACCGAATCCCATAGCAGCAGTCTCCAACAAGCTGGCTAGAGTACAGTTCAAGGAGTCGATTCCGTGGCTATTGTTCATCAGCAACGGTCCATGGCTAAGTTGGGGACGGTACGAACTCAAATAGTTCTCCCAGCCCGCTGGAAGTTCCCGTTCTCCGGGCCTGTTTACCATCCACGTTGTCCAGAGTAGAGTACCTGTTATGTGTCAGTTGACATCAACCGCTTTAATGTGACCGATACTTACATCCACATGCCGAGGGCGAAACTGAAGTATAGCCACGAAGGGGCCTATGCAACAATTTAGTGACCGCTTACACGCCGCAGTTCCATCCATACATACCGGTCCCAGAAGATCAGGCATAAAGAACACGATCAAGAAGACATTGGCCACAATCCACACGAATCCGAGCAGGGTAACCATGTTGGGCGCCATCCACATGGGGAGGAGTTCAACGAAGGCATTCCACTGTAGCAGTAATCAGCCATATGCCCCTGATCCCACGTTCCGGGTGTCATATTGGGAATTCATACGTAGTGTTTGAGAATGTAGTTCGAAATAGGTGACTTGTCGACACTGGAGTACTTGTAGGACTTGAGAGGGAGCAGCGCATCATCAGAGAGGGAATCTTGGGTCTCTGTAGAAAAACATTTCCATGGTCAATAATCAACCCCTGGATCAATTCGGTATAATTGAACTAACCTTGGACCATTCGCTTAATGACGTCCATCTTGAATCTTGAAAGGGAGCCGCGACGCGTGCACGTTCAGGCAGCGGGAAAATTTGGACTATATATCACGCACTTTTTTGGTCGGAAGACAAGGCTGCAGGAGTAAAAGTCAAAAACAAGAAGAAATAGTACTGGTTAAAGCACCAAATGGAGCTGGCAGACCAAAAATAGCTAAGGGAAATAAGGGTCTCAAGAATGTCTCACTCAGGGATTTTCGGCCTGAGATCACGTGCAGCACTCCGCATCGTCGGAACGCGCGAGCACTCCACTTCAGCAAGGTTGTTTCGGCGTTTTGTTGTCTCTCGGTCTCAGCATCAGTCCGTGAAGAATTGCTGATCTTGTCAACCTCGAATCGCCTTTCCATTCTCTGTCCCGAACTCGTACCGACACGTGCCCACGCCCCTTTCGGTCACGCGCAACTGGCGTTGCTTCATTGCGTCCTTCGTCCTTCACTTCGCCCTTCAACTTCACCTTCACCTTCATCCATTCACCACTTGCCACTCGTTACTTGTGATGCCCTCCTGTTAGATTTGACTGGGCATGAAGGTTGATGGTTGTCACAGCGCCCGACGCGCTTTCAATCATTAAGGATATATCGCGATGCCGGGCGTCGTTGAAATGCACGCCGGCGGCGCTCCAGCACCAGGAATGGAATTCAGTGTCGCACACCAAAAGGTCGAGCTCGAGATTGACTTCATCAACAAAAGCTTGAAGGGAAATACCGAAATCACTATTCACCCGCAGCGGAAGGACTTGAGGGGTATCTATTTGAACTTTCGCCAGGGCGAGATTAAGCGCATAAACGTGAATGGAAAATCTGTTATGACATGGGACTATGCCGATCCTTGCGAACACATCCAGCTCTATGGAGCGCAATATCACCAGCGATTAACGCCGAAACTTGATTCCCTTCTCAAAAGCCCACGCGACCCCGAGTTGAAGATAGCCATTCCGAAAGGCGTGAGAATTGAGGAGCTGGATCCATATTCGGCAGAAGCGCAGGAACAAATTGCACTCCAGGGTGCTGGTGATGATGTGGATGGACAGGTGGGTGGTCGGGGGGCAGAGGCGATTCTTCCACGTTTCAAAGCTTTAACTTTGACTATCGAATTTGTGGCCGACCGTGTGCGCGATGGATTACAATTTGTTGGAGTCGACACCGGGGATCGTCGTTATCCACATGTCTACACTACAAACTCGCTGGATACGGGTGTTGGGTGCCCCCTGTTCCCCTGTGTGGATGATTCGGCCGCGCGTTGCACTTGGGACATTTCGATATCATGTCCTTCCACCCTGGGAGACCTCTTTGATCGCAAATCCCGTGACGCTTCAGGCTCTCGCTCAAAAGCTCAAACTCGACATGTCTCAGCAGATGACGAGGGGCTTGACATGTCTGTGGTATGCTCTGGTGAGTTGACAGATGATATTGTCGACCCAAAGGATCCCAGTCGAAAGACTGTCTCATTTGGATGTTACGCTCCTCTTTCCGCTCGTCAACTTGGATTCGCAGTCGGCCCATTTGAGTACGTCAACCTGGCCGATTTCCGTGAAAGTGATCAGGACGAACAGCTCGGCCAAAATGCCATCCCCCTTCACGCGTTCTGTCTACCCGGCAGAGGTGACGAGGTTCAAAATACCAGCTTTCCCATGGCGCAGGCTATTGACTTTTTCTCCTTGTCGTATGGCTCGTATCCATTTTCCAGTTACAAGATCTGTTTCGTCGACGACGTTGCCTCGGACACATTGCCCACGGCTTGTCTATCCATATGCAGCAGTCACCTTCTTTTCCCGGCAGAGATCATCGACCCCATGTATGACTCCACTCGGGCGTTGGTTCATGCTTTGGCGTGCCAATGGACTGGAATCAATATCATTCCCAACGAACCTGCGGATACATGGGTCACAGTTGGGGTTGCATGGTACATCACCGATACATTCATGAAGAAGCTTTGTGGAAACAATGAATATCGGTTTCGCCTCAAGCAAATGTCCGACCGGATCTGCGAGTTGGACTACGAACGTCCTTCGATCTACGACATGGGAAACTTCCTCAAGATTGACCCATCCGAATCCCAGTTCATTGCCCTGAAGGCACCCCTGGTGCTCTTCATTCTTGATCGCCGACTGACCAAGGCCAGTGGCAAAGCTACCATGTCTCGTATTATCTCTCGACTGTTTCTCAACTCGCGCATGGGTGACATTCCCAACGGGGCGGTAACCTCATCACTCTTCCAAAAGACATGTGAACGACTCGGTCATGCGAAGCTTGATGTTTTCTTCCAGCAGTGGGTGTATGGTGCCGGGTGTCCCCGCTTCCAGGCCACACAGCGTTTCAACAAGAAGAAGCTTGTAGTCGAGATGATGATCAGGCAAGTCCAGGGTGATCAACCAGCAGCACGCGACCTTGACAAGAATGCCTTCCTGCGAGATGTCAAGGAGGAAGTTCGTCACGTCTGGGCCGGTGCTCTTCAACCTGTATTTACTGGGTCCATGACGCTACGGATTCACGAAGCCGATGGCACTCCGTATGAGCATATCGTGGAGATCAAAGAGGGCGTCACGAAGTTCGATATTCCATACAATACTAAATACAAGCGACTTAAGCGAAACAAGAAGCAACGAGAACGCGCTGTCGCAAACGGCGACCCTGAGGCTCAAGAAGAAGTACTTCTTTACTGTCTCGGAGACGTTCTTCAAACAGAAGAAGAAACTCAAGAGTGGCGCTTGGCTGACTGGACCAAGGAAGATGAGGAACGTATGGGCCAGGAGTCCTACGAATGGATTCGTATGGATGCAGACTTTGAATGGATCTGCAGATTGTCCCTGGGAATGCCCGGTTACATGTACCTGTCACAGCTCCAGCAAGATCGAGATGTGGTTGCTCAATTGGAGTCCCTCCAATACATGGCTGCGCAGCGTGAGCATCCTTTGATCTCCACTATTTTCGCACGTACCGTCATGGATAGTCGCTACTTTCATGGAATCCGACTAACCGCCGTGCGAGCATTGGTCAAACATGCGAAGGATGAAGTGGATTGGATTGGGCTTTTCCATCTTGAGAGAGCTTTTCAGGAGTTGTTCTGCCTTCCAGGATCTCCCATGACCAAATCCAATGACTTCTCTGACATGGCCGCTTACCTTCTTCAAAAGGAGATCCCTGCGGCGATTTCGAAGGTGCGCGACAATAGCGGTAAGACCCCTTTGCGGGTCAAGCGCTTTCTTTTTGATAAACTGAAATTCAACGATAACTCTAACAACGCGTACTCGGACAACTATTATGTGGCTTCGCTGATGAACTCTCTTTGTCATGCCCTGCAAGGCCGCAATGAGTCTCGACAAGAGGATGAATTGGCACATTTTGACATGGAGCGTGTTCTCGAAGCCCAGGCTGAAGAACAGATCGAGAAGGATTCTGTTGCCGAGTTTGATCGGTACCGAAGAATGGATGAGTGGTCGGGTTCTTATCAGAATCTGTATGCACGAGCTGCGTTGCGGTGTCAAATGCAGATGATGCAGGCCAAAATTCAGGATACAGATCTGATGCGGTTCATTCCCTACACGCGCGCTGGCACATTCGACCTCCTTCGAGTGCAAGCATTTGATTGTCTTGTTGACCTTGACATTTCTCAAATCCCAGACCTCCTTCGCTGGCTTATTTTCACTATGACCAGCGACTCGTCTGCCTATGTCCGCCATCATTGTCAGCGGCTGTTTGGTCGGGCTTTAGCCATGATTGCATTCGGACGCGCTCCACAACCCGAAAATACCCAGAATGATGGCTTGATTATCGAACAAGAATCCTCCACTGAGGTCCGACAAGCAGACTTGGCGCGCCGTCAAACTGTTCCCGGTGCAATTGACGCTCTTAAAAAGGAACTCTATCACGATGTGTCATTGAAGGAATACCTCTGGGCTGCGTGTAATTCCTCGTCTATCGGACTACACGAAATGTCTGAAATTGCAGATCTCTGCAACGTCATGTTTGAACCTGTGACATCCAAAAAGGCCATCCTCCGTTACCCTCGCTTCTGGGCTGTCCAAAACATGGGCAACGGCAAGGTGCGATTCTTCCGTTCCAACAAAATTCGTACCAACGTGGGTCCTTCAAAGGACGCCATCAAGCGCAAGCGTGATGAACCAGGCATGCCGCCACCTGCTCCCCGGATCACATTCAAACAGGCCAAGACGAGTTCCACACCAAGCACCCCGTCAGCCACGAGCCTTCCAAAAATCCACATTCCCAACCCATCCCCCGCTCCTGCAGCAGCCAGGACCCCTGGCCCTTCCACGCCATCAACGCCATCCACTGGCGGCCCATTGAAGCTAAAGCTCAAATTTGGGCAAAAATCAAAATAAATCACGATACCTACTTTCAAACACCATGTACTTTACTACAATACCTGTTCCTTTTGACGAAATGCGATCATTAGGCGAAGAAGCATGACTCTAGGCGCGAATACGGCGATGCATTGCTTCCATAATATCATATCTTTTCTTATGCCATCGCACGTCTCACCGTACGTAGCTGCAGCGCAGACCTAGACTGGAGCGGACCATAAATTCGTGGTATCTTGTAAAATTCCGCTAAACCCACGGTGGTATTTATTCAGGTTATCAGGAAACTTCCACAGCAATCGAGCGGAAGCAGAAACAGAAAAACAAGGTTTTGATGGTCCCCAGACGAGCAACCGACCCATAAACTCCCTGTACCATTATGATCATCCCCAGCCACGGTCAAAGCCGCGCGCTTGTGTCCCTCGAAGAAAATGTCATTTATTGTGCATGGTGTGCTTATTTGTCGTTTATCCGTTCAAGGGCCTCAAGCATGACGACCGAGTTACCGCGGATGACCTATTGCCGTTAGTTCAGTGTTGAGCAGAGGTAGACCTAGATAACGTACAATCATGCCAATGGCGACCTTCTCACCACCGTCCTTCTCCTCGAAGGCCTCGTCGAGGACAATGTTCATGAACACCTAGAGAAACGAATGAGTGATGGTTCTTTTGAGGCGGTGGACGTCTGCCAGATTCTTGGTCCTTGGTCTTCGAAGCTGGAAGACCGCACAACAAAGGGACCGAGCAATCTGAGCCAGCGCAATCTTTTCAAGAGGAGGGAGTCGAACGTACATCGTAGCCGCGGAGGATACCGATCACTTTGCGGTTGCCGTTCAACTGGCAGAAGACCCGCTTCTCCATGTACTGCGCAGAAATTGTCAGCAGGTCAAACACGAGATAAACAATAGATGGGAGATCAGGACACACCTTTTTCAATTCCGGCTGAGCTTGAGGCATCTTGGGCAAGCTGGTAACTGGATTACTGGTTTGGCAAGAATCGAGTGGAACCTATCGCGCGGTGCTGTGGTATCGGTGTCCGGGTTTAGGTTGTTCCAGGGTCCGGATAGGCGATAAGAAGAATAGCTCATGAGCTCGCCGCACTGTTCCCTCAACTATTCGTTCACGCGCATAATGAGCTCAAGTTTTGCGAACAGGAGGAAGCCACGGAAGATTGGTGGGGAAGATGAGGAGGAAGATGGGGCCTCTACACCAGGTGCGTCTTATTAATCACTCTTTTCCTTGGAAACAGTCTAACCATTCAGTTGCATACAGAGCCCGTTGTCAAACGGCCAACAAAGTCGAAGCCAAAGTCGAAATTGCGCATGTCGTTTAACGCTGGTGGGACCTCAATGGCCGATGAAGAGGATGAACCCAGCGAAGTGATTATCCCAAAACGACATGGTCTAGGCCGTAAGGCTGTGGAGCGCAGTGCTGCTCAGCGCAACCAGCTTCCTTTAGGCGATGCCGAAAAGCTCTCGGAACGCTTTGGCCGTGATCAAGACCGGCCGAGCTACAGTAGTGACTATCTCAAAGAACTCCGTGACTCAACTCCCTCTACGCCAAAGTCCACCGACCATGGGAAAGACAGAACAGTGGACGTGGCCGCCAAATTCGGCGAGCTTATGACCGTGTCTGGTCAATCAGCCATTCCAAGTGCAGCTGAGATTCGGGAAAAGAAAGCTAGGAGAGCACGATTGGCCATGGAACATACCGCCAACTCCACGGAAGAGGACTTTATGTCCCTTGACGGTGGTGCCGTAAGCGACGATGACTGGGACGCGATAGCACGGGGTGATAAGGCGCCAGAAAAGGAGAAGGATACACGACTTGTTCGGGATGATGAGGATTTTGCGGAGGGCTTCGAGGAGTATGTGGAGGATGGGAAGATTTCACTAGGAAAGAAAGCAGAGCGTGAGCAGAAGCGCAAGCAGCGTGAAGCCATGCGTGAACTTATCGATGATGCTGAGAAGCTCTCTGATGAGGAAGATTCTGACGTGGAAGAAAAGGCTGCTTATGAAGCCACCCAGACCAAGGCCGCCATTGGACAGAAGTCGGACATGGACCGGCCCCGTACACCACCCAAGATGACATCTCTGCCTCGGTTGGCTAGCAGTTTTGACAGACTGCGTACTTCTCTGGCAGCGATGGAAAATGCCAAGACTCAAATGATCAGTCGCATGGAGGATCTGCGAAAAGAAAAAGCCGATATCGCAATTCGCGAGGTGGAAATCCAGGGCATGATCAAAGAGGCCGGAGATAATTATGAGCGGTTGAAGAAGGAAGCCGGCGTCGCAGCCACGAATGGAGATGCATCGGCAGGCGCCTTGGAGAAGTCCCGAGGTTTGGAAAGTATCGGAGCGCCACTACCAGCTTCAGATTCCAGCTCTGAGGAATCATGATCTTGCTTTCCTCATTCATTCCTTCCCTTCTTGAGTTCCCTTCTTGACGCCAATTTCTTCATAATACTTCTTGTGCTTAGATTCGGAGTTGATTCTTTTGATACCCAAGTTCCAATTTCCAAGGTCCTTTTCTACAATATATCTTACCATGCCTATACCTCAGTTGTCCTCAATCTTTCGCCGACTTTCCCGTAGAACAGCGCCAGCTGCTGAATATCATCCGTCAGCAGAACCTTCAGCCGCCTTTTTGTACCCTTGTCTGATGCTTCACAGTGCTTATATTAGCCCTTTGTCATGGATCGTCAATCCGATCAACAAAATCGGAGCGAAGCCTCATCTCTACCGCCGTTCCGACACAACGTCCATCGAACTCTTCTTTGACTTGTTTTTTGTGGCAAACTTGTCTACTTTCACAGCAACACATGAGATCAACAACCTAAATGGTATGCCCTTGGTCCGGCCCCGAGTCATTCAGCTGCTAAGACTATCCAGCGTTGGGATCCTACGTGGGATTCCTCGGAGTGATTTGGTTTACATGGCTCCAGGTCACCTTATTCGACATACGTTTTGCGCAAGATTCGGTCTTCGAAAGAACCTGCAAAGCTCTTCAACTTGCAGTGATGATCGGTTTCGCATCCGCCGGAACTCGTTTTACAACCCGTGTTCGGGACGAAAATCTCTGGGCGTTCCAATCCTTGAGCTTAATTCTGGCAGGGAGTCGAATCTTGTTGGCGACTCAATACACTATCACTCTTGCATTCATGTACCAACCCATGAAAGCCAGTGCGAAGGGCGTTGCATACACAGCCATGATGTTTTGGGCCACCACGATATGCTACCTCGCAGTAGGCTTTCAAGCTCCCTTGTCTAATCCCCACTAACAATTTTAGATGTTTTTCGCGTTCAGCCGAGGCCATGAAGTTCCGCCTCGAATCTGGACCGTTTGGTTCGTCTTGTTTGGAGTTGAAATGTGGACGGCAATGGGGGTCTCTTGCGGTTTTCCTGAAATTGACTTTCGGGACACCTGCCTTAATGTCCGGATGGGCCTTCTTACGCTGATTATCATTGGCGAGGGAGTCATTGCAGTCACTCGGATTGTCAATAAGACGGTGCGGCCCGGGGGATGGACGAAATGGTCGTTTGTCCATATCTTGGGGGTGACTACCAATGTTGTATGGCCCCTTATTTCATAGGTCCGGGTTGGTGATTGGCACTGATTGCGGAATGCTAACTGTATGTTTCGCAGTATCTTCTATGGCAGGTTTACTTTGATCTCTCCCCAAGACGTCGACTTGGAAGACTCGCCCAGCAGATCTGGGCGCAACTCCATTTCCCCTTCCATGTGGCACTCATTTTACTGTTGGAGGGCTCCCAAATTCTGGCTTTGACTTTGGACGTGACGTTAAAATTAAAGTATTTGGCACAGACATTTCTCTTTGTGTGTGAAGAAAATCGCCCGAGCCAAGAAACGGCGATTGCCCTCATTAGAAGCACCATCACAGACATGGAGATTCCTTTCAGCCGGGGTGCAACGCAAGAATGGGCAGCAATCTCGAGTCTGTTGGAAGACCTTTCCAATCAGCCTCTTTGTCCCGAGTCCGGGACAATCAGTGCTCCCCACAACCTGGATATCTTCAATGATCTGATGGGCAATGTTACTGCAGCCCTATTCTCAAGCATGGACATCACTCCACCAGTCAAGGTGGACATTGGTCTCCTTGACAGCCACCAACTGCTACAAATGTACATGAAACTGTTGGGATTTGTGTATATATATTTCTTTGCTGGAGCAAGCTTGTCGATGGGCCTTTTCAGCGTATTCACTGGCCTCTGCCGTCGGCACGAGCGTCGTCTGCACCTGGGTCTTTCCATGGCAGTGAGGGCTTTACTTGCAATCTTTCTGGCGGGTCTAGTCTCATTTGCCAGCCACTTTCCGCTGGCCTATTCCTTCATGACCTCGCCGATCATCCTGTACGCTTTTACGCTACCGCTTCTGACTGGTCAGTACTCACTCCTATCGTGCTCTATGAGACCTAATAGGCAACAGTTCTTCTGATTGACCGACTTTTGGACGGTCTAGCATCCCGCAGGGATGCAGCCGGCCGACGGAAGCGGGAAAACACCATAGAACTAAAGCGGTCCATTCTGACTGGCATCGCGGAAGATCGGGAGTCCGTTATGGGTCCTGACCGACATGCTTCATTGTCAGTCAGTGAAGAGGAAGCTCATTCTAGGGGACCCTGAGCCGTAGTCTACGTAAATCGTTCTCAGATGCGGCTCTTTTAACTTGAACGGGGAGAGGCATGACATGTCTAGCCGGGCAGCAGTGCATTTTGTTCCGCATGGATACCTATTGACTAGGTTTCTAACGGCCCTTCAGCCCCAGGTTCTCGCTTGGATCATCTTTCTAAGCTTCAAAACTCTATCTCTACTTGGGTACTTGTTTTCATTCTGATATTCCTCTCAAACGCGTAGTCATTCGTAAGGTGTTACCCTAAACACCGCTACTTCCGAAACCTCTAGTACATGTTGAAACAATCAGAGACACCAGACCTCAGTGAGAAAGTTGTCATGTGTAATTAACACAATATCCGCGACAGCGCATACCTACATGTGCTTGTCGACATCATTATGATTCAATATGCAGCAAGCCATCAGGTGCATAATCCGCCTCGATTGACGGGTATTTGGTCTGAGCGTTGGGATGTCAGGCCCATCACGCAAATTATTTCCGGGCCACTAGTTTTTTGTTCACATTCCGAGGATTTGTCCGCAACTATAAGGCTTGACATTATATTTCAGCCTGAAGTATGTAGTACGCCAGTGCTAAGCTTTCCAACCTTAGCATCCATGGTTTGTTCATAACAAGCAACCATATTCCCTTGATCATATCTGAAATATTAATCCATAGATACTAACCAGCTTTCCCCGCATCTATCTTGGAGCCAAAATAATCCATTCTGAAAAGGGGAAATTCCAAATGACATGCACATGCAGTCCCACGCCCGGCGACGATCCAATTCCCCAACCCAAGCCAATCTCCAGAAGTTAGGAAACCAACAATAATCGCACCAATAGAGCCCCATGTACAATTAACAAGCCTGGGACGGGGAGGGTATCCGAGTGGATCTAAGATCGGAGGCAGTGCGCCTTCAGCGCGCACTATTAGCCAGATAACCATTGCTCGTTCGCATTTCCTGCGGGCCAGTTCACTATCTTGCCGACGTAACACCTCCTTAGCCCATCTCATCGTGGGAAATACTCCTTTGAAACGGGACTACGGGACGTGCTGAGCTGGGGAGAAGTGGAGCGGGCGGGGTGTTAGATCTGAGCTTGTCATCATAGCTTCGTTCCTTGTTTTCTTGCTCATTTTCGAGACTACGTGGAAGATGAGTCTATAAATAAATATAATATGTAGCTAGCTATCGTAAGTGCATTAGTTAACGCCCACGCTTGCCCTAACTACAACCCTGTTGTTGATCGGGCACCAATCCTGCAAATGTCCTCGGCAGATCGCATCCCCAGTAGATACATCAATCTACCCCCCTGGGATAATTAAGGGCCAAAATAACCGCAAATACACTAAACAGTTCATGCTTGCTTTTTACCAACTGTTGGACCAACCCGCTTTTCTGATTGGCGCGAATGAATCGCCACTCCCCACTGGCCCTATGTAGCTACCCGTCCAGGATGGAACATGTTCATATTGACTACGCTAAGAGCGGCGATGGGGTAGATTCTAGCTTAATAAGAATATATGAAAATCGGATTTTATGAGGATCGGAAAACCCTGGGTTGATCTGGTCCAGGGCTATTTTTTTCCCTTTTCGTTTAGGTGTGGTTGGGCTGGGGTTGCTTTGGTTCTGGACGAGATATAGACCGCCATTAATGTACGAGTCGACAAACCAAACCCGAGAGATAGGAATAAAGTTACATTCCACGCAAGTGATCAGGGGAGTAAACGCGGTCAGATACTCCATTTCGATTCTCCAAGATAAACCTAAGACGCCATCCTAACGGTGATCATGTCTCACATTATTCGTGCCCTAATCGAGTCTCCGCGAGACATACAAAGAAAAGATCTGAAACGAGCGGCAAGTGGATCATCGTGGTTGTTCAAAGTCCCGTTTTTGGTCTGACTAGAGGCAAGACTAGGGTAAACAGTCATTCCGGGAACAATCCATGTCCAGTTCCCCCTGGGTCCCTCCTGAGCAGTCAAGAGTCACGGGGAGTGTCGGGCGTAAGAGCTTTAATTAGAGCACCATTTAGGTGGATATAAACCTTTGGAAGGCCGGGGACGTTTGACAGATACCTTGATATGGCTTCATGACCTCAATGGTTTCTTTTCTTGAGGCTTCAGACTTCACCGAGTTTCATTATTATCCTCCGCTTTCCGTGAGATCTGAGACCGCATTGCATTCAACGGTTTATCCGCAATCTTAGATCACACCAACCGGCCATTGAGATAGACTTGTCTCAACTGAGAGCAGTAGCAACTACAGGTATATTCATCTATATATAGATTGTATATGCCATCTCGCTGGAGTCCTCAATTGCTATATAACTAAGGTAAGAAGACCAAAATGAAGGTGAAACCTCTCCCATCAGAGCCTGATATCAGCCATGCAGTTGTCACCCGTCAAACCGTTGCAAAGACACAAAGTCTACGGTAATATACACACAGCGACAACCCGTGTACAACCATCATAGTTATTACAGTTGCGGTGAATGCAAAGTAACGGGATTCACATTCGCATTCATTCCACTATGGTAGAGGTACTGCTTAGTCCGGGGGTCGCGAGGGCACCGGGCCCCCAGGAAACTGCTAAGGTCCCACGGTTTATCACTGAGTGTTCTTCTCTCAATGCGATGGAATTCCTCTCTCTTGACCACCTGTCAAACTACTGGGCATCGGACACAGACGAACATTCCACTTATCAACCACACTGCCCTCCTTTCAAAAGACTTCGGACCTCGTCTGATTCCGAAAACATGTCTCATATTCGTCTGCCAATGAACCTTGCACGTTCCAACGGCTTCCTCTGCTATCCATCGAAACCTCATTCCTCGCATCAGTCCACATTGTCGTCAAGCGCTGTTGTCTCTCCTGCCATGGAGACTACCTGTTCCAGTGACGGGAGTGTCTATGACGAGTCGGCATATGGGTGCTTCAATCAGCCCAATCTTTCTTTCACGACGGCGCCATATACGGGGATGGCTAATACAGTCCCAATAAGTGATTTTGACTGGACTGCGAGAAATCTGTCTTGCATTTCCGAGACTGAAGACAACCCGTCACTCTCGTCCTCTTATGAATTCATGGATCTACCAAAGGACGAGCCACCTGCCTGGGACAATATGTCCTACCAGACCCAGGTCCCCTCCATGCCCATCTCCAATGACAAGGCCATCGAGTTTCAACCTCCCAACCCGCAATTCCAATCGCAATTTCAGGAATGCCCTACCACGTGGAACACAGAGATGTGTATGCAGGCCTACACAGAAAATGTGGATCAGCCATCCACCTACTTCGAATCCTCGACAGACTGGCGACAACAATTTGATCAACCCATGGCTCAGGACTACAAACTCCTCCAGACCATGTCTATCACGCCAGACGAGCAACCCATCATACACCATGAATCCGCACAAATCCGCACATATACTCACTCCCACACCACAACAATGGCTCTTCCTCAAGACCAATTATCTAGAACGAGCTTCAACTACACGACCCCCTATCCCAAAGCAAATAATATCCATCAATCACATCCTCAACTCCCCACAGGAGCAAACGACCATCCACAACCACAAAACCCAACAGCAGTCCAGCAAATCCAACGCACCCCAGAATCCGTATCCTACAACTCCTCACTTCAAACCCAACCTCAAATCCAATCCCAAGCTCCAAACACCCTAAAAGCAACCCTCCACTACACAGATACGCGAAACGCCTTTCTAATAGACTGCAAACGCCGCGGCCTCTCATACAAAGAAATCAAACGCGTGGGCGGATTTAAAGAAGCTGAATCTACGCTCCGCGGTCGATTCCGGACATTGACAAAGTCGAAGGATCAGCGCGTCAGAAAGCCAAAGTGGTTGGAACGGGATGTAAGTATCGCCTATCCCCAGCATGAAAATGACGGTAATGGCTGATGCTGATGGTTGTAGGTACATCTCCTTGTCGAAGGGGTATCAATGCTCATGGATAGAAATCACTATGATGAAGGTGATGATGTGCATTCGGACCTCCCTGTTAGCGTGGTGAGCCAGAATCAGAATGGGGAGCACAGCAGTCAGAATCAGGCCCACGCGCCAAAAGTCTCGTGGAAGAAGGTTGCTCAATTTATCTGGGCTAGAGGGGGTAGTTATCAGTTCGGGAATGCAACTTGCAAGAAGAAGTGGTGTGAGATTTATGGGGTTAAGATATGAATTTAGCTTTAATATTACCTAGGATTGAATGTTCGTGTTGATTATGGAGGGGATATGGATGTTAAGGTCATATTGCTAATACTAGGTGTAATGGATGATGGTTTTGTTGAGTTGAACTCGTTACACTTGCTTGTTTAGTATTTTCATTTTAGTATGTTTATCAGCTGGTCTAGGTCTTTATATCTTCAAGGCTATACTGCCTCGCTACAAATTGATTCAGCTACTCAGCCATCATATATCTCTAATGCTACTGCAGGCACCATTTCGTTCAAGGAGTATAAACATGATCTGGTTTTGACATTGTCTTTGCCACTATATACAAAAGTCGACAAATATAAACAACATGCATATGCTCATGTCAGCCCAATTCGTTTACCAAATCACAACACAGACCCTCCACAATAATCAACCCTCGGAAATCCCACATCCCTCAAAGCACGGTTCAAATTCTCTGGATGATGTCTCAGAGAATCCCATTCCGCCTCGGCCTTAACCATAAGCGTACCCGCAAGGATAGTTCCGTTTAACGAAATAACCCCCGGATCAATGGTATCACTGGCCGCAGCCAGGTCAACAGGGACGGTAGCGGTTTCGACTTTCCTCGGCGCGATCATCATGGTTGATAATGTCATGGCGAGATTATAGCTTATGGCGGCTGGACCATCCGACGGTAAGTCAACTTGGGCCTGCGCCGGGTCCCGACCTTCTGTTGCAGCTACGGCGGCGCGGTAGAGAGACATATAGATCGAGTGGAGCGTTTCTGGGGATGGGTTCGGGGGCAGGGGCAGGGCGAAGTGGGCGAATGGGAGATGAGGCATGTATTGGAATGCTGAGGATGTGGAGGTTGGCGACGAAGGGGGTTGTGTTTTGGGTTGTTGGGCGGCTAAGAGTTCGATGAGGGGATGCCATCCCTCTGTGCCGGATTGGCGCATTGCTTCGACAGGAAGGAATTGAAGGTGGCGGTGTGGTTGGCTGGCACCGCTGTCCTCGCCGGAGTTGAAGAAGGCGTAGAGGCGGGGTTTCTCTGCGCTGTTGCTGCTGCTGCTATTCTCGAAGCCCCATGTACGCAGACATCCATATGTAGCTTCCAGATCCGCCTTCTCCAGCAAGTCCGTTTGAGCCCTCCATTCCTTCGTCGCAAGGATGAAGTGGTTCGGGATAACGGGGAATTTGTTGAGCACGAGGGCATGGGACGGGTTCTCGGGCGGGAAATGGGCGAGCAGAAGCTCCGGAGAAGGGTTTTCAAAGGGATCAGGTTTCGGTCCTTTGGGGCCAGATTCTGGTTTGAGATTGGAAGGCTTCTTTGCGAGAGCAGGACAATAGCGTAGTTGGTACTGGGAATTGAGTTGTTAGGGTGGTCCAGCCTATGACGATGTCCAGTACTCTACTCACTGGGATCCCTGCAGCCATGACGATTGACACGTGTGTAGGCGAGAACACTAGGTGGTTACTTTCTTTGGCAGCTTTAAAGCGCCGGGCGACCAGCGCCGAGAGGCTTTCTGAGAGACCGAGTTGCATGGTGGTGTGTAGAGAACAGGAACAGGACGTGGGGATCGACGTGGGGAGACGGCGCGGAAAGGCGGTCCACGTACCGCACCCCGGATGTACACTCAGAATCAAATTACGCAAATTTACGAAAAGAACGGTATGTAGTGGTGAGATGGTCATGCATTTGTCATATCCATTAAATCAAATATTTTCCGAGCCAAACACCATCCGATAGTCACCCGAGCCAGCAGGATCGGTATAGGTGTGACCAAAAGGCTTCCTAGAAATAAAGAGACATAGTAAAATCGTACCAACATCGAGCCCAAGGTATCAATATCCGTAACCATCCGACGGTAAGACGCCGCTCGCTGCAATACGGAAACAGGACAAAAGAAAGAACAACAAGGTCCATGGTAGCGCTCAAAAAAAAATCAAAAATATTTAGCACACATTCAAGCCATGAGTTCGTTGATCGACAGATCATCCTCCGGTTGGAATAGATCAGGGAGAAGTCTTGCTGGTTGACCCATCAGATGGGTAGATGGGCCATCAAGCCAAGGACCACGCTCCTCTTCGCTGGCGCTGAGGACACCCTCGGCACGCTTTAGGGTCTCCACGTCCAGATCAGTGACATAGGCATCACGGTTGGTACCGTCACCCGCGCCACCTGGAAGTGGCACACGAACCTCGAACTCGTTGTTCAGCATCATCTCATCCTTCCACAGGCGACGCTGGCCGCTGAAGACGCACAGCACACGCTTCTTGGTCTTCATGCTGCTATTCGGGCATCCCCAGGACTGAGGGTAATTCCCACGGTTGTTGCGGCGACGAGTCACCACAGCACGAGGACCCTTACCAGATGCGGTGGAGGAAGTGTTTTTGGTAATGGCATTGCCGTTACCGATGATAGCACGAGAGCCCTTGGATTTGGAATTCCGGCCAGTGCGGAAATTCAAAAGGTCATAAGAGTCGTTATCGTCGTGGGAATCATCATCATCGTATTGCTCGATGGAGCCAGCTGTGTCCTGCAAATGATGCTTCTCCATCGTCTTCTTCACCTCCTCGTCGGTAGCAACATCAGCCAGGTGTTGCTGGTTGATTGCCTCGGATGGCTCCTCCTGCTGCACAACGCGCAGAACACAGTCATCCAGATGCTCATAAAAGTCCTGGGGGTTGCTGAATGTAGCCGAGCAAGTCGAACATTTGCCAGTAGCATCGCTGGGGTAGTTGGTCCCCTTCTTGGAAGAGGCACCCGGGCTGCGCTTGCGGCAATTAGGCGGAGTCTGCTCCACGCCGTGGACGGAGGTCAAATGACGCTTGAAGACGTCAGCCCGGTTGAAACTCTTCTCGGCCGAAGAGCCAGATCCGGGGCAGAAACCGCAGACCATGGTGCCCTTGTAATGGGTCAAGGTATGACGGTTCTTGTCATATTTGCGGGCAAAGCCCTTAATGTGATACTCGCAGTTCACAATGGGGCACTTCTCTGGCCGCTCGGACTGGTGAGTAAGCAGGTGAGCCTTCAAATCTTTGAAGACGCGGCCACACTCTGCGAAGGGGCATTGGCCCTTTTCCTTGACGTCATCGCCTTCGATACTGCTCAAAGCGGGGCTCTGTTGGGAGCGACGAGAATGGATGGAGGAAATGGAAGAGCGTCGCTCATAGACGGACGGGGGGCGGGAGTGGAAACCCGAATTCATCATCAGAGGGGAAGGCTGCGGAATTGGGTGGAGACCCGGCGAATGTTGCTCCACATTGTCGCTGTATGGGACGGGTGATGTGGCCGGGGAGTAAGGCAGATAATTAGGGGGGATGGTGGAATATGTGTTTTGTTCTGGATATGAGATACTAGGCATGAGGTTGTGGCTAGACACAGACTGATGGTGAATGAGAGATGGATCTGAAATTGAATTAGTACCCATTTTGGATCGGCGCATGATTTCGGATACCTACCAACGAATGTACTATCCGGAATCTTCTCCCGGTATAGCCCATCCATGTCACCTGCATTCCCCATATAGTCACTGGGGAAAATATCAGGCATCACGGCCGCCGGCAGCCCGAGTCCATGGTTGGTATTGAGCCAGTTCTCTTGAAACACCTGTGCGGGTCCAGAGTATGGGGATCCAATTGCAGATGAAGATGCGCTGGCAATGGACGGCCCGGAAGCTGCTGATCCTGTGGGAATTTGTGGTTCTGCAGCGTAGGATGTTGTGACGGAGGGAGGTGTGGCGGGCATCGAGGAGAAGTTGGCGTGTTTTTGCAGCTCGGCTTCGGTATAGAGAGCTGGGGTTTCGAAGTACGAATGTGGGACTCGAGAGAAGTCGATGTTCTGCGCATACTGCTGCATGTCCATGGAGTATGGGAGTAATTCCATGTTGGGATCCATCATGGGTTGGAAGTATTGTTTAGGTCTGGAGGCGTCGAGAGCAAGCATCTTGGACTGGAGAGGGTTCGAGAATAGAACAAAATCCGGGTGTTCCGCAAAGGACATGCCTTAATTTAGGCGATTGAAGGCGCAGAACTATTCTTTTAATCAGCTGCGTTCTATCTTCCCCGGTGTTGTCGAACATACCAAGGGATAGGGTTCGGATTGCGGCCCGTCAACCCAACGTGCGAACCTCGGAAAGATATAAAAGGCAACGTGCGGAATTGACACCCGGGTAATGAGGCACGATATGCAAGGGATTGCAGCGATGAAGATGGTCGCATCCAGGTCGCAAGGTGTGAAAGGGAAAGAGAAGATCTTATATACAATCTGGAATCAAGAGGAAGATAAACTTCGGAAACAACAAGGTGCCGTGAAGAGAAGCGAATGGGAAGCAGTATGAGGAAGGGGGAAGAGGAGTGTATTATAGGAGCATTGTTGCGCGCTACAATTAGTTTATAGTTGCAGAGTCTAGTTTCGAAAAAAAAAGAAAAGAAAAAATTATAAAAAAAAAGAAATCCAGAAAAAAATTAAAATCAAAATTCAAATTGTTTAAAAGGTAAAAAGTAGAAAAAAGTAAATAAAAAAAATGAATTGATTTAAAATCACAAAATCCAAAATAAGAAAAACAATAATCGAGTGAGATCATAAATGACAATACCATACAGACCCTCGAACATGGGGGCTATGCTTAGCGCCCGGGACCCCATGATAAAATTGGTTCGTGAGCTGCATGGGAAATTCGTAATTAATCCAGTTAAGCATGGAGTCTCGAGTATCCATTCGTCATTCTTTATCCCAATTCGACATGACGGGAGTACTCAGCCTCCCTGTCAGGCGTCCAGTCTTTTGTAGCTTGTACCTTTTCTCTATGACAGCCCTACCCACTTCATCATTCCTAATCTCCATTCTGCCCTACAAGGTTCAACTCTCCGTCCCCCACGGGCCCCGCGGGACTTCTCCGACTTGACGTGCTGCAGTGATGCCAATAGTATGTGCGGGAAAGATATCCGGGAGAGATAGATCATCCTTGGCGGTGAATCAATATCACAATGGAGCCACTATGGAGAATGGAGATATTCGGCACCAGAAATCGGTGCCAAAGATCGGCTACATGAAATCCTTTCATGGGATAGATTGCCAATAGCCTTATGGATATCCTGTCAAGTCGATCGTTGCACGGGAAGGGCGCCCCATATTACCCTATATTATTTTCCCTAATTTCCAGGCATTGGCATCGGTAGGTCCGTGGGTTTTGTTCCGAGCCCTTGGATCGAGATTTGTCATGTCCGGATTACTCTGTAGAGTAAAGTGATTCGAGCACCCCCTGCTATGTAGATCTCGTTACACGTAACGTACCAAAAGGGTTGTCCAAGCCTAGCCTATATATCCCGGTAGATTGGATCTGCCATCCGTGCAGGGAAGTACAAGGCGAAAAAAGGGGGAAGAGACTGAGAGAGAAAGAGAGACTGAGAGCCCGAACAGAGTGGATCCCCGGGCCCACCCACAGAGATCGTGCTCTGTATGTAAATGGTAATTTTCCATAGGTTCGGGTTGCCGATCTTTGACGGGCCCATCTTTCCCCACAGGAACCGCCCTTTTGGCAGACGTGCATGGCGCGTTGTGGGGCTTGATTGGATGACAGCAAATGAGATGTGAAATGAGTCCCCGAACCTCTCGTCCCAATCGAGGGCACAGATGGCTTCCGACGGCAGACAGGCGGGCCTTGGTGGGTTTGCAAGTGACTCGTCTTGGGGCCACGCTAGCCGGCTTGGACTTGGTCGTCGACGATCATTGTTCAATGTTACTCTGGTGTGCTGGCTTCTGAGTGGAAGAGCCTCATGGTTCATTGCGATTTGGCCTGAACCAAGAGCAAGGTTTGCCTAATAGTCGTGTCCATTTTGACCGGGATTTTTTTTTTTCGCTGTTTTCCTGTGATAGCTTTTTTTCTTTTTCTTTTTCTTTTTCTTTTTTTCACCCTCATGAAATGACTTGATCGGATCCACCGAAATTAACATGGAAAGATGACAGCTGGAAAGTGCTCGATTTAGGTCTGGAAAGCATCAGTGGGTCAGATAAGGGGAAGCGAAAAAAAAGAATAATTTAGCCCGGAGTTCCCGCAGACTATTGGAATGACTTGGGCCCTTAATTCATGAAAGGTGGGTTTGACAGCAAACTATTAGCCAGGTTCAGCCAAGCCATGTAATCAATCAATCAATCAGGATGAGCTTAGCCGACCAGAACCGCGGGACTTTAACTACGCCATACCGCAGCCCTAGCGGCAGGGACGGAGTGGCCGTCAACAAAGCAACCAAAACACGAAGAAACACGAACTAGCGCCACAACCCTGTCATGAGCCACAGTCGGTCTTCTCCTAGTCTTCCCCGTCATATCCAATCACGGACCACCGCAGGGTTCCCCAGTGGGCCAGTGCATCTTCCGTCTCCCCAGTGAGGCGCAGCATGACCATCTCTGTCGGCGATCCCGGCACCAACGCTAACATCCAAACCACATGGGAAATGAGATCATCCCCCTTCCAGCACCATCATGGAAGCTCGTATCGATCCTGGCCCACGTTTTCCCAACTCTGGGGAGATGCAGAATGCCCAGACAAATCACCGTCACCGTTACTCACGGTCGGGGGTCTCGCCCTACGAGATGCAGTAACTCTAACTAAACGCGAATCTCCCATTCGTGCTCTCGGGTAAATACGAACTGCCATGTCAGAGATGATCGCCAGGTTGTCATGCCCAGAGCCGGTAGGTTACGTTAGGCCGTAGGCCGTTTGAAAAATTGGTATATGCCAACGCGTTGGAAATGTCCCACCCTGAAACACAGGGCTGAAGGATAAAAGAGCCAGTCAGCACTGAGAACAAGGATGTTACCCCTAATACACGTGTGATGGAACCCTCTCCAGAGATCCAATCCAATCCAGTCCATTCCCCAGAACCCTCTTCCGCCCCCAACCTGTGAAACTAGTCCCGAAGAGGCTCTCTCATGAGACTGGAAAAAGGATGGTTAGACTTGGCCCATCTACCCGATAACACGCCGTCACCGTGGACTCGGGAATGTCAGTGTCAGACTATGGAGGCTAGAATCGTACGTTGAACTCTTTACACCGGCGACCCCGAAGCCACATTTTCAAGGAACCAATTTTGTTATACTGGAGAAGCTCGGCCCATAGTATGGTCCATGTGAAGATGAGCTTGATTATCTATCAATCCGTTGATTTGGAATTACATGACCGTGCCCATACTAATAAGTATTAATTTAAATTTTCTTCATTTCTTCATATTCTGTTTAGATTTGTTTACTTTACTTTTCTTTTCTTCTCTGCAAGGGCCAAAATATCCCCACGCCAACGATTCCACGGTCGCGCCAAACGCCAACGCCAACGCCCACGCCCACGCCCACGCCCGAGTGCATCTCAGATCCTCCACGTGGTCCACCACATGGTTCGTCTTATTCCTCAGTTCCTGCACCTAAGAATATCTCTGGGGCCGGCGTCTACACAGAACACTAGGCAGTCACAGAACAGTAGGCAGTACGATGTAGATCATCCTAAATTTATCGGTCGCTCACAAAAAGCAAAAGGGTTCAACAACTCATTTTGGACCGACCTCCGAATACCAAGCCGCGACTAAACAATACTCTAAGCCCTATTGCACGGCGGGTCCATTCTGATTGGACGGCATTCCCTGTCTCCCACATGGCGGGGCCAAAACAAGGCATGGGAATTCTAAAAACAGAAACGGACGTTCGTGCGGGAGGTAAGCGATCGCCCCGTGTTAGTCTGGGGATCCCAGTTTCCGTTTCATCTATGCGTAACGCTGCGCTATTTGTGGGAGGTGTTTGGGAATATTTATCGCGATATGCGTGCTATTTTCATATTGCCAAAAGATGTAGCCGACGGCCTAAACTCATTGGCCGAAAACCCTTACATGGTAACACATATCCAATCTTGGCACGTCCAAGAAGGGCTCTTCCCTGCATGGCTGTATAGTGCTTGTTTTGGAGCATTCTCGCCTTTCTATATTTATTTTGCGTATCTGACTGCTTTGGGATGCATTACTGCGCATGCGACTCTGAAACCATCTCCTGCGTCCGTTTCAGTATTCAATAATGCCATGTGGTGCATACATGCAAGGAGGTCGCATGTCCTGTAAGCACAATTTACTTTGGTGATAGGGATTATAGTTTACTTCGGCCGAAGGGCTCCCAGGAATTCAGTGCCGTGTCTCGTGGCTCGGATTTTTAGATTTGACAGGTGTGGGACAGAAAACTTGTGCACTTGCAGCATGAGGATAGTACTTGGTCAGCATGTAGATTAATAGTCAGCGAAATAGATGAGCAGTAATCAATTAATGGAATTGGTTAGATTTTAGAAGGATTGACGCTATCTCAGAGCCTCCTGGTTAATGCACGTCAACCTTCCTGGTTGATTCCTCCCAGTCGCGTGGCACCATACCCTACTCAAATTGAAGATAATAGAGTGGCGGTTTCAGAACGCGAGCCTAATCTATCTTCACCTCCGTCTCCACTTCAGTATCTTTGTACCTAAGCTTTCCTTCGTACTTCGCATTCCATTGACAGCTCCGTACCACGAAAGTAAATACAAAGTGGATCAAATTAAACAACAATCACTTTATTTCTCACCAACCCAATAATGAGCCCCCAAAGAATGAGTGTTCATATCCCCCCTAGATCCCAAATTGACACTCCACACCATCCAGCTTACAAAGGCTCCCTTCCCAGCTTGGCCCCATCCGAGATACCCGACGACATTCCGCACAAGCCATCTACAAGCAAAGACCATGATCATCCAAGTCTAGACTTGATTCATGGTACGTGCATTCACCGTATACCTAGACATTCCTCCGGTCGATCTAGATTGTCAACTGACACCCACCTCCACTCGTTATCAGCGGGTCCAGTACATATTATATTCCCCTTTAAGTTCCCCTAAAGGCCAGGCCAAGGCTAAGGCGACGGGAAGAAATCACGGGAACTCAGTAATGTAGACCCTAGAAACCAGGAGAGGCAACTGATTCGCCGAATATACGATA